TCCATTAAGCACCGATATGGTGGGATTTATTCCAGGTCAATTTTTGGCAGATTCCAAAGGGGTTCCATCTCAGATTTCAGGCGATTTATCCGAAATGCCATTTTCTTTTGATTTTGGAGGCTACAGATCACGGAATTAGGCTGAGGCTATTCTCCACCGATAATGAAGTCTATTGATCCTATTCTCCACGGATGATAAGTCCGTTAATCATCGATTTGGGCCAATTTATTTTCGGATGGCATTTTCGTAATTTCTTGGCCGGCGAAAGGCCATTTTCTTTGGATATAGAAGGCTACAGATCACTGATTCGGCCTGAGGCCATTCTCCAACGATGAGTGAGTCAATTCAGCATTTATTTGGGCAGATTTATTCCGGGTCAATTTTTTGGCAGATTCCAAAGGTGTACCATCACATATTTCAGCCGATTTATCTGAAATGCCATTTTCTTTCGATTCTGGAGGCTACAGATCACGGAATCGGGCCGAGGCTATTCTCCACCGATAATGAAGTCTATTGATTCTATTCTCCTCGGATGATAAATCTGTTAAGCATCAATTGGGCCAATTTATTTTTCAGATGGCATTTTCGTAATTTCTTGGACGACGAAAGGCCATTTTCTTTGGATATTGAAGGATACAGATCACTGATTCGGCCTGGGCTATTCTCCATCAATGATTGAGTCCATTAAGCAATGATTTGGGCGAATTTATTCTGGGTCAATTTTTGGCAGATTCCAAAGGGGTACCATCACAGATTTCTTGCGATTTATCCGAAATGTCATTTTCTTTCGATTCTTGAAGCTACAGATCACGGAATCAGGCCAAGGCTATTCTCTACCGATAACGAAGTCTATTGATCCTATTCTCCACGGATGGTAAGTCCGTTAAGCATCGATTTGGGCAAATTTATTTTCGGATGGCATTTTCGCAATTTCTTGGGCGTCGAAAGGTCATTTTCTTTGGATATTGAACGGTACAGATCACTGATTCAGCCTGAGGCTATTCTCCAACGATGATTGAGTACATTAAGCACCGATTTGGGCGGATTTATTCCGGATCAATTTTTGGCAGATTCCAAAGGGGTACCATCACAGATTTCGGGTGATTTATCCGAAATGCCATTTTCTTTCGATTCTGGAGGCTACAGATCACGGAATCAGGCCGAGGCTATTCTCCACCGATAACGAAGTCTATTGATCCTATTCTCCACGGATGATAAGTCCGTTAAGCATCGATTTGGGCCAATTTATTTTCGGATGGCATTTTCGTAATTTCTTGGGCGATGAAAGGCCTTTTTCTTTGGATATCGTAGGCTACTGATCACTGATTCGGCCCGAGGCTATTCTCCAACGATGATTGAGTCCATTAAGCATCGATTTGGGCGGATTTATTTCGGGTCAATTTTTGGCAAATTCCAAAGGGGTACCATCACAGATTTCGGGTGATTTATCCGAAATGCCATTTTCTTTCGATTCTAGAGGCTAGATATCACGGAATCAGGCCGAGGCTATTCTCCACCGATAACGAAGTCTATTGATCCTATTCTCCACGGATGATAAGTCCGTTAAGCATCGATTTGGGCCAATTTATTTTCGGATGGCATTTTCGTAATTTCTTGGTCGTTGAAAGGCCATTTTCTTTGGATATTGTAGGCTACTGCTCACTGATTCGGCCCGAGGCTATTCTCCAACGATGATTGAGTCCATTAAGCATCGATTTGGGCGGATTTATTTCGGGTCAATTTTTGGCAGATTCCAAAGGGGTACCATCTCAGATTTCGGGTGATTTATCCGAAATGTCATTTTCTTTCGATTCTCGAGGCTACTGATCCCGGAATCAAGCCGAGGCTATTCTCTACCGATAATGAAGTCTATTGATTCTATTCTCCACGGATGATAAGTCTGTTAAGCATCGATTTGGGCCAATTTATTATCGGATGGCATTTTCGTAATTTCTTGGGCGACGAAAGGCCATTTTCTTTGGATATTGAAGGCTACAGATCACTGATTCGGCCTGAGACTATTCTCCAACGAAGATTGAGTCCATTAAGCATCGATTTGGGCGGATTTATTCCGGGTCCATTTTTGGCAGATTCCAAAGGGGTACCAATACAGATTTCGGGCGATTTATCCGAAATGCCATTTTCTTTCGATTCTTGAAGCTACAGATCACGGAATCAGGCCGAGGCTATTCTCCACCGATAACGAAGTCTATTGATCCTATTCTTCACGGATGGTAAGTCCGTTAAGCATCGATTTGGGCCAATTTATTTTCGGATGGCATTTTCGCAATTTCTTGGGCGACGAAATGCCATTTTCTTTGGATATTGAAGGCTACAGATCACTTATTAAGCCTGAGACTATACTCCAACGATGATTGAGTACATTAAGCACCGATTTGGGTGGATTTATTCCGGATCAATTTTTGGCAGATTCCAAAGGGGTACCATCACAGATTTCGGGCGATTTATCCAAAATGCCATTTTCTTTCGATTCTGGAGGCTACAGATCACGAAATCTGGCCGAGGCTATTCTCCACTGATAACGTAGTCTATTGATCCTATTCTCCAGGGATGATAAGTCCGTCAATCATCGATTTGGGCCAATTTATATTTCGGATGGCATTTTCGTAATTTCTTGGGCGGCGAAAGGCCAATTTCTTTGGATATTGAAGGCTACAGATCACTGATTCGGCCTGAGGCTATTCTCCAACGATGATTGAGTCCATTAAGCACCGATTTGGGAGGATTTATTCTGGTTCAATTTTTGGCAGATTCCAAAGGGGTACCATCACAGATTTCGGCCGATTTATCTGAAATGTCATTTTCTTTCGATCCTGGAGGCTACAGATCACGGAATCAGGCCGAGGCTATTCTCCCTCGATAATGAAGTCTATTGATCCTATTCTACACAGATGATAAATATGATAAGCATCGATTTGGGCCAATTTATTTTTCGGTTGGCATTTTCGTAATTTCTTGGGCGACGAAAGACCATTTTCTTTAATTATTTAAAACTACAGATCACTGATTTGGCCTGAGGCTATTCTACAATTATGATTGAATTTATTAAGCACCGATTTGGTCGGATTTATTCTAGGTCAGTTTTTGGCAGATTCCAAAGGGGTACCATCACAGATTTCGGGCGATTTATCCGAAACGCCATTTTATTTTGATTCTGGAGGCTACAGATCACGGAATCAGGCCGAGGCTATTCTCCACCGATAATGAAGTCTATTGATCCTATTCTCCACGGATGATAAGTCCGTTAAGCATCAATTTGTGCCAATTTATTTTTCGAATGGCATTTTCGTAATTTCTTGGGCGATGAAAGGCCATTTTCTTTGGATATTGAAGGCTACAGATCACTGATTCCGCTTGAGGCTATTCTCCAACGATGATTGAGTTTATTAAGCACCAATTTGGGCGGACTTATTCCGGGTCAATTTTCGGCAGATTCCAAAGTGGTACCATCACAGATTTCAGGCGATTTATCCGAAATGCCATTTTATTTTGATTCTGGAGGCTACAGATCACGGAATCATGCCGAGGCTATTCTCCACCGATAATGAAGTCTATTGATCCTATTCTTCACGGATGGTAAGTCCGTTAAGCATCGATTTGGGCCAATTTATTTTCGAATGGCATTTTCGTAATTTCTTGGGCGACGAAAGGCCATTTTCTTTGGATATTGAAGGCTACAGATCACTTATTCGGCCTGAGGCTATTCTCCAACGATGATTGATTCCATTAAGCATCGATATGGGCGGATTTATTCCAGGTCAATTTTTGGCAGATTCCAAAGGGGTACCATCACAGATTTCGGCCGATTTATCTGAAATACCATTTTCTTTCGATTCTGGAGGATACAGATCACGGAATTAGGCCGAGGCTATTCTTCGCCGATAATGAAGTCTATTGATTCTATTCTCCGCGGATGATAAGTCCGTTAAGCATCATTTGGGCCAATTTATTTTTCGGATTGCATTTTCGTAATTTCTTGGGCGACGAAAGGCCATTTTCTTTGGATATTGAAGGCTACAGATCACTTATTCGGCCTGAGGCTATTCTCCATCAATGATTGAGTCCATTAAGCAACGATTTGGGCGGATTTATTCCGGGTCAATTTTTGGCAGATTCCAAAGGGGGTACCATCACAGATTTCGGGTGATTTATCCGAAATGCCATTTTCTTTCGATTCTGGAGGCTACAGATCACGGAATCAGGCCGAGGCTATTCTCCACTTATAATGAAGTCTAATTATCTTATTCTACAAGGATTATAAGTCCGTTAAGCATCGATTTGGGCCAATAAACTTTCGGATGGCATTTTCGTAATTTCTTGGGCGACGAAAGGCCATTTTCTTTGGATATTGAAGGCTACAGATCACTTATTCGGCTTGAGGCTATTCTCCATCAATGATTGAGTCCATTAAGCAACGATTTGGACGGATTTATTCCTGGTCAATTTTTGGCAGATTCAAAAGGGGTACCATCACAGATTTCTTGCGATTTATCCGAAATGCCATTTTCTTTCGATTCTGGAGGCTACAGATCACGGAATCAGGCCGAGGCTATTCTCCACTTATAATGAAGTCTATTGATCTTATTCTACAAGGATTATAAGTCCGTTAAGCATCGATTTGGGCCAATTTATTTTTGGATGGCATTTTCGTAATTTCTTGGGCGACGAAAGGCCCTTTTCTTTGGATATTGAAGTCTACAGATCACTGATTCGGCCAGAGGCTATTCTCCAACGATGATTGATTCCATTAAGCACCGATTTGGGCGGATTTATTCCAGGTCAATTTTTTGCAGATTCCAAAAGGGTACCATCACAGATTTCGGCTGATTTATCTGAAATGCCTTTTTCTTTCAATTCTGGAGGCTACAGATCACGGAATCAGTCCGAGGCTATTCTCCACCGATAATGAAGTCTATTGATTCTATTCTCCGCGGATGATAAGTCCGTTAAGCATCGTTTGGGCCAATTTATTTTTCGGATTGCATTTTCGTAATTTCTTGGGCGACGAAAGGCCATTTTCTTTGGATATTGAAGGCTACAGATCACTGATTCGGCCTGAGGCTATTCTCCATCAATGATTGATTCCATTAAGCAACGATTTGGGCGGATTTATTCCGGGTCAATTTTTTGCAGATTCCAAACGGGTACGTACCATCACAGATTTCTTGCGATTTATCCGAAATGCCATTTTCTTTCGATTCTGGATGCTCCAAATCCCGAAATCAGGCCGAGGCTATTCTCCACTTATAATGAAGTCTATTGATCTTATTCTACAAGGATTATAAGTCCGTTAAGCATCGATTTGGGAAAATTTATTTTCGGATGGCCTTTTCGTAATTTCTTGGGCGACGAAAGGCCATTTTCTTTGGATATTGAAGGCTACAGATCACTGATTCGGCCTGAGGCTATTCTCCAACGATGATTGATTCCATTAAGCACCGATTTGGGCGGATTTATTCCAGGTCAATTTTTGGCAGATTCCAAAGGGGTACCATCACAGATTTCTTGCGATTTATCCGAAATGTCATTTTCTTTCGATTCTGGAGGCTACAGATCACGGAATCAGGCCGAGGCTATTCTCCACTTATAATGAAGTCTATTGATCTTATTCTACAAGGATTTTAAGTCCGTTAAGCATCGATTTGGGCCAATTTATTTTCGGATGGCATTTTCTTAATTTCTTGGGCGACGAAAGGCCATTTTCTTTGGATATTGAAGGCTACAGATCACTGATTCGGCCTGAGGCTATTCTCCAACGATGATTTAGTCCATTAAGCATCGATTTGGGCGGATTTATTTTGGGTCAATTTTTGGCAGATTCCAAAGGGGTACCATCACAGATTTCGGGCGATTTATCCGAAATGCCATTTTCTTTCGATTCTGGAGGCTACAGATCACGAAATCAGGCCGGGGCTATTCTCCACTTATAATGAAGTCTATTGATCTTATTCTACAAGGGTTATAAGTCCGTTAAGCATTGATTTGGGCCAATTTATTTTTCGGATGGCATTTTCGTAATTTCTAGGGCGACAAAAAGGCCATTTTCATTGGATTTTGAAGGCTACACATCATTGATTCGGCCTGAGGCTATTCTCCAACAATGATTGAGTCCATTAAGCACCGATTTGGGTGGATTTATTCCGGGTCAATTTTTGGCAGATTCCAAAGGGGTACCATCACATATTTCGGGCGATTTATCCGAAATGCCATTTACTTCCGATTCTGGAGGCTACAGATCACGGAAACAGGCCGAGGCTATTCTCCACCGATAATGAAGTCTATTGATTCTATTCTCCACGGATGATAAGTCCGTTAAGCATCGATTTGGGCAAATTTATTTTCGGATGGCATTTTCTTAATTTCTTGGGCGACGAAAGGCCATTTTCATTGGATATTGAAGGCTACAGATCACTGATTCGGCCTGAGGCTATTCTCCAACGATGATTGAGTCTATTAAGCATCAATTTGGGCGGATTTATTCCGGGTCAATTTTTGGCAGATTCCTAAGGGGTACCATCACATACTTCGGGCGATTTATCCGTAATGCCATTTTGTTTTGATTCTGTAGGCTACAGATCAGTGATTCGTGACAGATGTGTTTCAGTGCTGATTTTTTGTTCCCTCTCTCCCCTTCCACGGTTGATTTTATCAAATGACTTCTGTAGTCTTCACGCTCTGCAACCGCTTCGCCTTTTTCTCCCACGTGCTACATCCTTCTTCACGAAGTTGTAGTCTCCAACTGCCTCTCATTTGTTCTCCGATCTTGCTTGCGTAAAAGTCACGTGCACACACATCAACTTTGTATCATCAGGGTTCGAATCACGACACCGCCATCAACTAAAACAACATTGTTATTTCACCCTCGCCACCGCGTACTCGTCGTTAGATTGTTGATCCTTCGGCGTCGTTGACCACACAAATTCGAAACTCGTGGCCTCGTTGAACTCCGCGATGTTGTTTTGGCCTTGCGACATCGTTAAACTTTTCCAACTCCAACAACAGCATCGCGGACCCGAATAAATTCGTAGCCCTTGCTCGCGACATTGTTTTCACTGAATTCTCAGCACCGCGGTACCGTCGAGTCTCTACGCGGTGTCGTTTCTCTCCTCTTCCGACAAGGAATAAACATAAGCATTCCTTTTCCAATAACAACACCAAAAGGCCGAGTGAATCCGGCATTGTTTTTCCCTAAACAATGTCGTTTTAAGTACCACGGTGTTGTTGAGCCTCCTTGCAGTGTATTTTTAACTCTCCACGACGCCGCTCGACTCCAAACGACACTGTTTTTTTTTATGCGGCATCGAATTACATACCGAGACTAATTAATGCGGCATTTAATTTAATCAAAAATAATTTTAGGTGTAAACAGAAATATGACGAATTCCACTATATCATCTTCCTCTCTATTTTCAAAAATACAAACTCATCACTCGAACAAAAAATAATAATCCATACTCATATCCGCTTCATACCCATAGGGGAAAGACGTTTTGCAACAAACCCTAAAATGAAACCTTTCTACATTATACTAGAGGCCATGCCCATGTGGTCCGTGGATGCATGGATGAAGGAGAGGCCGGCCGGCCGACGTTTTTGCCGGCGGCTAAAATCTCAACCGCACAACGCGCCAACTTTATATATATGTATATATATATATATATGCATGGCCCGTCGTTGTTTGTTGTACAATATGTGTGAGTTGCCAAAAACGATCCGGTGGTTGGGGCGTCGCGATTCTCGACCGTCACTTCATCAATTTCCGGCCCCTCAACTCATTCATCATTTCACTAATTATTTCTTTGTCTTTTGGAGCTTGTTGGTTCGCTCGTGGCTAGCTTGGTGGCCATACTTACCCCGCGCTAAAGCTTAATCAATAATATGTCTAGTAGTCTGTGGTTTTTGTCAAACTTCCTACGTAGGGTTTGTATTCTTTATTGGATGGCTCCTTTCCCTATATACTATGCATAATAATATAACTAATACAAAATACGTCAACCTTATTCTCATGGCTAATTGTGGTCCAAGTGGGTTCACTCTACTCGTCGGTCAAACATTTGATCACTCCCAAAAAAGAGGCATGTACATGTGTTTGTTTCGTTGATTCCAATGTTTTGGATAGGTTCTATTTGACTATAGGGTTGAATGGGCTCAACCATTGGCAAGTGATCAAGATTCTAACTCTAATATAAACATATACTTTTCCACGTAGAAGGGTTTTGCTTGTCTTCCATTAGAACTACACATTTTGCCCGGTACACGTACAACCTTTTTAGTTTGAGTTTAGGAATGAACGCCACATTATTTGAACACTCTTTGTTACTTATGTATAAACAAAGGGTAAATGGTCACATTTGGTCGGTGAGATTATCAAACCATGTCATGTTTAGTCACTAGAAAAAATTAATATCAATTTTGACCAGTCGAATTATTAAAACATGTCACATTTAGTCACTCTCCCGTTAGTTTCTGTCCAACTCCATTAACGGAGTTGGACGGAGGCTAATGGAGAGTGACTCAACGTGACATGTTTCGGTAATTCGAGTGACATTCATAAAAAAAAAATAAAGTAATTCGAGTGACCGGAGTTGGACAGAGGCTAACGGGAGAGTGACTAAATGTGACCTGTTTTAGTAATTCGAGTGACTAAAATTGATATTAATTTTTTTCTAGTGACTAAACATAACATGATTTAGTAATCCCAGTACCGTTGCATTTACACTATAACCAAATATACATTTGAGTATTATATGCATCCACGATGGACACAACTCTTGAAACTTCCAACCACCTTTTAAGCTTTGTTTAATTAGATTGATTAGATTTGAGGTGAAGGAATTGACTAATTACTTAATTAGCCATGAGAAGGTAAGTGACCAAGTGAATGACGCGTCCTTGCTTTTGTGAATGGTGAAATCCTCCTCCCTTGTTTGTTGTTGTTGTTGGGTCGGGGGCGAACCACGTAGGTAGCTATAGGTTTGATGAAAAAGTTGGTACGCAACCACCCAACCTTCCCTCCAATCGCGGCAGGGAGTCGCTCCTCTCTTTGACTGCTATATACGAGTCGTTGGAATGGATTAGTTTAGAAATGAGACGATTAATACGATTTTTTTTTATTGCCTGCAAGTTTGAAAATATGTTTTTTTTTTGTTTTCTCTTCCAATTTCTATTCGAATTGATTTGCGTGTTCTTTCGTCTTTTTAAATAGGCTATAATTAAAATAAGACGATTCGAAGTACTTGTTTCACTCTCACGTGTTTAGAATTGGTTTAATACGTATCATTTCAAAATTCACCAAGCCAGATCGATCCGTCCGAACTTTTTGTTTTTTTTTAACAAGCGAGTCAATTTGATTCAGTTGTTTCAAAACAAAGACAATTGAGTCAGATTGGTTCGTTGTAGTTCCTCGTCCAAACGAATTGTTGCGATACTAGCTAGCTTTTTTCGCGGGTGCTAATAGAATTTATAAGCAACGTTTCGAGTAAGTTAATCGAAAACGACCTGATAATCTCATTCATGGATTCATGATTTAGTTTGTCTGGAGTAACATGTATCCCGAGTTGAACCGTATCTCTCAATCTGAACTTTAGGTTCCCAAACATTCTTTCTGACCAGATAAAATTCACGAGGAAGAGTGGGGTTTGAAGTGAAAAAAAGGGGAGTGATTGACGCCGGCCGCCGCCGGCCACCGCACCTTTTATCTCAGGCGACACGGACTTCAACCCTTTCGGCTTGGGATTCCGATTGTCAATATTATACCACTGTTCCGGTTGGGAAACAGAGACCCCTCACTTCCACGTTTGCCGATTAATTTATAATAATGAAAATTTTGGGTTAACAAGCAAGATGCCAAAAGAGAAAGAAAGAAAGAAAGGAACTTGTGTCGGTGAATTTGATGGCAACTCGTCCACTACGAGCTGCCGTCAACCTCTCCCGTCTCTGTTTCTCTAGACTCTTCTTCCCCTAATTAAGTCTTACCTTAAAACCAAATTGTGTGCCTTACGATTTTCATTACCCATTTTCTCAATTTTTCTTTCGTGTGGTAATTAGAGGTGTCCTGTTGGCGTGAGATGTAAGCACTGTAGATTAAGAAAGTTGTAGCAATTATGGCACCCTGGTTTGTCCGAGGTGGATCGATCAGTGCTTGTGATATGCAACCAAAAAAAAAATGTTGAAACCAATTTATATAGGGAAAAAATCGCTTTTATTGTGACTTCAATATAATTAATTTTTTGCAATTTGCAAACATTACACAATATAAGAACCAATAGTGGTCCATATTTTGTGTCTTTTCCACTCTATGATTTGTTGGTTAATGTAGTGTGGTAAGGAGATATGAGGCTTATTTCGGTATAAAAGATAAATGACACTTTAATATGTGAAAGTAAAGAGCTAGTCATTGTGTTGGCCCCTTATCCACCTACCAAGTCGCCACTCATCCGAATAAGTGTAGATAAGACATTTACAGATTCACGACTCGGCTACCATTATTCGGATTCATCACAGTTGAGTTAGATTCAAATTGTGATACAACTAGCTACATGAGTAAATGAATTCACTACTCATTGACATTAATCGCTCACGAATTATGTATATAGTATTGTCGGATTGGAATCCTATGTATAGTAAACGCACTGTTCACTTAAGTAAAATTAGCTTAATTTTTTTTCTCATATTGTTCTCTCTCCATATAAAGTTAGGGGTAACTCGGGGACTCCAAGAAGCACGTCTAGCTCGCTCGGAAACATGAGTGATTTGCGGCGGCTTTCATAAGAAGTGGGTGGGGTAAGTTTCTCCCATGTGCAGGGGCGGAGCCAGGATTTGACCGTCGGGGGGGACCGAAGTTTAGAAAGTGTATAATGTCGAAGAAAATATATCATAAAATGTAATTAATATTTGTATTTATTTATAATTTATTTGTAATATTTGAGATAAACAAATTGCCAGAACTATTATTAGAAATATAAATTTAAAATTTGAAGGATATAGTTAAGCTATTTCAAAATTACATGACTTATAAAAAAAATTATGAAAGTTAAATATGCTTCATGGTAAAACTAAATTAGTTAAAAAATAGGGTCTTTGGTCACGCTCAATTAAGAAGGTTAAAAACAATTAAATATGAGTTTTGATCACAGTCTGATAAGAAGTTCAAAAATTCAATAACAATTAGCTGCCAAAGGTCTCGAACCAAGACCCCGGAGGGCCATAATCAACTTCTGTTCCGGTGGACTGCACGCAAATCCCATGCTCCATTATTGAACACAGTTTGTATTTATACTAATCTTCATTTTCTACGTAATTTTACAAACCTCGATAGAATTTGGTATGTGATTTCAAAATTCTGGGGGAGGGGGGCGACCCCCCGAAGCTCCACCTAGCTCCGCCCCTGCCCGTGTGTATCGACCTCATGAAAACAATCAAGCAGTTGCAGCTCACATTATGGCTCATATCCAGACTCGTTGGAATGAACGTATTGTTTGGTGGGATAGACGCTGTTTTATTTAGTTGATCAGATTATATACTCGATGATATATTGTGACTTTTGATTAATGAAATCAATGCATACATATTGTTGTTAAGAAAAAATCCGGGTAATAGTGATTGGAGACGGGAAAAGATCCAAAGATCCCGATAGAAAAACATATTATTATTGTAGTAACTTGCAGAAAAAAGACAAATCTAAGATTAATCGTTCTTATTGCCTTATTAATTTTTATATATCAAGCTTGAGCCACGGGGAAGAAAGGAAAAGATCTTAATAGTAAATAAGCAAAAAAAATTCAGTAGTAGTAAACCCCCGGCATTTGATAGATATACTTTGCCTCCCGAGTGGAAACTTCTTCCTTTCTTTGGGTGTATCAATGGAGTTGGCCGCGCGTTGATTTCTGCAATTTTGACCCAAACAAAGATTAATAAGATTCCACTGTTTCCCAGGACTTCATTTCCCTCCTCCCTCTTTTATTCTTCTCTTGTTGTTTCTTTACTTGTCGTCGCTTCGCCTGTTTGGTTGGTTGGTCGCCGTCCCCTCGATGGGTAACTGAATTCCCTTTTTATTGTTGGGTGTTCTTTTTTAATCTTATTCCCGCTATTTGTTCGCGTCTTATCTTCGCAATCCAAGATCTGGGTTCCGTTTCTCGACTCTCAAAGCTCCCGACTTCGCATGTCAACGGCGGAATAACATCACTTTGATCTGAGGGTTTCTTCGGGAAGTCGGAATTCCCCCACTGTAGATGGAGAGTTGCAGTGCGGAGGAGGGATTCTTCGATACTAGAGAAGAGGTATCTTCCGTCTCCGATTGGGCTTCCGATTCTGACGGCAACGGTGTTTCCCCCAATTCGCAGTTCGAGATTTGGGCTAAGAATCCGGAGAGCGTCGAGGATCGGCGGCGGAGGTTCCTGAGATGGATGAATCTGGGTTCCGATCGGGGTTCGGTGGTGGAGGAATTGAAGAAGGAGAGCATCGAGAAAATCGAATTGGGGATTGATAGAGTGATGGATGATAGCGGTGCGGTGTTGAGAACTTCTGGTTCTGATGAACGCGACTTCTGGTCCGACACTTTGTCGCGGTCTACTTCTTGCCAGTCAGCTGAAGCTCGGGAATCGTTTGAAGATGGTGCTTCGGAGATGGATTTAATGTACAAAATCAGGAACTTGGACGACGGGAGGGAGTTTGTCTTTGAAGAACTGGATCAAGCTGGAATCTTTAGCAGATTGCGGGAAGTGGGATCAGATCGTTCTCTTAGCTTTGAAGAGTTCCAGAGAAGTATAGGATGGTCACCTTTGATTCAGCGGTTTCTTCGTCGATATGCAGATGGGGCAAGAACTATGTGTGAAACTAGGAAGAAACCTAAGAGGGGTTGGCTGAGGAAGTTCGGATCATCACCAGCTCGCATTCCCGACAATGTCAATGGTAATGAACTGTCTGGAGGGAATAAGTCGCAAAGAGTTAAGGTTCATTCCAACAAGAAGAAGACCAAGGAGCTGTCTTCACTGTATTCTGGGCAGGAATTTCTTGCTCATAAGGGGTCTATACTGACCATGAAGTTCAGTCCAGATGGGCAGTACTTAGCTAGTGGTGGAGAGGATGGTATTGTGAGGGTATGGAAGGTTATTGAGGATGATAGGCTTAACCGACTTAATGTCCCGGGCAGTGATCCTTCATGTCTTTGCTTCGCAATAGACCATAAATCCAAAATAACTTCTTTGGATGTAGATGCAATTGCAAAGAACGATGGGAAAACAAAGAGACATATTTCTTCAGACTCGACTTGTGTTGTTTTGCCCCCAAAGGTGTTTAGGGTTCTTGAGAAGCCTCTTCATGAGTTCCGGGGTCACAGTGGTGAGGTTTTGGATCTCTCCTGGTCTAAGCAGAGGGTAAGTATCTTCCATAAGTTGCATTTCAAGACAATTGTTTTCAATTGTCAAATTTTGACTTGTGAATAATGTTTTGCTTGCTGCAGTTGCTTCTGTCTTCATCGGATGATAATACCGTTCGCATGTGGCAAGTGGGATGTGACAAATGCCTGAGAGTTTTTCATCATAATAACTATGGTATATATGCTTATTTGATTGATTAGTTTCATTACCATTATTGGTTAGTTCAGTTCTTTGGTCACTTTTCTCAACCTGTTTTTGAGGTTGATTGCAGTGACTTGTGTCCATTTCAATCCTGTGGACGAAGACCATTTCATTACCGGTTCAATAGATGGGAAAGTCCGAATCTGGGAAGTGTCTGGCTGCCAGGTCATTGATTACACGGATGTCAAAGAGATAGTCACTGCAATAGCTTATCGTCCTTGTGGAGAGGTTGGCAGAATCTCTTAACCCTCAGCTTTGGAGATAGAAGAAATTCCTTGGCATTTGGAAAGCTTGAATTCTGAAGGATCTTTCTTTACTTGGAATTTTCAGGGAGCTATTGTGGGCACAATGAGTGGAAACTGCCTCTTCTATGAGATCAGAGGTGCTGATTTATTCCTCACCACCAGGAGCAACTAAATCATTTGGCGTATGGTTGAAAAGAATTATTCATTCTTCAAGCTTACGGACTGTGTTATTGTCTTTGATGAATGCAGATAATAAGATGCGACAGGATACTGAAATATGTTTGCAAGGGAAAACTAAGTTGCCTGGCAAGAGAATAACTGGCTTTGAGGTGGTTAACTGTTTACTTTACCGTTCCTCTCTGTATCCTCTTGGAGTTCAATTTTGACATGGTGTAGTAACTGTGAAACGTTTTTCTTTCCAGTTTTCTCCAAGTGACCCGAGCAAAGTAATCGTCTCATCTGCCGATTCTCTTGTGCGAGTTCTCTGCAGCTCAGATGTCATATGCAAATTCAGGGGTTAGTATTCTTTTCTTCTTTCATCCATATCTTCCTTTGTTCATACTTCATAGACTCCATTAGTTCATCCAGTTGGCACCAGGTAGTACCAGATAAAATTGACCTCCTATCCATTTAATCAAACTGAGACAAGAACGTTCCGTTCTGACAAATTAGCATTCCTTTGTTCTCCAGTGTCCAGTCTTCGGGCTGCAGCAAACCAGATGCACGCCACTTTTACCTCAGATGGAAAGCACGTCGTCTCAACAAGTGATGATTCCAACGTCTACATTTGGAACTATGATAAACAAGAAAGAAAGTCATCTTCTCGAGCTAGGCATATCCATTCCTACGAGAGCTTCACCTCCCAAAATGCTTCAGTGGCAATACCTTGGCGTGGGGTTGAAACTGTGCCAGGCACGATCCTATCTCCACCACCGCCCATTGGGGATGTCGTGCATGAAACTAGCAGCAGCAAAAGCATGATATCTTCACCAGATTGTTTCTCGCTGACTCGTGGGTTTTTGTTAGATTCGTTGATCAGGGGATCTGCCACCTGGCCCGAGGAGAAGCTTCCTGACTCGAGACCCATGTCGGTTTCCTCAACACCGAAGTTGAAACCGGAGTTCAAGTTTCTGAAGAATGCATGCCAGAGCATGTTCAATTCTCACATGTGGGGCCTGGTGATTGTTACTGCAGGCTGGGATGGGAGGATTCGAACTTACCTCAATTACGGGTTGCCTCTGCGTGTCTGACTGAAGAAAACTTGTGAAGAAGGCAACAGTATTTAACTAAGTTTTGATTTATTCCTGTACCTATATAGATGAGACTGTCCTGTTTCTTTTATAGGGCAGTTTATACAAATAGTCAAGAAAAAGAAAGCTGCTGAGGATCCAGCCTATTCAAAAAAAAGGCTGCAAATTTGTAGTATCTCAGTGTATCTGCAGAAACCCAAGTGCACTGGGTTCACTGTTTTTTGTGTGTATGGAAAGTGTGTATAAAAGAAACAAGTTCATATGATTCTTTCATTGCTTCTTATGTCAGTCTGTACTGGAAAAAGCTTTTGGATGGTCAGTTGTGATTCTCTGAAATGAATTGCTCCGTAGAGCTGTAATCCGGTCCCAATGAGGTTTTTCAACGGTTCAACTTTCTGAATTCCCCCATGGCTTCTTCCTAGTTGCAGCCACGATCGAATTGGTAGAGGTGGGGACTGGGGGCAAACTGAGCCTGCAACTTGGTACACCACCATTTGCCTCTGCCCCCAGTGTGTTTCTTTACTTTTCTATTAATGATGGGAGTCCCCACAAAGGCTCAAATCATAAATTCTTTCTTTCTTATCATAGCTCCAATCAATCTTAAAAAAAGGTTAAAATAGATACCAGAACTCTTTTATCACCTGGTAGGCACCCAAGCCACATGGGTTTAGGTTCTGAGTATTAACACTGATGTGTTTGGCTGATTTTAATTGAGGATGCATGTGGTTGTTAGAGTTGATAAATTTACATCGTCTTAGATTATCATGTGAGATGGTAGAAGATTGCTATATAGATAAATTGCAAATTGACCACCCACCGCACACACAAAAGAAAGTCATACTTTTGTGAAGAGAGAAATGTATTAAAGCAGAGACAGTTTGGTTGGTTATAGTACTATGCCCACTTTGCAGCAGGATCTAGTAGATTTGGGATGCTGTCCTTTGGGGAAAAAGGTTTTTCGTTGCTGTCACATGATTCAGCTTTCTTATGGTCACGACACCACTGTCCTGGAGTCGTCACTTCCAATTGGTTTTGTTTTCTCAAAACCAGATATCTTTTGGTGTCCCCTTACTGCTGCTAGTGGAAGCTTTGGTCCACCCTAATGCCTTCATCATTCTGTCTAATCTGTTCATCAAATCAAATAAAGGGTCCCGGCTGCTACATGATTTTTCATGGGATGTGAAATTGTCAAAATGTGATTGGAACAAATAGAAAGATTTTGGCTTTCAGAAAAGTAATGAAATACTAGAATAATGTTTAGTGTTTTCGTTTAGTAAATTAAAGACGCGCGTACGATCAAGAACAGCTCATATTATAGAAAGATTTCAGCACTAAAGCAAACAAAGGATGTTTCTCATTCTGCCAAGGGAAAAAAAAATATTGGATCCCTGTGATGATTCATTCTTTCATTTATTAATGGGCAAATACAATATAATATCCATAACTATTATGGCTCGGGGATTTATATCCTCAACTATTAATATACAAATTAATATCCATAACTATAGTTGCGGGTAAAGATATGGCTAACAGTCTGTTACCACCGTTAAATTTGTAACGGAGACTGCCATGTCAGCATCCATATTGGCGTCCACATCAGCAAATAATTAAATATATAATTTTTATTTTTAAATTAAAAAAATTAAAAAATTAAAGTTGAAAAACAAACTCAACCACTCTCCCCTCTTTTTTCCCCTATCTTCCTCCACCGTCACTTTGCTTCCTCCGCCCTCCCCTGTCTCCCTCTTCTTCTTCTTCCCCTATCTTCCTCCACCGTCCCCTGGCTTCCTCCGCCCTCCCCTGTCTCCCTCTTCTTCTTCCCCTATCTTCCTCCACAGTCACCTAGCTTCCTCCGCCCTATCCAGCCTCTGTCGTCTCTCAACTCCTCGTTAATCGGGACTAGTCGTCCCTCTGCCGTGGCAACACCACTCGTCGTCCACTGCATCGACCTCTCCTACGACTCCGTCAACTGCCCCGCTGGCGTCGTCCGCAGCAGATCCGACTGGCAGAGCTCATGCGCCATCCTCTCCATCAAAGTCGCCACTCAGGAGCAGCCTAGATCTGGAAGAGAAAATGGACTCGATTTCATAGATTCGGTCAACGGTCACAAGACTATTGACCTGGATTTGGTCCCGACCTACGGTACTACGACTGCCGTCGACTGCAGAAGGCGTTGACTATCACCGACCTCGCTCCAGCTCCGATGCACAGAGCGCAGCTCCGAATCGCATACCGGGGAGTCCCCGGTGCGTACTCCGAGGCCGTGGTGGCTTCTTGTCGACGATGAGCTCTCCAGACCTGGATCGAAGATTGGGGATTTGGATTGACGATGAGGGTTTGTTTCGTTACTTCCGATGGGTGAAAGAAAAGGGATTGGATTTTAGGTAGGGGCGACTCAGGCAATGGCAGTCTCGCCGCCACGCCTGCAGGACGGTGAGTGGATCCTCGTCGACGACTTCGTGTCTTTGCAGACGAAGGGGGAGATGGACAGATGAAAGAAGAAGGGGTTGAGGATAAGAATTGGGTGAATGGATGTGAGAGGAGGAGAGGGGTAATATTTGTTTTATTTTTTACGTTTTATGTTATTATTAACTTAATCAATTCCACAGGGATGCCATGTTCTCAATTCCACCTCAGTTTTTTTTTGCCAGGTCAGCATTGCAGAAAGACCTACTAACGGGTATTAACGAACAATTAACGATTGGATATTAATTTGTATATTGATAGTTGAGGATATAAATCCCCGATCCATAATAGTTATGGATATTATATTGTATTTGCCCTTTATTAATCAATAAGAGTGTCAATACAAAAGTTGTTCTTAGTTGCATTCTGGGATGGAACATACATTCTGTTTCAAAACTTTAGATACACAATAGTTAATTAATTGGAGCTATTTGTCAGAAGGGCCAGAGATCACCCCACAGAGATTTGCGTGCTTGGTGATGCAATGTCGGGTTCTTGCTCTTGGTCACGACTATGCGTTCATATGAGCCCTCTGTGCTCTCCTCGTTCACTGATCTGCAGACATCCAGAGTAACATGCTTGCCTCTTCGAACCGGCGAGAAAATGATCCTTCCCCAACCGCCCCCGAGGTCTGCCTCACTTGTTTCTGCTGCGTCTGTTTTTACCATCTCTTCTTGTTCCTGCCCTTCTTCATTATCATCTTCAATGCTGTCAGTTTCACTGAAATCAGAGTCATAAATGATGCGGTCTGCTCCTTTGTGTTTCCCATCATCAACGTCGTCGTCATCCTCTTCTTCGTATTCGTGCTGCTCCGCATATTCATCTGTGAATGTCATAGGAAGGATAAGAGTTCATAAGGAAAGGTTAGGCAGCTAAAAGAGTTGTCCAGAAGCATATATAATTACCAACCATAATCAATTTCCAGAACTTCTGCTGAACTTCTGTTTGCACGTTGTTCTTTCAGACTTTCTAATTTCACACCAGACAGCGGCCAAGTGTCCCTGCATTCTCAAAAATGCAACAAACCCGTTTTTTGATACCGTAACAACAATTCTGGTTCTGAATTCGTGCATAAGAGACAGAATTGATACTTTGCAGAATGGCAGAGAAATGCTACAGAATAATACTAACCGAGGTCTTTGTCCTCGTCTGAAAGCAACAAAAGAAAACTTCTCATCCTCGAAACCGCGCAATGGTCCACCACCCTTTGAGCTCTGCAAATATGGTTTTGTAGAGGACAGTAGCCATGAGATGGGATATTGCATTACATCAGTCATTTCATCCACTGGCAACAAAAAGGGTGTTGAACTGAATCCATGCTATACTCTGAAATGCTTGAACAAATATCTAAAACAAGGATTGGATGCAAAACTTATGTTTCTTCTGATTTAGTGAATGAGATCGAACCTTGTATACCCTTTGTGAGGTTGTTCTTTGCAAGCGCTGAACAAAATGACAGTATTTTCCAGATTTCTCCAAAGGGCACCGCCCTTCATGGGAACACTGCATTCACAATACATCCGATCAGCAAAGAACGCTCACACTCAACTGCTTCACTGTTTAGCTTAACTTTGAAGATAAATAAAGGACTGGTACTCACAGGGGCAACAATGAAAACACCATTGTTAATGGGAACCAAGTCGCTGCACGTCTCACTGCTTTTCTTTTGAGATTTACGGAGTTTCTGTATGTTTGCACAAAATCAGCCATCCATGCCACGATCAAATCAATGTGATCTCATACAAGCAAGCAATGATATCCACTTACCCTTTTCTCCATCCAAAGTATGTGAGATCGCATCTGAGATATGATGTTAGATCCATGTGGTGTGCCTGGTTCAATTAAAACCTGGTTCAAATTTCAGTTTTCAGACTAAAACAAATTCAACACGAAGGATAAATACACAAAAAAAATTAACCAAACAACCCCCCAAATGGTAAGGTTATGAAGGAATCTGCACATACCAAGACATCTCGGGTAAGATCCCAAAGCTGGCGCACTATAGTAATTCGATCTTTCATCGATGGTATCTCACCAAGCACATATGACTTCATACAAGAAGAAGAGTCAAGATTAGCACCACGGAACTTATACCAACTCCACAGCTACAGGGTGTGTATACAAGCAGAAGGACACTAAAAAAGCAAGTACGACTTACAGCAATCACGAGGTCATGCTCTCTCTCAGTCTTCTTGAGATTTTTACTTAGACCCTGAATGCTATCATAGCCATGAATAAGTGGTAAATCCTTCAATCCTACATCACGGAAAATAGACATAGGCAAGTGCTATAAGTTCATCAGAACATCTTTAGCTTCAACGTCCTATCCAATGTAAAACTACAAGTAATGAACAGCATTTCCACTGGTTAATAAACCTTGGATAAGGCTTCTGCCTGCACGCTGCATTGATTGAGACGGTTCCACTAAATTTACCTTCTTGATTGATTTTGGCCACACTTCTTTCATAGCCCTTTAACAACAACAGAAACCTAGCATTAAGAAACGACATACAAACTCAATAATTTCTAACAACATCAATGGAGGATTTCCACTCACCAGAATGCTGAACCAGTCCCAGCACCGAAATCCAACACCTTCGCCGGAGAAAAATCCGGCAACCTTTTCCCTACCTAAGTAAACATTTCAATTCCAATCAATCAATGAACTTCTTCAACTCCACCCTCCCCAAAAACACAATACAGAACATTTCATGAGAAACCAAGAAGATGGGATCATGATTATCCAAAGCCTACCTCGTTGAGAACGCGGAAGCAGGCAGAGAAAACGGCGGGCATTCGAGAAGCTACATAAGCGACGGTCTCGCTATCCGAGTACGTGAGCCCAATGTCTCCATAAGCGCTCCTGATTTTCCACCGCTGGGAGCTCTCCATCGACTTGAAGGGATCCTCGACCAGCTCCTTGGAAGTATTGGCGGAAAGCATGGAGTTGGCGTCCTTGATTTCGCTGAAGGACTGAGACAGCCTCAGCACTTTCTTCTTCATGTGCGGCTCCTCCAGCTCCTTGAGGTACCTTTTGATTGCCCGGCGGAGGCGGACGGAAACCACGAGGCATCCCTCCGATTGCTTGGCGGCGGAGCGTAGTGTTTCCGGAGTGAAGACCCGTTTGGTAGCTTCGGAAAGAAGGTTCGCCATTGTTTGTTGCCGGAGAAATGGGGGAGAACTGAGAAGAGACTCTGCAGCTCACTTTCTTTCCGGAGGTTTTAGGAGGATTCGTCTAATAGGGTTTTAGGCTCGAATTGAAACAAAAGCCCACACGAAGTATTGAGTTGGACTTTTAAAGTAGTTGGGCCTCGCTGATTATACGGATCACACGTATGGATTGGAACATGGCGGCCCGAATTTTCTTGTTGAGATTGAGCTCGAAATAGCCCTCCATAAGAATATTCCAACTACCATTCGACGACATTTAACCTCAATAGGATGGTTTATACAGGCTTCTAGGTAATAAAGCCAACTAATTGCACTTTTGCACCACTCCACCATTCTCTAATTTGGAAGTAGTTAGGAGAGAAATAGTCTCTTTTTGTGCTATAAGAATCATAGAATCCCATAATATTATGGCATGTCATTCATAGAAAGAAAGTTGGAACTTTCCATTGAACGAGTGCTTCTAATGGCTTATTCCCAAGCCATAGAGATCTTAGTAAACACTTGTTTGTCAATTATTGCAACAGAAAGACGACCAGCAGTCGAACTCTAGCCACCACTTCGGGAGTTGTGGTTCTTCTGAAACTCTCTTCCTATCACGAGTTGATAAATTTCGACATTTCGAATTATTAATCACCTCTACATTGGCTTTAAAATAACATATCTTTTAAGGGGAATGGATATTAATTTGGGCGCCTCAATGGTATATAACTCCTTGAAATAACATATCTTTCATTGTGTGGATTACAAGCAGAAGATAGTACCACACCACAGATTCGAATATTGAGATCAACAACCAAGGGGGGAAAATTGTGAGCTTCACACTTTGAAAGTTCAAAGCCCCATTTTCATTTCCAAACAAACCCACAGAACATCTAATGAGCTGACAATCAATGTGGGAAAATGAAAAAGACTCCTCAAGTTAGCTGGAACAGTAATAGGTGAAACCATAACCCTCCTTATCTGATTCAAACACCCACACCAGAAGACAGCAAGCAAGCACACAAAAGAGGGAAACACGAATAAGCTCCTCAGAGTAGGTTCCACCTTGTTCTCTACAGTTCCCCAGAAGCCAATCCATACTATACTGGAAAAGGAACATCTTGAATTCAGAAATTGGAACGACGAACGAATGAACACTCATCACCGGAGCTATTACCCCTTCTTCGTCCCATATCCCATTGCCAAGTAAAATATAGCAGTTTAGAGAAGACGAAGAAGAAAGGCTGTGAAACAAGGAAGAGAGACAACAGACTAAGGAGTAAACATGAACAAAAAACACACAAATGCAAACCAACCCCATGGCAAGCAACAAAACATGGCTACTATTAGGTTATAGGGGCTGCATTCATTGATAATGGGAAACAGAGCACCATAATAACTGCTCCAGGTCAAATGCCAGCTGATAAAGGGGTTCAAAACAGGAGGAGCATTTCCCCAAAATCTCAGATGAGGTAAAAATGTCCTGCAACTACCCTTCTCTTTTACACACACACAATAACTGGCAAAATCTGAAAAAGAAGTATGGAAACGAGAACTGGAGGGATAAACAACAATAATAAAACCCACTAATTAATGTGTCCACCAAGCCAATGTGATCCATGTGTCGAGTATCCAACAAACCCTGGACCCAGAATACACCAGTTTGGGTAGTAAAGGAAAGCAAGGTTAACCTGGAAACCTGGATGTTACAGAAGCACAGAAAGGGCCACTCCACTTTTTTGACTGCCTCCAAAAAACAATAAAATGCTCAGCAGGTTTATGTACTGACTTGAACAGAAATGAAATGGATATAAAACCCACACTAACCAGTAACTCCTACAAAAGATTCCAAAAACAACACCACTACTTCCAAAGAGAAGGAACATCTTATAAAAGAAGAAGCAAGGTGGAGGAGAACCAGGAGTTGCACCAGCAAAACAAACAAGAAGAAGCAGAGTTACAAAGAGTCAGGACATTCATGGAATTATCAGCTAGCCAAAGGAGAAAGTTAGCTTCTTCCTCAAAAAGGCAAATCAAAAGTCAGCCAAGGGATGGTGGTGGAGGTGGTGGGGTCGTGAAGGAGGCAAAGGGAAGGTTTTACATCATCCGTCGTTGCATTGTGATGCTGCTATGTTGGAAGGAGCATAAAGATAAGTGAGGGAAATAGAGAAAACTATGCGAACAGCAGGACTACGCAAATCCTTCTTACTCAGGCCATGTGTATGTCTTTTTTTTTTCAATCTATAAAAGGTAATAGCACCCAACAAGGGCTCAAGAGAGTCAGAGATAAGGAAAAGTTGTAATCAGATGTTAAAACAGCAATGAAATACAAGCAACACCAAAATCAGTTTTGTGCTACTACCTTCCTACTTTCCTTTTTATCAGAAACATATGCCATTTCCAGTTAAATTCATTGCTAAAACAAATCTAGGACAAGCAGATCAAAGATGAGTCGAGATAGTAGTTATCTTTCACAGAAGCTTGGCATATAACAACATTAGAAAATAAGTCAAGACGTCATGAGTTCAGAAATTAATCAAATTTCAGAATACCATCCTTCCTTATCCCTTCAAACCCTAAACCAGTAAACCCACACTTTTCCCAGCATCAAAGCTATTCTGCCTGGAGCAGGCAGGGTCAGATTGATTCCAAGACTCGAGGCAGAAAGAGGAGAAACTTTATATAACCACATGAATTCAAACCAAGATACAAGTTGTAAGACATTAATGCTCCATTCCAAATCCAACTCACTGTCACAGATGCTCTGATCCTTTTCACACTTGAGAAAAAGAAGAAGACAAAGTTCCTTCAGGCAATACCCAACACTTTGACCACATCCCCCAATATGGACTGAAATCTACATATCAGCATATCCATAACAGATTATCACTGACAGCCTAGCCAGCACTAAATGGTAGAGAGTTATCAACTGTTCACATCGCGGGTGCTACTAAGCTATGCTAGTTTCGATCATTTGTTTTGATAACTCGTCATGATTCAACCATATAAATAGATTGGACAGTAGCAACATCGATGACGCAGCTTCCCAAGCACGATGATGGAACATCAATGCATTGACAGCCATGTTCAGAAAATGCAGAAACATATGCGATATACTTGGCAAGGATAGCTAAACCATCCACTAGATACAATGAACAACAACAATTTTTAATGCAGTTTGGCCATACCCTCTTAAAAATGTAAACAACATTTTACACACAAAAACAACCTCAAGCGCCCAAATGTCAGGAACTGGATTCATATGAAATACAAAAAAAAAAAAACGAAAATCAAGCAATCACAACAGTTGGCTTTCCGATTGAACATCAAAAGTAAGATCATCCGAATTACAGGGTGGGAGAGAGAACAGGGAACAACCAATTGAAAGGGATTTTGAGAAGAGGATAAATGCTAAGCAGTACCGAGGTCAGGTCCGGCCGACAAGGGGGGAAATCAATCAATCAAACCGGGAGCTCGTCGGTGGTGTCGCGGGAGGCCGTTGACAACATTCTGAGAGGGCGGACGTCGGCTTCATCGTCATCATCGTCGTGATCGGCGGTTTGGATATTGACGCAGGAGAAGCGCTCCAGGGAGGAGAAGAAGGCGGAGATCACAGTCGTGCTAACCCAGCTGGCCATCTGGTTTATGCTATCCACCGAGACGATGCTCGCGTTGTTGTTGGCTTCGTTGTTTTCCATTGGATGGATCGAAGGAATTGAAGGACCAAATTGAGGGATTGGAAGATTGCTGAGGGGCGGGAATTTGGAAACCCTAATCGCGGGAGAGGAAGGGAGAAGGGGGGCGAAATTGGGAAAGAGGTTTCAGTTGGGACGTCCGGAATTTGGTGGTGAAGTGCTAAAAATTAATTCCTTTGACCGGTCCCGTGTAATTTGATGTCCGTTATTTCTAAACCATAATAATTAATTAATCCTTTTATTAGCTATTATTTGTTCATTGCAAGTTCAAATTTAACAAAAGTTCTCCCCTCCTTTATCCAAATAAACTTATTCAATTTCTTAAAAAAAAAAAAAAACTTATTCACCACTAGTGTAAATAATTAAACTTATTCCGCAGTTGGACTCGTGTAAATTGTTATTGTCAAATTATTAGTACAATAATGGTTCAACCTGTCTGTTTAGATGACTCAAAGTGGATCAAAAAGTTTTAAAATTCAACATGAAATCTCATAAATCATCACGATTTGATTGGTTCGCTAGTCACTGTTTTAACAAACTAATAATAATAATAATTTAACATCAATTAAAATCATCCAATCTGAATTACTAATTTTATTTATGTTTTTTCTTCTTCATTTCTCAACCTCCTTATCAACTTCGTATGGTCCACTGTGCTTTCTTTTTGCATTTCTCAACCTCCTTATCAACTTCATGTGGTCCACCCCCAATTGTCACCATAATTAGTAATTACTAACTTGAATATAACATATTTATTATGATTTTTTTTTTGTGATACAATGTGAATGATTTGATAAATTTGATCATAAATTAGTGTAGTATGTCTTTTATGATATATCATGTCATTATTTTTTTCATTATGAGGAGGCCAAATGCCAAGAACGCAGAGGGTTACAGGGGAAGGAATTAAACAGAGGGGTCAAAAGGGGGAGGAAGCAACAACTTGTCGCTCGAAAGTAACAACCATCATATCGTCTGTAAGAATCTGAGCTAAGCCTGATGGTGGGTTTGCAAGCTCATATACATCGTAGGGATAAACGAGACTATGCTTCGAGAGCCAGTCCTGAATCCGCGACTCTATTCCCTTCTCGATATATATGAGTAATGCTCACCAACCACTCCTAGCTCAATTTCCTACGGATACTTGAGAAAAGCATCGCGTGCAGGTGGATCGGGTCATGTCTGGTACTGATAAGTTGGGTGACCATTATCGAATCTGTCTCTACTCGGAGAGTCTGGCACCCTGTCTTCCAAGCTAAATCCAAACCATAAGCGAGTGCCCATAGTTCAGCCAGAAGTGCAGTCTTCGTGCCGATATTGGCAACAAAACCTGCTACCCAATGACCCGTGGAGTCGCGGAGAACACCCCAGGTGCCTGCCAACCCGGGTTTCCATTAGAGGCACCATCAATGTTAAGTTTCATCCATCTTTCAGCCGGCGGGGACCATCCGATATTAGCCCAGACCCGTTGCGGCGCCTGGTTTCTGTTGTTGGAAATAGGATCAGGGGCCCGCCACGCTAGGTTCCACAATTTGGTACGTGCCACGATCAAGTTCTCGAGGGAAGGCGCTGACAGCGCTGCGTTGGTTCCCTTGAAGCAGGCCGTCGTTCGATTCTTCTACAAGCACCAAGAGGCTGTCATTATTCTATCAACAATTAACCAATAATTTTATAACGAATTAACTTCTGAATCATAAATCACTGACTTACTTTGTAAACATGGCCCATGCCCCATGACTATGTGGGACAGTGCATTAAACTAGATATAGATAAACGGGGAAATGCATGCAATCGAGTTCAGTGATCGTATGCAAAAAGGAACAAGCCAAGTACACGACAATGAGTTCATTAGCAAGATATTGTCGAGCCAAGCTATGGGTGCACATAATATCCTTCCATTCATTTTCCCATCCAACTAGAACATTAGCATTTGCTTTTATTTCATCTTTCATTAATACATGAAATGGTAACTTTCGAGCATACATTATAGTGATTATTACTTTATTACTATTTTACTATATTAAATAACAAGCAACTTTTTTACTATTTTTTAGAGTCAAATCTAAGGAGTAGCACTTTTTTACTATTCCTTAGAGTCACTTCCAAGGAGTAGCACTTTTGTAATTTTGCTCATCTCATTTGTAATTAATCATAAGTTTATGGACTTTTTAGGTTATTGTAATTTTCACTACACTAATTAATCATACTTGCTAGAAACTAGGATCATGTATTTGATGTCTCGATGAGAAACACCACTGTTACAATGACTTCAACATTTGTATTAGTTGCCCTTTGCAGAGTGATAATGAAGGGATTTTGGTATTTTGCATCGGTATGTTTTTTTGTTGCCTATAATATCCAGATTTTTCATTTTCTCTAATGATGCTTATTGATTTCCCTCTTCTGTTGTTTTCAATTGGTTACTACGATTCAGATCCATGGGCGGGTCATCCGAACCCATGGATCCTTGAGTCACCCTGTAATGTCAAAAATTGTACAACACTTTCACTTTCTATGTGAGTTGCCTCTATTTCTTTCTCCTTTCCTCTAATTCACAAACCCAACTCGGATCAAGTCATTTCGGAGAGGGTCCGTTGAGCTCCCTTTTCTATAATGGCAAGCGCTGCTAGGGTAAGACGACATCACCAGTTGTTGAGAGGGAACCGGCGGGTCATGGAAAAAGATGAAGTTTTTTTTACGCACTTTGCATCGATATGTTCTTTTGATCCCTATAAACTAGAATTTCATTTTTCCTAATGAAGCTAATTGCGGTTGACATTCTTCACCTATGTACTTTGTATTGTTGTGTACACTGTAGTTTGTTTGCTCATATATATATTTTTACATTCCACCAGATTATTCTACAAATTGCATGCTTAATGTGAATTCGGATGTCGTAAATTAAAAGTCATTACGAACCATGAAGCAAACCTTGCCCTTGTTTGTCTGGCACCTAAAGAGTTTGAATCGTTGTTGCAACAGAAGCAAAAACAATGCCTCAGAGATCGATGCGACAGAAAATTTGTGGCAAGAAATATACATTGCGAGCCCACACTATGATGAACCACACATTCACATCTTCGCAATCTAGCACACACAAACTTTTAAACCACTGCTATGTTGTTAGTCTAAACTAGCTACCCCTTTACTCACTTTTGATCGTGAGGCCTTGCCATGTGTACCATATGGTGTATAGACTCTCAGCTTCTACTAATGCTACATTTATCTCTATCCATCAATCTTGTCTTTTGGGTTCCAATTGTCTTCTTTAATTCAAGAACGAAGAATATGTTAACAGTTTGTCGTTTGATCAATATTCATGTTGCAATAATTTCACACCCCACCGAGTAGCGCGAGCTTCCGTTCTAATATACTTAATTAACAAAGTTTGGATGCAAATAATGGATGGAATGGTATCGACACTATTGAAAATGGATAGCTGAAGGTACACAAGTTGTTACAAATCTGTAAGATTGTCAACCCGCGGATTGACCCAGATTGACCCGGAGGCGGAACCGCCTATAAAAACGGGTTACAACCACCCATTTGAGTGTCAGCCCGGATTTGGTCAAACCATGTGCAACCCGGGTGGTTGGCCCGTTGGAGCAAGTCAGCAGGCTTCTCCTCGTGGGGCATCGTTTTTTGTTGTGCCTCTGGGTGCGGCGTCGTTCTCTTGGCTGAGATTTCACTTGGAGACTGCAGCAACGAGCATAGCACTGGAAATTGAAACCCTAAATCAATTTTGGCCTCTGGAAACGAATAGGCGACCTCTGTTTCATCTACCACTCTAGTGCTCGCGTTCGTCGGGTGGCGTCGTCGTCATGGTGGCCAAAGAGTGGCACGAAGCGACTATATGGGAAGGATTGGTGGTAGTGAAAGTCACCGGGGAGATAAGGAGACCGATGGACTTGAAAGAGATGAAAGGCGGTGGTGAGTTTCATCATTCGTGGCGGTGTCGGTGGAGGTTCGGGAGAGAGTTTGTGAATTGGGCGGTGGGTGCAAAAGAGATGGGAAGGCCGGGGCGGCGGGGAGGGGGACTGAACGGTACCCACCTGCAAGGGTTTCCAATTAATTGTAAAAATTTGGGGATGGTTTTGTTCGTTTATGCAAAATCATATTGAAAGAATTATTATTAGCTTTTTGATTATGCTTTGATTTTTCTTTTCTCATCATTTTAAGTTTTATTAAATTTTTATTATGTTGGATTTAAGTTTATGTTATATGATGAATTTAAGTGTATTGAATTTTAACTGGTGTTAAATTTTTAATATGCTGAATTTAGGACAAGTACAATATAGTGACCATTTCTATATATCCGTGCTAATCCGAACTAAAACGGGTGACCCATTAACCCATTACCCACTAGCTCGATCGAGTCCGGATCGACCCGCGGGTTGACAACCTTGCAAATCTGAGTTCATGAGCACGTTTGTTAACTACACATAGTTCAGGGTTAACAAAATAATTAAACCCTTCCCTAAATTAACAAAAGAAGTGTCTCCAACGTAGCCTATCGAATTGGTGGTTTACTACTCTGAACCAAAAAATCATAGCTTCGACCATACAATGCTCGTAATTCCTCGTACCTTGGAATTGGAGCGGGCCAACAGGAGGCCTTAGCCTGGAACAAGCGCCAAGGAGGCAAAACCGGCCATTCTTCAGCAATGACCTCTAGGTCTCTCCCTGTGCTCAAATTACGTGACATAATAACACATTTATCGCTAATATAATTGTAAAAGACAATTTCCGACTTCTTTGAATGCAGACAATGAAACAGAATGCCCACAAGTCCGTACTTCATACTCGAGGTCCTCAGACACCCTTCACACAGTTTCTTCCAAGATCTACGATTTTCTTCCAGTCTCCAAACACTAGTTACACACCTTGACCGATCTACAGTAGATTTGTTCTCCTCTTTGAATTTGAAACCGAAAAAAACCTTCTTCGACTTCCTCGAAACGGGAGAAACACCAATGTACATGGGAGGTATATCAAGCCGGCAAGGATTGAACACGGCAATCGAATAGGGATTGAATTTCAACGCACTATCTTGAGCACTCAGATCACCCTAAGCAACTCTCCACTGCAGGATATGACATTTTTCAGTACTTTCTTGTCACGACCATCAAGAACCAGCGCCTCCTTGGTCCATTCTCCGGACTCTGAACGGAACACGTCTAGTTTCGTCGATTCGCATCTTGATATACACACACCACCAGTGGCGGATTCAGAAAATTTTCACAGGGGTGTCCTCTTCAAAAGTTAAATTTAATTAAATAATAAATTAAATAATTTGTATATTAAAAATATCATACTTGTATAATTTTTTATTAAAATTCATGATGTGTTTCCATATTTTGAAAAAATAATATAAAAAACTTCGTGTCTGCACTGTTCAAAAAAAAAATCTACATATCCTACTAGACAATACTTCACGAACATATCACATATTCGATTTCTAACCTTGTTCTTAATGTAACCATAAAATCAATTCAAAATTAAGGGTAGCGTGTACATAGTTTAATTATTAGCTATTGAAAATAGTTGGGGATAAAAAAATAGTGTTTTACTGTTGCATGATGTTTAAAATAGATTAACAAATGAGTAGCAACATAATTAGAATATGTTTGATAATAGTAGTGTCCTAGGTTGGAATAACACGGACTACCACTTATATTTCTTAATCATAAGCAAACTATTATCGAGGGTAGGATAATCATTTTTTCAAATGTTAGGGTGTCTCGGATTACCAATTATATTTTGTATATCCATACGAAACTACTACCGAAGGTTTGATAATCGTTTTCCCAAATTTTAGTGGTGTCCCGGGACACCCCTACAAGCCCATGTATCCGCCCCTGCACACCACATAGAACCGGTACTTGGAAGAAACAGTCACCTGATCGTCTCCTCCTAGATTGAGGGTATGAGAAACAAGGGGTTCACAAATTAACCTCACAGTCAGTTTTCAATACCCAACGGCCTTTCAGGCGCCAGAGGCAGAGGGATCCGTTGCTTCGTAAACGGATGATTGCGGAGCAAGTACAATGTTCAAAATTCCTCCTTAATTGAATCCGCGAATAAGTCACCAAACCCGCTTAAGAGCAAGTGGTTGTAGGAGTCCAGAACCCGAATGCTCGCATGTTTGGATATGCTACATTTGCATCATAATTTGGAACTAAGTGAGATTGTTAGGGATTGGACTAAGAATACGGGGATGGTGAGGACCAAAATCGGATAAAAAACACGTTTAATGTGGTTTAGATCACTTATTACTTTAATTTGAAGATGATTATTGGATTGAATTCAAAACAAAAAATTTAAATTTGGCAATTTAAAGGCAAATCAAAATTATCATTGAGCCACAGTGACATTACATAATCCAACCAAAAAAGGCGAATCATGACCAAATTGTCCAACCAACCAACAGTATGTGGTTTAAGAAAGAAAAAAATGAGATGGGCCGCGTCACTTACTCAATTGGGCCCGGCCCCAGAAAAGCGCAAACAACTCGGCCCAGGGGCCTTCGGAAATCTAGTACGGAACATTTAATCCGAGCGGAAGCCCACTGAGTTTACCTTCACCTTGTCCTCTTCGGATACGTACGATGTCTTTTGATTTATGTTTTATGTCTTCCTGTTCTTTCCAAAACTCATCTATACCACCAATAAAAACTCTAGGTCTAGGGATTTCGATCTCTTGGCTGCTCTCCAACCTTCCCAAGCTCACCGCATACTTTCTCAGCCGGCGGCGTCAACCTCCGTCCATCCGGGCATATCTCTACCCCCCATGGCGACCGGGAACTGCCCCTTACCTTGGGATTCGTTGTCCAGAAAACGACGCCGGGCAGATGTCGTAAACCCTCCTCCTCCTCCCATCAGCAAACTCGGCGACGATCTCCTCATAGAAATCCTGATTCGCGGCCTCACGGATCTCAGATCCGCCTGCCTGAGCAAACCCGTCTGCAAGCAGTGGAACTCCCTCATCTCCAGCCCCGCCTTCAATCGCCGTTTCGTGTCTCACCACGAAGAGCCGCCTCTGCTTCTCCCCTCGCACGACCCTCAATCGATCATCCTGAGCTTTCTCCCCGTGCCTGCCGAGCCTCGACAGGATTTCAGGGTTCTGGACTCCTGCAACGACTTGCTCTTATGCGGGTTTGGTGACGTATACCAATATCAAATTGAAGAGGAATTCCGCAGACTGTACTTGCTCTGCAATCCGTTTACGAAGCAATGGATCGCCCTGCCTCTGGCGCCCGAAAGGCCGATTGGGTATTTGAAACTGGCTGCCAGGTTAGTTTGTGAACCCCTTGTTTCTCATAACCTAGATCTAGGAGGCGATGATCAGGTCACTGTTTGTTCCGAGTACCGGTTTCGCGTGGTATGTGTGTATCAAGATGCGAATTCGACGAAACTAGACGTGTTCTGTTCAGAGTCCGGAGAATGGACCAAGGAGGCGCTGGTTCTCGATGGCCATGTGAAGAAACCACTGATAAATGCCGTCTCCTGCAATGGAGAGTTGTTTTGGGTGGACTCGAGTGCTCGAAATGGCTGTGATTTGAATCCCCATTCAATTGTGGCGTTCAATCCTTTCCGCCTCGATATACCTCCCACTTACATTGACGCTTCTCCCGTTTTTGGGATGTTGAGGTGGGATCTTTCAGTTTTTGGGATGTTGAGGTGGGATTTTTCAGTTTCACGTGGTGCTCTACACTTGGTCACATTCGAAGAGGAGAAATCTACTTTTGATCGGTCTAGGTTTGTAGCCAGCGTTTGGAGACTCGAAAAAGATCGTAAATCGTGGAAGAAACTGTGTGAAGGGTGTGTGAGGACCTCGAGTTCAAAGTACGGACTTGCGGGCATTCAGTTTCATTGTCTGCATCCAGAGAAGTCGGAAATTGTCTTCTACAATCATATTAGCGATATATGTGTCGTTATGTCCTGCGATTTGAGCACCGGGAGAGACCTAGAGGTCATTACTGAAGAATCGCCGGTTCTGCCTCCTTGGCGCTTGTTCCAGGCTAGGAGGGCCTCCTGTTGGCCCTCTCCAATTCCAAAGTATGAGGAATTACGAGCATTATATGGTCGAAGCTACGACTTTTTGGTTCAGAGTAGTAAACCACCAATCCCAGAGGCTACGCTGGATACACTTCTTTCTTGGGTGGATTTATAGACGGGTTTGTTGCTTTTTTACCCTTGAACTATATGTTTTGTTAACAAATGTGCTCATGAACTAATAATAAGATTTGTAACAACTTGTGGACCCTTCAGCTATCTATTTTCAATAATGTCGATAAGCCTTGCATCCAACTTTGTTACTTATGTGTACCATTAATGAATGCTCGAAAGTTTCTTGTAAATGAAAAATGAAATTAAAGCAAATGCTAATATTCTAGTTGGATGGGAAAATGAATGGAAGGGTATTATGTGTACGTGTACCATAGCTTGGCTCGACAATTGCTCGTCACTAAAGCCATCCGGTGTTACGCATGGCCGATGACAAATTTTCATCTACGAGTAATTTTATCGAAATTTAAGTAAACTCATTGACAATGATTAGAGTATAGTAGCACATCAACATATTTTAGCTGCTTAGGCATTTAGATAAAGAGTGTCCCTTTGTGAGACAGTAAATCTAAATAATATATATAGTATTGGATCTTGCACCAGCCCACTTATATGGGTCCGAATCTCGTCAGTATCTCTATAGTGAGTAACATTGGATAACCTTATCATCAACACCCTCTGCCAATTATATTTCCCGCTCAGGTCGCTGGATCATTATTACCCTTGGCTTGATCAAGGGGAAGCTATAATTCATGGTGCAAATGCAAGTAGAAGAGGTTAGGGCGAAAACAAAGGTGGTCAAAGAACTCGGGCTTGAAATCGGGAACACGGAACACAAAGAAATCCAACAGGAGTAAAAGCTGAGTTTGGAAGGCTGAAAACTGCGCTCCCGTACGATTCATGGGCGGTGGCGTGTGTAAGCAGTTGTGAAAAGGTAGTGCAAGCACTGTGTTTTTTTTACAATTAATCCAACTTTTATTTCACCTTCGAACAAAGTATGCAAATTACATTATCAGAAATTAAATCAAGAATATTAATCCAGTCATCAGACAGATTAGATCTCGCTTTTGATCGTGCCACCCAATCCGCTCTGACATTCAATGCTCGTGGCACCTCTTTGACTTTAATGCCAGGATTTATCCTAAGGATACTAATCATCGAACCAATCCATGTTGCACAGCGCTATGGCCATCCTGATTTCTCTTTATCCAATGCTTTCACCAGCACCTGACAGTCAGATTGGACAATGCATTCTGATCCATATTCTTGTGCTAATTTTAAACCTTCTAAGAGAGCCTTTGCTTCCGCTTCAATCGGGGTGGAACAAAACAGAGTCTCAGCTCGCCCATCACACACTTGTCCATGGTGGTTAACCGCAACAACACCATAAGCCGCCGACTGGGAGTCGCTAAAGAACGACCCATCACAGTGAATCTCCATAGGATGATTACTTGGCGGGGAAGTCGTAGTGGAATGGGTTCCCCCTGAGCTGAGTCGAGGAGGCAGGAGTAGGGGGATTAAGCCTCGGGCAAGATATCCATTTAGAGAGTTCTCCGTAAGTTTGCAGACCGACGTTCGGGGGCCAAGGAACTCTATTCTTGAACGTACATTCATTCCTTGCCTTCCATATATTCCAGTAAAGGAAAACGATATGGATAAGTGATTATTGTGAAATGGTCTCCTTAATAGCACAAATCCAATCAAAGAACGAAGAGTCCTGGGGTGGGAGAGGGAGAGAAGGAAAGACGTTGCTCCAAGCTTCACTGGCATGAGGGCGGTAGAAAAGGCAATGCAAAATGGACTCGTTTGAGCTATTGCAAACTTGACAGTTCGGGTTTGGGGCACATTTCCGATGAAAAAGTCTCGCTTTAGTCGCCAACCCATTCCTGGAGCACCTCCAGATGAAGAACTTAAGCATAGGAGGGAGGTTCAGACCCCAAATCCATTTCCATTTGTCCACTGTTCCCATCGGTTTGAAGTAAGTGTTCGCTTTGTGAAAAGCGTGGTAAGCCGTCTTACATTCCTTCTTTAGTAAGCTTCCAAACCCAAAAATCATCGGCTCCTTCCTCCCCAATCGGAACTCTCAAAATAGCATCAAATTCCTCTTTAGAAACGTGGCCTCTAATAGTGTCCGAGATCCAAACTCTATTATCTTGATCAAACTCTATTATCTTGGAAGTTGGGAGAAACACACTGAAGAGGACAGGTGACTGTTTTGAGGCATGGTCGTGAAGAACTGAGCTAGTAGCTACAGAGAAAGCATGGTAGGTTGATGCGGCAGAGATGGAGAGCCTTCCTGTGTGGGGCACCAACGTAGGGTTGGCAAAAAGCCTGGAATTGGGAAGCTCTTTGAGCCGTGGATAAAACGTAACCACCGAAAAAAGAATTCCTAATGTATCATGATTCATGACAGTTAATACTTGGATAAAATGACAGTCAAATGCCTATCTTTTCTGAAGCAGCAAAAATTTCATACAACCCCACCACAGCTCAGGAACACGGCCGAGGGTGTAATGCGATGCAGAAAAATCTGCAGTCACTGGATTTTGGGTTCTGAAGGAGCTAGTAGAGCATAATCCTCCTCCAGCTCACGTTCTAGTTGCTCTTCCAAGAACGGGAGGCTACCTGGATTCTGCTCTTCCAGCACAAGATTTAGCCGTGTTTGCGCAGGGTAGTTGTCTAAGATGTATTCGATTGCATCGTGTCACGGACATAGACATTTCGGGTAGTGACAATCCCCACTGATCTCCTTACGGTTAAGCAGAACCTGCAAAATCGAAATAAAAGAAAACCCACCATTTTCTTTACTACCCAGGACCAAGCAATAATGCCAGCTTCCAAGATCGGTTTCACTAAACGGCCTCAGGTAGCTAATTAGACCCACCTGTACCTTAACGGGATGGTGGCGCCTCAGCAGTGAAATTGTCCTGGCACACATATATCAACTCCTCGGTCCTCTGAGCAACTTGATCATCCAAATTGAAGTTGATAGGGCGTTCGATCAGGTCATAGTCATCATAAAGTGAACCTTCAAAGTCACAATCGTGGTACCACGAATCTGGATTTCTTTCTCCATGCTGGCGGTTCTCCATGGATCACCATCGGGTTTTCCAAGTTCCATCTGTTGGTTGGTATATATAAATGAAGGGTAATAAGTAGGAATGAAGGACAGAAGAGTTGGAGAAATGAGAGGAGTTGGGGGTAGAGATAACACTAACATGGACATGATCTTGCGAGCTAGCCAGCAGGATGCATCTGCAAGGTAAGAAACAGATGTCCTTGATGTATCTCTGCCATAAATGACCTCTTCGGCTGCCCTTCCCCCAAGAAGCACCTTCGCATTTTTAACCAAATCTTGTTAAATGGCAAGAAAAAGAACCATGACAGTTGAAGTAAACGAGATAATATCAGTATGGAACTAGGCGAAAGAAATTTGAATCTCAGACCTGGAGTCTGTGCAGCAATTGTGGCCGCCGTTCAAATATGTATGCTTCATCATCAAGCCTATGAAACACAATTTGTGATAATGTCTGCATTTACCATGCAAAAGGGTTTGGAACACAAGTTAGAGTATGAAACACGCAGAGCATATAAGGGCTACAAGAGCTAAAACAAAAAGATTCAAGAAGAGAAATGACCTGACCACGGGGGACAACTGAAATAAGATCACAGAATTCAACTTGTGCATGCTCATATCGCCTGAGCAAATGAGCAGTTATTGCAACACCGACTTCAGTGGTAGCTCTACGGCATTCACCCTGATGATCCAAATCTATTCCAACACGCTTTGCTCCAACAGCAAGTCAATTGACTACTTCGTCCATGTCTGGTTGGATAACTGATGTATGGCCTTGTCTGACTGCTACCAGAGCTGCCTCTTGTGCCAGCTGAGCTAGCTTCGCTCCCACTCCACCCTGCAATGGACCAACATATGATAAGATATCTCTCACTCTGAAAAATCAACTATGTACAAACCCCAAGAGAAAAAGGAAAAGAACCTACCAGGTGAATTCTTGGCATAAGTAGTCAAAATTTCCAATCTCCCTTTAGAATTTGGAGGACGAACTTTTATCTAAAAAGGATGCCAGAGTTAGTTACAAGTTGATGACACGGTTGATAAAATAATAAAAGAAAATACACTTCACTAGATGAGAAAGAATAGTCAACATCTCGAATTATCTCCATATGATATTCGATTCCATTGCTTGCAAAAATGGCTGTTGAAATCAATAGTCTAATAATACCAATACTGCTAATACAGAAACTGTGTGCTAAAAAATCCATCACACACGACAAGGAGGTTATATGCTGAGTTGAACTTAACATGGTATTATAGTGCATGTGTATGATTTCCACAGAGGCAAAAACAAAACCTGCCACTTAACCAAATAAGTCAAAGAAGCACTCTTACCTAGTTGCCAAAGCATCAATTTCATCAATGAATATAACCGAGGGTTTATTTACCTGCAAAAGGTCCAAGAAAAAATTACTAGCAGAAATGGACCACAATCACGGACATTTTATGGAAAATAAAGATTTTGCAATTGATAAAGTAAAGCTAGTAACATGCTTCCAACAACGCAGACATGATATTTAATCGATCCCTGTGACTGTGAGGCAATAAAGCATTTGGTTCTCCCAAAGCATCAACAAGCGTAGAAACAAGAAACTCTAAGTGGAGGAAATTGGAGTCTTGGTATTCCACGTCAAACAATCTAAAGAACGAAACAGAAAATAAGAACAAGTTCTCATAGAACTTATCAGTCAAATGGGCAAAGTAATCACCTTGGCTCTCTTAAAAAGATCTCTGATTCGAGCAGAACCAACACCAGCTAAAACTTCAACAAATTCAGATCCAGCCATTTGGTAAAACGGAACACCAGGTTCACCAGCAATAGCCTTGGTAACTAGAGTCTGAAATGGCATTGAATGAACTCACACTGTAAAACCTCGACATGCAGTAAAACTTCTTGTTTTGGTTGACAAATAAGACTAACCTTTCCACATCCTGGAGGACCATCTAAAAGCACACCATCTGGAGTCTTGATGCCCATTTTATCAAAAAGTTCTGGGTTCTTCAAGTACCTTACCAACTAACAGACCAAATGAGGAAGAACCAATGAAGCTTTCATGGAGTTAGGTTTGAATCGCCCACTTAAAATTTAATAGCTTGTTACTGAGGCACTTGAACTATAATTTGGTGACTGAATGAAATTTCAAGTTCCAAATATAAGTTCTATGCCAGCATTTCTGGTGGCATAAAAATAAGGACAACAATGACATGAAATCGACCAATAGAAAAACAATTGAGGATGGCAAACCTCCCATATCCAAATATAAGTTCTATGCCAGTATTTCTGGTGGCATAAAATAAGGACAACAATGTCGTGAAATTCACCAATAGAGAAACAATTGAGGATGGAAAATCTCCCAATCCAAAGAATTGCCCTAAAGGACAGCTCCCATCAACGAAAGGCAAAGTGAAGGTTTTCGGAGCCTATGCGTGACAGGTATCTAGATAATATGTGCCACAACACCTGCAATTGCTTCAACACTCCAGTTAGCCTTGCATTCAGAAAGTTCTTGCGCTGTGTAGATGTGAAAAAACACAGGTTAGAGAAGGGCACTCATAAGCTGAACAGGTGCTTAAGAATTCCGCATACCATTCTCCTTAGAAGCAATCCCCTAAACACTAACCTGTGTACATGAGCTGCAGGGAGAGGTTAAACATTATATCTTCTATCAAACTTTCACTGATATATACCTTGTCAGTGGAAGAAACAAGTTTAATGCGGAGAAGACAAAGGGTATTCAATGTTCTTCCCTAGTTATGGTTCATATGCGTAACTATCTTCTATTTGCTAACCCACTTCAAAGTTGTCAGACAGATGCAAAGCAAGATCAGAGATACTTTTGGAGCAAGGTTTACCTAGCACCTTTTCTTCAGTTATGCTGTCTCATAGGTAGCTACCTATCGATATATTGTATAATCGAGTATAACAGAAACAAAGAATTAGGACACATGGTGGCATGATTGAAAACTTAAAAATTCTTAACCAGTAGATAGGCAAATAATGGCGTTGAGTTGCACAGTCTTCTCCCATTCTGAAAGAAAAGTCGAGAGAAGTGGCACCAAAGTTACCAGAGAAAGTTTCTATATTGAAAGAACATGGTTACCAAAAGAAGAGCATTCTATTTTCCTGACTCATTCGCATAGTTAGACCAATTCATAGAAAAGATTTATTTGGTAGAATACCGGAACAAACCTTTCATCATTGCAGGAGAAAATACCATGACTATCAAATGTATATTAGGCAAAAATGACCTCCTTGTCAATACCCAAATCTTCTTCCCCCCCCAGTAATCCTTGTTTCATATTAGCTCATCCTTGGCCAAATGTAGCCAGGATCCTCGAAGAAACAGACTGCATAAGCAGTTGCATCAACAGAACTGCCATACAACTATACAGAGTAACTAAAGCTACAACTACCATTCTCAAACATTTGTATAACAGCAGCACGTATCTAGCAATGACTTTGCAAGGCAAACATTCATTGTGACAAATTGAAAAGTTATCCTCTATTTAGCAGTTCTGGTACTACTTAAGCACCTTCCCTTGTGGGACTATATCTCCACACTAAGTCCCTTTTAACCAGCCTTGGCAAATTGCTTCAAAATGCAGAAAGTAGAAAATGCAAAGAAACTATACTCACGTTATTTCTAGGATAACAGAGCTTCAGCCTAAGAAAAGGAAACCATCCTCCTGCCTGTTTCCTACCTCTCTCTAAACTGTTTTCAGGCTTGCTTCGTTATTCTTCTTCGCCATCCCATCTTCATAAGCCATCTTATAGTTTCCAAGTCTTTGCTGCATCTTCTTCAGAAAACCATCTGCTTCACGGGAATCTAAGGCCAGCTTGCCATGCTCTTGGATGAGAGCCATGGAGCTATTTCCAGTCTTCAGCGTACAAGCCATAAGAATCAAATTTGCAGTCTGGACACTCTTATCTCCTTTAAGCTTCTTCTCCAGCCAGGTCATCTCTGATTCAATAGCGAGAAGCCTTATGCTCCATTGTGCAGGAGCATCACGGAGTTTATCCATCTCCTCCATTCCCGGAAGGATTCCAACCAGCCTCATCGGTGGTGGTGGCAGCTGCTGTCCAGCAGAGGAAGAGGGGAGGTCTGGTGTAACTGATTGCCCAATTCCCTTTTGCTTCTCATGGTATGCCTTCTCATAGTTATTCTGAGCGGATACATGACGTGCCTTCTTGCTAAGAAGAAGTCGCTGAACTTGTTTAGCTTTATCACTCAAAAGCACGTGCCTTCTTGCTAAGAAGAAGTCGCTGAACTTGTTTAGCTTTATCACTCAAAAGCGTATTTGCTTCTCCACCCCGGTTTGTTGCCAAATCCATCTCAGTTATCAGGGATGTGGATTGCTTCTCAAAATCTGCAATCTCAGTTTCCAGGCTTGTTTTATACATCCCATACCATTCACAAGTCCCTCCAATCCAAGATGAGCCGCTGGCGGGATTTCCTTCAGCAAGGCAGCAGCCTCCTTCCCCTTCACTTCCAAGAGACTTCTTCTGCTCTCTATCTCAGAGAGAAGTTTGTCCGTGTCAGATTCGACGGTCAGTTTATTGATCGATCGCGAAAGGGCAAGGAAGGAAACTAGGGTTCGATTTCTCAAGAACTGAACACTCTCTCGGAGGCTGGCCATGGAAACCGACGGCGGCGGCAATAAGCGGAATACGAACTCCGATCACTCCTCCGGAGCACTGGGAATAGAAACTCACGGCGGGCAGTCTTCCGGAGGACTGCCAATGCAAACTGGCGGGGGCGATAAACGGAAGACTAATCCGGATCTCTCCGCCGGAGGTTTGCAACCAAAGAAGGTGAAGACCGCTCCCTCTCCAGCGTCAGATAGCCCATTGAACCCGCGGCCAAGCATGGTCGACCTTCTGCTAGGATTGGCTTGGCCCGAACTCCCTCAGGCTCTTCCCCAACTGCAAGCCCTCCTCCTCCTCTTACCGAGTTTTCGCAATTCTCATCGTTGGTTGATCTGGATCTTAGCCCAGTTATTAATACCCTGGTCGATAACCTTCTGACCGTCGAATCTGACACGGATAAACTCCTCTCTGAGATAGAGAGCAGAAGAAGTCTCTTGGAAGTGAAGGGGGAGGAGGCTGCTGCCTTGCTGAAGGAATCCCGCCAGCGGCTCATCTTGGATTGGAGGGACTTGTGAATGGTATGGGGATGTATAAAACAAGCCTCGAAATTGAGATTGCAGATCTTGAGAAGCAATCCACATCCCTGGGTAACGGAGATGGGTTTGGCAACAAACCCGGATTGAGAAACAAATACGCTTTTGAGTGATAAACCTAAATAAGTTCAGCGGCTTCTTCTTAGCAAGAAGGCATGCCTTGTATTCGCTCAGAATAACTATGAGAAGGCATACCATGCGAAGCAAAAGGGAATTGGGCAATCAGCTACACCAGGCCTCCCCTCTTCCTCTTGGCCAAGAAGAAAACATACAATATCAATATTCATAAGGAGATTCAGGAGAAGATTCAGCATGTTGATGGAAATTCAAGGATAAAGGCATTGGAGTTATTATTTCCAAACTTAAAGACAAGGTTGAGAATCTAGACTGCAAATTTGATTCATATGGCTTGTACGCTGAAGACTGGAAATAGTTCCATGCATGGTTGTCATGTCGGTGGCATGTCACCCGGTTGAACCTGGTTCAACCTGTGCCGGTCATGAAATCAGCATGAACTACCGGTATGACCGGTATGATCGACTTAATCATTCTAAGTAAAATGACATCATTTTAATGAATTTAATGAATATAAAAATTAATTTATTATTCATTTTATGAATGTAATAGTTAAAAGTTGATGATATTTGTTGGATTGTAACTAAATTGTCCACAAATATATTTTATATATATGATTAGATACATTGGATATTAATTGTTTTCACATTTTTTAAAATCGGCATGAACCGGCACAAACTGGTTATACCACCGATCGTACCATTCCACGGTATAAACCGATTTGACAACCTTAGTTCCATATGCTCTCATCCGAGAGCATGGCAAGCTAACAGGCATACTAACCGCAACATGTTGATGGAAGTTCAAGGATAAAGACATTGGAGTTAATTATTTCCAAACTTAAAGACAAGGTTGAGAAGCTTAAAGGAGAGAAGATTGTCCAGACTGCAAATAGCTCCATGGCTCTCATCCGAGAGCATGGCAAGCTAACCGGCATACTAACTAGGGCTTTATGCTATCAACATTGGGGAGGCTTCGTCTCCAATACCAAGGGTGCCGTTGGGAACACTCAAGTGGCGCCGCTGAGAATCGAACTCAGGACCTCCCACATCCAAAGCTCAATTGGTATAGTGGTTTCACAACTAGGCTATGTTACCTTTGGCGATGTACCTATTTACATATTATGTATTTATGTTCCTCTTGAGGAATTTTTATTTTCTTTTCTATGTAAAAGCCTTCTTAATTAAATTGATAAATTCCGAATCCGTTTTTCACAAAAAGGTTTGAAGCCTTCTATTGCACAGTCTTATATATTTTAGTTTCAATATTTTGATAGATACACATCATGTAAAAATGAGAGTTCATAAATCATATTCCGATTCCAAATATATCTTTCTAGTGGACATCATTGCTCGTAAAAGTGCAAAAAGGGAGATTGATTACGAAAGCCACTGTGAATAAGTATATGTAAACATGCTTATAAAAAAAATCAAAATGAAAAAAATGTTAAGCAACCCATTTGTGAGTTCATTGAAAAGGATAAGCACAAGGGGCAACTTGATAGTAATGATCAAGTTAAGCTATCAGGAAGACATGTCATCCCATTTCTTGGCAAGCTGAGACAAAAGCAATATTCTAGGTGTAAGCATATTTTATCACATTCCATTAAGTCAGGAGATGTTGCAATGATGGTTACCAAAAACACTTCTCAATGTTGGGATGGTGACCACAGACCAAAATCCAAAGCCAAAAAAATTGGCTTACCTCGTTGTGATCCTTTACATGACAATTTTTCAAAGTCTCCAGCAAGAGGGAAAGTTAGTAAACCGAAGTTTGGACAGGGGGGATGTTATCTACCAACAAAGAAGGAATGGGGGCATATCACAGAACTTGTAGAAAGTTCAACTCCAACTACAAAAGTTGGATTGGAGGGCATGTCAAACAATTTGCATTATGATCAAGCCAATCATGGCTTGCATAAATTTAAGAGTGTAAAAAATAATGGACAATGTTGTAAGATGTCAACCAAAAATGGCGGACCTAGTTGCATGCATAAAAAGGCTCAATATGAACCAATAAGGTATGGTAAAGCAAAGGATCAAAAGTGGTTGTGTGCTAAGTGTAAGAGTCAACAAGAATTTGGGGTTTGGAAACAAAGGCAAGTCAGCCATGTAGGTGGCAATGGGCCTGTAAAGTCTAAGCACCCATCTTATCGAACTAATGTGAAGAGTAAACATGAAGCGATTTGGAGGAAACCAAGGCAAAGAGGTGCTTGTTTTGTCTCTTCTAATCCAAAATAATTGGGAATGCATGGTGTACCTCATAGAGCAACTCACAACCACAAGGGTCGACGACAACAACCAGATGAAATGATTGACGTAACTCGAGTAGATAATCAAGAGGCCACAAGCAAGGGTGTAAGAAAACATGTTGGGAAATTGCAACCTAACATTAAGATGGAGTATGCCACTCTAGTATGTACATCTCCTTTGAGAGGAGGAAGCCACCTGATGTATGGATGGCTTGTGTGGTTTGATGTATGGAGTTGGCAATGGGTGTGTGCCTTTGGATTCTTAGTTACTGCTAAGGGCTATGGCGAGTGGTGATACTTACCAGCTCGCCATAAAATATAAATAAAATAATCAATTAAATAAATAAAGTAGTGAACAAGCCATCCAAGCTGGTTTTTGAATTGTGTGAATCAAGTAGAAAGACATCATCCCAGTTGATGAATGAGAGCATCAATTTAAAGAGGAAAAAAATAGTGGTGTCCTTATAGTAGTGAGTTTCTTTTTGTTAATAGGATATGGGTTAAGAATAGGAGAAAGTATTACTAAGGCCACATTTTTTGTGGCCTGGCTATCAAGGGATTAATTAATTTGCTAGGCTTTCTCATAGACGAATAAAAAATTGGTGTATGTGGCCGAGTAAGAATTGGAAGTGACATAAATTACTGTCATGTGTGACTTGGCCATGAAGGAAGGGGACTCCTTATGTGATGGGGTGTCGTGCAAGCCACTGGGTGATTCGTGTGGTTTGATACCTAAAGCAGTTGATGTCAACAGCTTAGTTCATAATTTCTTATGAACTAAGTTGTGGGGGGCATTTGTTTACACCAAAATAAATTTATTAAATATCACATGTAGTATTTATGAATAATTGGGACACCTTAAGTAGTTGGCCCGTATATGGACCCGGTGGTCCGAATTGGATGGTTGGGCCATCTGTCTGCCGGGTAGTAACTTGTCGTAAGGTAGTCATCCAAGATGGTGACTATACCAACTACAAAATTGTTACCATCCATCCGTCATAATGGATACCAATCCAAACCCTATTATGGATGTTACTGTCCAACATTATGGATATCATCCAAATCCTATGGATGGTTGTATTTCCAACATGAAGGATACCATTCAAATCCTATTATGGATGATAGTGTCCAACAACATGGATACCATCCAAACCCTACGATGGATGGTACCATCCAAGATCAAGGATACCATCCAAATGACTAATTGGATAGTAACCATCCCCACATAGTAGACACCATCCAAACTTTAAGTGGATGGTGACCATACCACGGTTACCATCCCAACCCTATGGTGAATGGTACCATCCCAAATATCATAACACCATCCAAAGGACTTATTGGATGGTGACCATTAGATATCATGAATACCATCCAAAGTACTGTCTGGATGTAGGAATGAGAATGGGGCAAGTTCGGGGCGGATTTTTTTATACCCAGACCCGCCTCGTGGTAGGTCGGATCCAGATCGGGTAATTTATCACGGTTCCTCTGAGCAACTTGATCATCCAAATTGAAGTTGGTAGGGCGTTCGATCAACTTCATCAACTTGATTATCTCAACCTCCTTATCAACTTCATCAACTTCATGTGATCCACGGCCAATTACCACTTCTAATTACCAACTTGAATATAAAATATTTTTTATTTTTATTTTTGTGAGACCGTTTAAATGACTTGTTAGAACTTCTTGCTCTTTGTGATATGGATTTTAAATTATTGATGGCTAGTGATAGGTTTTATCATAAATTAGTGTAATATATGTCTTCAATGTTATATATATGTGATCTATTCTATCAACAATTAACAAGTTATAAATAATTTTATAACGATTAACCACTAAACCATAAATATAGCTAACTTTTTTGGGAAATATAACATTTCGAAAACTTAGCTCATGACTATGTGGGACTGTGCATTAAACTAGATATAGATAAACGGGGTAATGGCTGCAATCGAGTTCAGTGATTGTATGCAAAGTATAGATAAACGGGGTAATGGCTGCAATCGAGTTCAGTGATTGTATGCAAAAGTATGGGTGGCCATTCGGTCGAAATTATGAATACCGGGTCCCCGAATTCTTTGAAACCTCAAACCAAATTATAATTTTATTATATCGATTCAAACCGAATTATAATTTGGTTCGGTCGATTTAAACCGAATTATAATTCGGTTCAGTTTGGTGTTTCATACAGCCGAATTTGCTAAGCTACTTGTATCTTCTCACTTTTAAATTATTTTTTACCCCTAATATAAACAATAAATATGCAATTATATGCATCATCGATGATAAAATCAAATTTTTCACACATAAGTCATAAAACATTTCAAATATTTAAGGCTAATAACAACTACAAACATAAAAATCCAGCAATTGGAGCTTGCAATTATAGTATTTCAATTTTTCGGTCAGAAATTCGGTTCGGTTGAAGAACCTGGTTTTCAAACTATCAATATTTTCCTTCCGAACCGAATAACATTAATTCGGTTTCGATACAATTTAATTCAGTTTGATTCGATTCGGATTTACCGAACCAGTTGCCCACCCCTATTAGCAAAAGGAACAAGCCAAGTACACTGCCGGGTTATATTCAACAAAACTAAAACATATAGCCCAGCCCTATGCTGTGTAGAACGAGAAAACAAGCTTGAAAACCAAATTGTTTCCCCGGTACTCATAAAAACACGGTAAATAACAGCTCAAAATCGCATTACTGAGCGACTCCATCCTTCCATCAACAGGCCAGAAGGGAAAACAGCTACTAGATTGGCTAACTTCCAATACTTCCCCAGCAACGTAATCTGTTGCGATCCAACCAAAAGATAGTTTTAAGAAGCGTGGAGGAGTTTCTTGTAATCCTGGAAGGTCCCGTGGAAAGGCGCTATCCTCCCATCCGATACGACCCACAATTCGTCCACGCTTCCAGAGATCAGATGCTCGTCGTGACTAACCTGCAAGTGATTGTTACGCAACATGGTCAGTCGAATCCCGTGTTTCAATGAAGAAGTGGAAAGCAATACGAGGAAAAGGGAAGTAGGGAACTGGTGCGACGGCATTTAGGAGCGCTATAGTAGTAAGTACCATAACGATGCCTCCTTGAAACAGAACCAGTCCTTGGATTAATGCCTCCACTGCGTCCAGATCCTACATTTTCCAACGACGAAAGAGAGTGAACGAAGGGACAACGGATTCGATATGTATGGGAAGGGGGGAACTAAAAGGTAGACATCAACTTACAAGATGATTAGATGGTTCATCAAGCAATATCAGATGTGGTTTCTTGAAAGTTATCTTTGCGAATGCAACCCTGCTTTTTTGACCACCTATGATGATACACAGAACCGAAAAGAAAGCCACATAAACAAGTAGGCAAAATCGGATCCTGTGATAAAAGTAAATTGATGCCATTCATATCGCATATCCATCTGTTCATGTACAACCCAGTTTGGGAACTGCCATAACCAACCTAAGTCCAACAGCATAGATTGACCCATACAATCAGGAACAGGACATACCAGACAATGTGTACATGGGTTGAAGAGCAAGATTTCCGGTCACTCCGAAAGAACCCAAGTGAGATCTTAACTTTTGTTCAGGTACTCCCTGCAAGACCAGATACCATTTACATATCTTGAGAAGAGAAATACAACTAAAACTCATATTCTTCACAATCGGGAGTTCCTGTTAACATCACATCAAAACCAGTAAGGGATCACAAAAATGAGGATAATTTCAAATATCTTCCTAAATACTTACAGGGAAGCAGCGCATCATATACAAAAGGGGATTGGAAGATAGATCCAGTCCATCAACATGATGCTGACTAAACACAGCAATGCGAACCTGAAGACAAGAACTTTACACTGTTCATTCGCACATACAAATGCATAATCAAGCAGGCTCCAGATTACTTAATACAGGCGTCATCATGGAAGGAGGAAGCTGCCTAACAAGAGTAACTTGGTACAAAGAAAGCAACTACTGCTCTACAGAACAAAACTGTGTTATGTCCCAATGACCTCGTACCTTTGCTGAATGGAAGACAGTACCAGAGCTGGGTTGTAGCTCACCAGATATAAGTTTGAGTATTGTTGATTTTCCAATCCCATTGGCCCCAACCACTAGATAGACGGGGTCAAACAATCAATCACATATTAGTTATCGATATATCCATGCACATATCAGAAATCAACTTTCCATAATTCCATCAAGTTGTACGCTCATAGTTTAACATAATTTATAGTCATGCATGAAACATAAATAACAACAGTCACCATAAGGACAAAGTCGACATAGTAACTCTCAGAGAGTAAAGTTCCTTACTTGCAACACGGCTATCCAAATCGATACCGAAGTTTAAGTTCTTAAATAGTATAGGTCCCCCTGGATAACCAAAGGATGCATCACTGCATTCACATGAACATTCATAATATCGAGTGAGCTTAAGACATATTGCAAATTACTTTTCTTTAGGCGCAAATAAATTATCACAAACTGAACATGCAGAAACCAACCTGAAACTTATTATAGGCGGTCCTGGTCTATCATCAGGAGTAGGAAACTCAAACTTATAGCTATACGAAAAATAAGACAGCAAACCAATATCGAAATCAGTCAAGGGCAGAAATATATCCAATAAATCAAGCAAACGAAACAGTAAAACACCAAAGGATGGTTATACATACTCAGGATCATTAACAACTTCATCTACATGACCTATCCGATCTAGTGCCTGAAAGAGTAATAAATCAATATGTTGCCAGGATTAACAATTCATTTATTGCTCATGCAGACGGAAAGAATGCCAGCACCTTGATTCTTGATTGGACAAGTGATGCTCTCTTTGCATTATACCGGAACTTGTCAATAAAGGTCTGCATAATAAAGAATAAATTAAGCACATTGGAACCGACCAAAAATACAAAGGAGTTCAAAGGATTGCTATAGTAGTGCTTTCACCCAGCCTAAATAGTCTATAAAGATTCCTGAACAATGGAACCAGCAAACAGAGCAAAGCTTTACATTCAAGCATCCCTGTCAGCTAGTTAATGAAGATAGTTTAAATTAAAGCAACCATGGAATTAAAGGAATACTTCAGCACCACCACTTATCCAAGTGCATTGCCAAATACCTGCATATGGGCTCTCACTCGTTCATTTGACTCAAATGCTTTTTGCTGGTTCTTAAGTTGTTCAGCTCGTGTCCTTTCGAAAATATCATAATTACCTTTGTAGCAGGTGAGTTTTTGATTTTGCAAGTGAATAACATCGGTAACAACCTAAACCCGGGTGAGGAGAAAAAGAAAGTTAGAAAGAGGTGTTATGTATGGTTACAGTGATTAATAATTCTTAATCTTACTGAGCAGCAAATCAAGTAGTACCGTGTTCAGGAATTCTCTCGCATGAGAGACAACTATAAATGTCTTCGGCCATTTCACCAGGTATGTTTCCAACCATAGGACAGCATGGAGATCAAGATGATTCTGCACCAAATGGACTTATAAACCACGTAGCATACATTTAAAGAGAGTTTCATACACAATATGAAGAGTATACTGCACCGTGGGTTCATCGAGCAGCAACAGGTCAGGCTCTATAAACAAGGCACGAGCAAGAGCAATTCTCATTCTCCATCCTCCTGAAAATGCTTTTGTTGCCTTGCGTTGCATCTCTGGTGTGAAACTGAGTCCCTGGAGATTTTTATGGGGCATAAGAATAATGCAATGGATTATACTATCTGGCTTGATGAACAGACAACACTACATAGCCATAAAACCAAAGGCCTAGTACTACAGCAGTTAAAATTTCTTATTATAGCAGTATTTAGTTGTTCATACACAAAAACACATTGTTTCTATGACATTCATACTTAATTCATCTTTCTTGCCACCTGATTGTAAGTTTGTCACTATACAAGCAATTTTTACAATCTGTACAACATTCAGTCTTGTCTCTATGTTAATCAATGGATCATTAATAGAGAGGCAACTGACCGCAAGAATGGAAGCAGCGCGCGCTTCAGCAGAATAAGCATCAATAAACTCGAGCCTTTTGTATATTTGTGCAAGCCTATCTGAAATAGCATCTTTCTCGGCAGCCCCATTCTGATCTTTCTCATTTCCAAGTGCATCCTCGACCTCTAATTCTCTCTTCAGGATAGTAATCAAAATATCAACAGCAACACAATAAATGAAAAGAACCTTTAAATCATTGTTTTGCAAAATCCTATCTAACCTGCTGTGCAATTAAGCGAACTTCTTCTTCCATAAGCTGGGTTCTCTCAATATCCGAGTTCAGCACACATTGCAAAGCTGTTGTATCATCCCCGACTACTTCTTGCTCAACATGCAGAACTTGGCAATTTGCAGGGATACCATCAATGGCGTGCATGGCCATGTGCCTCAAGTAAGTGGTTTTTCCCGTACCATTTCTTCCTACAAGACCTGTATGCATAGTATGTATGTAATTAGTCAGTAGAACAAGACTAAGGCAAAATATGGCTTTACAAGTTTCAAATCCTTCATTCTATTGCTGTATTTCATCCATCATTCATCTTCCAAGCTTTAGTACAATTCTAAGTATGGTCATGGAAATTAGAAGCGAAACCCACCGTAGTGCCTTCCGAAGGAGAGTGTCAGTGAACCATCAACAATCAGGTCACGACCACCAACAGAAATATTGAAGTTATCCATGTGAAGATCCTTGACAGTAGCTCCACCACTATTGTCATGATTCACACTCACACGAGGCATCCCTGCTCTTACTGCTTCCATTTCAGAAACATGCACTAGATATTGTGCCTGCATAAACAGCAAATTTCAGACAGAAGACACCCACAAGACCATAATAGTTGCAACAACTCAGCAAATGTGACCTCAACAACGTCTATCGTTCCATGCAAATGAAAGTTAAGTATGGAGCGGAAAACCAGCTAAAGAAACAAACATCGACGAATTTGTTTAGAATCTACACACCTCCCGCTGCCGCTCGTCCTTTCTCTTTTTCCTTTCTATCTTTAGTTTGTCACGTTCGGTCAGCAAGGGACCGTCTACTGGCTCTGGCTTCTTCTTGGGAGCAGCTTCCTCCTCCATTCCTTCATTCATTCTGAATGGTGTCGTCAGACTCCGCACAGCCGGTTTCGGCTTTGCCAACCCATGTTTCCCAAGCTTTTCAGACAGCTTGCTACAGACCTATCCCAATTGCAGAGAGACAATTAGCACGAATAGCATCTATTTCCCAGCTTCAAGCCACAGCAACAAATAATAGATCGTTTCGATTTCTCTCATCATTCCTTCTTTCTCTATTTCTTCTCAATTCAATTCAATTCAAGTGAAATGAATTCTCAATCCCTATATCCGTTCATCAATCAAAACCAATTTGCACCAATTCAATTTGAAGCAAAGCTAAATGGGTGTCTCAGCAAGAGGCAGGAGAAACCACAGATGAAAGAAGAGATAGACTACTAATATACCAGGCGGCACTCGGGGAAATCAGCGACGCACTCGGCGCCGACGAGGAGCTCGCCGAGGGCTTCGAAAATGCCCTCGCCTTCCTCGCCGAAATCGAAGTCCTCATCGGCGAGGACGTTCACGATGTAGTCGACGATAGGCTGATCCACGCCCTCGAATCGCTTGCCTAGCACTTCGTGCACCAGTGAGCTCGCCACTTCCGTCATGGCCACAGCAGCAGCAGAAGAAGAAGACGCAGCAGCTGAAATTGTAAGAGTGAAACTGGCAAGTTGAACGCAGCCGAGTAGCCGAAGAAGGAAAATCCTGGCCTGGGATTTGTCGGTGTATAGGGTAGACACTCTGAATGGGCCCGGAAAAACTGTTAAGTGCCAACGACGCATGTCTGGACCAAAGCAACGGGATCTCTTTGCATTGGGCTCACGAAAAGGCCCAAACGTTCGGTTTCGCGCCAACTATAAGGGCAAGTAGGGTGTGCAATGGTCCGGTCCGGCACCAGACCAAACCCGAGTTTGGAGCGGAACGCACCGGACCGAGTATAATGTGGTCTGATTTTGGTCCACATGAATTTTACAATTACTGTAGAAACGATGGACCAAATTGATATTTGGACTAGACTGAACCATACCAAATGAACCAAACACAATAATGATCCGATCCTTGGTCTAATCCTTGTCTTTCACTAATTGATTGTGGTTCTCATGAGTTTGTTCGGGTCTGGACCGAACCAAAACCTTTGCACGCCCCTAAGGCAAGCATACGCTTCCTAGACTGGCTCAAGTGTCATGAATCATGATCCTCAAATCACTAGTATGTTGGTCGGACAATCAGGTTCAACCGATATTGGACAGAAACCGATCGGAAGATCACATGTATGAAATGGTGGTCAAAATCGATAAAAACAGTTAAAATTGAAAAGATCACTGGTCCAACTCAAATGATTAATTTTGGCCTCTAAACAAAATGTCGTCGTTTTGCTCAAATTAACGTTTGGTTTTGGTGATAGTTACAATGCCTCCTTTTTTGAATTTTCTATACAAATAATACATGCATTATTTTCTTGATGTGACACAAACTATCACTCAAAATGAGTGATAGTTAGATCTCAAGTTTTGGATGAGATTGTTGAGATTGTCGATGATATTTTTGTTCCAACTATGTCCCTACCTTTTTATAAATGTTGCTTTTATATTAAAAACAAAGTATAAAAGTGATATTTCACCCAAAAAGTAATATATTTAGGTAAATACTTCAAGAACTATCACAGAAACCAAATGATGTAAACTACAATATATCAATTTTCTTGTATACATGTATATTATTATGCAAGCATCAATTTAACTATCACTAAAACCAAACGACCCCTAACTAACAAAAGAACCCGTAGAACCCGACCCAACCTGTGTTGCAACTATGAGTATGAGTTCGGATCTAAAAAATATTTATGTCGTATATAGTCATATACTTATGAGAAAATTAAGATATTTCAGCATGTTTTTCTCTCATGGTCTCCCTAATCTAATGCATTCTTTGACTTAAAATTTAGACATAAATTGAATATAGTTATGATTCACGTAATCCTTTTCTTGTGTACAATTTTAATATAATAACATATTTATGGATGCGTTTGTTTATAACATTTTTAGCCTATTAAAACAAATATTGTGAAAAAACAGGACATGTGTTGAAGTAGATCACATTTTATTAAAATTCAAACAATATTTGTGAATTTTGATACCTTTCACCTCGGTTCATTCATTTGAAATTTTAATTAGTTATAAAATATTTTCATGATATAGAATAATTATATATTTATGTTGGGTTGGGTTTTTATTTAAAAATATCGCCAACCAGACCCAACCCAACTAGAAACAAACCATAGGGTTTAAATTTTTTTGGGTGGGTTTGAGTTTGATATTTACCAAACCGTAATACACGAGTCGGATGATTAAAATGACTAAACACAAACCACCCGACCCATGTACACCCCCTAAATTTTTACTACCAACGTTGTTGTTTGATGTTTTCTTCGGTCAATCTCCTCGGACATGGCTCTACTCATATTATCATTGTTTTCCGCTCCCTTAATCTCTATATAATGTCCATTATTCCCCGCGCTTAGCTAGACAAATTTTATTCGTGTTCGACATTTTGACTACATTCGGGCATAATTACACAAGCACTGGACATGTACTCACTAACGTATATAATTAATCCGATGAAGTTTAACAATTCCTAATACAAGCACCACAACCACCGCTCATTCAACTAGTTCGTTTGATTTTTTTGGTCCGAGTTTAAGAAATTGGTTCGTGCTGGATTGGTATTGCTTTTTAAGAAACGATAGTAATTTTTCCCCTCTGATTTAGAATTGAACTTTTATATTTATTTCATAGTGGTGAGCAGGAGAAAATTTCAATTAATTATAACTTACAAAATGTAATTTATTAAAAATAATAAGCATTTATTTTTCCATTAGCCTTTGTTTATCACGTGACCAACAATTTACCAATATGATGAAGTGGGATCATTACTGTCTCCCAATTCATGGATGCCTTAATCTTAATTAACTAACTCGATTCCCTGTTCTCGCAGACACATACACAAGGCGCCAATGATTTGTGGCGCGCGTATTCTGATTTGCCAACATTTCTTTCTTAGGTTAATTGCATGGTTGGCCACTGAGATTATGAAAAACGTTCATGTTTGATCACTCGAAATATTTAAATTTAAATCCGTACATAGTCACTAGATTTAGTAAAACAATTCAAGTTTGGTCACTCTCCGTCCAATTCCGTTAACTTTTGTTTATGTGGCGGTCAACCCTAAAAGTTGACCGTTAACTTTTGCTCTTCAATTTAATTCATTTTTATCCTTTTAATAGTTAGGTATGAAGTGGAAAATTTAAAAATGACTTATTCTATTATTTTTTAATTGACATGTCATACATTTAACGGTCAACTTTTAGGGTTGACCGCCACATAAGCAAAAGTTAACGGAATTGGACGGAGAGTGACCAAACTTGAATTGTTTTACTAAATCTAGTGACTATGAATGGATTTAAATATTTCGAGTGACCAAACATGAACGTTTTTCATAATCTTAGTGACCAACCCTCCAATTAACCCTTTCTTTCCTCGAGAGATTCTTCAGTTCTTAATTCTACATGGAAATAAAACCTCCACCCCTAGATCAGAGTTCATATTCTTTGTATTTTGTACAGCAAATTAGAGACGCTCACATAACATAAGCTTTCAGAACCCTTCAATTTCAATTTCAAATTTTGATTTCCGCACGTATTTATTTCCCACCTAATCACGTGGCCACACGTTTCACCACACCAGCGAACTTTACTCTTCGTATATATAATTATATATATATTAAAAAGTAAACAAAAAACTCCATTATTGGCCCATTCGCTCAAACTTTCCACAACCTTTCCTCCGTCCCCCCTTTCCCACAACCATGGCGATAAACAACGTCGCCTCCGCCGCCGCCGTCCCTCCGCTCAACACCTACAGAGTCGTCCGCCGCGCATACTTCAACCGCCTATTCGCCCCGATCTACTTCTCCGCCGTCGCCGCCCTCTTCTACAACCACTTCCACAACCTCCTCCGCCACCTCTCCTCCTCCTCCCCCGTCGCCGCCGTCGTCCCAACCCTCCTCCTCATCCTCGCCGACTTCATCTTCGCCCTCATCTGGCTCACCAACCAGTCCTTCCGCTACCGCCCCCTCATCCGCCGCGAATTCGTCGAGAACGTCGAGAAAGTGTCCCCGCCGGCGGATTTCCCGGCGATGGACGTGTTCATCTGCACGGCCGACCCGTTCAAGGAGCCGCCAATCGCGACGGCCAACGCCGCGCTCTCCGTTTTAGCCTACGACTACCCGCCGGAGAAGCTCTCCGTTTACGTGTCAGACGATGGTGGGTCCCAGTTGACGATGTTTGCTTTTATGGAGGCCGCGAAGTTCGCCGCCCACTGGCTCCCGTTTTGTCGGAGGAACGGTGTTTTGGATCGGCACCCGGAGATGTTCTTCGGATCCTGTCGAGCGGACGACCCGGAGACACAGAAAATTAAGGTAATCATATTTTCCTGGGGCCCACATTAATTGAAGCATCGTTCTTATTGTAAAAATTAGGCAAAGAATTATGAAAAAACTAGCTTTGAGCCAGTCACTTGGCCGGAAAAAAAACTAATTTTTAAGAGATAAAGCATCATTCTTAATATAAAAATATAAAAAAACTTGTTTTGAGCCGGCCACTTGGCGGGTAAAACTATATTTTAGAACACAATTTAGTTTGTTCCTCACTTTATGATCATGGTACAAAACAATATCGATATAGTTTAGTAATTATTATAAAAAAACACTATATTTCGCGAGCTATGATAGTACATAGAGTCGTTCGATTAAATGATTTATGTGGTATTTAAGTATTATTTAATTGGTAACGGGTAAAAGTGTCTCATTTGGCTAAACCAATCATGTGTGGTATTTCAACAAGTGATATTCGCCAACAGTAGAGGGATAAAAATGAGTTATTACAACATTTATCGGGATATAGTGATTACAAATAACTTCCGGATGCATAGGAAGTCCGGAAATCTGAAATGACGAAAGTATAAATGGATAAATTATTCATAACTTTTCGGTCATTCAAATGATACTTTACATATTTGGTGTCTATAACTGCGTGCTAAAAATTCATTTGTATAACAAATTCACATGAACGCTATGCATGATCAATTGAGATAACAAGTACCGAAATTTTTTTAATTATAAAAGCGACATTCATCTAATTTTATTGGAACTCCCCCAAAGCGACACGACATTCATCTAATTGATTAGACAATACAAGCATCAAATCATTTTTGTATTGCGTACACATTTTGAATTTCCCCTGCCTTTCAATTTTGTGCTCCATGTAAAATTTGTGGTTGTGGCCTGTGGGTGGAATAAAGGTGATGTACGAGAGCATGAAAACGAGAGCGGAACGAGTGGTGGAAATTGGGAAAGTACCACAAGAATACATAACAGAAGAGTTCCAGCGCGAGGCCTTCAGTAAATGGACTCCCGATTCTACCAAGCACGACCATCCCACCATCCTCCAGGTCCGTTTTTTTTTTTTGCTGCCAATTTCCATGTGCATTCTCTTTTCAAATTGGGTCCTTTTGTGTCATAATAGTTAGGTAGACCAATCGATATGACATGTGGTCTAAATGTGGAGATATCATCAAAAATGGAAACAAAATTGCAGTATTATTGAGTGGTCCTCCTCTTCTTTGGTTTGGTTGTAACTGGTTATAGCAATTTTGTGATATGATGTGTTGCGGATTCAATTTGCTTCATTCGGTTTGGGGACTGGGGTGCATAATATCTAAGGGGTGGAGTTCGGTCGGTTCGGTTATAATCGAAAACCGAATGGTTGGTTATCGGTTAAACCGAACCACCTCCCACACCTACAGATCACTGACCGAAAGAGGCCTTAAGCCTTCGGTTATTCTCGGTTTTCGGTTAATCGAGTTGTCCCCAAGATCAAAATCATCTCGGCCATCCATCCGAACACCGACTGATTTTCGGTTTGTAACCGGTCGGTTAATTGCTAACCGATTGCCCAGCCCTAATAATATCCTATCTACAACAGTACGGGGGTGGGGTACGTACGTGTATTGCTTCTGACATGTTTCGCCCTGTTTTCGATCCATTCTATTATGATTTGCATCAATATCAACATGTATTTCTTCCTAAAATTATATTAATAAGAAACGAGTTGATTCGTCCCGTTCTCACACGAGTATTATCCGACCCGACTCACTCTGTCCATCACTAGCTTGGACTGGGAGGGGAAAAAAATCGTGCACTGTATGTGTCAGGAAAATGACTGTTTCCGAATCTCCATCGCCCATTCCCATCCAATTATTTGATTGCAACTTGCAACCAACTCTGCCACCTGCATTATCTGGAAATTTATTTTCGGTTTTGATTTGAGCCTTTAATCGTACAGGTTCTGATGCAAAACAACGACAAAGACACCTCCGGCGCTCCTCTACCCAATCTAATCTACCTCGCCAGAGAGAAGAAGAAGGGCGTCCCTCACCAGTTCAAAGCCGGTGCCCAAAATGCCCTGGTAAACTGTTCAGCAGGATAGCTTAATTTTCCCCGGGTCATTTTCGTAAAAATGAATGTATAACCTTTTTTTTTTTTTGGTTTCTGTCTCAGTTACGAGTGTCGGCGATGATCACGAACTCGCCGCTGATCTTGATGATGGACTCCGACTACATATCCACCGACCCGATCACCGTCCGGCGGATCCTCTGCTACTTCCTGGACCCGGCGATCCGGCCCACGCTGGCCTACGTCCAGTTCCCGCAGATCTACATGGGCCTGAACAAGCAGGACCTGTACGGCAACGAGTGCAAGAAGTGGATGCATGCTGGGCCGCACGGAGGCGATGGGCTCGATGGGCCGAGCTGCGTCGGTACGGGGGTTTTCTTCGCGAGGCGGTGTTTCTACGGGAGTCCACGCGAGTTGTCGCCTATTGACTTTGCTGAGATGAATCCCGACCGCGTGATCGAAAAGCCGTTGACTTCCCAGCCTCCTATGGACTTGATCAACAAAGTCGGTGGCTGCCACTTCGAGGCCCAGTCCAAATGCCAATGGGGCCAGAAGGTAATAATGAGAATAATAATAATGCAATTAAATGTCACTAGGAATAACAATGGATCGAGTCGGTTAGATGAATATTCATTACCTTCCCTAAAATAGTTTGGGTTTAACTTATTCACATGCCCACATAAGAAATAGGTAGAAAATCAAAGTCATACCCATAATCATTCGACTTTAAGGTACTTCACGGTTATCCAAGGATAATAATTTCTCTTTATAACTTCAACCAATATATTAACATTTACCTGTATTTTTTTTACTCAAGGTATGCGGTACCCCGGATTTCACCCTGGGTACCGTAGAACTCCCCCACAATTTCATGAACATATTATATATTTATATGCTAAATATGAAATGTGTTTAGAGCAAAATAATGATTATTTCTAGACAAAATACATAGATATGTGTAAAATCAGGGCGGTTCGGGTTGGATAGTAAGAAAACCATGCTCACCCATTACTTGCAATATTCGGGTTTGGATTTTACCCGTACCCAGTAAAATTCCTTCAGGTTCGAGTTTTAACCTACTCGATTAGATCGGATTCGGTAGATATCCACAATTACAGATATTTTTGTCATCCCTGATCACTATTTTGACTGGAGATGGACTTAACCTTGTGTGTTGGTGGCAAAAATTGTTGCAGATTGGGTTCAGGTACGGGTCGTTGATTGAGGACTACTTGACCAGTTTCCAAATGCACATGGATGGCTGGAAGACGGTGTGGTGCAACCCAGAAAGGCCTGCATTCAAAGGGGAAACACCTTGTACTCTGGTCAGTCTTCTGGTCCAGATCAAGAGATGGGGACTTGGTTTTCTGGAGGTTCTCTACTCCAAATACTGTCCTTTGTTCATCGGCATCAAGAACTTAGGGTTCCTCATGGGTGGAGCATACTCGAACTGGGCACTGTGGCCCCTCAGCTCAGTTCCATTCACCATCTACGCTTTCCTCCCTGCGTTAGCACTTCTCCACGGAGTCTCCATCTTCCCAAAGGTACAGAAACTAATACATTCTTTACTATTTAGAGTATTGAGTATTGAATAATTCCATTCTTTCTTATAGCAAAGTTATGAGTTAAATTGGTTTTCGTTCGAGAGAGGAGTGTTAATAAGAATATATGATCTATTATTGAACCTCGATTACAATAACTCGAGTTAGTTATTGAGATCAACTGGTTCTTTATTTATTAATACGCACAATCTAACTATTAGAGCATGAGAATTGACTAATTCCATTTTTTATGATATTTGTGCAAAGTTCAAGCCCTTCTAAGTGAAGTTTCGTTTGAGGGAATGACTTAATAAGTGGTATATGATCCATTACCCAATCACTATTAGTAACGAAATATTATGATCAACTAGTTATTATTGACATATTATGATGACAACCCCTTTTTGACCGGGGAATTTTCTGTTCGAATCACGATGAACCCATATGTTATGTTAAACATATGGGATCCGGACATGTGCAAACATTAAGCTTATAGGAGTTGGATTTCTTTTAAGTGCAACAGGTGTGTCAGTAAATGGTACACGATTCTTTAAAAAAAAAAATGGTACACGATTCATAAATGAAAAAAAGAAAATTTCCCAGCAACTCTGGTTATTGAGATTAACTAGTTCTTTAACATGGTATCACGTCCTGGTTCAACAATCTAATTAGAAGAAAAAAAACGCTAATAATCTAATGAAGAATATAACTCTATCAAATTTCGTATCAACATAACACTACTCGTACTACTGCTAATACTAACGAGCTATGTTACATACAGGTTTCAGCAGACCCGTGGTTCCTCCTCTACCCGTTCCTCTTCCTCGCCGCCTACGGCTACGAGATGTTCGAGTTCTGCTGCCTGGGCTCCAACCCAATAAAATGGTGGAACGCCCAGCGGATGTTCATGATCTGGTGCACTTCCTCCTTCAACTTCGCCCACTTCGAGTTCTGGCTCAAGACCATCTTGGGCCGGACCACGACTTCCTTCGGCCTCACCAGCAAGGTCAACGACGCCGAACACGTCCGCTGCTACGAGCGCGGCGAGTTCGAGTTCGGCGCCGCCAACCCGACCATCCTCGTCCCGCCGACAATGGCGGCGGTCGTATCGCTGGTGGCGTTGGTGCAAGGTGCGGCGGTGGAGGTTGGAGTGAAAGGGAGGGCGTGGGAGGAGATTGGGGTGCAGTTGTTTTTGTGTGGGTTTGGGGTTGTGAACAGCCTGCCGTTTTACAAAGGGATGGTGAGAGGGGATAGTTTGCGGCTGCCGACGTCGACGACGGTTATGGCGTCGTTGTTTGTGGTTGTGCTCTATGCGGCGACGTATTTCGTCTTCAAGAGTTGAGAGAGAGAGAGTCTGTGTACGTAGATGGGTTATTTTGGGAGGAAATAAAATGTAGTAGTGTGATGTAATGGTCTGGCTAATAAGGCAATTTAGTGGCCATATTCTACTTGGCCTTGAATTAAGTTGAATAGAATAAGTACACCATTGATGAGGGTACGGATCTAATGTAGGATGAATTCGTGGGGTACATTTGTGATGAAGTTTTATATATGGAATTATGCATCACTCACAAATAACTTACAATTCGAGTGAGTTGTATATATTAATGTGCTTGATTGGTTGGTTGGTTTATGACATGATATCATAGTTGGTTCGTTTTTTAGGTTAAAGTTACGTGTTCAAGTCACCATGACTCTAATATTAGCCGTTGTCTTAAAACACTTGACATGATGGGTCTGGGCAAATTTTAAATCCATGAATTGACTTTCGTTTGAGATGTCAGATAAGTAAGTGGTTAAGATCCATATATACATGAACCTCTTCCAAATCCTCGAGTTATAGATGAGGACAACTATTTAACGATCGATTAAGTTCAATAGTGACTATCCACATTAATATTTCACGTTTAACTAGCCAATATTTTTCCATTTTTTATTGATCATGTGCATGACTATAGGCGGAGGGAGAAGGTTTTTCAATTGTGAGGGAACATAAAAAAAAATCCATATTTGTCATGTAAATTATCAAACTCATCAATTTGAGGTGACATAACGAGTATTTTATCCCTTCTTTAAAATTTACTGTTGAGATATGGATCAATATGCCTACACGATTATAAATAGGCCCAAGTCTACCGCAAGGCGTCCCGGGCACAAGCCCACTTAATGAGGCCCAAACCCTATATAAGGAGGCCAAAGCCTCCAAACCAAAGATCTTCTCTTCCCTTCCCACACTCTTACCCTAAGATCTCTCTCTCTACATATCATAAACCTCTTCCTATATCGTATTAACTTGGACATCGGAGCGTAGATCCTGAGGATCGCCCCCGCCTCACAGGTTCTTCCACTTCCGAGGAGATAAGACTAGGGCTGGCCATTCGGTTAGCGGTTAATCGGCCGATTAAACCGATAACCGCCGGTTACCGGTTAACCGACTAACCGAAAAAGTCAGTGTCGGGCGGTTGGCGGTAGCGGGTTTTATTGTGTCGGTTAACCGGCTAACCGACGGTGGTAACCACCGGTTAACCGGCTAACCGGCCAGCTAACCGGCAAAACGAAAACGACGCCGCTGACTCAAACAATCCACTTCCACCCGACTAACCCTAATCGAAGACGAAGGCAGCTCAGTTCCTGCCTCCTCTGCAAAGTGCAAACGACCTCGCCCTCCTCAGCAATCGACCCTCTGCCGACTGCCGCCCGGCCGCCCCATCCAACCCGACGGCGCCGCGCCACTCCACTGCTCGCCGCGTGCCCACCCGCCGGCGTCGCGCCATCCTCAGCTCGCTGCACCCCGCCATTGAAATGTAAGTGTTTGTAATTAGACCTGCACTCACTGCTCAGCGCCTTCTTGCTTTGTGCTGCTTCTGCTGAAGACCTCTCTTCCCGCCTTCTTGCTTTGTGCTCGGCTGCTCGCCTTCTTCCTTTTGCTATCGTATGAAAGTCTTTCGGCCGAAATGCATTCGAGTTTTGTGTAATCGTTTTTGTGGGGGGTTATATCATTCGAGTTTTGCATTCGAGTTTCGGCCGAAATGCATTCGAGTTTTGCTACGGTTACGTCGGTTAACCGAGCAACTAACCGGTAACCGACGTGTTCCTTCGGGCGGTTATCGGTAGCCATGCCGCCTGTCTCGGTTAACCGGTAACCGACATTTCGGTTATCGGTTATAACCGAACTAACCGAAATGCCAGCCCTAAATAAGACGATAGAGTCCAGATCGGAGCCTCCTATTACTATGTTAGCCCAACATTCTAGGATCAAACACTTATTGTTAATGGATTATCATAACATTAATTTATTATTTCTAAAAGCGAATCTCCAATGAAAACAATTCATATTCTGAAAAAAAAGGACACCTAATTTCAAAATTTTGACCCTGACACTACCTACAAACGCTTTTACTACCAAACGCCATGTTACACGTCATGCCATTCTCCTGAACCCTGCCTCTGGCGAAGTACAAGCAGTTCTGGTCCAAGAAGGCCTGGGCCTCGGCGAGACAGGCCGGGCACGAGGCCGAAGTCGGGTCGGGGCAGGCGGCCCGAGCCCACAACCCGTTCACGTTGATGCACGTCGAGAACTCGCCCGGGTGAGAGTTGTGGACGTTGACCACGCTGATGAGGATGCCCTTTCTCGCCTGGCCCAATGGGCTCGATGGGCTGATCGGGGTCAGCCCGCAGGAGTGGTCCGCGAACGAATACGCCTCCGTCGACGCCGGCGCCGCAACCACCACCGCCACGTGGTCGTTGGTGATCATGGAGAGACCGACGACGACGATGATCAGCCAAGCGAGGGCAGCCATTTCTTGGAAAGGATTTTTTTATTGCTCTGTGTGCGTTGTGAGTACTGGGGATTTTTGTTGGTGACAGAAGGTGTTGTTGGTAAGTAGAGGAACCACTTTGGCCTTTTTATAAGCCATAGTGCACCCACAAAATCAAATGTTGATACCTTGCCTTTTACGTTGAAAGGAGAAAAGGAAAACAGAATTTGAAATATATGAATGATGATGTTGTTATTATTAGTATTCCATGGATATAGTCATATAGATAACATTAGATTTGTACCTCAGCACTTAGGTCAGATTCATTTCCTAAATATTGAGATATGAAATTGACTGGTTTGGTGTGAGTTTCACTAAACAATATGAACTCTCATTTTTAAACATCAAAATTCAGACTCATTATTGGTGTATAGGAAGGTTTTGTAACCTCATTTCCATAATGCAGTTTTCGGATACCCATACGTAGTATCGGTCCTGTACATTCAATATTATTATAAATAAAATTTTATATGTATATAACACTAATCAGACCTAGAGATCATAAAATCAACAAAAGTAGAATCCTAAAACACTCTTAGGGGTCGTTTGCTTCAAGGATTTGGTACATGGATTTGGTACAAAAAAACCAACTATCAAGGATTTAGGTACAATCCGTTGTTTGCTTGAACCTTTTTTGGAGACCAAATCTGTGGGGCCCACGGATTTTAAGGGTCCAAATCCGTGGACCCCACGGACTTATAAATCCCACATGTTGATGTGGGATTTGGAATATGGCATAAATCTTTGATGACATTTTACCCATATACCCTCTTGCACTTTTAATATTCCAAGGTTGCCCTCAAATTTAACTATTATACATTATAATTAACAATAAATGAATAATATAAACGTTCAATTAATGTGCAAACATGAGTTAGATTTTTTATATCATTTCTTGTGTTCTAGTTTTCTTTGACCTTTTCATGGAACGTGTAATTCTTTGTTCTCCCGATTCTAATATATGTTGTTATATGTTACTTTTGAAAAGGAGGACAAAGAATTGGTAATTGATTATGTTACGTTAAAAGTTAGAACGGAATTTTCTCGTTTATTATTATTGTCCATGTGGCAACATTATGCTTATTAGTATGTATTGTCCTTGTTTTGTGTACATATCATAAACATGTCAAACATATAGAAAATGATAGTAAGGTAATTTTGAAGTTTTGTCCTTGTTTTGTGTACATATCACAAAAATGTCAAACATATAGAAAAAGGCAGTAATGTAATTTTTGACTTCAAGTAGTAAATCCCACACCTTTAAATCCATGATAAAAACATCCCAACAAACAAAGGATTGTTACAAATCCATGATGCCTCAAATCTTTGATAAATCCTTGGGTTTTTAAATTACAAAACCCTCGTTTATAAATCCACGAAACAAACGACCCCTTAATCCATAGAATATAATACTTTTCAAACCATTCGATTTTTATATCATAAAATCATTAACATTCCCGAAGACCGTAAGATGATAGACTTGAGAGTGCAACTTCCGGTACTTCACTTTGTTAAATGCCGCTGATGGTCTGTTCTTTCACCCGGCTGTGTATCGTTTGGAAGGAGAAGATCTTTCCTCAATCAAGAGAGGATGATATTTGAAGACACTAAACTGGGAAACACCACAAAATCCGTTACGATTAGCTTCAGAAGAACTAAACAAAAAAGGGGTTTATGTTTACCAATTCGAATATATCAACGGAACCAAAGAAAAAGAAAAAAGAAAAAAACCGATCAGGAGATACCACAAGAGAAATTACAATATCTCCCTCTCCTCCCACTCTCTACTCCTACGTTCTTTTCTCCCAGTAGTAGCCTACGTCGACGTTAATCTGGAACGGCGCCAAAAAAAAAAAATTCAAAAAGAAAGAGTTTACAACTCATCGTGCGACTCCTCCTCCTCATCTCCGGCAGCACCGCCGCCAGGAGCACCGCCGGACCGCTGGTACACGGCGGTGATGATCGGGTTGCAGACGGCTTCCACCTCCTTCAGCTTCTCGTCGTAATCCTCCTTCTCGGCGGTCTGGTTGTCGTCCAGCCATTCCAGGGCCTCCTTGGTCGCGGCCTCGATCTTCTCCTTCTCGTCGCCCTCCAGCTTGTCCGCGAGCTTGTCCTTGTCGTTGATCTGGTTCTTCATGTTGTACACGTACGTCTCCAGGCTGTTCCTGGCGTCGATCCTCTCCTTCACCTTCTTGTCCTCATCGGCGAACTCCTCAGCCTCGCGGACCATCCGGTCGATCTCTTCCTGGCTCAGGCGACCCTTGTCGTTGGTGATCGTGATCTTCTCCGCCTTCCCGGAGGCCTTGTCTTCTGCCTTCACGTTCAGGATACCGTTGGCGTCGACCTCGAATGTCACCTCGATTTGTGGTGTGCCCCTGTCGAAACGTGAGCAGGAGATCCGTCAGCAGAATGTAAACTAGGAGAGAAAGAGGAAAGGGAGGGCAAAGGAGAGGATACAAACCTGGGAGCTGGAGGAATTCCGGTGAGGTCGAATTTACCGAGCTGCCTACAGTCCTTGGTGAGACTCCTCTCACCTTCAAAGACCTGAATGGAGACGGTGGTCTGCTGATCCTGGTAAGTGGTGAAAACCTGAGACTTCTTGGTGGGGAAAAAATCCCAAGTTACACATCTTTTTAAAAAAAAATCTCAAAATACACACGTTATGAAAATAATTCCCAATCTACGTTAGTTTGGGCCATCACCGCTGTCGACGAAGACAGTGATTGCATCACTGTTGTCGACGAAGACAGTGATTGCATCACCGCTTTCGACGAAGACAGTGATTGCATCACCGCTGTCGACGAAGACAGTGATTGCATCACTGCAGTACACGGCCGCGGTGAAGGCCTGACCTGCGTCGAAACTTGAAACAAACGTAACTTTGTGCTCGGTTATCCGATCGTAGCAAAATTTTTTTTGATTCCGCATAATTTTTCGAGATCTTGCAAGTCGCAAATGGCCATAGGAGGTTTGGTCCCGCCTTCGTCTCGAAAATATGTCGTTTGCTACCCCGAACGAGCCTTTTTTCGATTTCGTCAAACTTTGAATGACCATAACTTTGTGCTCCACAATCCGAAAATCATGAATTTTTTTTTGATTTCGCATAAATTTTTAAGGACTAAAATATTTAGTAGGAGAGAATTTTCAAAAAATGAATTATTTATGGATATAAGGGGTTTTGGGAATAACTTTACCTTCCTTTTCAGGAATCCAAGTACATTCCGAAAATATGTCTATGATAAAAATTGTAGTCCTTAAAATGTTATGCGAAATAAAAAAAAATCATGATTTTCGGATTGTGGAGCACAAAGTTATGGTCATTCAAAGTTTGACGAAATCGAAAAAAGGCTCGTTCGGGGTAGCAAACGACATATTTTCGAGACGAAGGCGGGACCAAACCGCCTATGGCCATTTGTGGCTTGCAAGATCTCGAAAAATTATGCGGAATAAAAAAAAATTGCTACGATCGGATAACCGAGCACAAAGTTACGTTTGTTTAAAGTTTCGATGCAGGTCAGGCCTTCACCGCGGCCGTGTACTGCAGTGATGCAATCACTGTCTTCGTCGACAGCGGTGATGCAATCACTGTCTTCGTCGACAACAGTGATGCAATCACTGTCTTCGTCGACAACAGTGATGCAATCACTGTCTTCGTCGACAGCGGTGATGGCTCAAACTAACGTAGATTGGGAATTATTTTCATAACGTGTGTATTTTGAGAATTTTTTTTAAAAACATGTGTAACTTGGGATTTTTTCCTCTTGGTGGGGATGACGGTGTTCCTCGGGATCAACTTGGTCATCACTCCGCCGACGGTTTCAATACCCAAAGTGAGGGGTGCAACATCCAGAAGAAGGATGTCTGTCAGGAAACAAAAGGAAACATAATGAATAACAGGTTCTCATTCCCAGATTAGTCGATCACCAGCAGGTCGAAATCGGGTGGTTTGTGAAAGAGGTTACCTTTGGTTTGGTCGCCACCTTCTCCGCTAAGGATGCCACCCTGGACGGCGGCACCATAGGCAACAGCCTCATCAGGGTTGACTCCCTTGTTGGGCTCCTTGCCGTTGAAGTAATCCTTGAGGAGCTGTTGGACCTTGGGGATTCTGGTGCTTCCACCAACCAGGACAATTTCATCGATCTGGTTCTTCTCCAAACCAGCATCGTCCATGGCCTTCTTCACTGGTCCCATGGTCTTCCTGAACAGGTCGTTGTTCAATTCCTCGAAGCGAGCTCTGGTGAGTGGTTCGGAGAAGTCGACGCCATCGAAAAGTGATTCGATTTCCACACGGACTTGGTGCTGGCTACTGAGAGCCCTCTTGGCACGCTCTGCTTCCCTCCTGAGCTTTCCGAGTGCCCTGTTGTCCTTGCTGATGTCCTTTCCGTGCTTCTTCTTGATCAACTTGATGAAGTACTCCATGATCCTCTGATCGAAGTCCTCACCTCCCAAATGGGTGTCACCGTTGGTGGAAAGAACCTCAAACACACCGTTATCAATGGTCAAGATACTGACATCGAAGGTACCACCACCGAGATCAAAGACCAGGATGTTCTTCTCGCCACCCTTCTGGTCCAAACCATAGGCTATGGCAGCAGCAGTTGGCTCGTTGATGATCCTAGCCACATTGAGCCCAGCGATAACGCCAGCATCCTTGGTGGCCTGTCTCTGGGCATCATTGAAGTAGGCTGCATTTGCAAGACAGAAAAAGGACTGGGTCAGAGATATGAACACACAAAGAGAACTACTTCCTAAATGCAAAAGTACGAACACTCTACTACAATAGTTTAATTGAGTTACTAACCGGGGACAGTGACAACAGCATCCTTGATTTTCTTTCCGAGGAAAGCCTCTGCTGTTTCCTTCATCTTAACCAAAATCATAGCACTGATCTCTTCAGGACTGAAGATCTTGGTCTCTCCATCCTTGATCTTCACTTGGATATAAGGCTTTCCGTCCTTGTTCACAATCTTGTATGGGACAAGTTTCATGTCCCTCTGGACCTCTTTGTCCTCAAACCTGTTGTTCCAGGAATCAAACCCATCCAGTTAGACATTGGCCAGCCAAAGACCTCAAAGATATGCAACATTATCAAGTAAGGTTAGAGGACTTACTTTCTTCCGATAAGCCTCTTGACATCAAAGATGGTCCTTTCAGGGTTCACAGCTGCTTGATTCTTTGCAGCCTCACCGATCAATCTCTCACTGTCAGTGAACCCAACCCACGACGGAGTGATACGGTTTCCTTGGTCATTTGCTATAATTTCAACGTGACCATTCTTAAAGACACCGACACAGGAGTAGGTTGTTCCAAGATCTATCCCAATAACAGTTCCTAGCTTGGTGGCCTCTTCTTTCGCAATGGAAATTGCAAATAGACAGCCTGCAAAAGCACAATTCTTAAGCGGTCAATAAGATTCTAGGCATTTTCCTATACCCAGAAGCTAGACACAAATCATGTAAAGGATTAGCAGCACATTCACAATGCATCGAGAGATCACATTGCTCCCAGACAACTACGTTATTCCTTAGAAGATTAATCTAAGTTTCATCAAACAGACTTAAACCTCTCTTCAACCTTTCTAAAACGGACCAGGCATCTACAGCAGAGCACGATTTCAACATCAGGCATGAAAGGAAGGGAGTGGAACGAAATCAAAATCCATCTACAATCAGAACAGCGCATTACTCCATGCACGCTGTTTCTCCACACAGCGATTGAGCTCAGGCTATTCGATTTCGCAATCTATACATACAAGAAACTCTCCTAAATCAGTCAAAATCGCATTGAACTCATGGATAGATCTGACAGAAGCAACGCCATTCATCAACTGCAACGAAATTCTAAACTAGATCTACAGCATTCCAGCTAGAAACTACAGACGTATAAACTGCGACGAAATCAAGGACCTATAATATGGAAACGGATCAACTAAAGATCCTGCGATCTGGAATCCTAAAGAACGTTCTAGTCCACTCACCGAATAAGAGAACAGCCGAGACGACGAGACCGCGTGCTCTCTGAGAGCCAGCCATGGCGAGCGAGCTAACTCTTCTCTCGTCAATCCAACTGCAACTACGCTCCGAAAATCGTCAATGGAAAGAAGCAAAACCCCCGCAGAGGCGAAGAGCTGATGGAAGAGTGACGTGCTCTGTTCTTCAAACGGCCTTTCTGATTTTGTGTTCGATGGTATACACACACTTTAAGCGCGCGTGGGGAAATTGAGGCTTTTATAGAGTCGTCTTCAATATAATAACCATTCTCTTCTTCTCGCCCTTTGCGGTCGATTTCTCGTTCTGCTGATGAACGGAGAGAGAACATGTCATTGATGGTGACGTGGACCAATGAGGTTGCGAGCTCTGATCCGCTCGGCCAATGAGATTGGAGTTCGTGGTGTGTGTCTCGTGGACGCCTGTTATTGGGTGTCTTGACGTGGCCCTTCTAGGAGTTTCGTTTCGTTTCGTTTCTCCGAACTTGACGCTTACTATAAAAGGGTCCCACGCTTTCTCCTACGTAGACCAAGCTAACGAACCCAGGCTTGGGCTTTTAGCTTCTGGGCTCAAGCCCGTTTTCTCGGATTCGATTAAATAAAATTTGTGGGCTGTTATCACTGGATAGGATGGGCCAAAGCCCAATAAGGATCAATTGGGGTCATTCCTTTCCAACCCCACCAATAGATGACTTGCGAACAAAGTCATTAATCTCAATAATGACAACAGTTGAGTTGAGCCATCTCTCCCAGTTGAGTTGAAAAACAGTTTTAATTAATTTGGTTTGGAGGAAGATATATAGTAGGTAGGAAGAAGATGTTGACAATGTATTGGGAAATATTAGCATGGATGATGTGCTATGGAACCACAAACTTTGTAACATTAATTCATGTCTGGTGGGAAATTTATTGAAGAGGATGAGTTCGATCGAGATTCTTTAATCTTGACTTGTCTCGATTCTTTTTACGGAAGTTAAACCCAGTCTAAGTATGAGGATATCACATCAGGCATAGCACAAGACTCTCTTTACAGAGTGTGTGCGAGCAGTTTTCTTATGTAATTTTCTATCAGTAGTCCGTCATGTTAATATTTGTTCAATTCAAATTGTAAAAGGAGGTGGATGGTCAACCGAGGAAGAAGGTGAGGTTGAACCAATTCGTGAGCACCTTTTTCATAGACGATCCGTGAAAAAAAGTAGCAAAATTGAATTCAAGTCATTCGATCGTAAAATAATAAAATGAATGGAGTTCCAACTTCCAATCTATATCATAATGATTCATGTATGCTGTTGACAGAGACTGCTGCTCTCTCATTATAGCGAGTGCACAGGGAGTTGGCTTTTGCAGTTGCAGCTACCTTATCTTCACCATATTCATTCTCCAAAGCTTTTGAGTACAAATATATCTTCATCACGGATCATCCATCGCCCATATTTATTGGCTCCATTTCCCTCCTCCCAAACTGCACATACATATGCATAATAAGAACCCACCAAAACCCCGTTCCTTCCCCACAAGCCAATTGCTCCAGAGAAAACCACCATAACCATTCGAATCCATGAAGAAGAAGAGCTTGAAAATGGCGACTCTCGTCGTCGTCGTCTTCCTGCTGCTCCTCCTCCTCATCACCAATCCATCCATCTCCATGGCTGATGGCCTTCAAGCAGATCATCTGGCAAACCCACTTGTGACTTATGGATTCTGCTTTGTATACCTTTCCTCCCCGTAGTGAATGTGTTCAATTTTGCTTCTTGGACAGGTGAGGAGGAAGCTGCTGCAGATGGATCTGGTGTTGTTGGACTATGAGAAAGACCCAGGAGCCAATACAAAGCACTTGCCAGGTCCCAGCAAACCTGGAGTCGGTGGCTGAAAGCTATTACATTTAATTTATACAGGGGAAATTCACGAGTCTCAACCACCTTCCATATCTACCACAAACTACGAGTTATATCGAGATCTCTTATGTAAATGCTGAAAAGGGTTCCCTTCTGATGTTGTTGTACTTATTATTGATCATCTATTAATCCCTCTGTTTATTGTCCTAACAACGACTAGCTATGAAATTAGGAATGTTAAGGTGATGTACATAACACTAGTTAATAGCATCGTCTTAAGCTACTAATTACTGGAATTTCCCTTCCCAAAGCACAGTAATTCACTAGTAAACATAAGCACCTCTCCTAAATATTGCTGCTTTGCTCATTTTGTCCTCGCGCCTTACCCAACAGAAAAAAAAACAGAGCAAGCAAAGCAAAAGGAATCTCTCTCCGCTTTCTCCTGCTTCTCCCACCCTCTCTCCCTCTTCTCCTACTTCTTCTTCCTTCCAAGACCTCAACTTTTTGCATTTCCTCATCAGATCCCAAAAAACCTTCCTCCATTTCAACAATGGCAGTCGCTCTCTGAACCCCATTTCTTCCCACGACATCTGCACTCTGTTTTTCTTATTGCGGCTCCTCTGTTCCACTTAGCTCCACAAAAGCGGCCATGCCGGGCCTCGTCTCAGTCAAAACCCCACCCGACACTCCTCAACTGACCCTCTCCGTCCCCAATTCCCAACCCGGAGCTTCATCTCTGAACCGACCCGACTCCTCCCCTGCCCCGCGAACGCCCAACAAGAAACACCCTTCCCCTTCTCCTTCCCGATCCAAACTCTCCCCGGCCCGCTCCGCCAAAAAACCCGCCCCGTCCGACTCCCCCAACCCGCCCGATGCCTCCCTCGACAACCGGGATCTCGGGCCTTTCCTCCTGAAGCTCGTCAGGGACACAATTGCTTCAGGGGAAGGGCCCTCCAAGGCCCTGGAGTACGCAATTCGAGCTTCCAAGTCGTTCGAGAGATGCGCCGCCGTCGAAGGCGAGCCGAGCTTGGACTTGGTCATGAGCTTGCACGTTCTGGGCGCGATTTATGGCAGCTTGGGGAAGTTCGAGGAGGCGGTGCCGGTGCTGGAGAGAGCCATCACTGTGCCGGAATTGAGCCGAGGGACGGATCACGCTCTGGCGGCTTTCTCTGGGTATATGCAGCTGGGGGATACTTATTCCATGATTGGGCAGGTGGATAAGTCGATCCATTGCTACGAGGAAGGGTTGAAGATCCAGATCGAGTCGTTGGGGGATACTGATCCCCGAGTTGGCGAGACTTGCAGGTAACAGAAAAAAAAAAAAAAATTTGGGGAGGAAGTAAAGCTATTTAAACCTCTGCTGATTTTGCCTGCCAGATTAGGAAACATTATAGTTTCGTTGAGCATTAATGAAGTTTGACATTCTCTTGATCTTACGGAAGTTTCCTTTTTTTTTTCCTTTCTCTTTTGGATTCTCTTGTTTGTTGTTTTGTTGAGTACATTTTGTTAGTGACCTGACTGGTATAAATAGTGCTAGTTTAGACTGAGATTTCAAGAAATTCGACCATGGCGTGATTAAGGAAGTTATTTGAGCTTCTGGGTCCTGTATAAGGTTGAATTTAATGTCGATGTTATGTGAGCATTTGCATGTGTGACAGCAAGGTTGAATTCAGCTCAAGGAGCTGAATTTGGGGTTTTTGATTTTATGATCATGAGGGAAAAGTTATCATCTTTGCTTTGATTAATCCTGTTCTTTGTGGATTATGGATGCTACATTGCGTGTTCTTGCTAAATTTCCTGTTTAGGCAATGTATAGACTTTCTGTAGTTAATGAATTAGATTGGAGTTTTCATTTTGGAGTAATTTGATTTTTCAGGTACTTATCTGAAGCGCATGTTCAGGCCATGAACTTTGAGAAAGCAGAGGAGCTGAGCAAGAAAACCCTGGAAATCCACCGCGCACACAGCGAGCCAGCTTCGATCGAGGAAGCAGCCGATCGAAGACTGATGGCACTCATCCATGAGGCCAAGGGAGACTACGAGGTGGCACTCGAACACCTGGTCCTTGCCAGCATGGCAATGATTGCAAATGGACAAGATAACGAGGTTGCCGCCATCGACATCAGCATCGGCAACGTCTACATGTCCCTGTGTCGATATGACGAGGCAGTGTTCTCGTACCAAAAGGCTCTCACAGTATTCAAGTCGTCGAAAGGTGACAACCACCCGTCGGTAGCCTCGGTGTTTGTGCGCCTTGCTGACTTGTACCACAGGACAGGAAAACTCCGAGAGTCCAAATCTTACTGCGAGAATGCTCTCAGGATATATGCAAAACCTGTTCCTGGGACCACCGGGGAAGAGATTGCCTCTGGTTTGACCGAGATCTCCGCTATTTATGAGTCTGTGGATGAACCGGAGGAGGCACTGAAGCTTCTGCTGAAGGCGATGAAGTTGCTGGAGGATAAACCTGGGCAGCAGAATACTATTGCGGGCATTGAAGCACGAATGGGGGTGATGTTTTGCATGCTTGGTAGGTATGAGGATGCAAGGGGATCTTTCGAGGGGGCGGTGAGTAAGCTTAGGGCAAGCGGAGAGAGGAAGTCCGCATTCTTTGGAGCTGTGCTGAACCAGATGGGATTGGCATCTGTTCAGCTGTTCAAGATCGATGAAGCTGTTGAGCTGTTCGAGGAAGCTAGGGCGATATTGGAGCAGGAGTGCGGTCCATGCCATCAGGACACTCTTGGCGTGTATAGTAATCTTGCTGCAACTTATGATGCTGTGGGAAGGTAATTTGCCTGGCCAAGTTTCTGCCTTTTTGGTTAAGAAACTCATCTGATCATTCATTCATTACTTGTATAATTTATCTTTGGCTGGAAATGCAGAGTGGAAGATGCCATTGAGATATTGGAATACGTTCTTAAACTGAGAGAAGAAAAGCTTGGTATTGCTAACCCTGATTTTGAAGACGAGAAGAATAGGCTAGCGGAGCTTCTGAAAGAAGCAGGCAGGGGTAGGAACAAGAAGGCCAAGTCGCTGGAAAACTTGATAGATCCCAGCTCGAAGAAGACTACTGCGAAGAAAGAATCATCGACGAAGAAATGGGGATTCAGGATTTGAGAGGCATGTCTCTCTGTCTGCAGATCTTTCACTCCTCCCTCCCACCATCAAATGCTCTCTTATAGTCTTATTTATCTACTAAATCTTCTCACATTGTGCAGGTGTATTGCTGTAACTTAGGGGGAAAAAAATCATTTTGTATAGTTAATAATCTGGGTGAGCCTTTTTCCCCCTCTCTTCTTCACTCCCCCCACTGAAATCTGCTTGTTCTGCTGTTTGGTACTTCAGTTGCTTGTTTTTCTCTTTTAGTTTGGTTACTTTTCGCTGGTTTGTGCCTGGCAGTGGTGGGATTTTCACTTGTGTGTCCACTGCCCGAGTAAAAAAAAAAAAAAGGAATGTTTGTCGTGTTCACTTGTCATTGTATCAATCAGTCGAAGCGTTGATATGTCTGGTTTGACAAAACGGATCATGCAAATTCATTGTTAAACCGCAGTAACTTCGGCAATATACATGTTCTGGATTAGAGAAAAAGAGCATTCTTCCTTCAAACTGATGTTCCAAAGCTTTCAGTCATAGTGTCATACCAATGTCTCCTAGTTTCATTTCGGATGGAAGCTCCCATCTAAAGTGACATGAGCAAATTCAAGTTTAACGAAAGAAATTCCTGGATATAGTCTTCTCCCTGCACTAGTGTAATGAAGTGGAAATCATTCCTCTTGTAGTCAGTTGGACACTCTAAGAATCACTCAGGGTGGAACTTCTGTTGATCGACCCAATGACTGAGATCTCGATTGACTTGCCTATCTTTGAAACTTCATGAACATAATTTATCTGCTAGGAAGTCATCACAAGCTCCACCACACCCACACATGACTTGCCAGAAGTTTCAAAGATAGGCAAAGCCAAAGTTCCTACATACTTTTTTACCAACACATGACCACACCAACTTTAAGAGCGTTGTTTGATTTAGACAATTTATCTGTTGATCTGACTTCAGGTCGTACGTTCAGAAAATATTTTTAATCTTTTCACCTTCCTCTTTCGTAGAACGAGCAAAAACCACACTATAGTCCTCAAAGAGCAAATTGGACACTTGTGGTGCTTGTTTACTAATCATGATCCCATGGATCTCACCCCTTTTATTGTTGTTTTCCGTAGCGCAGAAAGTTTCTCTGCACATAATAGAAAAAAGATAGGGAGAAAGTGGATCTCTAGTCCTTGACTTAGAGCATCCACATTAATGGTATTTGTTCAATTGGAAATCCTACATGGCACTCAATTTGTAATTGTAAAGGGAATTGCACTAATGTGATTGGTACTTTTTTTTTTTGCCAAAGATATTCCAAGAGGAATAGCAAGATACGAGATTACAGGACCATAGCGGCCAAAGATCAAAGAGAAAGAAGAAGGGAACGTTGGTCAACGAGACGCTGAACCAACGATAAGAGGGCTTGTTTTGCCACGATATGGGCAGCCCTATTGTACCTACGCGGCGCGAAATGAAACGAAACACGCTGGAGAGATATTCGCAACACCTGAACCTCTTTCAGAATGACACCTCCCAAACCGTGAGCCGAATCAATCGCGTTTACCATCCGGATGAGTACCTGCGAGTCACCACAGAAGAGTACATTACTTGCAAAGATGCAAGCTTGCATTAAATGAAATTGAATATGCAAGACATATAGGGAAATAATAATAAAAACAATAATTTATTTTTTCTCTCTTGATTTATTTATCTTTTATTATAAAATCACTTAAACTCTCATATATGGTAATTAAAAATTATTTGCAATTCATTTTGCAATTGCATTGATGTGGATGCTCTAAGGCCTCTAGTTGGCAAAAAAATTACATGATCTATGCCCCCAATCAACTCTGTCATATGCTCAGGTCAAATCCAACTTCACTGCAAAGTAGCACTTCTTTATATTATTCAAGGTTTTCAAACCTGTATTTGACCGGCCGGTTCAACTGGGTCCGATCAAAACCATCCATCTAAATGGTTGGACGGAAAAATTCAGAATCGGATTAAACAAGTCAAATCGGGTTAAACCAGTTAAAATCGGGTGATCTAACCAGTCAAAATCGGGGTTGGAGATGATTATTGATAATTTTGTAGTATAAGTTTCTTTTGAAAATATGCCAAAGCTCAAGTTTTTCCTCTGGAGGATGCTACTTCGGATTCTGCCGGTTCGGGAGGACTTACAGCGACATGGTCTTGATGTTCCCACCCTTTGTCCAATTTGCGATTCTGGTGAGGGGGAGTCTCTTGAACATCTGTTTATTCGTTGTCCTGTGGCTATTCGCCTTCGTGATGCAATTGGCCTTTCTCTACCTCTGAATTTTGATTCTTCTTACCATTTCGCTCTCTTGTGGCGTCTTTTATTATGCCATGATGCCCCATATATTATCTCTGATTGGCTTATCCTCTGTTGGCGTCTTTGGAAAGGGCGTAATAATGTTGTGTTCTCTCCTTATGCCCAATTCACTGTTCCTGTTTTCCGTCGTCAATTCCTTTCCCATCGTGATTCCAACCGCCTTGCCATTGTTTCTCCTGCTCCTCCACCTCTTTTGCCGTCACGCAACAGGGCTTCATCGGCAGTTTTAAGCGGTGCTTTTCAAGGCCTTCGATTGGCAGTTGATGGAGCCACTTCTTCCCATCAGTCTGGTGCCATTGGTATTGTCGGTCTTACAGGCGTTATTCCGACATTTGCTTTTGGTTCATTTATTCGGGGAGTGTCTAATCCTGGCTTGGTTGAGTTGCTCGCTATACAAGAGGCACTATATTTGCTGCAACGGTGGCATTGGCATGATCGGGACCTGTTGCTTACAGGAGATGCCCAAGTGGTCATTGACAAACTAGTTTCGGGTAATTTATCGGATGCACGTGCTGGTGCAATTTATTCAGAGGTTCATGCGTTACTAGTCCAATTGCCAAAGGTTGTTTTACAATTTATGCCTCGAAATGCGAATCGGGCTGCCCATTTAGTGGCGCAACATGCCTTACGCTTTCCTGGATTACCTCCATTGTTATTTGATTTCTGTTACTTGTTTTATTATGTCCGTTGATAAGTGAGTGTGCCGATCTGTTGTGGCTACCCTTATCCTTGCCTTGTAAATATACCAAGATTTCAATGACAAAAAAAAAGTTTCTTCTGAAAAAATAATTTGGTAATATATGAATGTAGATTAGTGAGATTGTTCTAAAATATGTCAATATATGCACAATCTATTTGGTATTAGAGATTTTTTCACATATTATGTGAAAACGACTTTAATTAGTTGAACTTAATCCAATTATTAAACCTGAAACCACTTGTCAAACTGGTTTCATGAGTAATTCAGTTTGACAACCTTGATATTATTGCATTTCTTCATGTATTATTTATTAAAGCACTAAAAGTCATACCCTGATTGGTTTAACTGAGTTGTTGGGAGAGGTTTTAAAAGTCCGGACACTATGTGCTTAACAGAACAGATGCGAGTCACCGGAATTCGAATATCACAGAAGGTTCTGATACAATGTTAATAACGAGCTGATCCCAATAAACCGAATTGTTGGCATATGTTAAATTATGTGTTTTCATCACTGCTTAAGGAGTGTTTTATTTTGTACTTTATTAGTTTTTCTTCTCCAATGAGGGAGGTTTTAGGTAGGGATGGCAACAAAACCCGAACTCATGGGTACCCTACCCGATCCAACCCGGTCAACACGGATAAAACTCGTGTTTGGGTTTAAACCCGATTACTATTCACTGGGTTGGGTTTGGGTTTAGGTAAACCCGCCCCACGGGTACCCGCCCATACCCATATAATTAATTTTCCCGGTTTATTTAATATTCTAAACAATTAATCTTCTTTATGTGTTGTGAAGACATGTCTAATTTTTTCTTTCTAATTGTCTAGAATGAAGTTAATATTATTGAGTGGAGAGTGAATAATCTTAATTGACAAGGAGGAAGAAGCTTTCAATTAATCATATTGTTTATGGATAATTTGTGATTTGCTTCAATTTTCTCGAGTTTTCTAGATTGGCGGTGAACAATTTGTATGACTAATTTGTTATTTGCTTGAATTTTCTAGAATGGTGTTTTATATATGGATAATTTGTATTGAGAGATTGATATTTGACTTTTATTTTGATTAAAACTTGTGATTGTAAATTTTTTACGACAAAAACCAATGGGTACCCATCAACCTGCGGATATCCAGCGGGTTGGGTTGGGTTTGAGTTTTTCAAACCCAGTGGGTCCGGGTTGTTTCACGGATAAACCAATGTGTTTGGGTTTGGCAAAACCCGACCCAACCCGACCAGCGACGGATCTAGGGGGCCGCCCCCGGGTCACGGCGCAGCCTTCCTCGATCCGGAGCTAGTATAGCACTTATAAATTTTCGATTTTTGGTATTCGTTTCGGTGTTGTCATGTTACGACCCAACCTATTTTCCAATGTAACCCAGTACTCTACTCCATTCTAAATCCGCCACTGAACCAGACCCATTGCCATCCCTAGTTCTAGGCGTCTAACTCCAGCCTCATCCTCAACTTCGTTGTAGTCGTATCTCGTATGTGCAGACCCATTGCCATCCCTAGTTCTACCCGCTGCCTGCAGACACGCCGTTATCTCTCTGGCCCTTCTGTCTCTCTCCCTCTCTCGTATCTGGGAGAGCGAAGTGAAGATTGTGGCTTCAGGAGACCAGACCACAACCAAGGAGCAGGTTAGTTTGTTTGTTCGTTTCTCATTGAAATGCTCCCCCTTTCACCCAATTCCTTTTCCTTCAGAGGGGAAAGTTGTCATTTTTATCTTCCCTTTTGTTCTGGTTCACTAGGTTTTGCTTTGGTTTCTTTCATTCATTTGTTACTGCGTTCAATTCGTGGAATACCCATTATTGGTTGCTTCGTTGTTGTCATTAATTCACGAGTCACGACTACAACACTCTGGTTCTGCGGTTGTTGAGAGCAACCTAGCAGTGATGATGAGATATAGATGTGCCTGCAGCCTTTTGTGTTTTGATTTGACAGTTATGTTTGAATCGTTGCCACTGTCGAGGAAGGAGGTTTTTCTCGTTGAACCCCAACAAGAGTTTCTTTTGACGTTCTGGAGCTCAATTGTTGCGTCACCAAGAGCAGGATAGTTTATCAGAGGATAGATTGATGATAGTGCAAGGGAACTTTGAGTTTTGATGAAAGAATGTTGAAAGCGTTAGGCTTTATGGAAGCTGAGCTGTCTAGGAACTACTAACTTCTGTGATTTTATTGTCTCACTGATGTGATTGGTTTTGAAGGTTGAATTCGGTCTCAGTCTGTTTAAATTGGTTTGATGTTATTATCTTGTCTAGGGCCATTCAGATCCTGCATCCTGTTAAATGGCCATCATTCACTTTGGAAGCACATCCCTTGCCCAATGGGGTACACGACCTCAGCTTATGCCGAGGTCATTAATGACAAACAGAATAGTGATGTGCCAATACAGGTATGTTATATGTGTGCTTAGCACATTCTTTCTTATGCAGAAAATATCATTTTTAGGAAAAAGGCCACGGTAGCCAGTCGGTGTACTCTTCTTTGTTTTAATTTACTGTATTCACTTAATTATGCAGCCTAGACAGCAGGATGAGCCATCTATCAGCGCCAAGTTCGAGCTTCTTATCACGGGAATCCTTGCCTGTGATATCTTTTATGGGACCATCCAAAACCTTGCGTCAACGTAGGGGATCACGGTTTACAGTTAGAGCAGAAGCTGTGAGTGTCTTCTGTAAATCAGTCTGTCGTCCTTGGAAATTAGTGGCTGTCTGATTCTTTTTGTTGTTTGTTCAGTTTATTTTGTATATGACTGCTTCTCTTCACCCATTCTGAATTATGCTTATAATATTTTCACGTTTACAGGACTTCTATTCTGTACTTGGAGTGTCAAAGAATGCAACTAAATCTGAGATTAAAAGTGGTATGTGAATCCTCTTGTGTTTCTCTCTAATTATGAATCTCATTATAGATTTTTCGAGTTTCTGTCTGGTAATTCCAAACGGCCCAATGTATAATTAGCATTACTTTTGGCCTTTTGGATGTGGTGGTTATACATACTAGGCAGCCTCTTGAGAAGATATCATATTATAGGAAATCCCTCTGAGGTGAAAAGCATAGGCACGCGATTTTGAGTCCATGAACTCCTGAGTAAAGGCTATGGACATGAGCAGAGGGTTGAAGTATATACTTGTATAGCCTAAAGGGGTAGTTAGGTTGATAATTAGCTAATCCATCGCTTAAGACATCACATATAACTTGAGAGCGTAGAAAGCAAGAATATGGAATCCACAAGAGTGGCTTACCAGTTTGGTGCTGCCCCTACATCAAAGAGGCCAAAAGTTTCAAATCCCTTGGTGCTGGTATTGTTGTTTGAATCTGCCCAATTCGCAAGACATAAGCTTTGTGGGTTAGAATGTAGAATTGTTGGACTTAATCACAGTGGTGTCTTGGGTTAACTCTAGAGTGCTACAGGGAGGTTTTGAATGGAGTGCAGTTAATGGGGATTTGAATGGCATTAAATCCTTAACTATTTGCATGAACTAAGATGTGGAAACACTGAAAAGGTTGTCATCAGAGATGTTGTAATCTCTGCAACAGTTGGAATCTACATGACTGCTATAGTCTGTATAAATGGAAGATCAACTTTTAAAGCACATCCATCTCTAAGAATAGTGTAGTAATTGTTCGGAGTTCAGCGACTGGGTTAAAAGTGAACTCAGAAAGAAAGCAGAATCCAACTTTTTGGAATATTTGCTGAACTGCTATTAAGCAATGGTGGTCTAAGTGTTTTTAAATGGATTCGTTGAAATATTATCTATTAGTTAGTGAAAAAAATTTGTTTTCATTCTCTGGAGTTCCAAATGGTTGTTTGCAGTGCTATTCGTTCTGTGTAAGCCTATTTTTCCAACCTTATCCCTTAGACTGGGTTGTAAAGTGACTTAAAAGATTTCATTTTTTGTTTCAGCTTATCGGAAGCTTGCAAGGAGCTTTCATCCAGATGTGAACAAGTAAGTTGGTGTCGTTAATGGATGAATGCGCCCTTGTATTTCTTTTTTTTGTTTAACATTGTCTGCTTTACCTGCTTCATGTTCATTGCTCGAGACATTTTCGGTTGTTGATTTGTGGTAGTTCGCTGCTTTTTTGTCAATGAACAATTAATAGATTCAGAAGATGTTAATGTGACCGAGGATGCTCTTTCTGTTGGCATTTGTTAAATGTGCTGGTGGACCTAGTCTTCACACTCATGTTCCTTTAGGATAGCAAATTAACAGTAGATAGAAGTATCATGCAACTTCATCTCCTTGGTTAAATATAACTGGTACATTTAAAGGCATTGGGCCTTAAATAAAAGCTTATACTAGCTTTACCAGAAAACTGCAACACCGGAAGTGAAGCCTGAAGTTGAAAAGCAGTGTCTGGCTACTGGACCAAGTCTAGTTACTTTTTCCTGCTTCCTAGGTCAATTGAGCAAACTAAAGTATGGTATCAACTTAAGTTACTATGAAATTGAAATTGATCTCTGGGAAAACTTTGTTGGGGTATATGTTATGATAATCCTTAAAGATTGGTGATAGGATTACTTCTGCCTGTCATTTTAACTCTTCGATAAGTTGTCTGTGAAATTGTTCTTTCACAAAACTAACCGCAGATTCTTTATCTACTTATTTAGACGACTGAAATGTTTGATATGGACTTTTAATAGGTGTGACCTGGTCTAAAATCAGTGTATACCACTACTGCACTATTGTTTAGAACGAAATATTATATACAAATATGCTCAAACCTTCCCTGTTGCCTTTGTCTTTTCTGTCCAAGGAAATGGGTGTGAGTAAGTTGGTAGGATGAACTGGGAATCCGGTTATAACTCTGCAGTAAACAACACATGCTGGAAGTGTGTGTATTTGCTGTTTCCAGTTTGACCTTATAGACTATTAATAAATCTAGTGTTTGTATCTGCCCAACCTTGTAAACTCTAATGGGTTTCAGATGAATCTACTTTGTAGCTCCATTCATTTTCCCCCCTGAAATCAAGCATTCAATCCTAGAATTTCCAGGCACAGCATCTCCTAGTTTTGTTTTGTGTCTGGATATAATGTGTGGTTGTCAAAAGACATGATAATCTCTTAGCTCCTGGTGTCACTGTTGTCTGAGTGATGTTTTTGTTGAGCAAGATAGATTCCAGATTGATGTTTAGCTCGGATTAGTCCTAATGGTGACTCTGAAGTTTCCCTCGTACAAGCGCAAAATTGGTTTGTCATGTAATCTTGTACAAGCACAAAATTGGCTCGTCGTTCTAACTGATCTTTGCTGTTGTCCAGAGATCCCGGGGCAGAGCAGAAGTTCAAGGACATAAGTAATGCATATGAGGTAAGAAGCATACGTCTTTGTTCATCTTATTTACATGTCCGTCATCCTAAGCCACGAAAGCTAAGCATCAAGTCGTAATGCAGGTCTTGTCCGATGATGAGAAACGATCTTTATACGACCGATATGGCGAGGCTGGGATTAAAGGCGCTGCTGGCATGGGAGCATCGGTACGACTATATTTCTATTGCTCTCATGTTCATTTCTTTCGCAGCAATTCCTTTCAAGAACAAGAAATAAGTATGTTATCTTCTACAACAGGATTTCAGCAACCCATTCGATCTATTCGAGTCGTTATTCGACATGGGCAACATGGGCGGTATGGGAGGCAGGGGAGGCTCCAGAAACAGGGCAGTCGACGGCCAGGACGAATACTACAACCTCGTGTTAACATTCAACGAAGCAGTCTTCGGCGTCGAAAAGGAGATCGAAATCTCCCTCCTCGAAAGCTGCGGCACCTGCAACGGCTCCGGAGCCAAGCCCGGAACAAAGCCAACGAAATGCAACACCTGTGGCGGGCAAGGACAGGTCGTAACTTCAGCTCGAACTCCCCTCGGCGTCTTCCAGCAGGTGATGACCTGCAACACGTGCGGCGGTGCTGGGGAAACGTTCAGCCCGTGCAACACATGTTCTGGCGACGGACGAGTCAGGAAGGCGAAGCGAATCAGCTTGAAAGTACCCGCTGGAGTGGACTCTGGCAGCAGGCTGAGGGTTCGGTCGGAAGGCAATGCCGGGAGGAGAGGTGGTGGCCCCGGCGACCTCTATGTGATGATCGAGGTCATCCCAGACCCTGTCCTGAAGCGTGATGGTACCAACATTCTGTACTCGTGTAAGATCTCGTACGTGGATGCGATATTGGGGACCGCGATTAAGGTCCCGACGGTGGATGGGATGGTTGATCTGAAGATCCCCGGCGGGACACAACCCAACACTACCTTGGTGATGGCGAAGAAAGGCGTCCCGGTGTTGAACAAGAGTAATATGAGAGGGGATCAGCTGGTCCGGGTGCAGGTCGAGATTCCGAAGAGGCTGAGCAGCGAGGAGAGGAAGCTTGTTGAAGAACTTGCTGATCTAAGTAAGGAGGGTAGTAAAACAGCCAACAACCGGAGATAGCCTATTTTACGTTATTACATGCTTACGGGTCAAAATGGATCGGCGGCTCATATTCGGAAAGATTCAAGATTAGGACAATGTTAGCTATACCTTTGGTTATTACAACAGAAACTATTAACAACTTGTTGAGGATACTTTGGTTGCGCAAGTTGTTTGGTTAGTTGTGAATGACACCGTCACCATCTTTAGGCTGCTTAAATTTCTTGATGGCAATGGATTTGATGAAAACTAATAAGGATAAAGTTATAAACTTTTAATTTTAATTCAATTCCGAATGTATACCAAATATTGTTTGAGAATTTTATTTCTAAATATTTAAATAACATACAATAAAAATATGAATTTTACACGATAATTTATTTTAAACGGAATTGAAGCACTTTCCGGGATTTCCAGGCGTGTTTCTAATTTCTCGCTAAGGACTAAATTGTTTTGTACTTTATTTTTTCTTCTCCAATGAGGGAGGTTTTAGCTTTTAGGCTCCAGCCTCATCCTCCAACTTCGTAGTAGTCGTATGTGCTTCTTCTAAGTTCCACCCGCTGCCTGCAAACGCGTCGTTCTCTCTCTGGCCCTTCTCTCTCTCTTATCTGGGAGAGCGAAGTGAAGATTGTGGCTTCAGGAGACCAGACCACAACCAAGGAGCAGGTTAGTTTGTTTGTTCGTTTCTCATTGAAATGCTCCCCCTTTCACCCAATTCCTGTTCCTTCAGAGGGGAAAGTTGTCATTTTTACCTTCCCTTTTGTTCTGGGTTCACTAGGTTTTGCTTTGGTTTCGTTCATTCATTTGTTACTGCGTTCAATTCGTTGAATACCCATTATTGGTTGCTTCGTTCTTGTCATTGGTTCACGAATCACGGCAACACTCTGGTTCTGCGGTTGTTGAGAGCAACCTAGCAATGATAATGAGATATAGATGTTGCCTGCGGCGTTTTGATTGGACAGTTATGTTTGAATCGTTGCCACTGCCGATGGAAGGAGGGTTTCTCGTTGAACCCGGACTAGATTTCTTTTAGCTTTTTGGAGTTCAGTTGTTGCGTCACCGAGAGCAGGATAGTTTATAAGAGGATAGATTGATGATAGTGCAAGGGAACTTTGAGTTTTGATGAAAGAATGTTGAAAGCGTGAGGCTTTATGGAAGCTGAGCTGTCTAGTAACTACTAACTTCTATGATTTTATCGTCTCGCTAATGTGATTGGTTTTGAAGGTTGAATTCAGTCTCAGTATGTTTAACTTGGTTCGATTTTAATAATCGTTTTATCTTTTCATCTTGTTTAGGGCCATTCAGATCCTGCATCCTGTTAAATGGCCATCATTCATTGTGGAAGCACATCCCTTGCCCAATGGGGGACAAGACCTCAGCTTATGCCGAGGTCATTAATGACAAACAGAATAGTGATGTGCCAATATAGGTATGTGTGCTTAGCACTTACTTTCTTATGCAGAAAATATCATTTTTAGGAAATAGGCCTCGGTAGCCAGTCGGTCTACTCTTCTTTGTTTTAATTTACTGTATTCACTTAATTATGCAGCCTAGACAGCAGGATGAGCCATCTATCAGCGCCGAGTTCGAGCTTCTTGTCACGGGATTCCTTGCCTGTGATATCTTTTATGGGACCATCCAAAACGTTGCGTCAACGTAGGGGATCACGGTTTACAGTTAGAGCAGATGCTGTGAGTGTCTTCTGTAAATCAGTCTGTCATATTTGAAAAGTAGTAGCTGTCTGATTCTTTTGGTTGTTTGTTCATTTTATTTTGTATTTGACTACTTCTCTTCACCATTCTCAATTATGCTTGTAACATTTTCACATTTACAGGACTTTTATTCTGTACTTGGAGTGTCAAAGAATGCAACTAAATCTGAGATTAAAAGTGGTATGTGAATCCTCTAGTGTTTTTCTCTCTAATAATGAATCTCATTATGGATTTTTGAGTTTCTGTCTGGCAATTCCAAACGGCCCAATGTATAATTAGTATTACTTTTGGGATGTTGTGGGCATATATGCTAGACAGCCTAATGAGGAGATGCCAGACAGAAATCCCTCTGAGACGAAAAGGATAGGCACCCGATTTTGAGTCCATGAACTCCTGACCAAAGGCTATGGAAATGAGCAGGGGGTTGAAGTATATATTGTTATTGCCTAACGGGGTAGTAAGGTTGATAATTAGCTAACCCATCACTTAAGGCGTCACATATATAACTTAAAAGTGCAGAAAGCAAGAGTGTTGAATCCACAACCACAAGAGTGGCTTACCAGTTTGGTGCTGCCCCTACATCAAAGAGGTCAAAAGATTCAAATTCCTTGGTGCTGGTATTGTTGTTTGAATCTGCCCAATTCGCAAGATATAAGCTTTGTGGGTTAGTATGTACAATTGTTGGACTTAAATCTGGTGGTGTCTTGGGCATTAAATCCATAACTATTTGCTTGAACTAAGAGTTGGAGAAGGTTTTCAGCAGCGATGGTGTAATCTCGGCAACAGTTGGAATGTACATGACTGCTATCGTCTGTATAAACGGAAGATCAATTTTTAAAGCACATCCATCTAACTTTTCGGAATATTTGCTGAAGTGCTATGAAGCGATGGTGGTCTAAAGTGTGTTGTAAAGTGACTAAAAAGATTTTATTTTTGGTTTCAGCATATCGGAAGCTTGCAAGGAGCTATCATCCAGATGTGAACAAGTAAGTTGGTGTTGTTAATGGATGAATGCGCCCTTGTAATTTTTTTTTTTAATATTGTCTGCTTTACCTGCTTCATGTTCATTGCGCGAGACATTTTCGGTTGTTGATTTGTGGTAGTTCGCTGCTTTTTTGTCAATGAATAATTAATAGAGTCGGAAGATGTTAATGAGACCGAGGATGCTCTTTCTGTTGTCATTTGTTAAATGTGCCGGTGGACCTAGTCTTCACACTCATGTTTCTTTAGGATCACAGATTAACAGTAGATAGAAGTGTCATGCAACTTTATCTCCTTGATTGAATATAATTGGTACATTTAAAGACATTGGGCCTTCAATAAAAGATTATATTAGCTTTACCAGAAAACTGCAACACCGGAAGTGAAGCCTGAAGTTGAAAAGCAGTGTCTGGCTACTGGACCAAGTCTAGTTACTTCTTCCTAGGTTAATTGAACAGACTTAAGTATGGTATCAATTTAAGTTACTATGGAAATTGATCTCTGGAACAACTTTGTAAGGATAGGTCATGATAATCCTTAAGGATTGGTGATAGGATTAGTTTTGCCTGTCATTTTAACTCTTCGATAAGTTGTCTGTGAAATTGTTCTTTCACAAAACTAACCGCAGATTCTTTATCTACTTATTTAGACGACTGAAATGTTTGATATGGACTTTTAATAGGTGTGACATGGTCTAAAATAAGTGTATACCACTACTGCACTGTTGTTTAGAACATAGTATTATATGCAAATATGCTCAAACCTTCCTTGTTGCCTTTGTCTTTTCTGTTTAAGGAAATGGGTGTGAGTAAGCTTGGTAGAAGGAACTAGGAATCCGGTTATAATTCTTCAGTAAACAACCCATGCTGGAAGTGTGTGTATTTGTACACTCAAATTGGTTTCCGATGAATCTACTCTGTACCACCATTCATTTCCCCTCCTGAAATCAAGCATTCAATCCTAGAATTTCCAGGCATAACATCTCCTAGTTTTTTTGTCTGGGTATAATGTGTGGTAGTCGAAAGACATGATAATCTCTTAACTCCTAGATTCACTGTTGTCCGAGTGATGTTTTATTGAGCAAGATAGATTCCATATTGATGTTTTGCTCGGATTAGTCCTAATGAGGACTCTGAAGTTCCCCTTGTACAAGCACAAAATTGGTCTGTCATTTTAACTGATCTTTGCTGTTGTCCAGAGATCCCGGGGCAGAGCAGAAGTTCAAGGACATAAGTAATGCATATGAGGTAAGAAACATACGTCTTTGTTCATCTTATTTACATGTCCGTCATCCTAAGCCACGAAAGCTAAGCATCAAGTCGTAATGCAGGTCTTGTCCGATGATGAGAAACGATCTTTATACGACCGATATGGCGAGGCTGGGATTAAAGGCGCTGCTGGCATGGGAGCATCGGTACGACTATATTTCTTGTGCTCTCATGTTCATTTCTTTCGCAGCAATTCCTTTTAAGAATAAGTATGCTATCTTCTACAACAGGATTTCAGCAACCCATTTGATCTATTCGAGTCGTTATTCGACATGGGCAACATGGGCGGTATGGGAGGCAGGGGTGGCTCGAGAAACAGGGCAGTCGACGGCCAGGACGAATACTACAACCTCGTGTTAACATTCAACGAAGCAGTCTTTGGCGTAGAAAAGGAGATCGAAATCTCCCTCCTCGAAAGCTGCGGCACCTGCAACGGCTCCGGAGCCAAGCCCGGAACAAAGCCAACGAAATGCAACACCTGTGGCGGACAAGGACAGGTCGTAACTTCAGCTCGAACTCCCCTCGGCGTCTTCCAGCAGGTGATGACCTGCAACACGTGCGGTGGTGCTGGGGAAACATTCAGCCCGTGCAACACGTGTTCCGGTGATGGACGAGTCAGAAAGACGAAGCGAATCAGCCTGAAAGTTCCTGCTGGAGTGGACTCCGGCAGCAGGCTGAGGGTCCGGTCGGAAGGCAATGCCGGTAGGAGAGGTGGTGGCCCCGGCGACCTCTATGTGATGATCGAGGTCATCCCGGACCCTGTTCTCAAGCGTGATGGTACAAACATTCTGTACTCTTGTAAGATCTCGTACGTGGATGCGATATTGGGGACTGCGATTAAGGTCCCGACGGTGGATGGGATGGTTGATCTGAAGATCCCCGGCGGGACACAACCCAACACTACCTTGGTGATGGCGAAGAAAGGCGTCCCGGTGTTGAACAAGAGTAATATGAGAGGGGATCAGCTGGTTCGGGTGCAGGTCGAGATTCCTAAGAGGCTGAGCAGCGAGGAGAGGAAGCTTGTTGAAGAACTTGCTGATCTAAGTAAGGGTAGTAAAACAGCCAACAACCGGAGATAGCCTATTCGAAAAGATTCAACATTAGGACAATGATAGCTATATATTTGATTATTACAACAGAAACTATTAGCAACTTGTTGAGGATATTTTGGTTGCGCAAGTTGTTTGGTTAGTTGTGAATGACAATGTGGGATGCTTTTAGGGGACCTAAATCGGATTACGCTGCTGCGACACCTTGTTCCTGACAATCAATATGAGGGCATGTTGATCCGGTTCGTTTGCATAGCAATCTACCTCTTTCTTCTGCTCCGACAGGAAGAAGCGTATCAAGGTCCTCTCCCTCGACCTGCTAGAAGTTGCCTTCGTCAGTGGCGGAGCCACATTATGGGTAGGAGGGGCCTTTTTTGGTCACCAGCAAAAGAATCGTCACTAAAAATCCTTTTCCTGTGACTAGGACAGAAAATGGTGATAAAGACGAAGAGCGTGGTGTATATGTTTCCTCCGGTACCTTTGGAGGGTAAAGCCAGGCTGGCGATTTTCTGCAAGTTGAATCTCCAATTGCAACAGGATAGCAAATAATTTAACAAGGAAAAGAACCCCTCAGATTGCTGTCAGAGAAACAAGACAACTCACACTGCTTAGTACTACTAAGTTACTAGTGGATGATAGCCTTCTTATAATATCGAGACATGTAATGCAGCAAAAGCTGGCTTTTTTCTTGTGTAGGGAGCAGTCTTTGCAGACAGATGCTGGAGATGGGGAGGCTTGGTTTGCTGCTTTCGAGTCGAATGATAGAAAAAAGTTGTTGTCAGAAGAATATGATCGAGACACCCATCGTCAGGCATCCTGCAGCTACCCAGGGGCTTAACCGTTCACCTGTGTTCCTCCACACGGTACAAACATCAGCGCAACTGCGAAAAAACTCAGGACAATCCCGAGCAATACGTAATAGAACAGGTAATGAATCTATGGTTGACAGCAGGATTCTGTTATTTGTATTCTGTTCCTCAAAGAGCCTATGGAGAATCGAATTACATAACAGCTACGTCCTTAACGAGATAATAATGCTAGTAGAACTATGAATGTGTTCTGGAGATTCTGTTCTGGTTAGATCTTATGAAATCGTGAAACAAGGGTTTACTACAAACGTACCTATTCTGGCTGCTTTCCAAAAGAAACCGCGGAATCTGTAACGAACAAACAACTCGGAACTCATCTCAGAGGCCAAGCGAGACAAGAATAGTGAAAGCAGAAAGAAAGAAAGAAAGAAAAAGAGGATGCAAGAGGGTTAAGCAGTAGCAGTAATCACCCACCCGGTTTTCTGTTCGAGAATGGTGGGGAATTGCATCTTCAAGAAAGTGCAAGTGCAGATCACCAGCAGCACCACCGTCAGAAACGAATGGAAATTGAAAAGCGCCGACTGCAGAATTCAGTTAATTACACCCACAAACGAGAACCCCTCTAAGATTCAATCTGCATCTCCCGATCACTGATTCTGATGGAAAAGAATGGAAAAGGATTGAGCTTTCCACGTACCATGTTTACTTCTTCGGCTTCCGCTTCTTCCCTTTTGATCGTTGATTATTTCCTTTCCTGACTCCAGGTACAGTCGAAAAGCAGCTTACCGCAGGACTCGTGTGTGAGCGATGAAACCAAAACTCTGTGCCTGCCTCACTGGGAAATGTAACAATCAAAAGACGTCGTCTTTCTAACTTGTCTCGTTAGCCGGCCTGTATGCTGTATCCCTCCTTTTCCTGCAATAAAGCCATGACGTGAAAATTAGGTGCCTTTCTATTTTTGTGGCTTTGAGCAGTAAGATTAGGGTGAGTAGGCTTTTCCATTGTTCACATAATTGCTTCAGTAAATTCAGGAGGAAAAAAAACAAGACAATACATTATTGTAAGCCGAAATCAGAATACACATTAGTTGAACTCATCTGCATCAGTGAACTGCAATACATGGTAATTGTGTTACAGCTGCTTGATACAAATCCCTTAAAATTGGGAACTGTGACTCCATGGACATACTATAAATAAGACGATCACAGCGAGACAAAATCATACATAGTACTACAGATACCACGGGCTCTTTGTTAGATAGCCACTTTGTTGTGAAAATTTCTGCTCTTCGATTTTTAAGTGAAAAAACTGTGCATACAAGCAGCGAGCAGGCAGTGGCAGACAGATCAAATGGATCCAGGATAGAGCAATTATGGCTTGGAATAGCGTCTGGATTTCTGCTCGTCCGATTAGCGTCTGGATTTCTGCTGTGGAGGGTATCCAGCCCCCATAGGCGGATCTTTCCTTCTCAGGTGAGGTTGCTGATGGGCCTGAGCAACACCTCGACCCATTGGCATTCCTCCTGGATTCATCCCTCCCATTCCGGCCTGAGCCTGGAGATTATAAGCTGCCATACCCTGAGGTTGCATTCTCTGCATCCCCATGTGCATAGGTCGAGGACCACCTCGGCCCATTCCATGAGCACCTGCCATCATTGCATTCCCAGAAACCATCTGTTGTGGAGGCTGAAGGCTAGTCGTTCCTTCAAAATCTGTATTCGTGTCAACAGGACGAGTAGGATAATTGATCACTTTCTCCCCTGGCTGAACCGGCACAAGAGCATTTCTTCCCGGCGAAGGTTCCATCTTGAAGTACTCATGATCAAGTGCCTGTGCAGCTGTTATCCGCTTTCTAGGATCATATTCAAGCATCTTAGAAAGCAGATCAAATGGAGCACTTTTGGGAGAGAGATGCACTACACTGTGTAGTGCATTGGTTTCATACTTGTGACCTTGGATGTGCTGAAGATCAGATTGCCAATGAGGAAGGTTGACAAGTGTTGGCCACTTTTCTTGTGTGGGATGGCCTAATATCTTGAAAATCTTGTCGAGCTGATCGAGCTGGAAAGGGTTCGGTGTCGACTTGGCCTCTGCACCTTGAAAGAGGGGCTTCAAAGTCAAGAGCTCAGCAAAAATGCATCCAACAGCCCACATATCAACAGCGCTCGTGTAATGCTTCGCCCCAAGGAGCAACTCGGGAGCACGATACCAAATTGTTACCACAACACCATTATCGGACAACGGTTTCAACGGAGCTTGATAAATCCTTGCTAGCCCAAAATCGGCAATCTTGATGGCTCCATGCTCTTCACCATCTCCCATCACGAGGATGTTGGACGGCTTGAGGTCTCGGTGCACGATCCAGTTGCTGTGGAGATAGTTCAACCCGTTGAGCAGCTGCCAGAGCAGAGATTTGACCGTATACTGGTTGATCGGGTGGTTGAGCTTCTCTCTGTGGTGCCTGATGATCTCGTAGAGGTCGTGCTCAGCATAGTCGAACGCCAGGTAGAGTGACATGTCGTTGTGGTTGATGTGCACGTTGACGAGCTTCACAACGTTCTCGTGCGTTATTTCTCGTAACAACATGATCTCGCGGATGGCGGTGGGGGAGACACCGTCACCATCTTTAGACTGCTTAAATTTCTTGATGGCGATGGATTTGCCACGGCTTGAAGGCGGTGACTTGGTTTTGGCCAAGAATACAAGACCGTAAGTACCTTCCCCGATTTTGCCAATAAGGTTGTACTGCTGGAGCCATTCTGGCTTCTCACTGTTGCCACCACCACCACTGCCTCTGTTGTTGCTACCATCTCCCATTGTCTTTCTAAGTTGAACAGCAAGCCCCAACTGAGCTCACCTCACATCAGAGCATGTTTTGTTGTCCAAGACAATCAGATGGAAATGCCAACACCCAACAGCTTGTTGCAGTTGCTAACTACAAAAATTGACGAGATGAAAGAAAAGGATCAGAAATGTCTCCAATAACGACAATCTTTCAAGCAGAATAGTGTCAAGCACTACTAAATCCTACAGACTGCATTTTGCAACATGAAAACTAGATGCAGAAGAGATTTTTGAACTGGTCAAGAGCCATAGATAAGGGGCTCAGAATGATAACGAATAGTGAGAACTAGGCACCAGCTTCCAGAACACTTCGTTGGAAAAATTCTCTATCTAGTCCAGCTATGGAAGACGTACTTAGGGTTCTTCGGCTGGTTTGTCAAGTAAACAAATGTCTAAGCTTTTGAGCAATCAAAAAGAGTTCTTCCAAACCCAACATCTGAAAATTGCTGAAAAGTATTATCCTTCTCCCACCCACATCATCTCTTGGACAGGGGGGAAAGCAGTAAACATCAATCGATTGAAGTACCAACCAAATTGCCCACAAAAGACCTACCTCTGGAAGAACCAAAAAACACTCGGGGAAACCGCAAAATTATTGAAAACAACGAAGAAAGAAGGAATTGCTTCACTTACAGTAACTGAGAAACAAGAGCTGCGGATCCGAAAAGCCAGAGTAACTTAGAATCGGAAGATGGCAGGAGAAGAACGAGAAGAGGAACGCCGGTGAACGGAGTAAGCGGGCGGTTGCGGGGATTCCTGACAACGAGGAGCCGGGTAGAGAGAGGGAGGTCCAGGTCCGGATCCGAATCGGATGGTTGAAGGACTGAAAGAGAAGCTAGGTGGTTGGATCTTTGGCCAGAAATGGAGACAAAAATTTATGAACCGACGAAAATACCAAGTTCGGATCTTCTTTTACCGTTGCCGTTTCCGGGGGTTAACTGGATGTGGCCTACGGCACGGCGGCTTGTGAGTTTTGAGCCCCCTTACTACAACTAGTCTAGATTCTATAATCTATACCCAATTTTGGGTTAGTCTCGCCGAAGAGCGCCTAAAGTTAGGCACAATTGATATTTCCGGCACAAAATTTTAAGGTAAAATACACACGGTTTATGTGATTTGAATCGGATTATTTGGTTATAATCGGAAGTCATAAGGTCTCGTTGGTGTTTGAGTTCTTCTTTTGGGTATGGTCTGTAACTGTTTTCCTTTATTAGATTATATTAGGGTTAGACCATATAAAGAAGTGGTATAAATACTTCTCATACTTCTTTGTAATATGTATCTCCACGAATTAGTGAAATCGACTCTCTCCTTCCCCTCGACTAGCTAACACAAATTGTGTTAGTGAATCATATAAATTCGTGTGTCGTGTTTCGGTTATTGCTTTCGTTTTCTTGCTTTGTCGATCCTCCGATTTCTCGAATCCGTAGAAAACAGTCGTGATACCCACATTTTTCGAGTTTGTGATAATAATAACTACTTTTGGAGAATGCACCAAATAATCTTATTTTCGGATGATTGTAGGATAAATCTAGCCATTTCCATTACAACATTTAATGGTGTTAGATATTTCGTCAGTTAGTTTAACAATATGCTGATTAGGATACCTTGCTAACTAAATAAAGCATAGCTCATATTAGGTTGCAAATGAGCTTAGCCGAGTTGAATTTTGACCTACTTCATTTTCAATTCGTGAAATATTGACTCGTATTTAACCTCAAGAGTTTTAATCGAGTTCCACCCATCGATGAGCTCATATATCTTATTCTTTGATTCAAACATTTCAATTCTTCATATGTTATTCAATATAAACTTGTATTTAGGCAATTTGTGATATATAGTTTGTATTTTAAATTATAATTTGAGACATATTCTCTTATGAGAGTTTTGAGCATTGGTAGCTCTATCCTCTATGTATTATGACAAACATATGAATAGTCAACAAGTCAACTCATAAACTATAGATTGACTAGCTGATTAGTTGATAGTCAAATTGGCTTGCTAGTCACGCTACAAGCAACTCATTATTTCAAAACGAGCTCGCTCACGAGCTGAAATCAACACGCCACAAGTCGAGCTAACTCGCATGCCTTGCAAGCTGAATAAAGTATAGTTCCAGCTCGATATATTGACTAACCAACCAAGTGTCAAACAGACGTTTATCACATGTTTTGCCATACCTCGTATATAATTTGATTTCTCCCAAATCAAATATTTAAATTTGATTTCTATAAAAAAATGTTTAAATTTGATTAATTGATTATCAAATTTTAATTTTTAGCAGGAGTAGTCTTTTTGAAAGCACTCCATACAATTTTTAGATAAACGAGAGCGAGCAATCAATTTATTCCCGCCACTTCCAGAGTTCGATTTCGTCAGACCTGGAAAAGCATTTCCGAGCATCCCTTCCACAGCCAGCAATGGAGGCGAGCGAGAGGAAGAAGAATCGATGGAGCGTCACTTACACGAAGCACGTCAAGCAGAAGAGGAAAGTTTATCAAGACGGTTTCTTAGATCACTTCATCATCACCAACAAGGTTAACCATCCACCACTCCTCTCTCACTCCAATCGTCTTCCGCGAGATTTCGCAGCTTTCGTAACCCTAGCTTTTCACTGCAGAACTTTCGCTCGGTTTGAGATTTTAGGTTTATATATCGGCGGATTCGGTTGTTCAATCATGCTGGATCTGAATTCCCTTTCGTTTCGTTGTAGGTCATGCTGTTCGACGAGTTCGAGAAGCTACTGGAATGCAGGGTGCTGAAGGACGAAGAAGTCGTTAGCTGCGGCGAGTCGCTGACTTTCAATTCATATCTCGTCGACGTTGGTGATCCGGAAGGTCATAGTATGCCGGCTCCGGAGAGAGATAAGAAGATGCCGCAGCGTGGGCCTAGTGTCGGGACTCGGCAGAAATTCAGATCTCCGTCTATCAATTATGGTGACTGCGTATCTCCACTTACCTTCTTCGCTAGCTGATCAGGTTCCACTTACTTTCTTCGCTAGCTGATCATGTTTCATTTCTTTCTGAAGGTAAAGAGAATATTGTTGAGAAGAACAAAATCCTTAGGAATGACTTAAGTCCATCGCAGAAGATTATTAGAGGTGTGTTCAGTCAGTTGTGTAGTGGAATGGATGCTAGTTTGTTCTGAAATGAGCATCAGTGTAAAAGTTGTTTGCTCTTCAGAGTTCAAGAAGAATGAGCTGCAGAAGTATGAGGCACCAAAGAGTGGTAAAGATACGGATAAACTTGGCGCTGCAGGTTTGTCACTTAATCTGTTTGAATGAGATGTATGAAGTATGGATTAGTCTGGCTCCCTCATGGAAGTCTTGTTCCTTACTCTAAAATAGAGTGGCAGGTCTTGTATACTACTCAAGTGACTAAAAAGGCCAAGACGTACCATGATGGCTTCTTGCGGGTTGCTAACTGTGGATACTTTCAGAAGCAGGTTGATTTGCTAATACCTTCTAATTCCCTTCATTAGTACAGTCATCATCTTCTTTAGCTAGTATCTTTGGGATTCTGATGCTGTTCCATTCAATAGCTGTTCTAGCATTCTAAGTTCCGAACATCCAATTACTTTGTATGTATATTGCTGGCAGATTGAAACTTTTATTTGCATACTCTTCAGGTTATGCTATATGACGTGAGCAGGAATTTGTTGACTAGCAGATTTCTAAAGAAAGATGAAGCAGTAGCATCAGGTAGATCCATCTCAATGGATGGTCACCTAATTGAAATTGGAGAGGCTGAGAAAGATCGTTCGCATTCAGTGGATATACATGACGGACAAGGGGACGACTACTATGTTAATGGGAAGATCAAAGTGTTGCCTGGACGACAGAGTTGTTCTAAAAGCTGCCCCATTGTCATAGAAGGTTTAACTCCATATAGCTATAAATGCCGTTTTCTGTTTATGCATTTCAATGACTGATACTGATGTTGGGTTTGGTTTTCCTATACAGAACCAAACAGAAATAAGCCAGCAGTATTCCCTTTGGTTTCGTCCCTTTGTTAATGCCCTGGGTCACCAAGCACCTTCATCACATTTCAGTGGTGCAGATCATCTAATGAATATGCTTCTGTGCTGCTTGTAGATATTGAAGCAAGTGATCCGCACAAGCCTGAACAGGTTTTGACTGGTGGAAATATAACAACTCATACTAAAACAGGTTTGTGTATACTTAGTGTGACATCTGTCTATCATGCAGTATCGAAGGTTCTTGGTGCGAATTGCAGTCCAATGCATGATATAGTTACTGTGCAATGTCTTTTGTCGCCTGCATGACTCATTAGGGTTACACTAAGAGCTGCTGCTGTGGTGTCTATGTCCACATATTGAGGATCTTTAGTTCGTTCAACTAGGTTGTCTTGATATTGTTTTTTATACAGTTCTGCATGCATATGCCTCTATCATGCAGAGTGGCAAGTTATGTACACATCACAAATGACTCAGAAGGCCAAAAAGTATCATGATGGTTTTCTGAAACTTGAAAATCATGGGAACTTTGGGAGGCAGGTCAGTTCATCATCCTATTTATCTTATAACCAATGAGGAAACTTGCTAGTAGGTTCTTTTATGAATGCATCCCTTTTAGTTTAGCTCCACCTATTGATGCCTAGTCTTTCAATTACCGGATTCAGATCAAGCTGTATGATGTAAGCTGGAACATTCTCAGTAGTAGGCACCTCAAGAAAGATGAAAGAATATGCTCTGGAGAATCAATATCATTTGGTGGCTATTTAGTTGATGTTGGAGAACTTGAAGCAGACAATCAAGTTCTACCAGGTGTAAACAATGAAAATTGTCCCAAAGAAATTCGCAAGCCAGATAGAGTAAATCATGCTTCACTTGGATCCTACAAATCTACACTAAAAGGTTTGTTAATGTATTTGGCTCAATGAAGCCAGTGGTTTCCTCTTGTAAAGGCGATGGGCCATTGGCTGAATGCGAATTAAGCTTCTTCTATTTCTTTTAATAGGGGGATCACATGGTAATGATCTGCCAAGACAAGATTGCAGTAGTCCTTCTAAATCAGGGAGGACCAAGTTTGTTGACATTGTTCCCACAAAACAACCTCTACGTGATGGTTTGTTCCACTCTTGAACTTGTTTCATTGTATTTTCTATGCTATAAGAAATATTATATTCCCAGTTGAAGTAATAAATGGTTGTGGGTTGGCTTCAACCATCTATTCTGGACCATATTCCCTGCACATTTTATCAAGCCATGCTCATGTTAGTTATAATTTTTAGAGAAGTCATTTCCTTCGCTGTCGGAACAGTTTTCGTGTCATTTTTAGCATTCATTACTGCTTCTAAAAGTAACACTGTCTGAAAAGAAGGGCGAGATGTAAATGTAAAAGAACAAGTTGATATTGATAACTATATGCTTCATACTGATGGTGGGTTTTAGCCTTGCAGCTTGGCAGATCTTGTCTGTTCTTAAGAAACCACTCCAGAAGAGTGCTGCTGCAGAATGCATCAACCACGATCAAATTGCTCGGGTTTCCTCCATTGAGGCGCTTCAAGCCTCCACTGCTGGAGACTCAGTGTTATTCCCAGTTCATGGAACAAGTGAAAATCTGGCAAACAAGGATTTAAGCAAGATAACTAATGATTTTGAAGGCAGAAAACGTAAGTCTCAGTCCTTGTACCTCTTGTACATTGACTTCCTTAAAAGATGCCTTGTTTCGAGATAATATCTAATGCTTCATGCCTCGTACTGCAGAAAATACCAGCAGATATAGTCGGATCCCTGGTGACGCTGAAGCTGACCATAGTAGCCAGGTTTGGACCAATATGCCTGAAAGTTTTTTAGTTGCCATCTCTTCAAATTAGATTGAAATACAGTTTTTCCAACTAATGTAACAGCATAATCTAGACAATATGGAAACACGCACCAAATGCCGGGGTGAAGGTTTGGGTTCACATACTACAAGTTCTGCAACGACCTTTACCAGAGAAGACCCAAGGAGTGATGGTGGAAGCAGTAGTTCTGAGCAGCGCAACAGAATCATTGAGGAGTTGCCTAGTTTTGATCTCGGATTTTGAGAATTGAACTTTGGGTCTCTTTTTCTTGATATATAAGCTGTAAATTTCATTTACATACTTGTGGCAGAAATTTGTGGGCATGGCCACGCCCATAATGGCTAAACTTGAGACTAGAAGCTGAAGCATTAGAAAAGATGAATGAAAACTATATTAAGTGTGTCTTTCAAAGTCTTCCTTCTAACTTATTGTTTTCAGATCTCGTCCAGTTGCTTGTAGATGGAACCATTATCTTTCTTGGATCCCCGCAAGCTCACCATGGCCCTGAACAGGCGTTTGCTTTTACTGGCCTGCTGCTCATTCTCATTCCTCCCACCATCTATTCCTCTATGTTCCGGCCATGTAACCAATCTCCGTGGAGCTGATGGATTCTGTAAAAAGAAATCAAGACACATGTAAGTTTGAGAAACTCTTTCCTCTATTACCTGTGCTCAATGCTGCATTTCTGCTAATGTGCTTATACCCTTTGCTTCCCATTGGCATAGTTTGGAGAAATTGATCTCTTGAGATACAGAGATCCAGATCGCAGAAGTGGGTACCGTTGTGGAGAGTCTGCTATTTTTTTATCTGCTCATTGCCAGAAAATTCGCTGTCAGCTCAGCAAGTAACATCTCAACAAGTCCAGTCAACTAAGAAAACCTGTTCTTTTGTTGCCACTTACTGCTACTTCTACCACTACTATTAGTCAAACTCCATGAAAATGCCAACGGTGGTTGTCTCGGAGACCCCTGTGAGTACTTGAACTGTGAATGCCCTTCTCTACACAAACAGCAATCAAGCATTGTCCACGTGTCAACGCATGATTCAAAATGGCACCACAACAAGAAGAAGATAAACATTTACTGAGATCAATTTACCTTAGAAAGGTGGAAGGGCTGCTGCCACTAGTTTTCCTCTGAACAGCTTTGCCGGAGAAGAACAACGATCATCCAGTGAGTTTACAAGAAAACTGTTAAAAAGGAAACGGATAAAGGAGAAGTGAAATTACCATTGGCGAAATGATGGAAGTTGAATTCGAGGCTGGAGCTACTTCTACTACTACGAGCTTCATCCTCCTCCGTCGTCACGCTCTCTCCTTCCCATTCTGCAGCCTCCTTCGCGTCCTCTGCCGAACAGAAAAACTTCTTATGCACTCTGCAGAAAACCAGCATATTGCTATGGAGATAATTTGAAAAGCCAAGGTATGAAGATTTCTGCCTGGAATTATGTACTGTTTGTGGTACTTGGGAGCTTTGAATGCCAGAGAGTGCTGATAGATCCCTCCTCGGTTTGTGTAATGCTGCCATGTCTTTGCTCTCTGCAGGAAATGGGAAGTTGGTTTCAGAACTAAGAGGGGACATTGAATCAAACTCACGGCTTGGCTGTGACTTCACATCAAATCATTATCCAACGAATCACCTGATGCAGGGAATCGAATTGTTGATCCACTGCTGCAACTTCACTCGTTGTATGGTCGAGGAAGCTGTTCATCTTGTACGCCACGGAACCCAAGTGGTCGATCGTATTGATCAGGGCTTTAATGGTGTAGTCCTTGCAGGTATCTATCACCCTGCATCGATTGAAGTACAAAGAAATTTCACAGCCTGGCAGTTTGACACGGTTTCAGGCATGGAAATCGGTGTGACTCACATCTCTTTCCTGACTTCATCCCTGTAAGACTCCTCAAACTGTTCAGCTGCAGAGTACAACTGTTTCCTGAGACTCTTCAATTCCTGAAAAACTCATCCACCCACTCAATCAGAATTTATGAACCTCAAGCATGAGGAACTGCCCTTACCTTGAGATTGGTTATTTCCTTACCTTGAGATTGGCAGAGAAGAGTAGTTTTTGCTGCATGAGGTGTTCTTCAAAACTTGCAGCAGCTGATCCATATGGATTGGAGCAGGGTGAGCTCTTAATCGCCATGAGAGAATCTGTGGTCGACTGAAGAACCAAAAGCTAGGTGAGACAGAGATTAAGAGGGAGCTACAATAAGCAAAAGTATTGGAGCTGGATTAACTGACTGTTGTTCATGTGACTCTGGGTATAGGACTCAGGATTAAATTATTGGAACCAGACAAAGGGAGCTATAATAAGCAAAAGTATGGGAGCTGGATATGCTGCTTTCTGCTTTTTGTCTGCAGGCGTTGAAAGCTAGATATTACCAAACTGTTGGGTCAGGTGAACTGTGACAGGGGGAAGAGAAAGTTCATAATAAAGGTCGGTGTGGAAAGAAAGCTTTGGGTTTTTTTTATTATGGAGAAATAATGCACACAGATGTCACCCTCTTGGTCCTGGACTCCTGGTAAGCATACTCTGAATCTTCCCCTCAAGTTTTTACTTTGTCCTACCAACGAGTCGATTACCGTAGTTGGAAGTTAGGGATGTCTGGATGATGGATTTCCGAAATGAGGCAGTTTGATTTAATCGTCTCGAAAATATTTCATCTCATAATTGATGCATCGATTTAAAATGATGCAAAACGAAGCGATTCAAACTGCCTCAGTTTAATTGCTGCATTCTCTGTTATCAGTTGTGAAATGAGTCAATTTGATCCAATTGCTTCAATTTTGAGACAATTGGGTTAAATTCTCTCCATCAAACAATGAAACTAGAGTTTGGAGCTAGTGGCTAGAAATACAAAGTTGAGATACATGGATAGCTTTATCGCATCGTACCTCATATTTTGATTAACAGACAAATAGACTATTATTTTATAACTTCGGTTTAGTTACTATAATCTTGGTGGAATGGAAGGTAGACCTCTGTTCAAGAAACTTGATTCTCATGTGCCCAGGAATTTTTATGGCTACAGATGGATTTGGTGGGAGGGTAAAGGCTCGAGGTCTGAAGTCAGGGAATCAATGAGGGAAAGCTACTTGAGAATGAAGGCAGTAGCTTTTGCTGTCATTATTGGTCCGGGCGGAAAGGTTGTGATTCTAATAAAGGAAGGATTCATGAAGTTCAACGGTATCAACCACAATGAGAAAGCCAATTATTGGTTCATCACGCTACGGTGATATCTCTCTATCTTGTGAGTTGTGAACCACTAGATTTGCTCCTACTCAAAGTGCCCTACGTGAAAAAGGGATATTCTCAATTTGACTTGTAGCAGCCGACAAACTGCTTAAGAAGCACCCAAAGGTAAACCATAATGCGCCTTGAGCAGGTCTCCAAGTCCAACTACTTGGAATGCAACTTGCTTAGTTGCATTTCACTCAAGGAAGGGGAGAGCACATGACACACTAAGGTAAAGGTGATACATTAGCCAAGAGGGATATAGATGTTCGAAATTATCGTAGTAGTAACTATTCATGAAATTTAGGGTGCAATGCAGTTTCATATACAGATAATAATTGTCCATTCGAAATTCAGAATGCATCAGAGACTGCTCCCATGCAATTTAATCGCTAATTCGAAAAATTAATGGCATTGCCCAATACACACACACGTAGAGGTGGCAAATGGATTGGATTGGTGGATCCATGGATCAAATGGATTGGATCTAATGGATTGGTGGATTCATGGATTGGATCAAGTGGATTGGTGGATTATCCATGAATCCAAATGACATCCTCAACCAAGGACCAATATGTAAAATGTAAAAAGTTTAGGTAATAAAATGTCATAATGAAAAATTTTAGGTACCAAAACGTAATTTTCCAATGATATTTTTTTGTATAAAAAATTAAATTTTAGGTACCAAAATGTAAAATATAAAAATTATAGGTACTAAACCGTAATTTGCCAATGATCCATGGATCCAATTCAATTGGATTTGGATAAAATGGATTGGATTAGGTGGATATTTTTAATGGATTGATGGATTGGATTGGTGGATTGGATTGAAATTGCCACCTCTACACACACGTCTTCCATGAGTAAATACTAAATAGTGATGACATCAATTATCACTTATTCGCTTTCATATTGTGACTCCATTCAGATCACAATGAGTGACTTCCATAAATCACTGACCAGTCTTGGTAATCCATACATTGGATCGATAAACATGGTGCCATATGTTGGATCAATAAACATGCTACTATACATTAGATCGATAAACATGCTGATTTCGTGGTATAACTTGACCAAAATCTCGCATCTTTCATCACTATTTAAGAACAAATTGAGTTTAGTTTTATGTGACAAATATGCTTCCATAATTTACAAGATAGGCAAAGTCACTTTGCTTGAATTATTTGGACATAAAAATTAGCCAAATGATCAAGTACTATGCAATTTTATGCAAATAATCAAAGCTTAGATCGAACTAGGAAAGCATTACATAGCTCCAATGAACAGCGACCTGGAATCCTTAAGAGCCACCTGCGTACGCAGTGGCAGAACAACACGAGGATGCCTTAATTTGTAAGCCCAAAAGGGTAATGTCCAAATGATTTTCTTTAACGCTTAAAGACAATGGGTTCCAGAAAACACAACGCTGAAAGTCTCAATGACACTACAGGCTTCAGAATGATGCTGCAAAACACATAACTTCCAGTGAATCGGCATGCGCCCCCCCACGAACATTGAGTCCCATTGAAGCACTACAGATGAGGAGAAACTACATGTTCTCTGTTTTCTCCACGAACAAACAATTTTAAGGCGGTGGAGGTTTGTATATCAGCCGCCGGAGCAAGAGCAGTCGCACTAGACAATCCGCTCCAACTCCCGGGCATAGCTGAGAGTCTGGTTGATTAGTTGCAGGGACGGGATCTCCTTGCAAGGTGCGGTTTCCTTTGCCTTCTGGAAGATGACAGACCCATCTTTTATTTCCCACTCCGGATGCTCCTGCATGAACATAGTGGAGCAGAAAAACTTATATGATTCCTCATGGTGCATGACAAATCTCTAAGAGGTATTACATAGAATAAGTAATTCCGCAGTCTATCAGTGACCAGCACACACGAAATAAGTAGAGACCTTTACCTCATTGATGTACTTCAGGAGTTCATTATCGGATGAGAAGAGCAACATTTGGCGTGCATCGTTTGTTGAAAGGAAGTCATATGCCTTCTCGCTGCACCCAGCTATCTCGTCCCTGGAAGTGACAGAGAAACAAATAACTGAACTTGGACACATAAAGTAACATCAGTATTCAATAAAAAACAAAACCCTGCTTTCAAGATTAAATATAGCCTTTCACCTAGTTTGCCACAAAATCACCTGAAACCTAAGTTCATAAAGACAACTATACATGAATGGAAGAGAAACAATTATGCACGGTACCCACAGAGAAGCTCCTCTAGCTGCTCTTTATACTGGTTACTTAGCTGAGAACTAATACTAAAAGTCAAAAGCACTGAAATCTAGAACGGATGGATGATATCAATTGTGAATCTACCTCAAAGACAACACACTTCACAAGAAAAAGAACAACATAGAAAGCTTATGCACCAAGCAAATGCATCCATGGTAACAATTGCAGCTGCCTCATCAACTGCCAAATCCACACACAGTAAATTACCTAACTGTCTTTGCCAAAAGATCCATGAAGTAGTCATAGCTCTGGTTTGGAACAGTTTGTTTTGCAGTCAGCACACGGTTGTATGCCCCTTCCATGAATGACTGCTCCAACTCCACGGCATGCTTGATGCAAGGATCCTCCAGAGACTCAGCTGGAAGCAGTTCTAGTTCAGTGTGGAATTCAGCAATTCTATTCTGAACAAGGAGTCTCAAAAGGTTGAGGCCCAATATCATGTGCTCTTGAGGAGAACGAGGCAGGCGTTTTCTGCTCAGTAGGTAAAATATATGTCAGGGAACAAAGAATCAGCAGTAATGTTAAAACAATTGATATCCTCCAACACACATGAAGAGCACGCATTAGATGCAAATGATGAAAGATTTCATCTGAATTTCGAGACAGCATAAGAAACCGGCAGCTAGTTGAAAAAGGGTGTACTTCATTAACAAGAATTGGAATTCAAGTCACATTTTATTTCACATTCTCCTCCTATTGATAGCAGTTTCTAAGTCCATCTAGAGACAAAGCTACACCCTTTCCATTCTATATTAATCTGGATTACGCCAAGTAGACAAATGAAAGGAGATAATGGAGACCTTACCGAGCGTCTGTATAATAGGGCTTCAGCTGAAAGAAGTCCCTTTCAAATGCATCCTGATCCCCCATCTTCACACTTAGGAGAACAGCATGCTCATAAATATCTCCTGAAAGTTGCCACGGATACAAACCAAAAAAACAAAAACAAAAACTTTAGCAGTAGCAGAACTTCATAAGGGAATTCAACAACAATTCATATGTGTGCTGTTTATTCTCCTATACTGTACTTCCCCATTAGCCAACACCATCACAGCAAATCAATTCACAACGGATCTCAGGTCGAGCATCTAACAACCAAACCGCATTCATTCGTACAGAGAAAAATTAGGGCAAAACAAAACATACTCGCTATCGTCAATTCTTGAACAGCGTTTGGAGTAACTTCGAACAACGGTGGAAGGCTCCGGAAGCTAGTCAACAAGACCTACACAAAAAAGACAGGCCAATTGCTGCTCCAAATCCAGAGAATTCAATAAGGAACTAGTCTGCTACAAGCTGAGAACTTCGACATCAGAAGATCGAAGCAGAGAACTAGGGTTCCAATGGCGAATCTCTCACCTTGAGCTGAGACAGCAGATTAGCCGAGGTATCGATATCCTCTCTCACACAAGCCGCTTTGAATCGCTCGAAGTACTGCGACACCTCCGTTAGCTTCGGATCCATCTCTTGAGATTCTGTCGCCGTCGATTATCGTCCGATCTCTACTCCGCCGGCTCACAGTCTCCGTTGCAAGCTTCGTATTTTTCAGAGTGAATTTCCGTTTTAAAGTTGTAAACTTATAATAACCGCTGACTGGCTTGGCTTCGAGTTCAAGAAAAGGCCCATGGATTATAAAGAATCCCGGTGTAGGCCCATTTCAAAAACAGGTTATAATGGGCCAGATGATTTCATTGGGCCTGGTCGTATAAAATAGAGGCCCATGGATCGTCAAATAATTCGATCGTCTTCCTTATCTTTATCTCCAGGAGCTGCAGCTCAGTCGAACGACAGAGAGAGAGAGAGAGAGCTCGGCAGCTATGGCGACTTCAGCAGTTTCGTCCACTCTATTTTACTCCCCAATTTGCTCCAAATCACTGTCGAAATCCAACCGTTCATCATCTCTTGCGTTCTGTGGGAAGTTACCGGGCAATGCGACGGCGATTGTCACGCGTGGGAGAGATCGCGAGAGAGCGCCGACGGTAAAGGCACAAACTTTTGATTTCTCCGGCTCGTTTTATCAAGGTGGAGGAAAGGATTTCGACGATGAACCGCCATCGACGGGAGGAACCGCGACGGCGGTGGAGGAAAAGGAGGCCCCTCCCTGCCCACCTGGGCTACGCCAGTACGAGACCATGGCGGTCCTGAGACCGGACATGTCCGAAGATGACCGGCTTACTCTTACCCAGAAGTACGAGGAGGTATAATCTTAGAATTGGAGCACTTCTTTTTCACTTAGCTTCTGAATTTGTAGACTTTCATTTCTTTTCTGTATCCAATTCCGCTTGCAATTGATATCATTTCCGTGAGATTAATGGTAAGGGTTCTATGAGCTATTTGCCCTTGTTGCTGAATCAATCAAGAGGTGCATAATGCATCAAAATGTGAATTGAGATTTCGTAGTATTCAGTGATTTTAGGAGAGGAGTTGTTCCATGTCGAAAGCTTAGCTAAGACTATGGTTCAATTTCATGAGGGTTTTCAGTTAAGAACTTAAGATATATGGTCTCTTTGGATACATTTGAAGGGTCAGATAGCATATTAAATGCTTTGTTTGGATGGCGATTGAAGACGTATCATGATTGGCTTATTAAGAGATAGCTTCAATTGATGTTGCTACTTTAAGTTGAAGGCAATAAGCGTTGAGTGGAAGGATGAGTTACAATTTCTTGTACTTTAAGGTAAAAAGGTTGTAGGATATACCCCAACTGTAGCTTAAAGTATAAGTAGGATGAGGGAATCAAACCTAACGTTGACTATTTTGCAGTTGCTAGTTGCTGGGGGTGGGATGTATGTGGAGGTATTCAACAGAGGGGTGATTCCACTAGCCTACAGCATCAGGAAGAAGAACAAAGCCGGGGAGACCAACACTTACTTGGATGGGATCTACCTCCTCTTCACTTACTTCACCAAACCGGACTCCATTACCGCTCTTGAATCGACATTGCAGGCCGATGATGATGTGATTCGATCAACTACCTTCAAATTCAGGAAGAGGAGGTACTAAGAGAGTTTAATCTTGTTCCAGTTCCATACCCTCTTGCTCGCGACACACTCAAGAGAGACGTTGAGGCTACGAGAGTAAGCAATGCAGTGTAGTGATCTCACAGTTTGTATTCCTTCAATTTTGATTTGATTTTTCTGTAATGTAATCAATCCAATCAACAACTTCTGGAACATCATCATCTGTTACTTCGAGTCGATCACCCTCAACATTGTTGGTGTGGATGGATGTGATCTATGTACAAATTTTGGAACCCTATCATGATTACTACATGGCATCACTTTGAACAGAGCTTGTACCATCCCAATTCTACTGTCAGCCTGTCGCAAAAGAAACCTTAACCAGTGAAAGCTAGGAACTGCTCTCAGCTGGTCCTATTACTTTGGTTACTTCAAGGCCCCAGCACTGCTAATTGCTGTGACTTCTCCTTCGGTTTCTGCACAGGCTGTGGTGCAGAGCAACCCGTGTTCTAGATCTCGGCATCGAGCAGGGTTAGGTTAAAATTCTCCCTTGTTAATGCAGCTAGTTTCAGCCAGCTAATGGATAAGCATGCATATTTGATCCTATTGCTTCAATAGAACTAAATCTATCCATACTAAATCATACTTTTTCACCAACTGAGAAAGCAAAGGGGCAAGAAAGTTTGTACCTTGTTTTCCCAGTATCTAAAGGCGATGGCTTTACTCATGAAACAATCATTTTCCTGGCCAATGAAACAACACGGGGATAAAGGCAAGAAGCAAGTAGAAGGGGAGAATATATATCTCTACACATAGCAGCCACACAGAGGTAGAAGGGAGGATTTTACAAAGGGACGATGGTGGTATAGCTGCACTTTTGGGACTAAAAGTTCATTTTTTTTAAGATTAGAAGTGAAAAAGGGGGAAGAAGAGATGATTCCAAATCGCAACAGAGGCAGACATAGTGGGACTGCTAGAAGATCTTATCTCATATGAATGATATGCCCACTTTGTGTGAGTGTGCTTCGAAGGGAGGCTCTGTCTTGCCTTTCCTGATCCACCCACCAACACCAGTAGAGATTTTCCTACAGTGAAGCTGAAAGGCGACACTTCCCCAGCAAATCAAACTGGTTTCCAGCATGGTCCATGAAACCGTACCGTATCGGCGGTTCAACCAAAAAATACCAGTATTGGAGGCTAAACTGGTAGGCGGTATTTAACGGTACTAACGGTTCAACTACGATTAAACCACGGTTTTGCCATAAAATACCCTACCACTGAATTTTTCGATACAGTCTCTGATACGGTGTCATGGACCATACCATGATTTCCAGGGGAAAAGATGCTACCTTTCTTCCATCAAGTAGGCTCATATAAAAATCACAGCGTGATGAACAATTGGATCCACTTCCTCCAGCAGATCAAAGATATTTGGTGATCTTGTTAATCTAGTAAGTGGGTGAAGAAGAAAAAGTGTATTCTTCTTCTCAATCCTCATCATGATTAAGAAAAAGAAAATATGAATTTGGCATGGCATGGCATGTTTATCATAATAAAGTTTACTGCATCTTTCGGATAGGGACTTGGCCACTTTGGCACATATGACTGTTGAGCCCTAGAAGCTCATCTCATCACACTAGTTTTACCTGAATAATAATTCTGTTAATGCTTCTAGTGGGTAATGACAATTGAATACAATAAAAAAAATTCTGTTAAGATCGAGCATAACTTTCTCCCAACAACTCGAGTTATTGGGACCAACTAGTTTATAACAAATCCAACTTCTAAGAAGAAGACCATTTTAAAGCCATTATCAAATTTGGTTAAATGTCACATTTGGTCACTGGGATTATTAAATCATGTCATCTCTAGTCACTAGAAAAAATTAATATCAATTTTGGTCACTTGAATTACTAAAACAAGTCACATTTAGTCACTCTCCCATTAGCCTCCGTCCAACTCCGGTCACTCGGATTATTATTTTTTTATTTATGAATGTCACTCGAATTACTGAAACATGTCACATTTAGTCAATCTTCGTTAGCATTCGTCCAACTCCATTAACGGAGTTGAATGGAAACTAACGGGAGAGTGACTAAATGTGACATATTTCAGTAATTCGAGTGACCAAAGCTGATATTAATTTTTCCTAGTAACTAAAGATGACATGATTTAATAATTTGAGTGACCAAATGTGACATTTACCCTATCAAATTTTGATTCAATCAAGATCACACATAACTCATCAAATCAATAGGTCTCCAAACATAACAAGATAGAAATCGATTCATATCCTTAGAAGTAGTTTCCAAGTTTTACATATAGTGCTCATTTAGGAGCATGCTACTGGTGTTCATGTAAATGTAATGATTAAAAGGGCAATAGAATAGTGAAAATGAAAAAGAAGTGTTCAATAAAGCACCAACTCGACTCGTTGTTGTTTTGGCCAAATCCAAATTCATTATGGAAACCGTTCCTTTACTTTTAGTGAAGCATTGATACTGTTAATATTTTACAGTCATGACTGAAAAGTGTAGCACTTTGTGTGTAGAACAATGTTCAACAGTAATATTTCTCAGGGAAAACAAGTGAAAGAAATGGCCTCCCAATCCAACCCCGATTCTAATTTTTAAAAAAAATTATCTACAAAATCAAACTAATAATTATATAAATTTTGACGAAAACTATTCATAAAATTTCATCTTCTAGTATTTTTTATGAGTTAGTTTTGTTAAGCTTTAATATCGATGAAGAGTTAAATGTTGGAAATTTCATCAAAACATAAAAATTTATGTAGAATTTGACAATGTGAAGAACTTAACATCATAAACGTTATTCTGATTCATTTTAAACATTTTAATCGTATCACATGCTGTGATTGCTTGCGTGGCAGATTTTGTTTAATAATGAATTTAAAAAATAGTACTACCAACCCATCTAGAATGGAAGTGGGAAGCCCTCACGCCTAATTATAACAGTAGATATCAGAAAATCTTCTATTTTTATTAACAAAAAGTGGGGGAGATGAAAATTATTTATACCAATAAATAAAGAAATGTGTCAAATTAATTATTGTTGGAGGTGGGCGATGAATGGATGAAAAGCCACTTTCAATTCCTTCCAGAAACCTAATCAATCAAATCCCATCATTATAACTTCCTTTTCGATTGTTCAATTTTAGTTCAGTTAGGGCAATGACTCGACAACCATGGGATATTAAGGCTCAACTGCTCATCCAAAGCCACTCTTAATTAAATCTTAATTAATTCTGAGTGGGAAAGATTAACCATGAAAGCTAGACATTTTTTCTTTTCAATTTTTTTTTCGTGAGTGTGGAAGGTAATGTATTCTGGAAAATCTAGGTGGGAGATGGATTTTTCAGTTCAGTATTTTCGGTATTTCAGAATTTATTGATCGCGTCAGATTACTTGGTTACATAGATGATGGATCTAAATTTTCAGGCCTATAAATTCTTATAGATGGATATCTGATACTCACACATTAACGAGTTCAATTCATCTGATCTGAACTAAAAATTAAAATACATAGGCTAAATTTACGAATGTTTAGACATCACATTCTATATGTGTATAAAAACATCAAACAATCGAGTAACCTAATGGACAAAACATTAAGAAAATGACAAATACCTTTTCAGTCATCCGCCATGCTAATCACCGGGGGGGAAAAAAGAGTTTGTAAAGTGACGAATTCAACGCAAAATAGTACCATGTCTCTATGGGACTTGTTCCATCATTTGGAAAAGGAAGAATATGTACCCCTTGGCACTTAGACCCCAACATCAACAAATGAAATTAATCACAAATCTGAAAAAGATGACCTTTTTTCTGCATTATATTATATTATATAGAGTATTAATGGAAGTTGCATTATCAATCTTCCTTCCCCTCCCCAACCTGAAAAAAGGAACACTTAATTAGCAGCACAGCAGCCCCATTTAAATTTAAGTACCCTCTTTATCTTTTCCTATAACAAACCAACTGAAGAGAGAAAAACTCTTCTTTTTAAACACACACTCACAAACCAAACTTCTGACACTCTTCTTCTTCTTCTTCTTCTTCTCATAAGTACTCCTTGAGAGAAGAAGCTGCTGTCTCTTTTCTTCTGCTTGATTCTACAATGGGTTTCTATCCTCCAGAAACTCCACCTTCTCCTCATCTGTACCCACAAGAACTTCAGCTGAAACTGTACCAGGCTTTCATATTCTCAATCCCAATTCTGTTCACCATCATTCTGGTTCTCTTGTTCTATCTTTTCTACCTCAAGAGGAGAGCTTCAACACTTTCATCCTCCCTTCCAACCACCAATTCTTCCAATCAAGCTGCTGCTGCTGCTGGTTCCCATTTGTCTGCTGTAAGAACTAAGAACCACTCTCTTTTACTAGCTACCTAATTCTTCCTTGACTCTTTTATTAACCTATTTGTCTGTTTGTAGGTTTGTCAGGTTGGCCTGAAAGAAAAGCTGAGTGAGAAGCTCCAAGTTGTATTGTTTGATGAAGAGTTGAGATCAAAGGAATCACAGTAAGTTCTGTTTCCTTACCTCTGGTAATAATATCCTGGAAAGGGTCCTGGAAATTTGCCTGAAAGCTAATGTTACATCATCATTTTCTTTTCTTTCCTGATAATGCATGAAAGTGCCAAGTAACTAACTAATTATGAAGTAACAGCTGACACTAATGTTACTTGTCTGTGTCATGCATCATCAACCTAACTTTAATTGCTTTTTAAGTTAGACATCTCACCTTAAAATTACCTTGTGTTAAGTTAAGCATCAAATTGGTCCAAGTAAGACATGAGATATTTAATGCTTCAATCGCAGTAACTGATTACCGAATATTTACGTAATAGTTTTACACGTATCCATTAAAAATATCTCATAATAAAAAGGTAAAACAAACTTTTGTGCTAATTTCCTAGGTGGGTGTGGTTTAACTTTTATGCCCACTTTCTTTCCCTTTTGTGCCTAACCAATGGCCATCCACGTTTCTCCAGTACCTGAAATGATATATAGAGAAAACCCATCAAACAAAAAGACATATTGATGAATGCTGAGAGTGTTTTAGTGGTGAGTAGTACTACTAGTTTAATCGAAGTGGGGGAAAAACAACACTCACATGGGCGATGCCCAATCTATGGAATCTCCAATACCATCCACTACTTTTTTTTTTCTCAATGACAAAAGAGAGAATTTCAAGAATATTTGTTATCATGACAAAAGTCCTCAGACAAAGAATGTGATGCCAACATATATAGCGAAATACATAGCGTTCGTATTAATTAGACTTCTTCTATCAACAACTCAAATCGTTGAACTTGATCTCGCGTTCTTGAAAGTAGTAATGGTGGGGGAATCTGATCACTATTATTGGTGCATGCAATGCAGGTGTTGTGTGTGCTTGGGAGACTTCGAGATGAAAGAAGAGCTGCTCCAAATCTCATCTTGTAGACATGTGTTCCACATGGATTGCATCCGTCACTGGCTCCTCAACAACTCAACCTGTCCGCTATGTAGATGTTTTGTCATCCCGACAAACGCCGTCAAGCTCAATAACGTTCCAATTCAATCTAGTGGCGGCGACATGCCTCATGCAGCGATGGTGCAACAGCATAACACGGTGAGATATGAACATCAAGTGAACATTAGTACGCATGCAGAGCGACGTCAGCTGCAAGAAGAAGAACATGTCGCTGCGAGTCCATTGGAACATAGTTCGATACACATTGTCGAAGGGTCTTCTAGCTCACAGTGACATTTCTTGATTTGAGTTACCATTTCTTTTTTCTTTTACTTCTTCCTCATTGATTCTAACTTCATTTTGGTAAAAGAGAGGGGATTCTTCCTCAAAAAAAGAGGGAAAGAAAGCTAGGGAAATCAAAGAAGCTAGCTAGAGAAATCAACGGGAGCTAGCTAGCTTGTCTTGTTCTTGAGTCTAGTACAAATAAAAACACGTGAGGCATATAACACCTTGATTATCACAAGGGGAAAAAGGTTACATTTGCATATTGAATTACGATTAACAACAGAGTGTTATCGGAATTGAATCAGTTGCATGTTATATCTCATTTATTCGTTTGGAATATATATCGATATTTTGTTTCGACTACACAAGAAGGGGAAAAAAATCATTTCGCCGTTTATTTAGCAAGCACATAATCAACACCCTCTAATATCCAGAATACATATTTTTCGACATTATGTTCTGTTTCTAGCTTCCATTAATCGTACATACATCATATATTTCGTACTTTATGTAATTTACAATACATTCTATTTCGTTCATTCACCAAATTACGACGTGGGATCTAACATCACAATTCCTACAAACCAAAACAATATCTCCAAACCCCCTATCTATTTGGAGATCCGGATCTGGTTCTGGTCCTTTGGGATGTTCGATGTGGAAACGCATCATGAAGGAGGAAGACTCATTCTGGAAATCTGCTCATATCAGTCCCGGGGGAGGTGCCTGGGTTTCTTTTTGGAACGATTGCTGGTGGCCGGGAATGATTCTTAAAGATGCTTATCCCAGAGTTGCGGCCGCCTCCATGTTCCAAGAAGCTTGGGTGTCCAATATCGTATCCTTTGAGAGTGAGGGTGTGGGGTGGGATTTGCAACTGTCTATTTCCTTGAGGGGTGGGGCTGAGAGAGAGAGGCTTAGTTTGCTGCATTATCTGTCACTTTTACCTCTTGATTTGATTACTACAGGTCCGGCTAAGCTTATCTGGAATTCTTGTTCAAATGGTGGCTTTTCGGTGAAGTCCATGTATGACACCCTCAATAATGCTAGGTTCCATGGCATCATCGACTTCCCATGCAAGGTGATTTGGCAGCCATTTGTTCCCATGAAGGTGAACGCTTTCCTTTGGCTTCTCAGGCATGGACGAGTTCTTACTCACGAAAATCTGAAGAGAAGAGGTTGGAGCCTCGCAAGCATGTGTCTACTCTGCAAGGCGGCGGAGGAAAATATCAACCATCTTTTTTGGTCGTGTCCCTTTAGCTGCAGCATTTGGAACGTCCTTCAGCAGATGGTAGAGATCACTGGTCCGCTACACGCCGATGTTGCTGCTATCATTGACGGGTGGAATATTCACACTCAGGTCGACTGGAAGCGTCGGTTCGTCCGTGGCATTTTTCATGCATTCACTTGGGAGATTTGGAGGGAAAGAAATTCTAGAACTTTCCATGATAAGTCGAGACACTGGAGGGTCATCTTCCACAAGATTTGCAGGACCATCCTCACCTGGGTTTTGGCGTCTGGGGTCTTAAATGATGATCAGCAGGTGGAGTGGCTATCCCAGATGAATCATCTTTGTCCGCTGGTTGCTTTAAGGGATGCCCGCAGCTCTGGTTTTCCTGGGTTCCAGGAGGAAGGATGAGCTTGGGTGTTGGGCCGCGAGTGATCAGTGACGGGAGAGAGACTGTTGTGAGCTGCTGCTGTCTTTGTGCCTGCTCTTGGGCCGCTGTCGTTTGTTCGTCTGAAGTGTTTAGATGTTGTTTTCTTGTTCTCTGGTTTGCCCAGTATCCTTTTTCTTCTTTTTTTGTTTCGCTTAGGTTGCACTGCTTGTGCTCCTGTTCTGTTGTCTGGTTTTCATTGTTTTTTGTTTTGAACTGGGACTTGTTCTCTTTTTTGTCTCTTTTCTTTTTAATGCAATTATCACCTTTATCAAAAAACAATATCTCCTTACATTACATGAATTCCCCCACAATCCAATCCAGATGACAATCAATACACGATAGCTAGTCACCTTATCAATCTCTCCATTAATCCACAACTTAAAAGACTCTCAAAACAAAACTAGCTAGAGAACAACACAGAAGCCACACAACAGAGAACAATCGACATAACAACAGCAGCAACACTACTTCGCGCCGGAAACTTCCCTGGATCTTTCCTCACCACCATGGCTTCATAAATCGGGACACTGTTCACAACACCAAATCCCGACAGCACAATTTGCAACACCAACCCTTCCACATTCCACCAACCTCCTTTCACAACTCGAGCCAATCCGAATCCGAAAGAGACCAAGTTGATCAGAGCAGCCATCGCCATGGGCAAGAAGATCGGTGAAGAAACTCCGAACTCGAACATCCCTTTCTGGTACCTCTGCCTCTGTTCCTCGTCCACGATCTTGCTGGTCAGGCTGAAACCCAGCTTGGTGGAAACGCCGAGGGACTTGAGGACGAAGTCGAAGCCTCCGAAGAGGAAACAGGACAGTCCTCTGACTGTCCATATCCTCTGCTCGTTCCACCACCTGCGGAAGGTGCTGTTGCTTACGGTTGTGAATTCCAGCATGTCCTGGAGGTAGGAGCCGAGGAAGAGGAAGGTGTAGAGCAGGAACCATGGGTCCGAGATCTGAATAGGAAAAAGTTAGGCACACGCGCGATTTACTGATACGATGTGCGTTAGTTAGTTAATTCATATATATGAGAGATCGGTTTTACTATAATTAAAGAGATGCAGACTACGAAAGGGTTGGCGTTATTAATTAGTCGATCTCAAATAACTCGAGTTGTTAGATGTCCATATGTATAATACGCAACCACTTTCTTACTCGCGCCCCCTCGAGCGAAAACCAATTCATGATGTTTGAAGTTTGCGCGCAACCTCGCCATATCATGTGCTTTAGTGACAAAGGTTTGAAATTTGAACACGTGACCTCAATAACAAATATAACCTCTGATATCATGTCATTAACCAGTCAATTCTAAATCACTCGCGAGTTGTTGAGAGAGAGGTACATGTATGTTATTGAACTATTTACTTACAGTAAGAAAACATATAACACGTTCTCTAAATTACCTAACGCTAATCCGATAAAAATCCGATTACAGACTACCCTCAAAATTGAACAACAAATGAAGCCCATATACCATGATTTTCAAGACTATCTATCGGTGGCTATACGGTCCGGTCCGGTTAAATTGGACCAAATTGATCCGATCCCAGTCCGGTTTTTTCGGGAATATGAGGACCAAAGATTGGATTGGATTGGATATAGTCCGGTCTTGATCCGGTCCGGTCTTAACCCGGTCTGGTCCCAATTTTATCTTGATTTTAGGTGTTGGGAGTCTCTTATCCGGTCTTTATCCGATTTTTTATCTCAAATCTAAGCCCAAATATGAGATTGCATTGTTTGCTATCCGGTCCCAGTCTGATCCCGATCCGAGTTATACGATCCGGTTTTGGGTAAAACCAAACAGTCCGGGACCAAATAGCCAGCCCTAGACTTATCATAATTCATAAACAATGTTCGTGACTGGTGCGTACCTTAGGGAAGACGGAGACTCCATTGAGAAGAGCAAGCTGCGGGAGGAAAGCGTAGGTTGTGATGGGAAGAGACCAAATGGGCCAGAAAGAAAAATGACAATAGCCCAGGCCCATCAACCAGCCGAGCTTCCTGATGCCCAAGAATAATGGGCTTTTCTTGGACATGGACAGCTCAAGAGCCCCAACCGACCAACGACTCTGCTGGATCAAAACATCCGCAAAGCTAATTGGCGAGTCCCCTAGAAAAGACGGCTGCTCCGGGTAGCAAAATATGGACCTCCACCCTTCGCAGTGTAGATGGAAGCCCGTGTATAGATCCTCCACCATCGACCCATACCTGAAGCCCATCTAAAACATTCCCAAGACCGAAATTAATTCGGTAATTAGCGTCAACAAATGTTGATATCGTCAGATATGCCTCGTACTACATTTCGTCGATGTTAAATCAATTTTTTACGTTAATCGAATATGTATAAACATTACGTTTCATCAACGTCAGCACGACAGTCCACAGCTAGATTCAAAGGTTTAGTTACCTTGGAGCCCCAGTTTGTTTGGGCCTCGTAGTTACAGCCCGCTACCCGATGGGCCAGGTCCAGGACTTCCGGATCGCAGATGGGCCTGTTGACGGGCCGGTCCGGGAACAGCTCGGGGATTTCGGGGGCGACAAATTGAGACTCCGACGGGCCGCCGAAGAACACGCGCCGGGAAAAGAACGTACCGGTGCCGATAAAGGGTGGACCGAGCAGGCCGTCGGACCCAAACGGCATGTTCATCGTGTAATGGTGGAGGTCGCCGGCGTAAATGTCGTGTTTGTTGATCCCCCGGAACCGCTGAGGGAACTGGACGAATCCGTACTTCGATCGGAAGCTCCCCGCCGCCGGCGGGGAGAAGTAGTAGCACAGCACGTGGAGGGGAGTCCTCGGATTGGTCGAGCACATGTCGCAGTCCAGCGTCAGCACCAGCGGCGCGTTCGTCATCACCGCCGACACTCGAAGCTACAAAGTAAGAAAGGGACAATAACGTAATATAATTGTAATTGCTGCGTTTTTTGTAGTTCGTTGTCGTTTTGATAATTGAAGGTGGATTAATATACCAGAACGTTGAGGGCGCCGGCTTTGAACCGGTGGTGTGTAGTTTTGCTTTTCTCTCGAGAAACATAAATAAGGTTTGGCAAGGAATTGCCTGAATTGTCCTTGCTCTTCTTGTTGTCCAGTAAAACCTGTCCAACCAGATTGAGGGCGTGTGAAGGGTAGAATAGGAAGTGAATTTTTAAGCTCCGACTCTGAATTCCTACTTCCGTTTACGATTTACGAAATTTAAAAAAAAACAATTGTATGTATATACATACCTGAAGAACGGCGGGATGATGATGAGTGGAGAAATCGGCAGAGCTCCATTCGTCGAAAATTCGTCGCTCTGTATCGTTGACAAGATACTCTTCGATCGAAATTGTCCCTCTCTCAACAACTCGCTCGATCTTGTCTTTCATCTCCTCGTACATCATCTACGATCAACAATTAAACATAAAAAGAAAAAATTCGCAACGTGACACGTGTAAATAAATTAAATGAAATTTAAATGTTACCTGGATGTTTTTGGTCTCCGCAGACGCGGAAATGTTGGTCGTGAAGTACACTTCGGGACTCCGTTCCACGACGCCGTTTTCCCTACAGAACGGCAGCCAAAATGCGGCGAACTTAGCCGTCTCCAAGAAAGCGAACAGCGTCAGCGCCGACCCACCGTCGTCGGAGACGTACACGGACAGCTTCTCCGGCGGATAGTCGTACGCCAGAACCGACATCGCCGTGTTCACCACCCCCACCGGCGGCTCCTTGTACGGATCCGCCGTGCATATGAACACGTCCAGCGCCGGGAACTCGCTCCTCCCCGCCGCCGGGAGGTTCGCCGGGAACTCCCTCCGGCGGACGGGACGCATGCGGAGAGCCTGGGCCGTCACCCACTTGAAGGCGAGGACGAGGTCGGCGGCCAAAAGGAGAAAGGTGGTTGTGGAGAAGGAGAAGGACGGGGAAAGTACTACTAGTGAAGTGACGTGGCGGCGGAGAAGTGCGACGACGGCGGAGGCATAAACCGCCGCGAAAAGTCGGTTGTAGACTGCGTGGGGAAGTTGTTTGAGTTCATGGAAGGGAGGCGTAGTACTGTCGCCGGCGGAGACTGTCATCCTTTGATGCGGTTACGAACAATGAAATCGATCGAGCTAATCTTTCTCATTTATCTTGTTGGTTTGTGGTGGATACATAGAGCCGTATAATTGCACACTTATTATTGTGTGGGCCTGTGGGGAGAAGGAAAGAGACGAGAGGGTAGAGACATGTACTACGTACGATTTCTCTTTTTGTGTATATTATTTTGTCACATTACAATCATGGCTTTATTATCCGATAGCGCCACCCTTTATCATAGCAAACCACAAATCAGACTGTAGAGACATGGACGTTTTCTCTTCTCATGTACACATACTATTGTCACATTTCAATCATGCCTTTGATTATCCGATAGCGCCATCCTCTACATGGCAAAACCATTGACTATGTGTGTGTAGACCGACACTCCGTATTTACTATTTAGATATTGATGGCTTCAGCCTTCAGGCATATCGTCGGTGAACGTGGGTAATCGAGAAAAGCAAATTGTACAAGCAGACCGGTGTTGATATACGTTGGTTTCGATCATCTTTTGGGTTTTGGTGTAACCGTAAATCAAGCTCAATCATGATTGTAGACATATATAATATGTAAATCTCACCATCAAATAGCGATGACAACACAACCATACATGAAAACTGATGTTACGAATGAATAGTTTTAAAAGCTATACATAAGGTCTCTAAATATTACATCGGGTGGATAGATCCTGCTTTTGCAAAAAAAAAAAAAAAAAAAAATTGCATCACTTCAACACAAAACCAGCAGCCACGTAACAACCCCAAGCCAACGCGACGGAGACAACAACGGTCCTCACCGGCATCCTCCCGCCATCACTCCTCAAACCCACCGCCTCATAGATCGGCCACCCGTTCACCACCCCGAACCCGGCCACGAACAGCTGCAGCAGCGGCGCGTCCCTCCAACCGCCGCCGCCGCGAGTCATCACCTGGACGGCGAGGCCATGAACGAGCGCCAGCAGGCTGATCAGCGCGGCCGCCGTGGGCGGCACGAACATCGGCGAGTGGACTCCGAACTCGAAGGTGCCGCGGTCGTACCGCTTGCTCTGTTCCTCGTCGATGACTTTGCTCGTCACGTTGAACCCGGCGGCGATTCCCAGGAAGTACTTGAGGAAGTACTCGACGGCGGCGAAGAGGTGACACGTCAGCCCGCGGAGCAGCCAGATTCGCTGGTCGCTCCACCATCTTTGGTGGGTCCCGCCGACGAGGAGGAAGTCCAGCATGTCTTGTGCGTAGGCTCCTAGGAAGAGGAACGGGTACAGCCAGAACCATGGTTCCGTTGCCTGTAGGGCGTAAAGAAAAATATTGTCTTTCTCAATTTATTCATAATCAACGTTGTCAAATCAGTTTAATGCGTGTTAAGCATCCTATAGAAATATATATATAAAAAAATTATTTTAAATTTTAATAACCTAAATGTAATTTGATAGGTATCATATAATAATTTAACAATTAATATATTATATTTCCTAAAAATTATGTACATTTGCTTTGTTTTATAGAATAGGGTTTGGGAGAGAACCAACATGTAGCATTATTAAATTAATTAAGTCTAAAAGCCTGAAACCAGTCAATCCGGTCAGATCGCAGATTTTTGCACTTTTGACCAAATTTTTTTTTACCGTTTTGACCAATTTGGAAGGAAAATGGCTTTCTGGGAGCCGGTTTTCAGTATCGGCTAAGGTCAGGTACAAGTGGTCAGCCTGAATACGACTTGACAACATTGTTTAGAACTAAAAGATACAGAAACAAGCCAGTCTCAATAACTCGAGTTGTTCAAAGAGATTTAATGGTAGATCATATATCACTTATTAGTTCTTACTAGCTAACACACCACCTTAAGGAACGACAATTTAGACGAGCTTGAAGTTTGCACAGACATCTGAATACTATGTGTTTAACAAATGAGGTCACTGAGATTCGAACATAATGGCTCTCGATCACGAAAAACTCTGTTATACCATGTCAAAAAACAGGATCTCAATAACTCGAGTGGCTGAAATCGATTAGATTATAAATCATATACCACTTATTAAAAAAAAACCATTCAGGCTCATATCAAAAGAAAAACCTGCGTACCTTAGGGAAGATGTGGAGTCCATTGAGAATGGCAAGCTGGGGAAGAAAAGAGTAGACGATTACAGGGATGGACCAGCTCGGCCAGAATGCGTTCTGACAATATCCAAGGCTCATCAGAAACCCAGCTGACGACCTAACGCCGTAGGTGAGGGTGCTGAATCTAGAAAACGCAACTTCGAGCAGCCCAATATCCCATCTTTTCTGCTGATTCAACATATCCGCCAACGAGATCGGTGCATCACCCAAGAACGCAGGCCGCTGTGGGCAACAGAACACCGACTTCCATCCTTCACAGTGTAAACGGTAGCCCGTGTAGTAGTCTTCCACTAATGAACCATACCTATACCCAATCTGCAGACATCACAGATGGACAATTCGAGTTATCGTAACCAGTCGGTCTTTTTTATTATCAACTTGTATATACTATGGAAGTAGTACCTAACAAGCTATGGTTGACATATTAGCATCTTACCGGCCGGTTCAATCGGAAACAACCTCTATCGGTGATCAAACTGGCTGGAAAGTGATCGATTTTCGGTTTTGGTCAAATCGGGTCAAAGATGATCAAATCTAGAAAAACTCGTCGGTTTGACTAGAAATTGAATTTCAGCACTTTCACACGTTTTCTCGCAGAAATTATAAACACTAATCGTGACATTTTATCATGTTTACTTGTTTCATTTGTATACCGGTAGACTACTATATGGAACTTTGTAACACATGAACCGGGTCAGATTGGCGTATGTCAGGCGTATACTATACGTCAGGTACTACTAATAAGATATCTCTATCTAGACCATGAATTAAATCGAGTTTGGGGTATGATACTATACCCTAACCTCTACTGGATAAACCCCATACACCGATTTTCTAAACCCTAACCCGAAGTTTGATTTAATGAAAAACAAAAACTGACCGTTGAGATCGACCGGAGCTCATCTGAGTACATCTAACGGTTAGATCACCTGTTGTATACTATACACCCGATGTACACCAGTCATTACCCATATGAACCTGATATATTATAGAAACTAATACTATATTTTATATAAATCACGGTAAATGTTAATAAAATTTATTTTATATACTTTTATATTTACGTATCTAATTGTTTACTATTAGTTACTAATTCCAAATAATAAATCATTTTATGTGAATAAACTATTTCAGTTGCTTCTTCCTATTTAATTATTTGTTGTTGATGTTTTTCCATTTTTTTCATGTATTCTATTAAAACCTATGTAACCAGCATAACCCGATTGTATCATTGGTGATATCATATATATATAACTTGCTTCGCGATACAACGATTTAAGCCGGTTTGACAACCTTACTAACAAGAAGATATATACCTTGGAACCCCAACCAGTTTGATTCTCGTAGTTGCACTCAGCAACCCTATGCGCCAACTCCAACACCGAATCAGACCGAACCGAACCGACCACTACATGGGCGGGTCCCACCTCCGGGATCTCCGGCTCCACCGGGCTCGACGGGCTGCCGAAGAAAGCCCGCCGGCGGAAGAAGCATCCGGTCCCGACGTGATGGGGCCCGCATAAGCCGTCGGCCCCCATCGGCATGGCTTGGAACAAGCGCTGGAACTCGCCGGCGTAGATGTCGTTCTCGTTGATCCCGTGGTACTTCTGCGGGAACTGGACGAACGCCGAGTTTTCCGGGCCGAGGTTTGGGTCGCACAAGTAGCACATCGCACGGCGAGGTGTTGCGGGGTCGTTGGAGTACATGTCGCAGTCCAACGTTAGGACTATCGGTTGGTTCGTCATCGTAGCCGACACGCGTAGCTTCACAAAAATATTGAAAATCAGTTGGACAAATATATAATACGAAAAAGTTTGATCTAGTCGTATTACCACTAGTCTTTCAACCAAAGAAAGAAAGAATAATATACCAAAACGTTGAGGGCGCCAGCTTTGAAGTGATGTGGAGAGGTACTGCTCTTCTCCCTCGAGACGTAAATGAGATTTGGCATTACGTGGCCGTCAACATCCCTGTCGTTTTTACTGTCCAGCAACACCTGTTCTTCACCGCCGTCGACCAATAATTCAGACATTATATTATTATTATATTTTATCATATAAAACTTTAGGATATGTAATGTAAATTAATTGTGGTGGAAAATAATTGACGACGACGAAAGGGTTTTGAGAACCTGAATGAAAGTGGGATGGTTGTGCTTGGTGAATTTGTCGGACCATTTCCCGAAAGCTTCACGTTCTTTGGGTCCGTCGATGAACTGGTCGTCCACTTTCCCGGCGTCGACGACATGTTCCACCTTGTGTTTCATGCTCTCGTACATGGTCTGTAATTGGCAAAACTTTGGTATGCTAAATATGGGAAATTGTATGTTGAATGTCGTTAAGGGCATAACTTGTAATTGGTAATACATATTAAGTACAAGTTACAACTTGACTTAATATTTCAACCTTTTTATTAGAATATTACTAAGAAGTGGATGATCGAAATTAATGTTGATCAAACCCAATTGAGCATGCAGATAGGGCTTCAGTGGTGGATCGAGGGGAGGTCTTTCAGAGCCACGATACGGTCCAGTACTGATCTGGGTCCAGAGCTAGTATATAGTAAATGAGATATGTTTGCTTCCATCTCTTTCCTCCGTCTCTTTCGATCATGTGCTAATTGATATCTGATTTTTTATTCAAATGTGAACCCAATGCTCTACTATGTCATGGAGATATTGTTGTCATCGACATCAATAATTAAGAGAGTGGTAGGGAGAGAAAAGGGGGAAGAGAGTTGGTTGGTTGGTTCACAACTAATTCTACTTTCTTTCATGTGTCAATAATTGTGTAGAATACAATGAGTGACTAGAGACAATTAGTATTCACACTGGTCCATCCCAAAAATCGATATTTATTAAATATGGAGTTGTCATTATCAGTTATTGGTATTTGTAAAACTGCGTATCGATTAAAATATTATGATAGACTAGTCTAATTCAATTAATACGGGTATATAATATAATTTAACCAGTACAATTGTATATTTGAGTGAATGGTCGAGCATCATATATTTCAGCACAAGAGATAGTGACGACGAGAAGGTCATTTCACTAGAAACCTGGAACTAAATGATGATGAGACAAGCTTTATCCTTAGTACGTAAGATTGGTCTGATTGATGTAAAAAGCTTTGGACGCATGTCTGTGGGGGAAAAAAGAAGAAGGAAGGAGCTCGCACTAATTAAAGTAATTAAGGATGACCTCTCGTAAATGTTATTAAGCTCAAAAGAGCTAGGTTGGACTATTGATCATTGTTATTTATCATATGGTTCCCTCTCTAAAGATGTTAGACTATTCAACTCTCCTATACATATGTATAGGTAGGGGTGAACAAACACACCCGCAAACCGACCCACCCGTCCAACCCGACCCAACTCACTCGTATTTATCGCTAAATCGAAGGTTTTGGGTTGGGTAAGGGTTTTCTTTTGTACAACCCGCCTCTTTTGGGTTAGGTTTGGATTTTGGATTACACAACCCGTAGAACCCGACCCAACCCGTGTTCCAATTATTGGTATGAGTTCGTATCCAAAAAAATATTTATGTCGTATATAGTCATACTTATGAGAAATTAAGATATTTCGTCATGTTTTTCTCATAAAGTCTCACTAATCTAATGCATTCTTCGACTTAAAGTTTAGACATATATTTAATATAGCTATGATTCACGTAAATTTTTTTCCTTGTGTACAATTTTAAAAGAATATCATATTATGGATGCGTTCATTTGTAACCTTTTTAGCCTATTTCAACAAATGTCGTGAAAAAAACTAGACATAAGTTGAAGTAAATCAAGTTTTATTAAAATTCAAACAATATTTGTGAATTTGGATATCTTTCACCTCGGTTTATTCGTTTGAATTTTTAATTTGTTATAAAATATTTTTATGATGTAGAATAATTACATATTTTGTGTTGGGTTGGGTTTTTACTTAAAAATATCGCCAACCCGACCCAACCCAATTAGAAACAAACCGTAGGGTTTAGATTTTTTTGGGTGGGTTTTGGTTTAATATTTCCTAAACAGTAGTGCATGGGTCGGGTGATTAAAATACCTAAACCCGGACCACCCGACCACCCATGTACACCCATAATTTTACTACCAACGTTGTTGTTTGATGTTTTCTTTGGTCAATCTCCTAGGACATGGCTCTACTCATATTATCATTGTTTTCCGCTCCCTTAAATTATTTTCCTAAGTAAGATCTGTTCATGTACTTATGATGTTTTAAGAGTTTTTATTACATGTTATATTAATGTTTGGCAGTGATGCTCGCAGTTCGCACCTTTTATTGTATAAAACGTATAATTTGAAAAATAGTATTTGGACAAATCAATGAATTCTATTTTAGTATATATATATATATATATATATATATATATAATCACGGTTCAATAGGTAAAATATTGATACAATCATACAAATACCTTGTGAGAATAACATAATATATTAAATTAAACTAGTATTATCAATCTAAATGTATAAAATCGACAAACATGATTTTTCATAATATTTGTAAACATATCGCTTCGAATGATTATAAATCATTTTTACGGTTGCGTCCGGATAATAAGACTAATAATTAACTAATAAGAGTTCAGCTTATTTCTATATAAAAAATAATTTTTCAATTTATTAGTTTAAATAGCTGTTTTATTCCGAATTTTACCTGTAAAAAAACAAATTCACCTCAAACTGTCAAACACACGTGCCATTAAGCCAACGTACCTTAATCTCCTCGACTTCGCCGTCGACAGGATGTCCCCGGTTGGACCCGAAATAAACCGCCGGGTTCCTCTCCACGACCCGGTTCCTCTCGCAAAACGGCAGCCACCGCGCCGCGAACTTCGCCGCCTCCACGAAGGCAAAAAGAGTCAACGCCGACCCGCCGTCGTCCGACACGTAGACCGCCAGCCTGTCCCTCGGGTAATCATACGCCATCACCGACAGCGCCGTGTTGACCACCCCCAACGGCGGCTCCTTGTACGGATCCGCCGTGCATATGAACACGTCCACCCCTGGCAGCTCGCTCTCCTCCGCGACGACGTCGTTTAAGTTCTCGACCGCCTCGCGGCGTCGTATCGGGTTCATGCGGAAGACCTGCGTGGTGGTCCACATGAAGGCGAGGACGAAGTCGGCGACGAGAAGGGCCAGGGTTGTTGTGAAGGAGGATGGCGATGACGTGGCGAGGAGGAGGTTGGTGACGTGGCGGTAGAGGAGGGCGAAGACGGCGAGTAGGTAGATTGGGGCGAAGAGGCGGTTGAAAGGGGTGATCGGCCAGCGCTCCGCCGTGTGGAGGGCGGAGCTGCGGCGGCGGCGGGTGGTTGGGTGGTCCATGAATTACTTGTAGTAGCTAGTTAGCTAGTGTGTGTGCCTATGATTGTGGAGATAGATATATACCGTTGGTGGAGGCTAGGGGTGGGAATTCGGTGGCAGTTTTGCTATTAAACCGTTAATCGTATCGAAATTCTGCGAATTTGGTTAAACGCAAACTGAAGAATAACATATTTTACGATCGCGTTTAGCAATATTTCATGTTTCGTGAATTATGGTTTCATCGCAATCGCACAACTGGTAATCACAGTTTAACCAATTACTAATACGGTTAATCATATGATCTGGTGGCCTCAATCCATCTTTGCACACCAACAGTACAGCCTAAAATCCAAAATGTTCTCAACTCATCAGAATGATTAATGACACAATTAATCACTAACCATTTGTGGTGCGATTGCGGTTGACATATATGGCTCCGCTTTGACTGCAGTTAACGGCAAATTTTGATGTGGTTAACCACAACCGCACCGATTCTCGGTGCTAGTAGAGGCGACTTGGCTGCACATATATATAATTCCTAATTTATATATAAATATATTCCATGGGAACGGTCAAGATGTACAAATCTTTAATTATTATTATTATTATTATTATTATTATGATTATTATTATTATTATTTACCAACGGTAGTAATACACATTGTACGTTCAAATTATTCAATAGGATGTAGAAGTAAAATCAAAATTGTAAAAATGTTAAGTAATTCAAAAATTCTCCCCCTGCAGAAGAGAAATAGAGCTAGTTTGGAACGAGACGGTCACTCTCACTATTAGGGGTCGTTTGGAAGTTGCGATTGTTAAATAGATGTATTGTTGAGAATGCATGTATAATATTATACATGTATTGTCGAATTTGATGCATTGTAGAATACAACGTTTGGTATGTGTGATTGTGTATGTCGCATCAGCTAAAAGCTGAGACAAAACAATCTCAACTCAACTATCTCAACAATCACAACTAAAAGTTAAGATATAACAATCACTCAAAATGAGTGATAGTTTCTGTCACATCACAGAAACAATCCATGTATTGTTTCTGCTAAATAAACAACAAAACGATGTATTGTAAACAATACATGTATAATGACAATCTCAACAAAACAATCGCAACTTCCAAACGACTCCTAAGATATTTAATTATAAATAAGGACAGGCTGCCGGTCTATAGTTGGCAGAAATGAAATTCATTTATATACTAGTGGCCATGTGAATCCTTGAGATTCCATAAATACTAGGGAAGCGGGAATTATATTCTTGATGTTTATATGTATCCATATTTGATTATGTATAATTTTACTTTGTTATCGTCAATCTATTTAACACGATTCACTTCACTGTCATCTTATATTTTTATGTATTTATGTGAACAAATAAATTACTTAAATGGACAATCCAGAAGATTAATATTGACGGATCAAACAAGAAGATTAACCCTGATCAGATGATTCGATAATCGACGTGAAAATGACAACCATGGTCTTACATATCGGTCCCGCCAGGCAATTGATTTCATAGGTCGATAAATTGAAGTATAGTCCCTATCTCTAAGCAGGCCACCATACTTGTAAAAACGGACACTCTAGTCCAATCTGTTACCGTGCAATAGGGGGGATGATGACGTCCGTTTGAAGTTACTCTAGTAGGATGACATCTGCGATCCAAAACGAAGTCTTTGTACTTGTAGGCTGTAGTAGGACTGGGAAACGGTGCGGTCTGGTTTAGATCAGACCATATATACGGTCTATGGTCTAGATCGAGAGACAGAAGTATAGACCACAGACCAGATCACAGACTATATGGTCCGGTCCAGACCATGCCTGTGCGGTCTGGTTCGGTCTGGTCTGATCCAGATAGACTATACTCAACGAAAAATGAATAATTTGTTTAGTCAACCACACAAAAAATTGAACCAATAACCAAGAAAAATAATTGTTATTTGCCTTAAAACATTAATCCTAACATGCATGAATAATTTTGATACCTAAATCTTAGTACATAACAAAGATACAAAGTAAAAGCATTAACATAACGTCATAAACATCAACATAATGTCATATGGAGACACGATTATCTCTACATTTGGTTAAATGTGGTTGTGAATGAAGGAGGGACGAGATTCACAAACTAAGGTTGAGACTTGGGTGTCGTTGTGGGAGTTGGGAGAGTGCTCGAATTGGCTGTTAACACGTATTGACAAGTCGGTTGGATCCACGATTTGGTCCGGTAAACCGCGGTCTAGATCTGACCAGACCAAAAGATCAAAACATAAAATAATACAAACCATGGACCAGACCAGACCATACTTAACGGTCTACGGTCCGGACCAATCTGTACAGTACGGTTTGGACCACGGTTTTTCTAACGGTCTGATATATATTTTTGCTGTAGCTCACATCTTCTTTATTCGGTGAAACTGTCCGTCCGATGTTGATCGGCCCGTCGGCGATCTCTATGTCTATGTCCCTCTCACCAGTTCGGAACGGGCCTTTCCTGGCGCAAATGGCTTTGACTGTTGGGCTATGAATTAGCTCCGTCCCTCCTAGAGGCCTTGATGTTGGGCTTTTTTTTTTTTTACCAAGTCAATAAGGATGTAGTATATAGATTCAAACACAAGACTGAATCTGACCAAACATAGTAGCTCGTATATAATTGAACTATGAATAGGAAAAAAAAAAAATATCATCACTATATGAGCAACTATATTAAAACTCTAAATAGTAAAAAGACACGAAATAGTGGCTCGAAATAAGAGAAAAAGAAGTGAACTTCTTGTTCCAACATAGCCCCTCCTCCAAGATGTTGGGCTTTGATGAATTATTTTCGTCACACCCTGGTTGTTTCAGGGGTTCGACTCCAGGTATAAGCTGTGTGCAAACATGTAACTGAACGCGTTGTATACAGGCTTCCCTCTCTTCTTGAGTGAAATAATGACAACAAAAAAACGTCATAATAAACGTTCGGATACAAACCAAAAATTGAGAAACCGTTAACGTAGCGGCGGTTCGACCAGGAAAAACACTTTTACGGTATTTAGCCGCGTATGAAACGGCTGAATCATAATTAAACCACGAGTTCCGCATGAAATATCCTACACTGACTTTCCAGTTACAACTTCCTCCGATACGATTTTACAATCTTTGACTTTTCAGTTACAACTTCCCGTTGTTGTTGGTGTAGTTGTGCAGGTGAATTATTGGAGGAGGAAATGTGTGGATGTTGGCAAGCCAAGGAAGGAGAAAGGTCAATTATATAGCAGTTTTACTATTACTTATTTGCCTGGCATTGCCATTGCTACCAATACCATCCACCTCCTCCTTTCTGCTTTTCTACACTCACTGAGTCACTGGGCTGCTGGAGGTTGGAGTAGTGGCTGCTACGTCTTGTCTTTGTCAAATGATCAATTTCAATTGTTGTCATCATCATCATCATCCTCCCACAGCCACAGGCCACAGCCAGAGATGGTCCAACTCAACCTCCCAGACTTGTCGTCCATTTCCTCATCTCCCCCACACCTCTTACAAGCTGCTTTCATATCATTTACTTCCTCATTTTTTCTTGTAGGACTGAACGATGCGGATTCCAAGAGGGAAATTTTGGTCACGGGCCACCATGCTTTATGTGTGGGTTGAGTTTGCACGATCCACGCGATTGTTGGATGTACGTGAACTCGGTACAACGTGAATCATGTCGATACATTGAGCACGCAAACCATATTGGATAGAGGAGAGGGAAAGGTTTCGGACAGTCTAGATGATCTTAGACGTGACTTGAAGGACGAGCATGTATTTGTGGAACACACAATGCGGCTCTGCTTTTCGCACGTTATTAAGACCTTATAACCCCGTGAACATTCAAAGGGTGACCTTGATGGTCTTCAAACGACAATTTGCACACCAAAACATTGAGCGTGAGTGAAACTAGATTGTATGATATACCATGCCTCTCGTGATCGAGTTTGTATTCAAAACATTCACGAGCCGAGCAAAACAGAGACAAACCAAATCTATACAAAATTCAAACATATAGGACCAAACTGAAAAATGGAGGACATTTACTCACTAAAAAAAGACTAGGAATCCCGAATCAAGGATTGCATTAATAATAGTCTTTGTCAATACTTTATATACATAGAATAGAAGCCATTAACAAAAGGATTGATGACTGAGATTGTGAGGTGATCACATTAATACCCCCTCTGCCCCTCAATACCTACCACACTAAACAAAAGATTTACAGACTTAATCTTAACTTAAGCCACCTAAACTTCGTCTTTTTTTTTACACCAAAGTCCAAACGACTACTCCAGTCTCGCTGCAAGTCAATCTCCTTCCCTCTTCTTTTGATAGTTACTAGCTCTAAAAAGCCGAGCTGCTTAAAATTAGTATAGCAAAAGCTTCTCTCCCTCCCTCCCTCTCTCTTTCCTCTTTTCCAACTTCAAACATCCATGCAAGCCACACCCAAAATGGAAGAAGATGGAGAAGCAGAAGAAGAAGAAGAAAATTGAAACAAAACCCGTACCAATAACAACACACAGCAAACACATTCAAACACAAGGCCAGAAGAAGAAGAAGAAGAAGAAGAAGAGACAGAGAGACAAGAAAGAAAAGAGAAAAGACACGACCCTTCTCCAACTGTTAATTGGAGTTTTCGACAATGGCAGAGTCTGAGCTTACTCCACCTTCAGCTTCTACGGGGAACATCGGAAGTTTGCTACCTGGTGTCATCTTCTTCACATCCTGACTCAAACATATGAAGATTCTCCGCACCATGTTGCAGAATTCACTGCATAATAATGAAATAAGCCCTTTAGTTATCGAAACAAAAAAGTTTGGAGCTTTTCATTATTATATTGTGCAAGAAACACTCACGGCCATGGATCATCTCCAACAAGCATCATGTCTCCTTCATCGTCGGTGTAGACGATTTCCCACGTATCCCGAGTCTGAAGCTGTCCAGTGAGGTCAAACAAACTCTCCAGCTCGCTTATGAGCTGTGGATAACCTTTCATCGTTGTCAAGTCCACCGCTCTTCCAACAGCTACTCCTTGCATTTGAACCTATAGGGACATTTGTAAAACTCTCTTCAGAGGCTTGCAAAATGAGATAGAAACCATGATTTAACCAACTAAATCAAGCAGAACTCATCTCCAGTACCTTGGTGCGACTTCTAGTGGACATTGAACAACTTTGTCTGCTCTGAGTATTATCCTTGGGGGACACTTGTGATTGCTCAGTGGCCTTTTCCTTATTAGGAGAGTCCGATTTCTGTTCAGCATCAGACTGCGAGAGGATGCTACGTGCATGCTGCACCTCAGTGGACTTGTCAGCAGTAGGCGTGCTCATTGGACTGTTCACGAGCTCGATACCGAACAATCTGTAGGTAGTAGTCGTTGCTGCTGCTGCTGCTGCTGCTGCCTCAGGTTTCCTCCCTACCTTATCAACTGGCTGCTCGACTGCTGGTGGGTCGCCGCCTTTCAGTTTCGTTGATTGAGGAGGTGATGAGAAGGAAACGGGCCAATTTGAGACGCTCTTGCTATCGTCAGTTGCAGCATCCTGAAATTTATGCTGAGATGAGACGTTGTTCATGCGTGGAGACAGCCAATCTGTACAGCTCCCATGGCTGTTAATATCTGGCTGCTGCTTATGCTGCTGCCACATCATCATATTCTCATTTCGCTTGCTCTCGCCAGTAACGCTCATTTGTGTCATTTCAGTCAAGCCAGAATTCCAATGTGAGGCAGTTGAAGACACATCTGTCCGTATTAAACAAGAAGAGCCGATCAAAAGGCATATAAAAAATAAATTTTTAAAAAATCTGGAAATAATGACAGGAATGAACAAAGACAACAAAAGATGCTATTTACCTAGAGCTGGAATTTCATTTGGGGGACGTGGCCTTTTGTTTTTCATTGGCACTGGCTGAGGGAGGCTAGTTGGAACAGAAGAAGCCAAGAAAGGTTCTATCTCCCATGGAGAAACCTTATCCGGCCTTGGAATGGAAGCAGGTTCATCCCACTGAACCTGGTAAACAGAAGAGAACAACACAGAAAGAGAAAGCTGTTCTTAGTTTATAATATTCCAACTAGGCAGCTCAAAATTTCATACATCATATGAAGACAAAAGACATGTCGAGTGAAGATAAAATATTCATACCTTCAAACTTCGCCATTTGGATTCAGCCCAATGGGCAGAGAAATCTTCAACACCAACAATTGTGCCTGAGAACCTGATCAAACAACAAACAAAGCTTTACTTCTAACCCCACTTATTCATGGCCAACTGCTACCAAAAGATCCAGAGAAGAGCAATATGATCAGAATTTCTAACCTTCGCTCGGGGGAATCTTCACCTTCAAACCTCATCTTAAACCTCTTCCCAACTGCAAACTTATTTTCCACCGCTTCCAAGTACTTGTTCCGGCCAATGATGAATTGGCTCGTCCTTGGCTTATAGTATACCACAAACATAGTTTGAGTTGCAACAGCATGAGAAGCTGTTGCCAGCACTCCAAGGTGCATGCTCTGGCTGGAAATCACAGATGTAGGCATGCTGCTCTGCTGCCGAGCAACCCGCCTCACTCCCACTCGAAGCTCCCCACTCTCGCCCCTTACACGTAAGTATGAAATATAAGCATTCTTAATGGACAGAATGACTAAAGAAAACCAAAGGTATGGAACTTCCAAGGAGTTCAGTCAATACCTGAGGAAAACAAAAGAATCTCCAGCAACTAATCTCTTGGAAGTCACAAACGTACTCCAACCTGTTGTTAGCAAGTGCCTCCTAGGCTGACCTCGGAAGATATGCTTGAACCTCCATTCATAACCATGAAGATCCTTAGCAACCAATTCCTGAGTTGGTGTTTGCTGAGCCATGTCCTGAAAAAGGGGTTCAAACATCAGTCAGTAAAGCAAGATTAATGAGTCAAGCAATCTAAAGAGGGAAAGGGGAAAAAAAGGCAACGGATCCCTTCTCATACACATACCAAAGGAGGGAGGCATTCAGTTGCATGCTTGCGCAGAACAGAGAATCCGCCGTGAGTGCTTGTATCTGATGCAGTCAAGACCTTACAAAATGAATGAACTGAAGGCCTTGGAGTCTCTGCTGGGGCTAGATCTCGGCTATTCTGTTCGCTTTGCTGAAAATTTTGGTGATAACAAATTAAAATCATCAAAATCAAGATAACAAGTCATAGATAATAGGAAAAGGGAGGTTTCTCAATGTCTTACATCCACTTCAGGTATTAAAGTAATTTGTGCATAAACTTCGTCAGTCTCTTGCTCAGCCTGCAAATAGCTTGCACAGGTCAACCAAAAGGGTTTTGTTCCCTAACACACTTCCTGTGACTGTAAACTCAGTGGTCAAATTGGTTTTCTCAGCCAAACAATTCAACAAAGGCTGCTTGACCTCAACCGAGCTCAAAATAAGAGTTTGCATTTTCTCAGCAACCAAACAAAGGAATTCCTCGAACAAGAGAGAAATCGACTAGATCAGGGAAAAGTACCAGGAGGTTGATGTTAATGACCCGACAGAGAATCTTGGACGGCAAATTAAACAGAGGAGCCCTTTGATTCAATTCCTGGTTTGTTGATGCCTCCAGCTACAACCACCACCACCAAAAATAGCAATATGTAAAATCTTGAGCTGATTAGAAAGACACTCCATTTTTGGTACTACCACCACTCAAATCAGAAAAGGTTCAGATAATAATTGCAAGGAATTAAACCAGGATCAACCTCTCGGGCATCTCAATCCCAAAAAGTTGTCGAGATCTCCACAGGAACAAGCATAAAACGAGGAAAAACAAGACAGCCCAAAAGAAGAAAAGAGAAAGGCGGAATCAAACTTACCTGTTCCATGTGACCCTGCGGGAAATAGTAAACCCTTTCATCAGCTTGAGGAACCTCCACCACCGGACCGGCGCATAATTTCCAAAGCTCTTTGTACAGATCATCTCTTCCTCCTCCTGTAACCCACAAAACGAAATTCTCAGCATTCCCCTAAAAGCTTCCCTCAACCAGAGAAGAAAAAAGCTAAAAAATTTATTGACGAAAAACACTAGACCTTCATTGTTGACCTGCGGGATAGACCCGCCGCGAGTCGCCGCCATCATTTAGCTCTTTCCCCACGAAGATGCAGAAAAAATCCACCGACTCAAAGAGCGCAGCAGAGCAGAGCAGGGAAAATGAAAAACCCCTTCCCAGAAAAGCCGATAACGAGAAGGAAAGGACGAAATTTCCCACTTTTAAGGCAAACCCACTTCAATTCCCTCAATAACACCACCTCCAGTAACTGCAAAACGTATTGGGTTCGCTTAATTACGAGCTCAAACGAAGCTGATAATAAAAGCTTCGACCTTTCCCACTACCCAATCCCCCCCACACGCCTTTCAGCACACCGCCCCTTTTTTCCAAACTGTAACTGATCAATTGAACAGATCCAACCCAGACAAAAGATAATAGAGACGAAAGAAGAAAAAAAAAAAGAGACCCTATCTCTCAAAACCGCTAAAACGGTTACAAAACCGCTTACCCACCTGCCTCTGAAAACCACTCTTCCCAATTCTTATTTTCCCCCCTGTGAAGAAGCAGCAAGCAAGCAGGCTTTTAGGTCGTCGTCTTCTTTGCTGCTCTCTCTCTCTTTCTCTCTCTAGAAAGAATCGAAACGCCGTTACTAGAAGGAATCCCCAGAAAAACCGCTTCGCGCGCCTCTTATATTAACGCGACTTTTCATTTGCCCTCTTTAACTGTAACACCGTTCTCTCTCTCTTGGTCCGTTGACCGGACCATGGTTAAGGGTCGAGGGTTAAGGGTCACGATGACGGTGACGGCGGTGTGGGGAAAACGGAAAGGGTAGGGAAGGTAGGACGCAACGCAGAGGAAGCCGACGGAGTTAGAGGACGTTAGATGACGGCTGGCGGGTAATTTAAAAAAAAGGGGGAAAGAAATTTGGTTGGGTGGTACGGAGGCATGGGAATGCGTGTGGAGAGTAAACGGAGGAGGGCTTTCGAATTTTTTATTTTATTTTATTTGTTATTATTAAAGGGTTGGGTTTGCCGTCACCGTTAGTTGCCGTCTCTATCGTTGTCTGCTTGGGAGCAGGCAACAGGGTTGGCCCAAGTTTACCCCGGCAGAATTCATGGACGGGACGGAGGAAAGAAAGTGAAGAAAGAACCGAAGCACGGAAAACGGGATTTTCCCCAATAATGTATAGCGTATTTGTCTAAGCTTAGGAAAACTAAAAGATTATATCATTACTTAGTTAGTATTTGTATATGACTCGGAATGGAACGTTTCTCGAGACTCAACAACTCGAGTTATTGAGATCAATTGGTTATTGACATGAGAGGAATCAATTGTGGTCGAACGGTCTTTTTATTTGAACCTCATTCGTTAAGTAAATGGTATTCGAACTTTGGCAAACTTCAAGCGTATACACATCAATGTTATTTTGTCCGATTGCAAATCTTACAGAGCACTTTGTATGCAAGTTGCAAAGGGGGATTGCATCAATGTAACGAGCATTTGCAAAAAATGAACGACACACTGGAAAATAAAAATAATAATTTATTTTTGTATATTTATTTTTTTATAATCATATCATTTGGGCCTATCATATATGCAATCGCAAGTGAATTGCGCTGATGTGAGTGCAATAAAAGTAATAAGAGCTTGGTTGCAAAATTGTGATCACATGTCGTTGAATTGATGTTGATGATATTAATAAGTTGTATATGATTTATAATTGAACATCTCACAATCAAGTATGTGAAGACTAAAAAGTTAATAAGAGAATGAGTGGGGGATTTTAGATTATGTAAGTGAGGTGTTTATTGAATTATTGGGGGCATTGGATTTTGGATGTCTTCACACTAATACAATTATTTTTTATGGAACACTAAACCATACCTATTCAAACCTGAATTTAGAAATTCATTTGTTTCTTCCATTGACCCACTTGTTGGGAGTCAGTATTGATGGTTTGGTTTCTACTTAAAAGACAAATTTTCTTAAGCAGACATCATTCCAATTCCCTTCCAAATTATAGGCTTAATGAAAGCAATATAAGCTAGTAAAGGTGATCAATTAAAATATATATGCACCATCAACTTGCAATTTCAGTAAAAGATATACAATCTCTTTCTCACCTTTTAATCTATTTCGTGGAAGAACATCTAAAAAGTAAAAGGAAAAATACTTGAATTTTAAAAATCCCAACTTTAAATTATATTTTATTGAATTATTTACATTCCTTGTTTCCACCACTTCAACACCATTTAAGGGCAACAATTCCCCCTCCAAGATAATCCACCAAAGATGTCCTTCCATGACCACTACCATCCTATATATTTATATAAATCATCATCGAATCCTCAACCCAAACGATCAAAGTGTAGAAAATAAAGGATCTCGTAGGGTACTTAATTAGACATATGTTGTGCTAAGAGAAGGTTACATACCTCATCCTAAATCCAAATTTATAGCTTTTGGACATTTTTAAGTGTGACATGTAAAGTTTAAACAATGATCTCCCTTCAAAACTCACCATGAACACCATGCATGTTAACAACGAGGCAGAACCATGCGTAAAGATTGTTATCAAGTCCCTGCATCTCTCGCTTCATGCATAACGAATGTCAAACCAGTATATATTCACTCGAGTTGTCAGAAGAGTAGCACTCAAACCAAGGATTCTCATGTACTTACGAGTAGCGTGACATAAACTTTATCGTTTTTGTATGGAATCTCTCACTTGGTATTACAGGTTTGTAGGTGGGTCACCTTGTTCTCTAACTCTAGTTTCAATATGGAAAGTTGATCATGTTCATGAACTCACACCCCTCTTACTAGTGCAGATGCACTATGTTGAGCCAAATCCTATAGCATTCTGACTAGAAACACTTAAGACTCGAGAGTAGGGCCGTCGTAAGTCTGGCCCTGGATATCTGCTGATCCGACCGATCTGACCATGAGGAGTCGTTCTGGCCAAGTTTGTTTACAAGTTCAATTTAGGGTCAAATCACTTTTTTGGCAATGTGATCTATAGCTAGTAGCAACTAGTGATGTGAAATTTCTCATATCAACATATCATACCTGTTTATAAAGTTTTAAAAGTTCGGGTACTATAATGCAAAGCAAAAATACAAATGTACTAAAATGTAAGCTAACCACAAATAAAATTATTGTGAATTTTTTTAGGTACTTGGCTGTTAAAAAATAAATTTGAATACCAAAATACAATTATAAAAGAATTCTTTGTTGATTGATTTGAGCCAACCCAAACTACTAGACAGGGTAGAGGAGGAAACAGGGGCTGGACTAGCCAGTTTTATAAATTGAGTTATATTGAGTCCCATGGAATTAATTTCACAGAGTCAATGGACAAGTTTTTAATTTTGGAGCTCTTGTATGTATATTGTATAGTTGTATATTGATTTGGATGAGTATGTGTGTTATAGAGCTAATTAAATACTTTTTGGGATAAAAGTTTCCTCCCCAGGGCAGTATCCTATAAAAATACAAATTATTATTTAAACACAACAATAATAAGCAATTAATAGAAACAACAAAAACCATGCCATAATCATATGTGAGTTGATCCTATTTAAACTGGCATATTTTAACTGAGGGGTAGTTAACCAAATTTCTAAATGCAACGACAAATTACCTAATGGAAGTCCGCTTTTGTTTAAATAGTATTATTTGCATTGCCTAAATACTTGATTTATGCCAATCGAAGACATAATAAGGTATTTCTTGAGGTCAGACGAGAATAACAGCTATTAAAATTAAATGAGAAAATTGGTTGGGTATGTTAACCTATAATGATATGTATTAACGATATTGTATAAAACATAAGTATATACTTGAACGATGCAGTCTTTTTATTATCACAAATTGTGAGAAGAATTGCATCCTACCTGTTATTCTTAATCAAGATTAATTTTGTCTATCAAATCAGATATTGTATCTAAAAAAATCATGCTATATGAAATAAGAAATTGCGATCACTTTCTTTAACTTTTACAAATAAAAAAAATTGTGACAAGTAGTACCTGAACTCCTACCAGTTTGGTCTGTGATGCATCTGATCAATTGATTTATGTTTGTGAGTTGATCAATTGATTTCAGTCCCGTGTGAGTGAACTGAAATGTTAAATCAGGGCGGAAAATTAATTAAAATTGCTAAAATTTACTGTAACTAAATTACCTAACTATTTTCCCATTTAAAAAATTTCATAGGCAACCAAAGAGAGTTGGAAGGATCAAATGACAGGAGACATCGGAGTCCATATCGGCCGGCGGGGTGAGATAGCATGACTACCCCTAAATGGGTTGGAAAAACTATACCTCATATTAATTATAGGTTTTTGAGGTAATTAATTTGTGTTGCATTTAATAATCTGTCTTAATTAAAAACTCCTTTTTTCAGTGAAATGGTAGTTGTACCAGTGTTAGTGTACATGTGCAATGGTAGTTGTATCAGTGCAACGGTAGTTAAAAAAAGGAATGTAATTAATATGAGTTCAATGTACAAGTTAAAAAAAGGAATGTAATTAATATAATTTTTTAATTCCCAAATATTATTAAATACAACACGAATTTAATACAAAAAAATAACTATAATTAATAGGGGTATCATTTTTCCAACCCTTAAAGGGGTTAGCAAGCTAACCGATCCCGCGGCCGGTGTACAAAGTAATCAAGAAAAATCGATTTGACTAATTAATTATTAATTTCGAGATTAGTGGGCTTTTTGGACAATATAAACATAAATTTTAAGGTTTAAGAAACCCTCCTCCTTCGTAGCTTTTTTCCTTTCCTTTTTCTCACTACCAACATGAGACCAGCAAAAGGACAAACCAATCACAGTAACGTTGTGTGAGTGTCTGCCTGTCTATGTGCACAATTATGCAATATCGTCAAATTTCTTATACATGCCTTTATTGGTTGACACCTGTCCCTCTACTCATTCTTATTATTATATTATTATTGTGGCACTAAACAATTAATTAGTTAATTAGCAAACAAATTTGATTTTGAGGAGGAAGGTGCTGATTTCATATTGATGCTCACCTCTTGGTTCATTTGAAGAGCTACCCATAATTTTTATTTTTGTGACTTGTTTGAAGAGATAGCTAACATTTGCCTTTGTTAGTAACTATTGGTAACGTAGATTTGGTCGACTAGTTGTTGGCGTTGGATTTTCAATCAAGATATAAGTATATCATGCAGTGTTTTTACCCACTTCTCCTTGTTAAAACAAAACACCCATAAAAAAATGTTGTGATGATGGATTAAATGTTTTCTGATGGGAATTATTTGTTTTTTTAACCTCTATGGTTTTTTTAAAAAAGATATCATGCATCTTTAATGATATGTGTCAGAAAAAACGAATAATAAAAATAAAAAATATACAAACTTCTGGTTTATGGTTGCAACTATTGATTAAGATCATTTCCATGGAGTATGGAAAAAAAATTGAGCATATTAAGTTAGGTTGAGTATGATCAGATAATTGCAGAATGAATCGCGATGAAATCATATCAGAATAATAAATAATATACATTAGAGACAGATCAAACTGATATTTGGCTTGATTCGGTGTGATTTCAGCTTTATTTATAAGAGAACGCATGAACTATGTTGATTCATTATTGCAACAGTGGTGGATGGAGGGGCACATGCTGTAGAAATTCCCTACCAAGTTCCCTTGAACTAAGGAGATGCCTCTTCATTATTACACTCATCCATTTTAAGGTTTTAGTGAAGACAATCCCAACAAGTTGATCAAACTAACACTATTGTAATTGGGGTTTTTTATCCTTAAAAAAAGCAATAAAATGTTCTATGTAGTACTGTCACTACTCACTACATCACATTATTGGTGGCTTAGTTATATTTTTATATATGGATTGTCCCCATGTGGAGACCAATTTGGTTGGTGTTCCATCCTTTTGAGCCTAGAAATGAGAATGCAAAAGGTCCCAATACCTAAAAAAGAGCCTCCTAATCCAATCATACCTCGTGCCTTTCTACCCACCTAGGATTTAGGTTTCCTCTCTCTTTCTTCATCATAATTTTACAAAAAAAAAAAAAAAGCCCCACACCAGTTGCTAATATATCATCATTAAGTTGTTAAATGATAAGATCGAGCGATTTTATGATGCGTTTTTTAGTTTCATTATCACAAATTCTCATTATTTTTAAAAAAGTCCAATAATCCTCGAATGTAATTTTGAATGAGTGCATCCGTAAATCTATTGAATATTTATGAGGCTGAATTAGTCGCAAACACATATATACCGGTCCGGTCAAATAAAAAAAAGATTGACAATGTGATTACGTCATATTGATCAAAGAAGTGAAGGAGTAACTTCTCATATTTAATCTAAAATAACACTTCTCTTGTTAATCTTCTTTCAAAGCACTTTAACTTTAAAGGAGTGAGAGGAAAAGCAATTGGGTTCCATTTTTTTGTATGTTTTTTTAAGTACCTTTTCTCCATTAAAATTAAAATCAATTGAAAAATGTGGGAGTTTGGGTTGAAAACCATGTGAAGACAATCATGGGGGGCTATTATGAAATTGTTCAATTAGGGGAGTATAATCCCCCTTCAATTCCATCCATGTAAGCTACTTTTTCTTTTATTGTTGTTGCTGCTGGAAATCATCGATAATTAATTATTGGTTCTTGCATTTTATTTGGGGAAGAATAAAAAATGGGAGTTGAGCAGGAATGACAATATGGCAACTGGCAAGTCGTGATTGGTACCTCTATATTTGCATCCCTATCATAGTAGGTTGGTATAGGGCCGTCCAATGAATCGTGGAGCCCCTGTTTCAAAATTGAGACGTGGTCCAAATTAATTTTTAATTATAATAAATTAAATATTATATCGTAATTATTTTAAACGTAGTTTCTTTCTAGCATTGTTTAAATTAAAATTTTATATTATGCCTCTAATTTTGTATTCTCAATGGGATAATTTCGATTGTTGTCGTAGCTATTACATTAAAATTTTCTTCTATTATCTTTTTTAAAACAAATAGGATATGCATAGTGTATATATAATTGTATAGTGTACATATACACGAGAATAGTAACCAATGGCTAGCACTAATATTAATTAATATAATTAAATTCATTATCATACTCATAATCAATTAATTATACACTACAAATACAACCTACAATATACGATTGAGTTAACTAACAGATCCACGTGGAGGCCCTTAAGAATGGAGGCTCTGTGCCAGAGGGAGGCTTAGCACACCCTCATGGCCGGGCATGGTCGGTATATATATGTTGTTTTGAGTGTATAAGTCGAATTTAGTCGATCCATCCAAATCAAAGGAAAAGAAATAAGTAAATTAAATCATTTATTAATAAATTGAGAAATAAATTTTTTGTCTATAAAGGATTCATCCTCAGCCAAAACAAAATTGAAATAAACTAAATTCGATTATCAAGATGAAATTGAGATAATCATACGAGATTATAATGAGGTTAGAACATATGTGTAGGGGTGTTCAAATGGTTACCATGGTTATAACCAAATCAAATAAGGCTAAATTCCATTAACCATGGAATACAATATCATAACCAAACCGTCCAAACTAATACAACAACCAAATTAACCAAACTAAAGTTTAATCGGTTTGGTTAATTGGTTAACCAGATTAACCAATATAAAATCACATTATCATTGACGATGAAAATTTTCCGGTTAATGCAACAATTCGCAATTTATATAATGAATAAAACATAACAACCAACACGTAGTTATAGTTGACCCTTAACAAAAATACATGCAACTAAGACAATTACCATACGAATAGTATAAAAGTATTCACCTAACAAAAATTTATGACAATGGTATGGGTTAATGAATTGTTGTGTTTGTGTAAATTGACTTAGTCTCTTAGCAGTTATCATAGGCTGGAAATGACATTCCTTTCGAGTTTTCATCTATCATAATGTATGAAATTTATCTAAATTAGGCGTCCATATGTTGTGATCTGCATTTTACATATACAAATATACACTATATGAGCAATATTGAGCTTTATATTTTGAGTCTAAAAGGGATGAACGTTAACTCTTGAGTGGTTATGCAAAGTATTAAGTATGTGTATATAATATATGTTAGATATATGACTAATTACTTAACTGGTTAATTTGGTTTGACTGGTTAGCAGTGTCTGGAACCAAACCAAACCACCTAAACCAAACAAGCTAAAAACTTTAATCAAACCAAACCAAACCAATTATCCAAATTAACCAAACCAAATTATCCAAATAATACTAGTTAAAACGGCTACCATAGTAACCAAACCGTTTGAAGACCCCTACATATGTATGTAGTAATGAGAATAGTAGGGTTGGCTTGAGTGGGATTTTGGTCCCAAGGGGGAAGTCCAAAACTTGACTTTCCTTTTCTCAATTTTCCTTGTTACCTTTTTTTTTTTTTTTTTCTCTCTTACGAACGAGAGGACGTGTATTCGACCGTTGGATTTCTTCTGTTAAACGGGCCTTGAATGCTAATGAATGTGGACTTCTGGTCCATACAAGCCTGGCCTGAGATCCAATGGGCCCCCCTCCTCTCTCATCACAAGTCATATTCGTCTTTTTTTTTCGTACCTTAATTTGCACAAGGAGAAAATGAGAAAAGGACATAAAGACTGGTTTTTTTGCAGGCTCTCATTATTTAATTTCTTAAGGTTCCTGAAAATTTTACTTATGTTCCTGGATGGATTTCTGAATATACTTTCAAATAAATGGTCATTTGTATTCTATGTGTGCAGCTCGAGTTTTTTTAATCCATTAATTTTTGAAATGGTATTAGAATTTTTGACGACCGCGATATCTTATATTCGAATTTCGACGATCCTCATTTGTTAAGCGTATTATATTTGCAGATATGTGTAAACTTCAAGCTCATGTGAATTTACTTTCGTTCGAGTGATGCACTAGTAAATTGTATAAGATTCATAATTAAGTCTCTCGCGACAATTCGAATTCCTGGAACAAACTGGTTTTTGACCATTTATATTTCAAACAATAATCACCCGAGCAAGATTCTTGATTCCCAATTCCCAAATATGAAATTTCTCGATTACCAATAGAAAAATATGTTGATATTTTTGTATCTCAATGCCTAAAACAGTGCAGGGAAAATTCTTATAGAATCAGTGCCAAGGAGAACCAAAATCCAGGGGGATTAAAATCAGTCAAAAAAGATATTCTTGAGAATAAAAAGGGTATCTTGAGAATAGATGCTTAGGGATGATTGATTCTTGTTGATAGGCTTTGCTGCGCCGACACAATTAAGAACAATAACAAACACAAAGCCTCCTTCTACATGTACAATTTGCATAATCACATCCTTAGTTATGCTTCCTTCCAATCCTATTGCGCTAACGTAGGCCGATCCGTTTCGTGCTAACATCATTAATGATCGCCAATTTGAATCTTGACGATAACTTGTAATACGAGTTTGCGTCGTACGAGCAGTTCAATACTATCAACAAACGAACACCGAGACCAAATGAAGGTGAATAGTATAATCGTCTGATTGCTTCTAATGACAATGGCCGTGGTCATGCATACATCACGTAATAATTAATAAAACTCCCCCACGTCATAGCCAAAAAAGTCATTGCTCATTAGAACCAAACAAAATGGGCTTTATTAGAATAATAATAAGCCATTAAAGGGCAGTGCAATTAATGAAATCATAATAACATGGAGGGATTGGGCAAAGGCAATTTAGCTTAGCTAGAAGTGGGCAACTCAGCAAGTCAATAGACGTGTAAGTGAGGAATATAATTGGTCGCGTCTCCTAATCCTCCTATTAGCAAGGAGATTAGTGCTTGGGAAAAAAAGGGTTAGGTCAAATATTGGTGAGGGGGCTTTGATGATAGTGATACGTTTAGGTGGGGATAAGCTCGATTAAGAACATTTTTTTTAGATTTATTAACGCTAAGTGATTCCCCTAATATAGAATTAGTGGGTGGCTTTTCCTTATTGTTTGTTGGGATTGAATGAATGGATTGTGAGAAACTACAAAGTTGATCGTGTATTATATACTTATGGATTACTAGATTTGCAAAACCCCTGTGCGAGGCGTTTTGATTTTGTCTATCGTATAGGCGTGCTTAAGCGTAAGGTTAAGCACACATTTTGGAACCATGACCAACTCCAACTGCATAGTTCCTTACAACGTTAAAAAGTGAGTTGTAAATCTACTTCAATCGCCTAAGTTGCACCATTTTAATTATGATATGATAACTTCAACTCAAAAATGAAATACCAATCATGATCAAAAGAAATATATATAAATATTATAGAATGTCGTGTCATCATCAAGTTATTCATACGAGTCAATGTCGTTTAAATTCTCAACACTAACTTTAATTTTTATGGAGGGAAGTAACGTGGAAACAATGTCTGGAGCTTACTTTTCAACGTGAATCTGAACGGAAGGCTAACAAAACATCATTAGGAAGTGTTTGGAAGGTAGTTCTTAGAAACAAGATAAATGTGGCCACCTTTGACGGCTCTGTTTCATTGCCGTGTTTTTCCCCCCCTTCTTTCTAGTCCAAGTAAACGTTAATCAAATTATTCATCCAATTTTTTTTCTCTTCATATTTCCACTGGAGTAATATAGGAATAATAAGTTCGACCCATATATTGAGCCGACATGATTTACTGTTGGATTTGATAAAATTGTAAAGCGTAAAATTATGTGATTCGAGTTTTCAACGCACATTATTGTTTATTATCAAAATTTTAATAATGATGGGATGGGAATACATGAAAAATTTGCAATCATCATTTATAATATTGGTAATTTTATAATAATGGGTTGGGAATTTCAATGTACTTCTCTTGCAAACCTTTTGAAACCTAAAAAAAAGGCCAATACTACGGTGCCGCGGTTAAAAGTGCGGTACCGGTGCCGCTACATTTGATTGGTCCACGTGGTTGTACACGATTTGATTCTTTTTCTCGAAATCGAGCCCAAAACCCATCGACCAGACCATCCAACCAGGAATCCTTTTTCTCCGAACCAGCCTCGTCTTCTTCCTCCATCCCTCTCTTAATTGAAAGGAAGAAGCTTTCGATTAATCATGTTATTTATGGATAATTTGTGATTTGCTTCAATTTTCTTGAGTTTTCTAGATTGGTGTTGAACAATTTGTGTAGTTAATTTGTGATTTGCTTGAATTTTCTAGAATGGTATTTTATATATGGATAATTTGTATTGAGAGATTAATATTTGACTTTAATTTTGATAGGAATTTGTTATTGTGAATTTTTTACGACAAAAACCCGTGGGTACCCATGAACCCGCGGATACCCAGCGGGTTGGTTTGGGTTTGAGTTTTCAAACCCAGTGGGTTTTACCCCGGGTTTTTTTCACGGATAAACCCATGAGTTTGGGTTTGGCAAAACCCGACCCAACCCGACCCATTGCCATCCCTAAACGAGAGAGAAAGGGGTGGGGAAAAGATTGTTTGGTCAGTGGTTGGCTCAGGTTGATGGGTCACGGATTTGGGTTGATCATTAGTAACTAATGCCATGTCATACTGTCAGTGCCACGTGGACCAATCAAATGTAGCGGCACCGGTGTCGCACTTTTAATCGCGGCACCGTAGGATTGGCAAAAAAAAAAAAAAAGGAATTCAAGGCCTTTATAGTGATAGGGCCCCCAAAACAACAATGGGCCTTTATTAGTGTTCCAGGCCTTTGAGTTAGGGGGTAATCATTGCCTAATCCAGCCTAAACAATAATTATTAAAAAAAAATCAGTTGGGTTTAAGAGACAGAAAGTAGTGTAGTTAACTGTACAAGTACAATTTTGAACATTAAGCTAATCCCATGTGCTAAGCTTTTGGGTGGTCCAATTGCATCTTTGAACCTTAATCAATTTGCAAATTGCAACAACAACAGTAATCTAGCACCAAACCAAACAAGTGGGATCAATAAAGCATCTAATGCCGGCGCTAAAGTTAGTATTAATTGATCAATTAAGATTAGTGTAAATATTCCTAGCTCCTAATGGAACGTAAGTAAGAGCTTTACGGATCGACTCCAACCAGCAAAAAAATAAAATAAAATTAAGGTTAATGACTGAACATGTTCCTCTACTTTAGTGGTTTTAACAAAGATATCGTTGAACCATTTTTCTTAACAAATACATCCCTTTATTAGCTTGACATTAACTAACCACTATTTGTGTGGCAAGGGCAAATGACTAAAGCTATGAAGAATATAGAATTTTCTTACAAGTGGGATCAATAAAGCATCTAATGCCGGCGCTAAAGTTAGTATTAATTGATCAATTAAGATTAGTGTAAATATTCCTAGCTCCTAATGGAACGTAAGTAAGAGCTTTACGGATCGACTCCAACCAGCAAAAAAATAAAATAAAATTAAGGTTAATGACTGAACATGTTCCTCTACTTTAGTGGTTTTAACAAAGATATCGTTGAACCATTTTTCTTAACAAATACATCCCTTTATTAGCTTGACATTAACTAACCACTATTTGTGTGGCAAGGGCAAATGACTAAAGCTATGAAGAATATAGAATTTTCTTTGTAAAAATAGGTACATATATTTTTTTTCCACATAATAATATCTCCCTCGATCATCTCTTATCGTATCTTAAGTTTGATTCATTTATTTTTTCCAACTTTTTTCTAATTTGGAGTATTCCTTTTCTCCATTAATAGAATGCAGTAAAAGGCAAAGTTGAGTATGATGAATGCTATAATTACCCTATTATATTCTAATTCCTAAAATCTAAACAGTAAGATATGAAGAACCGATTCACACAGTTTCATTAGTTGAGAATAATTTACTAATTGTCTTCAGGTGTCAAATGAGGGTGGTAGTTTATGATAATCCAGAGCAAATATGATAGTAACCCGCGAGCTTAATAACATGTGTTGCATCTTGTTCGAATCACGGGACTCTCTTTGACTGCTAAGAAAATCCAAAGAATACATGGATGCAAATGTGTTATTGGTTCAATCGCTCCAAATACACCGAAAACGGTATTGGTTATGGTATCGGTTAATGTAGACCTGAGAAACGGGGTGGTGCATACAACATAATCTTCAATGCTAAGCGAAAATGATGGCAGAGGGAGAAAAAACAAATTTGTGTAATGCCTTGACCAAAAAAAATGTTAAAAGGAGAAGGAAGAACAACCAAATGCCAGTGGAGCTGTCTGTCTGTCATCTCTGAGTCTTCTCTGTGTAAATTATTAGGGAGTGAATGGAGCAAAAACCACCACTGAATTGTGCCCACCAAACCCAAATGAATTGGAGATACCTGCAACCCAAGCAAATGAAACAACCAGCACCTAATTAGTCATTAGAGATCCCTTACCAACATTGAATGCTTTCTTCTGATGGAGGAGAGACAGCAAAGAACAGGTAAAAAGGAAAAAGTCTCACTTACCAACATTCACTTGATGCTGTTTCTTCACATTTGGGACTGTATCGATCGTAACTTCAGGCTCCAAGTTCTGCAACATACAGTTTTTTAACCAAGTTCAGCAGTCACTTCTGTAAACATAAAGATTGAACAAAAGAGTGTCCCTGGGTTTAGTGAAGCTTTACATCTTGGTTGATGGTTGGATGCACCCATCCAGTTGTGATCGCCTTGATGGTTGCAATTGCTTCCAGCCCTCCTGCAGCTCCAAGCGCGTGCCCGATCATCGACTGCAACAACACATAGTCGAATGTTCATTCGTTTGTTCATCGACTGCAAATTTTCTGAACGATGGTTTGTTGATGATTATACCTTAGTTCCATTCATCTTGATCTCGGATGTGTCCTTGAACACTTTCTTGATCGCATTCACCTCTGCCAAATCCCCTGCCAACGTTGATGTTGCATGTGCATTCACATAGTTCACCTGCGACGATTCAAAGGATTAAAAACGTAGTACGAGGTGATCCAACGGTGTCAGCTCGTGCAGGATTACTCGAAGATTAGGTACATATATTATATTATCTATAGATACCTCTTCTGGAGAAACTTTAGCATCTTCCAAACTCTTGGTAATACAAGAGGAAACTCCAAGGCCATCTTTCCTAGGATCAGTCATATGATGAGCATCACAGGTCACTGCACCACCCAAATACTCTGCAATTATGTTGGCTCCCCTTTTCATCGCATGCTCCAAGCTCTCCATTACCTACCAAAGAAAGAACAAACATCTATGTTCATCACATTGAACGAATATGATTTGAAGACAAATTATTTGCTGTCGACTCTGGAAGTCACGAGATCTAAAAGAGAAGCATCTGGTTTTGGGTTCGAGAGCGGGAGGTGGTCCCTGATCCACGGTGAATGGACTTATATACATTAGTTTCACTATTCTGGGCTTGGTTTGTCTTGAAGAGATCACTCGTATTAACTAGAAAACAGTCAATTTTGGGTTTGGTTTGTCACATTTATCTTTCCAGGATGGATTAAGATTAGTCCGTCTGTAAAAAAATTCCATCTAAATTCAAAGATGTAAAAATGGTCTTTCCTGTCTGTGAATTAGCTAACATATATCGTATTAGTGAACCACGCGAAAACGTACCAGAACACCAGCGCCCTCGCCCATGACAAAGCCATCGCGGTCCCTGTCCCAGGGCCTAGAAGCCTTGTGCGGCTCGTCATTCCGGTGGGACAGCGCCCTACAAGCGATGAACCCGCCGATGCCGGCGGGAATGACGGCGGCCTCGGTGCCGCCGACGACCATGACGTCGGCCTCGCCTCTTCGGATGTGGTTGGCGGCGGCGTAGAAGCAGTAGTTGGCGGTTGCGCAGGCCGTGGAGATGGAGTAGTTTGGGCCCATCAGGCCCGTGTCGATGGCCAGCAGGGCCGAGCCCATGTTGCTGATCGAGTAAGGGATGAAGAACGGCGACATTTTCTTGAAGCCCTTTTGGACTAGGGCCTCCACTCCGCCGCTAAACGCCGTTAGTCCTCCCATCCCCGTTCCCACCAATACCCCAATCCTCGTCCGGTCCATCTGCACAACCACCGTTTTTTTTTCAAATTACTTAACAGAACGTTACACCAAAGTTAACAAATTTGTTAGAGAAGGATGAATTGATAGACGAATATACTTCAATTTAGGCGTCGGAGAATTAACGATAACGAATTAACGATAACGACTTTGAAGTAGAAGCACTACTTGAATGTCGGTTTAGAAATATTTGATAAGAAATTGAGGCGCAATTTGAAACTTGGATAATTTTTGGCACCTAAATTTTGAAATGTGGGCTTATATTCGTCACCCTCAGGTTTGTGGACCGGTTAAAATCATGGTTTGCAAACTACTAGTATGTCAGTCGATACAATTAGATTCAACCGCTAATGGACAAAAAAAAAAAACGATTGGAAGACCATCATATGAAGCAATAGTTAAAACCGATAAAATGATTTCCTATCTTGTTCGTAATGTAATGTTTTATTCAAATATTGGTAGAGATGATATGTATATTGTCTAAATATATATTTTCCACCTTCCCTTACATAAATCAACATATAAAATGGTTGTTGTACCATGATTGAACACATATTTACTAAATCGATATAACGATATAGACCGGTCTGACAACGTGCAATATTGGAAGCAACCAAGAAGACTTACAGTTTCGAGGACTTGGGAGCCGAGGCTGGCATCTTCCAGTGCCCTTTTGCCGGCGACGAGGCAGTACCGCCAGCAATCGTCCAGCCGCCGGTCGTTCTTGCCGTCGATGTACCCAACGGACGAGAAATCGCGAATCTGGCCGGCGAATCGGACTGTGAAATCGGAGGCATCGAACCTGTCAATCAGGGTGATTCCGCTCTCCCCTTCTAGAAGCTTGTTGTAGAATGTGTCGACGTCGTTGCCGAAAACAGAGACACATCCCATCCCCGATATCACCACCCTCTTCTTCGGATCCTTCTCCCTCTTCGGCGCCGAAACCGCCGGCGCCGCCATCGCCCTCACCGTTCCCTTCGACTTGCGAGCTTTGTTCAACGAATCGAAACCCACATCAGTTACCACATTAAACTTCAAATGCAGGGGGAAAAGGGAACCATCTTTAGAAATGGTTGTCACATTTTGAACAGAGTAATCGAGGAGAATGAATTCTTTAGCAATAGGATACCTGAAGAAGAGAGGAATGCAGGAGGGCTAGTGATAGAAGGGGACAATTGAATCGAGTCAATAGGGCGGAGGCCATTGAATTGGTGGGTCAAAGAAGAAACTCCTGCGATTTCCCTGCTCTGAATCCCCACGCCGGAAGAGCAAGAACTAGAAGCGATGCTCGCCATTTTTGGGCGTGTTCACTAAAGCTGAAGCTCTGCCTGGTGGGTTCTTTCTTCTCTGGCTCTCTTCTTGTGTGTGGGAAGCGCGAGGGAAAATCTCTGGTATAAATAAAGGAGGGAAAATCTTTGGGGAAATCAGCAGGGGGACAGGTAACGTGGGAGTTAACAGGAAAAATGAAAAGAATTTGGTGATGTCAACATTGGAGAATCCGTCAGCGTGGAGGGAGGGGCAAAGAGTAAACAATTGAGATACTGAAAATTAACAGCAGCGCCGGAGAAAACTCTGGCGGCGGGCGGTGAAAGCTGAAAAGGAGGGGAGGATGGAGGAAGACGAATAGAGAAATGGCTAAGGAGACATTGAGGCGTATTGTTCCTTCCTGACGGTGGCGGTGAGGATTGTGGGGGGAAATCCATGGGGATTCTGAAAGTGCAATTTCCAAGGCACGATCTTTGCATCCTTGCATTAACTCGCCCATGTGGCTTCACGATCTGTTTTGTTTTCTCGTCTTGGATTGGATGGGTGAGTGAGAAACAGAGAAAGGGAAGAATGCGGCCGAACCGGAGAAAACAAATGGCGAAAGGAGTAGAGTGGTGATAGAGTTGGGCTTTGACTAATTCGGCCCATTTGCTTATTTGGTTTTTCTTTTTGTTTTGTTTGATTACTGTGTTAAGTTTGGATTTAAGTAGCATGGACGAATTGTACTGGGCCAAGCCATGGTTCTAATATTTCCTTGTAAGCCCATTCTATCCAGCTCTCTGTCTGATCCAGCATCCAAGCCCACAAAAAGAAAAGTGAAAGTAACAAGTAAAAAAAAAAAAAAAAAAAAACAAACCTGCCGACACACGTGGGAGCCACACCGTCAAGCGTGCGGCCGGCCAACCAAACGCATCCAGCGGCCCCCAAATTCCATAATCCACATGCTCCACGGAGTGGCTTTCAGAAACGCGTCTTCTTACTCTTCTCTCTCTCTCTTTTTGCTTTTTCTATGATTTTTTTTATGAACGGGCAATCACTTAGTAGTCAAGGAAAAGTTAAAATTAAAAAAAAATACCAAAAGAAACGCAGAGCTGGTGTGAAGACTGAAGACTCTCTCTGATCAGAATCTTCTGCCCAACCCTCCGAATATCCTAGAACAGTAGACTTTCTAGTTTCTAGAACACTGCCCAGTCGATATTTTCAAGGATCGTATGGTAAGACTTTTTTTCCAGAACAAAATGTAGCAGTAATGAAACCCGCTTATTACTCAGTCAATTATTTTCTTTGGTCAAAATTACTCATCAGTCTTCAGTGTTAAGATGATGTTAAGGTAGGCATATATATATAGTATTAAAGTATAACACATTTCGTCAAGGATAAATTCGTCCAACTCAACTTCTGGTATAGGCTGTATTGTACGTTTTTGCATAATTTGTAGTGCGTACTAACACTATAGATGTATAGCACCTTTACTGTGATTATCGAATCGAATATGCAACTAAAATTATTTTAAATAATCCAACACATAATTGCAGAATGTATACGGTAAATTCAGATACCATTAGAAAAAAATAGCTCTTTAATGCTTTTTAGTGCATAAAAAATACCACTTAAAACAGGAAAAAAAGTGAAAAGCGGAGAAAACAGCATTAATTAAAGCAGCAGCGAGGGGGATTATCTGGAAAAGAACAAGTCATCCAACCAATCAGCGAATTCCAAATCAGCTCAACTCCCCTGCCCTCCCGTTACTGCCACGTTGCCAACGCGGTCCCCACTTCCCCATCCGCGTCTCGCTGTCGTCATCATCATCCTCTCCCTCCCTTTTTCTCCATTAATTATAAATTCGCTCACCTACTAATTATAAATTAATCCAAAACAAATTACATTTAGCTTAAATAAATCAGTAAATTAAACTCCTAAACCCTCCTTTTTCTCTCTTATGAATTCCCCAAACTTTGACAAATCCACACGCAATCGCCATTTTTGCTTTTAATCAGCAAAAAAAAAGAAAGAAAAAAAAAATCAGTCGCTTTCACTTTCCCGGAAATTTCCGCCTCGCTTAACTTCTCCCCTACTTTTCCTTCCCTTCCTTTATAACTCCACTCTCCTTCTCTTCTCCACTTTCACCATTTCAAATTCCCTGTTACTCGAATCACAGTAAACCCAGTTTCGTGAAATCGGATTCGAATTTTCAGAGATGGACAACAATCAGCAATCGTCGTTCTGGCAGTTCAGCGACCAGCTGAGGGTGCAGGCCAACAACCTAGCGAACCTCTCGCTCAACGATTCGATCTGGAGCAGCTCCTACGCCAACAAGCGGCCGGAGCAGCGCCGGAACTTCGACATCCGGGTCGGAGCCGAGCTCAACAGCAATTCTCCTTCTCCTCCCATCGCCGCCGGCAAGCCCCAGGTAGGCTCCGATTGGAACGGATTCAACGACGGCTGGAAGGTCGGGTCGGGTTCGGTAACCGGGTCGAACAACAATTTTACCGGTTTGTTGAATAACAACAACAACCACTCCGTCATCGGCGGCGGCGGGGGAAGTGGATCTCACCCGATGAACGTCGGGCTGAACGGCGGGTTCAATAAGGGGATCTACTCCAAGGGTGGATTGAACAACGGGGGTTTCAATTTTAATGTGAATCCGAGGGCCGGGAAGAACGGTAAGGGTTTTGGGATTGAAGATGAGCAGCAGAATCATCTCGTCGGCGGGAAGTTCGGCAAGAAGAACGGCGGAAAGAAGAACAACGATAGCAACGATACCGGGAAAGAAGGGAAAGACGGGAAACAGAATGGGGTTGACAAGAGGTTCAAGACTCTTCCGCCGGCAGAAGCCCTCCCCCGGAACGAGACGATCGGCGGGTATATCTTCGTATGTAACAACGACACCATGGCGGAGAATCTCCGCCGGCAGCTCTTTGGTACTTTTTTTACTTTCCCCTCTTCCTTACCGTGCTGTCTTCATTTTTGTCAACTCTGGAGATTGAAATTGGGTCCTTTTTTTTGGTGGGTTAGGTTTGCCGCCGCGTTACAGGGACTCGGTGAGGGCGATTACGCCAGGATTGCCGCTTTTCCTCTACAACTACTCCACCCACCAGCTCCATGGAATTTTCGAGGTACCTTCCTCCACGCCTTGTTTTCATGAGCTTAGCTTTAAATCCTCTATGACGATTGACGAGTGTGCCTCTTAGAATCCCTCAAGTCTCGTGAATAAGAACGAGTTAGGCTTCACGTCAAGTTTGTGGGAAGGCTTAACTGCAATTGAATTACTTCAATAATGATTATTTCAGACCCAATTTGGTGCTTTTAGCCTTTTAGAAAGTTCGAACAAGAAATGGATGTCATAAGTCTGTTTACGCTGAGAGAAGTCAATCTATGTTTACTTTGATTGAGTTTGGAGCTTGAAAGTTCGCAACTTGATGACTGAATGGATGGATATTTGGGGTGAATGCAGGCAGCGAGTTTCGGCGGGTCGAACATCGATCCCTCAGCATGGGAGGACAAGAAATGTGCAGGGGAATCAAGGTTCCCTGCACAGGTCAGAGTGGTAACCAGGAAGATCTGCGAGCCACTGGAAGAGGACTCATTCCGGCCGATTCTCCACCATTACGACGGCCCAAAGTTCCGCCTCGAGCTCAACGTGCCCGAGGCGCTCTCGCTTCTCGACATCTTTGGTGATCAGAAGGCCTGAACATAATACCAGCAACCTGATGAAGGAAGAAGTCCTGAAACAAGAGAATGGGAAATTGAAGGAGGAGATTACTATAGAGGGTTAGTTGTTACAGGCAAATATGGACCATGGAAACAACTACAGTACATGACATGAAGAAGAAGAATGGGAAGGAAATTCTATACATAGATGAATATGTATACAGTTTATATATATATGTGTGTAAGCCGTATTTCCATGTAACATATTTTTGGGATGTGAGGGCTTCCTCGATATATATATTCGTCCTTCTAGTTCGATGTTCATGTTGTTTTGGCGCATATAAATAATCAAAAGAATATCTAATAAGAGCTCAAACTTGTGTTGATGATCACTGATCAGTTCTTCCTTCCCCATGTACTGCAGAAATTACTCACAGGAGCTTTCCCTTTCTAGGGCTCAATCTCTCTTTTGCAAGATCACTTTTTTTTGGCTTTGCCTTCTAAAGTGAATGAATGCTCGTAGATCACTCTTGAGTCTAGCTAAAGAGAAAGGTTCGCCTTTACTTTCATATATAAAGGCTTTGCTTGCTCTATACGTCAACCTTTTAACATGTCTTGTTCATGTCATTTATCCATTTCCTTGCGATGAAAGAAAAGCAGGGTGCCCACTGCTCTCTCTGTCTGTTTCTTCCTCTGTTCATTTTGCTTTCCACTTTCTAACCTACTCCACAGCAGCTTTAGTTTTATCATCTAATTTAAGTGCTGCCAAAGTGCGGAATGAGACGAATAACGTAACGAATGTGAAATGAGTGAAATGTCCGAGATACGTTAAAAAGGTAAAGTGACAAGGTGTCACGAGATATACGCGCGCACGTAGAATTCGATGGACTCTTTATGTATAGCTCCATCTAAACCTATATGATCATGTCGACGGATTGTGAGCAATATATGCTTTGATTTTCATGAACAGAAATCCATCGATTTTCATGCCTGTAGGGTTGTTTGATGACACGTAGCTTAGAAGTTTCCTTAGCATCAAAATTCAACTTGTATCGCCCATAGAAATAGAGAGGTGAGGGACAAGGCCAGATTCGACTTTCTTCCGGGAGGGAATGAATGAAAAAGCAAGTGGCCTGGCAAAGGGGGGATTGCTCTGTCATTTTCTTAGAACTATTATGCATATGTCAAATTGTCAATCACACCCCAACTTACAATGAAAACAAAATTGGAAAAGGTTCCAAGTGGTGCCTTAAAATTTGGTGGGACTTCTTCTTCTTCTTCCTAACCCAATTCTTAAGCAACAAGAAGAAGAGACTCTGTTTCAATCCGATGGTGACAACTGACAGCCACCTTGCCAAACACACACACACCCCCATTGTCATCGTACGAATCGTTTCGTGACTATATTCGAAAGAGGAGATCTATCTGTTAACTGATTATCGTCGTATTAAGAGCTAGTTCATCTTAATGGCCTCAACTTATTCGAGATTCTACTCGACATTTCGAACTTGTTGTGTTTAGAAAAGCTTTTTTCTTAAGTGTGAATTGTGATGGTGGGGGGCAAAAGGGTTGGCCTGTGAGCTTGCAGATTGGGTTGGCCTCGTGATCTACGTTCTTGAAAGATCTAAAGGGTCTATGTAGATCTAAAGGGTCTATAGACAACTGATGAACACACTCTGTTTTTTTTCGTTTTGGGTCTTTCAGTACATTTTGTCAATACTGAGGATTTTGGTTGTTGAGGAATTAGATCTAGTGCCATTGTAAATACACAGTTGAGTTTTTTTCTTTTTTTGGGGCCATTGTAAATACACAGTTGAGTTTTTTTCTTTTTTTGGGGATCATACTGAAACAATACATTTCCTTACAAGCCTGTCTAGTGTCTAGCATGGAGCTGGCTAAGCTTTAGATACAAGTTTTCCTTCCCGCCCAAAAAGAGACATAAAACGTTCTTTTAACACAAAATACAGACAGAAGAGTATCTGGTTATTATGTCCCGGTAGGAGTTTAGGTTCAAAAGATGGTAATCAGCTGACAAAATTAAGCCAAACTTTTGAACCATTGGCATTGCTCTTTTTGATCCTTCAGTAGTCCTGCATCTTCTTGACTGCTTCGTCTACGGCGTCCATGTTCTTCCTTAGGGTCGACCATTGCTCCTCTGTGAGACTTATACCTGGAGGCATCAGAATGATAAAGAGTGAGATAATCATCTGTTCCAAGTGACTAGCATTTACCTATTGTAAAATGCCAGGGAGCAATCATCTAAAGCCGATGGAAAGAAATGATCATGCTGATAGGAACCACAATTAGCAGTCGTCTTGATCAAATTGAAAATGCCAGAAATCAACAAGTCTCAAATTATAGAAAGAACTGATCATGTTCAAAGGAACCAATCCCACATTAACAGATCTTAGAACTACTAATTACTTTGTTAGAACACAGCCGACCAACGATCAGCAAGAAATTTAAACTTATGATGATGATTTCTTCATCATGAAAAAAATCAGAAACCCAAGGGAAGGAGATGGGCATATCAACATTTCGGGAAGTATTCCTAGCGATGAACGGGGAAGAAAATTCACATCTATTCTTCATGAATTATCCAAAGGAATTAGGAACCCAAACTTTAGTACCCTCGGTCGGATGGAGATGTTTCAATAAGTTGATAAGCAACACATGTAACAGCGTCTCGAAATTTAGTTATGTCTTCCCATCCAAAGAGACAAGAAGTGAATCATATATAATGTCCACAAACCTCTGTTTTCTTATGCTTTTATGCATATACCACAAGGTAAGCCCCTCAGCATTTTCTGAGAATTGTTCCAGTTCCACTCCATGAGAAGAAAGCACACTACCATAGTTTCAATTCGTCTCCTTTCTATTGACTATTAACATTACCCCGCCATGAAACAATGAAAGTAGACCTTCTTCCATTGATACAACCAACAAACACCATAGCTAAAGCATTCATCATCTCGACACAGGGTGATGAGCTTACCTTTAGCCGTTGGAAGCTCTTTACCATCCTTACTGTAAAACTCCCTTATCGATACCAAGTTCCTTCCCCTGAAGTTCTGAATCGTCACCCTCCTCTTCGAAGTTAACTGCAACCACATAGATCCATCAAAACGAAACACTCTCAGGTCTCAACACAGAATCTAAGTACCCAAGAGCATCAAAACAAGCTATAACTTGGACAAACCAGAATGAACCCACAGGCCACAACAACAGTAAAAAAAAAAAACGCGCCCAACTGAAGAAGCAAGCAGAACAAAAAGAAGAGACGACATACCCTGCAAACGATGAGATCGCCATCATCGTCGTACTCCTTGCCATCTTTCCCACCTTTGTCCTCCTCCTCCTCCTCCTCTTCTTCTTCTTCCTCCTCGGCAGCTGCTTCTTTCGCAGTTTGTTCCTCTAGGAACTTGTTGACGACGTGCCTGACGAAGGCCTTGTACTCGGGTTTATTGAGGTCGAGTCCCAGCACCTGGGACGCCCTCTTTCGAATCTGTGCCTCAGTCGTGGACGCCATGTCCGATTCTTCGATGATTTTCCGTACGCTTCTCTCGATATCAACCTTCGCTTTGGCATCCATTTATGGGCACTGACTGACTGACCGCCGCAAAACGGCAAATTACGGCAGCTGCTGTGCTTTTCTTCGTCTTCCCCAGTTGGGAAATTTTTCCAGTCAGTAATCCGGTTTAGGGATTTGGAGGGGTTTCTTATTTTTCTACTCTTTCTGGGATTTTGCCGATTGCAGCAAACAGACAAGCGAACTTTTGTGCTGACGTCAGTGATGAATCGGTAGGACTTGAGACTGAGAGGTGTCCTGGTCCGGGGACCACATGGCACATGCTAATAAACGGGGTGAGTACGGGCCGTATGGCCCAATTGGTCGAGTATATTTTAGCTGGGCCTCAGCCTGTTTGGTTACAAAGATCGTAGTTGAACAGATCACAAAGCCCATTGGATCAAGTATCCCAAGTCCACCAAGTGGAAAGCCCATTGAACCGATCACAAACAGAGCTTCCATGATCACAATTCCTCTATTTTCTGTTTAACAACATCCTCGCCATGAAACTATGAAAGTAAGACCTTCTTCTTCCATTGATATAACCAACAAACATCATATACGTCGAAACCAGCAAAAGAATGGTGCTGCAGAGTCACCAAATCCCATCACAAACTTCGTTTCAGTCTCTCAACTGCCCTCTTTTTCTGAGCTTCTCCATTGTGCTGTCAGGGCAAAGCACCACCCAATTCGATGCAGTCCATCATTCAACTCACGGCTTCATGTCTTCAACTTCCTCGAGCCACCGCGACTTTTCTTGCTGCCCGCCGGCCGGCGCGAGCCACAGCAAGATTAACACAGAAGTCAGAATCAAATGTCAGCAGCAGAACTGGCTTTGTCATTTCAAGTAGAACTGTGTAGATCCTCAATCATCATACTATAAACATTTAAGCACATGATATGATCTATATCACAAAAAAAAAAATTCGATTCTTTCTGCTAGAGTTTGAATCCTAATTAAGGTAGGAAATTCCTATAACTGGTACAGAATTGAACTACTAAAAGAACTGTAATCTTCCAGAGAATTTACCTAGTCTTCAATTCAGAAGACGCTGAAGGAGGAGGACTAGAGACTATCCGTCGGCCACCGCCGCCGCCGGAGACGACCTCATCCATGGATTGGCCTTGGCGAGTGTAACGGCCGCCAGAAGCCACGAAACCAGGGCAAGGGCGATAAGCCTTGATTGGCCACCATCCAAACCCAGGAACCGCGGCAATCCCGCCTTGTATCCTTCCTTTCCCATTGCATCCCTTCTCCATTTCTTCCCTCCCACATCCCTCACACCCTCTAAAACATTGATTTTGTGCACAAATAGAAACTGAATTAGATTTGTTTCCAAACTGGAATCCCCAGAAAGGGCGAGGAGGGGGATTGGGGGTTTTTTTTTTACCTGAGAGGAAGAGAGTTGGAATCAGCACCTTGGAGAGGAGGAGAAGCGGGAGAAGGCTCTTCTTCCAGAACCGAGTTTGAAGAAGAAGAAGAAGAAGAAAGAGGGAGGAAGGGTTTGGACGAGTAATGGATGAGGTTGGGAGAAAGGAGAGATTCGTGTGGTTGTTGAGTGTGGAACCATGTGGATTTGGGGCTGTGAAGATGAGGCGTCGGAACTGAGAGCAGAGAGAAGGCCATTTCTTTCCCGCCGATGAAAGCTCCCTTGTTGGCTGAGCTCGTTTCCGGGGAGGTATAAACTGAAATGGCGGATGGCCCAAAACCTGTGACTGACAGCCACTAATCTTCCTGGCGATTCCCAACTTTGCTATCGAGCCAGCGTGGAACGGATTTGATGTGATGGAGAAGAAGCGGAATGAAAAAAAAAGAGGTTCCACCGAGATTTGAACTCGGGTTACTGGATTCAGAGTCCAATGTCCTGACCACTAGACCATGGAACCTTAGTTGTTTCTTTAATGACTTTCAAAAACTTAATATTTCTTAATTCAAAAACTTTCAAACTTAAAAACATCATTCTCACATTCAACAAGGAAGCCAATCTTAAATATGGATTCATCTGGTTTAGTTTTTAAACAGCACTAAATTGGCTAAGCATTAGATCAAATGCTTAAACTAAGCTTACCCGGGGATTTAGGTCTAAAGGGTACCCATACCACATCCTACCTTTGAGGCTTTTGACCCCAAGCATGTAGGGGTCGCGGCCCAAGGCCTCAGCATCCAGCTCTTTCATACCAACCATGATTTTGGCTTTCGGATTTTGAATCTCACACAATCATATTGTGTTTATTCTAAGATAGCCTCAATCATCGTAAAACAGGCTTCAAAGTGCAATCCCAAGCATCAGTGAACTTTTCTCGCAATCGCCTGGAAGCTCATACCAAAACAACTCGGAATCCTTGGATATGTTCCTTCCAAAATGATACTGACTTGCGAGCACAAGGGCCTAAGCCTTATCTAGGATGTCTGACTAACGAGCAACTGTCTCTATCTCCTCAGCTGCAATCTACAATCTGGACCACCAAATCTTTGCCCTAACCGAGAGCTCACGACAATAGTAATCCAAGTCTAAACCTCTATGTACTAGTATGGAGCATAAGGCTTGAATCACACACTTATGACGCCCAGAACTCTCTCTTTATCCCAAAAAAGTCGACCGTAATTTGCGAAACTTGAACATCAACACATCCTAATCTGTAACTATCCATGCTCTATTTTGTTCAAGGTCATGCGTTGATTTTTGACATACAAGGTGTTCCATCATTGGCCAAAGCCATTCACCATTATCCCCAAGAACATACCTTTTCCTTTCCAACTTGCACTTCTCAATAAGAAATCTTTACTATTAACACTTACTTGCACATTGCACTCTCTCCAATCCATACAATTAACTTACCCACTGAACTTAACCAAGAGGGGGAAAAAAAGGGAAAACAAAGATCGGAGCCTTTCTCCCTTTAGTTTAACCACAAATGAAAGACCAAAACTGGATTGGATAAAAAAGGACCTACCAATGACTTCTTCATTTACTGATCAATATTTCCTCCCCAAAACACAGAAACCCAAGAAAGAAATAATAGAAAGAAGAGTGAACATTGAACAAGAACAGCCAACCCCCTACCAATCACTAATAGAACTATTTATCCAGCTAATGTAAAATCTATCACTCCCCGATATATTCCTTATCTTGCACTCATAACTTACGGATGCATAATCTGCCGGTCCACTGAGCTGTGATGATGCACCAGGTACCACCTCCCGTTGTGGAACTCAAACACATTCGTCACATGGAACGGCCCGGTCTCCATCTCAACATAGGTGTTCATTGTGACCCAGGCCATGTCGGTCAGGACCCGAACCCGCACGTCTCGTACCTGAAAGTCGACTCCTTGCTCCCAGTTGAATGCAAGCTGCCAGCTCTGTATCACAGCATTGTACCTAATGTGATGACACAACAAGTAGTCTTCCCAGTTTTAGCTATAGTAGTTCAATCAAACAGGAATGGATGCAGAAAGCTGATGAGGTAAGTTGGATTTCAAAACATGCCAAGAAGGCGATGGATCACTTTTTTGGTCAACACGCACAAAGAGATGGAAAATAGAACTATAGGAGCCAATAAGACACGCTGGTTAAGCGAATATCTAAAAAGATCACTGTATTAAGCCCATAACAGATCTATAAAGATCAGTCATGAATCGATTGAGAGTGAAGAAAGAGTTCCACCTAGTCATGTCCGTGTGTCATATAGGCACAATTTGGTAAAAAGCGGTTCTCCAATCGCAATAAGCACCATAAAACGAATTACGAGTTCCTACCTTAATTAGCTGCTTTAAAACTTAAAAAGGGTACTGATAGCTAAGAATCTAGATGCATTCACTCTGAACATCAATATGACATATCTCAGTCACACTATGATCTATTAAGCAAACAAACAAAAATGAAGTGCAGATAGGACAAGCAAAAAGAGTCTTAGAATGTTAGTCAAGGAGAGAAATGCATCAAGCAAGCTCAAATTGATAATCTTACCCCGAGAAAAGTTTTCCTGATGCATGAATGCACTTCACATAATCTGCATTAAGCCAGAAAAGACTCATATCTTGGAGAGACCTTTCTCTGATGATGCTGAAGAACTCTGCATTCAGATTGACAATGGCTCTTGTAGCTGCGTAGTATGCTTTCCAACCATTAACAGGTGTGACACTATCTTGTTCCACTGTAAAATCCTAGAAGCAACCAAAACTTTTATTACGCGCCTGAGAAATTGGAAAGAACAACATTGATATTGACAAGGCATCAAAATGAAGTCACATATTAATACAATTCCAAAACCTCATATAGCAATAATCAATGAAGGAAAAAGAGATTCATCTAAATAGTAAAGGGAACCCCAAAACGAAAAACTTAGAAAATCATGTTTTCCTGCAAAGACAGCTCCACAATAGAACACCCATAGTAGTACTTATAAGGAAGCTGCTGACCAAAATCAAGAGCATAGAGACACATCACGGCCAAAAAAGTGTCTGATTAGTACTGTTCTACTCTGGCATGCTTCTATTCAGCTTTAGAAACCTAATGGACCCTCAAACTGTATCTACTAATTGTATCGCAGGTAAGAAGATGCTTTAATTCTTTTGAATGCATACTGCCAGGATTCTGAGATACTGAAAGTCTGATCCACAAGTTCACATAAAGAACGTTTATCCATAAATACTCAAAATTTCCATTGCACCCACTCCTGAGTATTACATCCACAATGATTCTGTACAGCTACATAACACTAGATCTTCAAACACACATCCTAATCTTATGTTATCGAACTTAAGGAGAAGCCCAACTCTCTAGTTGATTTGATATTCGTTCTTCATCTTGAATGCTTGCTTCCCCACTAACCAAATTCACTCTGCAACTGCAGATTGACAAATCTAACAACATAGTGCAACCATGAACAAAGACAGTTCAACAAATAATGTTAATGCTAGAACGAAATACGAAGTAGACAAAGTAGTTGATAAGCTGTGAAGATGACAAAAGAAGGCGCAAGGTTGGCAACACAATGAACCATCATAACGTACCTTGTGATAAAGAGCTTTCCAAGCATTATCGTCATTTGCAGCCTTACGCATCAACGAATTAGTCATGGACAACCTACACAGACTCGGGTAATCCAAATAACTCAGAGCGTGCGTCGTGATCTCTGGAACCAGCTGCTCCATCATTGACGCCCCACACTGCCTCTCCACCGCCGCTTTCTCGCTAGCGGCCACCACCATTTCCCCCGTCGCTTCACCACCACCGTTTACGCACCCTCTAGAAGTGGCAGAGTCCGTATTTCCGACGGTTCCGTCACCGGAACAGCCAGAACCGCAGGGCATCGACGACGAGGACGATACCGAAGGAGGGCGCAATTTGCTCGGCGTTTTCAATCGGAGAAGAGAGAGGACAGTCAGCAAGAGCGACAGCAGAGTGACGGAGGAGGCTATGAGGAAAGGTTGAGAAGAGAAAGCGATAATCTCCATTCATGAGACATGAAAGCGACTGCTTCACTGTTGATGACGCCGATGAACGGGAGCATGAAAAAAACCCTAACCGAAACAGAGACAAGAAATTCGCTGTCGTCCTCAATCTGCTGTATGTTCTGCAGCCAATCTCCGGTGAAAGGAGAATTCAAGCGATGGTAGAGCTACCGATTTGCCGTTCTTTCGGAAGTTCGGAGACGGTTGATTGCAACCCTAAGCCGGTGGCGGAGGACGGAAAGAGGCGAATTCTCAAGCGAGCGAGACAGAGAACTGAGCAGCGCATTCGAACTCGAGTGAGTCAACTCGTTAACTGACTGGCGCCCCCACTCTATAAAATAAAACTCGCGCGCGCGCGTGTGGCGGTTCGCCCACCGTAGTTGTTTCCACTTTCCAAATGCCGAGGATTTTTGTGTAACCTTATTCCAAAACAAATAAGGAAATATTAAAAAAAAAGATAAAAATATTTTCAATGTTTATAACTTTCGAGTTTCGATTTTCTAAATCGTATTTTACTGACGGTCCGATCAGAACGCCTAACAAAATTCTATTCGGTATAATATTATACTGACAAAGACGATCGACTCATTGCTCAAACTGCTAGAACTAGAGTCACCAAAAATCTTTAGAGTATGGACTATGACGAAACCTAATATATGAATTTACAAAATGAAAGGCATTAACTAACCTTTATATTACTAGATAATGAGGTGATCTAATAAAACATAGATGCACAATTGAAACTATATTGTATTGATTTAATCAACCTTGACTCTATGATGAGCATTAACATCATCAAAATTTTGGAGAATGATTACCATTGTTACGAACTTCTTACTAAGAAAATTGAATTTCCCATCGATTTTGATTGAAAGTTCTTATATTTTGGTGTACATTAAATCAATGTATACGACATTCGTCTGAAACAATGACTTTTGTACGACGTTATGAGCATAACCATGTCCCATTTTATTAAATAATGAATTAAAGTATATTATCGTCCGCTTTCTACCAAAAAATAGAATAATGTACTCAGGCATCAGAAATAGGATCACTTCAATATAAATGTGTACTGGAGACTGGAGTGTTGATAAAAGATCTGATATTTCTATTTCTTTTCCTTTTCCTTTTCTATCATTTCGTGCATCTACAAAAGTTTCTGAAGACGTGTAATAGGTAGTTACAGTCTAACAATAACAAACAAGAACAAAAGGAAGCAGCAGTTCTACCGGAACAAGAGAAAGAATGCCGCCATAGGGAAGTTACAATGAACTTGTGTCTTCTCAGCAACATAACCCTAGCTAGATAAACAGCTAAAAATCCCCACCCAAAACAGCAAAATGGAAGAAGCTAGATGAAGAAAATGGGGAAGCTAACTAGAGAGCAAGGTAATGAAGATGGTCATGCTGCTGCTAACCAGTATCATAACCCAGCCTCCTCCTCCTCCACCAGCCCTACGAACTTTATTCGGCTGAGAGGAGGCTCCTAATAACTTGGACAATCTTGTTGATATTAGCTTGATAATGGCAAAACACATGAAGAAAAAGCTGACTATTAGCACGGCAAGCTCTTTGTTTTCCAGGTTCGCTTGATCGTTTGCCACCCTTTGAACGTCATATCTGCAACCATTGAAAGCAGTTGAGAAAAAAATGCCAAGGGCAAGGAAATGGAAGAGCTGAACTTTCAGAAATTCGACAAGGAGAAGCCAGTTCAGAAGCATTGTTCAAGTAGATAGGTTATCATAATCACTGTGCTTTGTGTTCATAGAGGAAGGAGCCTGAACATCATCAATTGGGTTTAAACCAAATGCGATTCAGATTGGGAGCAGAGATCAATAGCCTGCATTAGACTGCTGTACGTGCAACCCAGATATAAAAGTTCCATTGATCTAGCAACTGTGTTAGACATTGATATGACCATTCTCAGTGAGCTTCATGAGTTATCTCTAATGGTTAGCATAATGAAGCAAAAAACTTAGTGGTTTTGAGTTGCTGGTTGACCAAGTTGAGCAAGTATAAGCTTTCTCAAAGTGTGCTTGTCATTTTGGTGGTACAAGATGAGCCAGGACAATTGGACCAAACAGCCAAAGAAGCCATTCCAAAAGCTCTAGCTATGAGAAACATAAGGAGAAGTTGTAGATGGCATGAGATGGAGTAAATATCATACCTTAACATGTCATTTTCTCTGCCGAGTGCCTCCAAGCGACTAGAGACACCATCTTTCCATGACTCGAGTTCCCCAAGTCCTTTATCCTATCAATAACAAAAGAAAATTAGGAGAGAGTTAGGTGATGAATTCCCCTCTCAAACAGTCACACTACAGGAACTTAAGTTTGAGATCCAAAACAAGTACCATCTCATCTTTCCATTTTGCAAGGTCGCTAAGTTCAGTTTTGCTGATCTCCACAAGCGAGGAAATTCTCGATATCTCGTTATCAAACTCGACCAAAACATCACCTTGCTTACGATTCATTTGCTTGATGTACTCCTCTAGTAAAGACAAATTCACCTCAAGTGACCTCATCTTCTGCACCAAGATTTTTAGAACAGTATCACTTGGTATCCTGTTGGATTGCATTTGTCTTACTTCACTCAAAGGATCAAGAATTTCACTCAGGGCTCCTCCGCTGGTATTCTTCACCCCATTTGCTTGACCATCATCACTGTTTTCCTTATTCCCAGCTCCTGTACTATCACCTTCTTTTGAAACCATTGGTCCACTACTTCGCTTTTTCTCAGAAGGATTTGATTCTGATTTTGAAGATGGAGCTTCAATAGCGTTCAACTCTAGAGAATCACCCGGAGTAGATTCTTTAGTTGGAACCAAAAGATCTTTAAGCATTCGCTCGATTGCATCAACTCCATATACCTCGAAAACACTCAGCGTGCAGTAGAACTCCGATCCATAGTGACTAAGCAAATTCAGCTTCAAGTACCTTGCCCATTTGGGCTCAGGCAACTTAAACTTCTGGACCTGCTTAACATTTGCAGCAGCAAATTTCCCTAGTGGAGTCCAAGTCTCAGTTGGATAATTCAAACTTCCAAACAAGACAAAATCCTTGAAATTAGAAGAGTAATGTTCGAAGTTTGCAATCTTCACAACATCAACCAAAGTCTCCTCAGAAAGCTCAATCACTACAAACTTCTCCCCGACAGAACAAGGGTTCCTCAAGTACTTGTCATGATCTTTTCCCAGTATGTTACCTGCTCCTTTGGCTTCCTTATTATGTGCCACTGCTTTTGCACCCTTCATTGCAGAGGCAAAGTTGTACTCAGTCCCATCAGGCTCAAGCCGGTGGGCGATATTAGCAAGCTCATTGGGCACATTTGGTCCTTTGTCTTGCTTCGTGATGTTTCGAAATTCATCCAGATTGAGATAAGCACCAGAATGATGGGATTTCGCACCAGGCAGTTCATTTAAGTTACCTAATTCCAGTTCTTCTGGTTTTCTCAAACTACATACTAAAACCATATCTCCTAAAAAGCTCTTGAGCACCTCTTCTGTTCTATTTATGGTAGGAAGGGAGCACTTACAACTGCCGAAATCGAGATGAGCTGGGGCGTTATTATTGACACTACTATCAGAGAGATTAAGCTTTAACACCATTCCATCTGGACTGTAATTTCCTCTATACGGAACAGGTGAAATAGGACTAGGAACAGGTTTATTGTTGCCACCATCACCAGTCGAATTCCCTGCAAGATTATGGCAAAAATTGTTTACATTCGCACACCCAAACCTGAAAGTGTCAGCCTGAAGAAGATCTCTCAACCTAAAGATGACGAATTGAAGCATAAAATGGACACAACCATCAACATCATCATCATGACGAATCAAACCAAATCATGCAATGAATTATATAACAGCACAAAGGGTTTGCAGGGCTCATCTGCATTTCCCTTCTTCACCTCCCTTCATCATTAACCAAGGCCATCACATTTTCTTCAGATTGGAAATCCAGAACAGACCAATGGCAACAGGAATCAATCATCAAGCAATTCCCCCGTTAAGGGAATGTGGTAAATGAAAGAAGCACAGGACGGCGCACCTTCATTCTGGTGGCTGAGGCCAAGCCTGGTATAGAAGACAAGAGACCATAACAAGAGGATCAAAGACAAAGAAAGCTCGTACAAGCTTCGTCTACCTCTACCATTCCTGCCCTTCTTGTTTTTGCTACTGCTGTTCTCGCTGCTAATGTCGTCGTCGTCCTTTGAATCATCGCTTCTGCTTTCCCGGCACCTGGTTTGGTTCAACACTGAGAAGCTTCCGTTGCTGACGCCGCCGTCGTCTTTGTTGGTGCTGCTATTTCGCGGTTGTCTCTTCATGTCTCATTCATTCGACCCAATCGGAGAAGAGAAAATTCCTTTCTCTTTTTTTCAATTGTCTTTTATTCAAAAAGATCAAAAAAATTCCGGAGTTTTGGCTCGACAGCTGAGGCTCCTCGGAGACTGTAAACGGAGAAAAGGAAGGGAGGATGAATTGTATGTACAGATACGGTCGCCGGCGGAGGGGGAACGACGGAGAAGGCGGAGGGAGACGGACGGAGAAGAGACGAAGGACGAGAGGAATGTTCTCAAACTAACTTGCCCGAAATCCATCTTTGTGGCGTTTGCTTCCGTAAACTAATTTCTACCGTTTACAGCTCCGTTTTTACCGGGTCGTTCTTTTTGACCATTTTACCTTACCACTCTTCCTATTCGCTCCCGTGTTACCCGCCACTTAAGGGGCAAAATCGTCCGAACGAGTTCTAAAAAAAAGAATGATACGATACATCACAATTCACATGTATGAATTGAAAATGAACAGCTTTTCTATTCTGCATTAGTTCTACAGTCTCAGGACAGTTAATACTTTGATCAAATGACAGGACAAAAACCTATCTTTTCTGAAGCAGCAAAAACTTCATACAATACAACCCCACCATAGTTCAGGAACACGGCTGAGGGGGGGCGAGTTTCATCGGTGTAATGCGATGCAGAAAAAATGTGCAGTCACTGGATTTTGGTTTCTGATGGAGCTAGCAGAGCATAATCCTCCTCCAGCTCACGTTCTAGTTTCTCTTCCAAGAATGGAAGGCTACCTGGATTCTCCTCTTCCAGCAGAAGATTCAGCCGTGTTTGCGGAGGGTAATTGTCTAAGATGTACTCGATTGCATCCCCACTGATCTCCTTATGGTTAAGCAGAACCTGCAGATCGAAATAAAAGAAAACCCACCTTCATTTTCTTTCCTACCCAGGAGCAAGCAATAATGCTGCATTCCAAGGTTGGTTTCAGCAAAAACCTCAGCTAAGCTAATTAGATCCATCTGTACCTTAACGGCTTTCAGCAAAGCAGCATGGTGGCGCCTCAGCAGTGAGATTGTCCTGGCATACATATCGCGTATCAACTCCTCGGTCCTCTGTGCAACTTGATCATCCAAATTGAAGTTGATAGGGCGTTCGATCAGGTCATAGTCATCATAAAGTGAACCTTCAAAGTCCAATCGTGGTCCCACGAATCTGGATTTCTTTCTCCATGCTGGCGGTTCTCCGTGGATCACCATCGGGTTTTCCAAGTTCCATCTGTTGGTTGATATATATGAAGGGTAATAAGTAGGAATGGACAGAAGAGTTGGAAAAATGAGACGAGTTGGGGGTAGAGATAACACTAACATGGAAATGATCTTGCGAGCTAGCCAGGATGCATCTGCAAGGTAAGAAACAGATGTCCTTGATGTATCTCTGCCATAAATGACCTCTTCGGCTGCCCTTCCCCCAAGAAGCACCTTCGCATTTTAACCAAACCTTGTTAAATGGCAAGAAAAAGAACCATGACAGTTGGAGTGAGAGATAATATCAGTATGGAACTAGGGGAAAGACATTTGAATTACAGACCTGGAGACGGTGCAGCAATTGTGGCCGCCGTTCAAATATGTATGCTTCGTCATCAAGCCTATGAAACACAAGTTGTGATAATGTCTGCATGTACCATGCAAAAGAGTTTGTAACACAAGTTAGAGTATGAAACACACAGCATAATAAGGGCTACAAGAACTAAAACAAAAAGAGTCAGAAAGAGAAATGACCTGACCACGGGGGACAATTGAAATACGATCACAGAATTCAACTTGTGCATGCTCATATCGCCTGAGCAAATGAGCAGTTATTGCAACACCGACTTCAGTGGTAGCTCTACGGCATTGACCCTGGTGATCCAAATCTATTCCAACACGCTTTGGTCCAACAGTAAGTCGATCAACTGCTTCGTCCATGTCTGATTGGATAACTGATGTATGGCCTTGTCTGACTGCCACCAGAGCTGCCTCTTGTACCAGCTGAGCTAGCTTCGCTCCACTCCACCCTGGCAAAGGACCAACATATGATAAGATATCTCTCGCCCTGAGAAAGAAACTATGTACAAACCCCAAAAGAAAAAAGAAAAGAACCTACCAGGTAAGTTCTTGGCATAAGTAGTCAAATCAACGAACTCCGACATTTTCACTTTGCTCGAATGGATTTTCAAAATTTCCAATCTCCCTTTAGAATTTGGAGGACGAACTTTTATCTAAAAGGGAAGACAGAGTAAGTTACAATTTGATGACACGGTTGGCAAAACATAGGCATGAGAGCACAAAGGTACAGATTTGGGTAAATGGAAATGTCAATCCATCAATAGGTACTCACCAGAATCAAGCAAGCAGTCAGATATTAGTATATCTAACATGTGAAGTGTGAACCACATGCTTGTCATATTGAAACACATTCATCCAGGTGACATCAGGTTCACCACATTGTTATGGTTATTTCTTAGCAAAATTTCAATAGAAAGGGAGTGTAGGGGACACACCTTTCGATCAAACCGACCAGGCCGAAGAAGTGCTGGATCTAGTAAGTCCCTCCGATTTGTAGCTCCCAAGAAAATCACCCCTTTGCCAGTGTCAAATCCATCAAGCTCTATCAACAGTTGGTTAAGAGTAGTTTCCCTCTCTTGAGTGGCAGCATTATAGAGGTGGTCACTGGACTCCTTAAAGATCCCTTGACGCCTGAACAGGATGAAGCAAACACAGAACAAAGTCACACTCTTTTCTATCAAATCCAGATTAGAGAGTGACTTGAGACCATCCTGAGCATTTTGATGCTACATACTCAATGTCCACTTTTAGTGACTCATATTTGTTTGATAAAATCATAAAAGAAAAATACGCTTCACTTGATGAGAAAGAATAGTCAACATTGTGAATCATCTCCATATGATATTCGCTTCCATTGCTTACAAAAATGGCTGTTGAAGTCAATAGTCTAATATTAATACTATTAATACAGAAATTGTGTGCTAACGAACCCATCACACATGACCAATATACTCCAAGTAGAACTTAACATGGTTTATAGTGCCTATGTATGATTTCCACAGAGGTCAAACAAAACCTGCCACTTTAACTAGATAAGTCAAAGAAGCACCCATACCTAGTTGCCAATGCATCGATTTCATCAATGAATATAACCGAGGGTTTATTTACCTGCAAAAGGTTCAAGAAAAAATGACTACCAGAAACAGACCACAATCACAGACATTTTATGGAAAATAAAGATTTTGCAATTGATAAAGTAAAGTTGGTAACATGCTTCAAACAACGCAGACGTGATATTTATTTTACTCTATCCCTGCGACTGTGAGGCAATAAAGCATATGGTTCTCCCAAAGCATCAACTAGTGTAGAAACAAGAAACTCTACGTGGAGGAAAATGGAGTTGTGGCATTCCACATCAAACAATATAAAGAATGAAACAGCAAATAAGAAAACTTTCTCTTAGAACAAAACAGTCAAATGGGCAGAGTAATCACCTTGGCTCTCTTAAAAAGATCTCTGATACGAGCAGAACCAACACCAACTAAAACTTCAACAAATTCAGATCCAGCCATTTGGTAAAACGGAACACCAGCTTCACCAGCTATGGCCTTGGCAACTAGAGTCTGAAATGACATTGAATGAACTCACACTGGAAACCCTCGACATGCAGTAAAACTTCTTGTTTTAGCAGACAAATATGACTAACCTTCCCACATCCTGGAGGTCCTTCCAAAAGCACCCCATGTGGAGGCTTGATGCCCATTTTATCAAAAAGTTCAGGGTTCTTCAAGTACCTTACCAACTAACAGAACAATTGAGGAAGAACCAAGTAAGCTTTCATTGGGTTAGGTTTGAATCGCTCAGCTAAAACTTAATAGCTCGTTACTGAGTCACTTGAACTAGATTCAAATTGTTATCTATGCCATTCATTGCCGACTAAGGTGAGGGAAGAAAATATACCTCTTGAAGTTCCTCCACTGCTTCATCAATCCCTGCAACATCACCAAATTTGACTCCTGTTGAACCCTGTACCAAAGTGAGTCCAAGGTCAAACACGATTGACTCACCTTAAGAATGGCCACAATCACATAAGTTATATACTTAGGGACTAACATCAACACGAGCTTCAGCTTTAGATCGTGAAAAGTCAATTCCTTGCCACAAATCCTGCAAGATTGTCAACATTAAATAAGCATAAAATAGTATCAAAGTATTGATACAATCTCATTTCAAAGTAAAGAAGAATTTCAAGTGAGCTCATGAGTTCTAGAACATTTACCCACTTCCTGAAATTCTTAGGTCGTCTTGAAAGGGTAAAGCGGACCAGAAGAACCATGGTCAAGACCACAAGCAAAATCGGCTTCAGCATTTGAATGCTGGCAGATATACCACCGAAAGTATAAAGCTCATACAGCTTAGAGAAGACCCCTCCATCATAGAAAACATCAACAAAATTATCCCAAAGCCTCTCACAAATACCAAAGACGATGCCAATAAACAGCTTAAGAAAAGGTCTAACAATAGGCCAAGCCACATATACAGTGGTTACAAAGACGAAACTGGTAACAGCAAATACAGCAGAAGCTAGGAACCCCCCTACAACAGCTGCTGCTGCTGCAATGACAGCTGTCACCATCCCTAGCTCCACCATCATTCTGCTAGATATAGAAGAGGCTACAGGATGAGGAAACTCTGTCAACTTTCCAACAGAAGACTGCAATCAAATAATAAAACAGTGAGGAAGGAGCCAGCACTTTAGGTAATTGAGATTTGAGAGAGGGGCAAAAAGGGGGATGTAAAAAAGATACACAAGTTGTTTTTAACAGAAAGGGTATCCACAACAAGATGAGCAAAAAAAATAAAAAATTCATCCAATCCTGCATGATTCTATATATTCTCACCTAAAATACAACCTGAAAGGAAAGGATCAATCTAGTACTGCAATATAATCAAATTTCAACGTACAGAACAAGTTCCACAGGTTCTGTATTTGATATAAGATCAGATTCACAACCGGAAGCATCGTAATGGAACACGTATGCCACAACAATATTATTCCAGGCATTCAAGCTATACTAGTTCTACTCTTAAAGCAAAATCACAAGTAATCTAACAGCGCTCTTGGCTTGCTTTTAATGCCAATGACAAACAGCCCAAAATGAATGTAAATAAAAGGAAAGCCACTGGTGCAAGCTGAAGAAAACTCGTACCGTTAAATGCCTGTCTACTTCGTAAACTGGACCTGAATACTCATCCAAAACTGTTTGACTCTCATCCTCAGATAGCCTCAGTGCCCTTCAAAAAGGAAGTTCAGGAGGGCATCAAGATTCAAAATACAGCATGAAAGTGGTACAAATCTTAAACATAAGAACAGAACCAGTGCCATATGCCCAACCATTTAGTTCTGTGCAAGCTTTTCTCTCCCGGTATCTCTTTCAAGTCCACAACGAAGTCCCTATAAACATTTCCAGAACTCACACCAGTCCCTTCCTTCGACGTCACCAATTTAACCTTGTCACTCTGCTTCGCTTTCCTGAACTCCTCCAAGCTCATTCTGGGCAACTCCTCTACATTCTTATTGAACTCTTCTTCCTCGGACAACTCGGCCCCAAAAATCTGCTCAGGCACATAAAGCTTCCCCTTATACTCCCGCAAAATATCCTTCAAGTACACATCTTTACCCCCATTATGACTCTCATTCGTCCCTTCAGTCGGCTTCCCCGCTTTGGAATTGAACACCTTTGCCAACAGCTCCAAAATACCCGAGTTCTGGCTCTTGCTCAAATTCTCTTTCTCTGTTGAAGAATAGAACTTATCGCCAATTCGGTACCTGGGTTCAATTTGGCTGGGATTTTGCTTCAGAACCCTCGTCACAAAATCATCCCTTTTGTCAGTCTCACCGGGCTGGGAATTGGAGGAGCTTGAATTCGCCGCGCAGAGAACTGTAAATGATCGGTGAAGAAAAGAAGGCGTTCTTTGTCGGAGCTTCCGATTGCATTGGAAGGAAGCCCTGCAGGGTTTAGGGAGATAAACCCTGGAAGAAGAGAAGAGGGTGTCAATGCTGGTCATTTTTCCGTCTGCAACTTCTATGACCGCCAACACATATCCAACCGTTCCCGAGGGGAAGGAAGATAATGTCTGCAACTAACTTCTACTCATTTGGCAACCAAAGAATCCAGAAATCAGCTCTCAATTAGGGTTTTCTGGAATTCGTTGCGAGGTGGGATAACATCCGGAGCGGATAAAGCTGTGTAACCTTTCGAACTAGGAATGAGCTCGCTTAGAGGAAGGAAATGTTCCGTTTTATTGGCGAAGGAAGAACCTTGGTGCTAATCTATGCACATTGCACAGTAACAAGTTAAAGTCCATACTCCATTCCCTCAACTTCGTTTAAATCGAATCTTGTTGCCAAAATGCCTGGTTATACAAAATCAAAACACATTTATTTTTCACCTTTCGTTTTGTCATATATGGATAAACAAAAATGATTGTCAATAAAATCTAAAAATAATATATACAAAGTTTAAAATACTAGACAAAAATATTTAGAGACAATCAAAATCCATCAAATTAGTATGACAAAACTCTGGATGTTACGAACCACTAGATGATTTGTCCTGTTAATCATACAACTAACAAAATACTTTAAAATCAAGAACATAATAGTTTAATTAATGTAATCCCTAAAACGTAATTCTTTAAGCGATGTAAGTTCATCGAGTATCGCCCTCTCTGCTTGAACTTGCAGCATGTCTGGAAAGTTTTTTCTATGTTGTGAAGGTGAAGATTTAGAATATGTGAGCCCGGAATGCGGAAGAAGAAAAGTTCATTTCAATTTTTTTTTTTCTGTGCTAATGTTTTATGGCAAGAAAATCGCATTCTAGAATATAAGGATTGATACGGTTCTATACAGGATACAGGTCGGGAACATGTTGACAGAGGAGATTGTTATAAAGTAGAGGTGGCAATTAGGATCCAAATCCATGAATCCAATCCAATCCATCCACCAAATTATCCACTTAATCCAATCCATTTAAATCCAATCCATTTGATCCAAATCCAATTGGATAGGTGGATTCATGGATCAATCCATGGATCCAAATGGCAAATTACGATTTGGTACATATATTTCTTATATTTTATATTTTGGTACCTAAAATATATATTTATACGAAAAAATCATTGGAAAATTACATTTTGGTACCTAAAATTTTTCATTATGACATTTTAGTACCTTAACTTTTCAAAATTTACATTTTGGTCCAAGTCTTGGATGTCATTTGGATTCATGGATCAATCCACCAATCCATTTGATTCAATCCATGAATCCACCAATCCATTGGATCCAATCCATTTGATCCATGGATCCACCAATCCAATCCACGAATCTGATCCAATTGCCACCTCTATTATAAAGGCTGGTTGGATTACATAACCCCTTTCTGTAGAAGTAGAAAGCGGATACTAACGATAGATAACTTAAGTGCAAGTGCAAATGGGAACACAGAAGACTTTCAACTCTCATTCAACTAACACATCAAAGACGGCAAGCTATAGGCTCTGCATATAGTTTACAAGAAAGAAGTCATTGCAGCAAGTAGATATCTTAAGAGCGCGCCAGAATCCTACTGACGATTGATCATACAACACAAATTCCTTCTTGAACACTTTAGTTTCTAAGACTGACAAAAATCTTCTTCTTTTCTTCTCGCATGGCCACAGCGATCTGGATCTCCACATTATCAGAATCTTGGAGCTGCGGAGGCAAAAGAAATGGGTCAGATGAGAAAGAAGAAACAACTATAGCAGGAAATGTAGTTATAGCAGTAGAACACTATAACGATGATCAGTAACACTGAAAGGATGCCAGATAGATGGCAATAAAAGGGGCTGGCAGTCTCAAAATCAAATCAACATTGTTTTATATCCGAGTAACTGAGCCTTACCACCGCCTATTGTCGCTTCAGGCATACGCTCAATTGAATATCTATGTTGAGTGATGTACATTATTGGGACACCAGGGACCTGCATGCAAATGAAGATGCATACAAATTCACAACATAAGCACCAACTTCTTTCTGTTGAAGAAAACTATCTTTCTGGTAATTCTCACTTCATGTCCGTCAAACGTATTATTGTTTCGGTAAAACCATTACCTTGCGTATCCTCCGCTTCAAATCCCGATCACAAGTTGCAACAATGTAGCACTTGTGCTGTTCCAACCAAAAAAGAAGAGCATTACTATTAACATAACCAAAATACCGCCCTCGCAGATGGACCATACTTAATTGTTGTCCATATCCTTTCAGTCCCAGTGAAGCATAATACCCAGTGAAAAGCAACCCATTAAAAAAGTTTCATCAAATGCAACAAAAATATGAATAAAAATAGATAGAGACATGATACTAGTACTGTAGTGACAAGTGCAAGTTGCAAGTTGCAAGGAGCGAGAGCATATTCATTCTTTTTTAGTCTGCCCAAAGACAATGAAAGAAAGGAGGTGAAGTCTCATGCAAACACACCTGAGAGACCCTGGATACAATGCAGTCATCAGCATATGTTCCTTTGTGAATGCAGGGCAGCCTCTCAAAACGTGGATCTTTAGCAATCCTGACAAAAGAAAAAAGAAAGCCAATAGCTTTTAGACAAGGCTTATTACAACAAGCTGAATAACACATGATAATAAGCATTGACTAATAAGCATATTCACAATGAACTGAAGAAAAAAGCTGGAAAAGAGGGGCAGAAACCTACAAGAGTTTGTTCTGATACTCAATGACAAATTGATTAAATAAAGGAAAATAACCAGAGAAACTAAAACTAAATAAAGCATACCTCAAAGCCACACGGTACTTCTGGCCTAGCTTCTCAAGCTCAGCCATTACACAATCAGTGATGCAAGGTGTGCCTATAAATTAAAAGCCAAGAGAGATAACAATCAGCTCAACATATCCTTTTGAGATCCCAAGTCTCTAAAATAGCAATATAAAGACTATACTAACAGGAGAAGAGGATTAGAGACACAAACTCACATTTTGCATAGAGGCAGTCCATCATTGCCTTTTCCAAATCCAACTGAAAGGGAAGAACACAATCAAATGCGTAAGACTTCAGTCTTCAGCACACACACACACACACACACACACACAAAAAAAAAATTCACATCAAGAAGCCACTTTCTACTAATAACACCATTATTCAGCAAATAGCCACATTTCGATATTAGCATAAGCAAAGCTGAACGCAAAAAATCATCCCAATCCACCCAACTCCCTTTAACCTCCCATAATCATCATAATTATTCTGCCAACCAAGTAGTATGGATGATTTGCAGATTTCACGCTAATCACATAGCTCCCAACAGGGGGTTGAAGAACATATCAATCAAATTGCAATGAAACACTCACTTTGTTTTGAATCGAGAAATTGATGAAGTTGGTATCCACCAGAACCCGGTATGGCGGCCCCAAAGCTGTGTTGTGCGTAAAATAAAGCGATGAAGACACCTTCGGCCTATTCCATGAAGCAAACACACAAAGATCAGAAAACAAAAAAAAGACCACCAAGTAATCTCTGCATATGAAGTAAAAGAAGAGGGGGAAGAAGCTTACACGTTTCTAGGAAGTTGCTCTTTGGAAAGGTCCTTCCTATTCGGGTTCAGAACCTCCTCCTTGTATCTAAAAACACAATACACAAACCAAAGCAAAACCAGCGAGTGAAAACGCCTGCCACAGGCCAGAGATTATATGTATTGAATTGAAATGGACGCCGGGGGAGAAAGGAGGAAAGCGGAAGCCTTACTGCTTAATTGCCTTCGAGGTGACCATCTTCTTCATCACCGCGAACTTCGGCCCCTTCTTGGCTCTTCCCATGGCTTTCACACGGTTAATTCACTAGTTTACCTGTCTTCCGCTAAGTTGATGATCAGCGGCGGCAGCAAAAGGCGGTGGAGTAAGTGCGAAGTCGCGGCGGCGGAGGCTGTTTTGGGATTGGGAGAAGTCGAATGAATGATTCACTGTCACGGTTCGTCGACGAAAACGATGACGTTTAGTGCTCTATATATTTTTCCTTGACCTGATTCGTTACACCGCCCCAAGTATCGGACCGGGCCCATTCAGCTAAACTGGTTTTGTTCAGTCTTACCCCCGCCCAAACTTTTGTTTCTTAACCAGGGCTTCAAATTCTGGACATAAGATTTCAGTGGGCCGAACCATTTTTTTTTAATATTTCTGGGCCGAACCAATATTGATTGGAAGATAATGACACACATAACGCTAATATAATTGTAGAAGACAATTTCCGACTTCTCTGGATGCAGACAATGAAACTGAATGCCCGCAAGTCCGTACTTTGAACTCGTGGTCCTCACACACCCTTCACACGGTTTCTTCCACGATTTACCATCTTTTTCGAGACTCCAAACGCTAGCTACAAACCTAGACCGATCAAAAGTAGATTTCTCCTCTTCGAATGTGACCAAGTGTAGAGCACCACGTGAAACTGAAAAATCCCACCTCAACATCCCCAAAACGGGAGAAGCGTCAATGTAAGTGGGAGGTATATCATCGAGGCGGAAAGGATTGAACGCGACAATTGAATGGGGATTCAAATCACAGCCATTTCGAGCAGTCGAGTCCACCCAAAACAACTCTCCATTGCAGGAGACGACATTTATCAGTGGTTTCTTCACATGGCCATCAAGAACCAGCGCCTCCTTGGTCCATTCTCTAGACTCTGAACAGAACACGTCTAGTTTCGTCGAATTCGCATCTTGATACACACATATGACAAAGAAGAACAGCAGAGCAAAGCAATCCTTACTGGATTCGGATTGAAGAGTGATTGAAGACGGCGTCGTCACGAAGAAGAAGAGAAGTGTTGTGAAAGACGGTGTCGTAGAGAAGAATGGATGCTGGAGACTTAAAAGGAACGGCAGCGTTTTAGCTTTGTGTAGTTAGCCGTTAATGTTACTGTTAGTTTAAATCAAAGAACCAATGATGTATGGACACGTGTTTCATTTCTGCTAATTACAAAAGTGGCTATATAAGCCACAAAGAGCTCAGCTTACAGCTGAGCTTCCCCTCCAATTCTTTCCATACCCTACGATTTTCACATGGTATCAGAGCAGCCCAGGCCCTAGGGTTTGAGGCTGCACAAGCAAAATGTCAGGAGAGCAATCTACACCGCCGCCTGGCAATCAAGGAAGAACAAACAACAACAATGGCAACAGTGGTGCTTCTAATATCAGTGGAGTTCAATTTGGTTCCTTTGGCCAACAACAGCAGCAGCCAACAGAGGTCATTACGTTTGGTAACCCATTCTATCTCAACCCAAACGAAAATATGGCTCAATCTTTGGTTGCTGAGTTGTTTGATGGCACAAACTACACAATGTGGAGTAGATCTATACAAGTAGTACTTAAAACAAAGAACAAACTGGGTTTCCTAGATGGGTCAGTGGCAATGCCTTCTAGGGATTCAGATATGTTTGGAATCTGGGATGCCTGCAATACAGTGGTGCTATGCTGGATCCAAAACTCTATGACTAAAGAACTGCGAAGGGCAGTGCTGAACCACAGCAATTGTAAGACACTCTGGGAAGAACTTAAGAGGCGTTTTGGACAGCCAAATGCCATGAGAATTGCTAACCTGGAGGATGAGATTTTGGCTTGTAAACAGGGAACCAAGTCGATTAATCAGTATTACACAGAGATTAAGGGATTATGGGATGAATACGTTGAGTTTTGTCCTGTGGTTCCATGTGCTTGTGCTCCAGGGTCACTCACTCCTTGTGCTGTAGTAGCTGCTTTTGTTCAAAAGCAGGAAACAGAATATCTGATTCGTTTTCTGAGAGGGATCAATCCAGAATTTGAAGTAATCAAAACCCAGTTGTTGATGCAAAAGCCCCTACCAAGTGTTTCAGAAGCGGTTGATGACTTACTACAGCATGAACAGAAATTAAAGGCAGATGGATTGACTGGTGGAAAGAAAAATCAGTCATTGGCTCTAGCTGCAGGGAGTCAACAACAACAGAAGGGTTCTGCAGAAACCAACCAGGGTAAGAAGTATTGTCGCTACTGTAAGAGGACAAACCATAACATTGAAGATTGCTGGTGGTTGAAGAAGAAGCAGGGAGAACAGCAGAAAGATGGGCATTCAAACTCCAGTTCAAGCTCCAGTTCTAGCACACCAAGATTTGCTGGTTCTGTTGCTCAGAGTACTGGAAATGCAACTGGTGATTATCATCCTGAAGGTAATACAACTACTGAAGGTATGAACCAAAATTCATTTGCTTTCACTGCAGATGAAATGGCTCGTCTCAGGAACCTGCTGCAAGTTGGTACTAATGCCTATCCTTCACCTCCCACCTCCCCATCTATCAACCATCAAGCCTTTACTGCCATTCAACACCCCACATCATTCCCTAACTTCTCAGGTAAACATGTCACCTTTTCCTCTCACCTTAACCAAACCACTAATTCCAACCTGTGGATAATAGACACAGGGGCTTCAGATCACATAGCCTGTTCCCTCAACATGTTTACTGCCTATAAGGAAGTTAAGGATACTTATGTTTTCTTACCTAACAAAACCAGAGTCATTGTAACCTGTATAGGCACAGTCCAATTACCCACTGGTCTATCTCTTTATGATGTTCTTCTGGTCCCTACCTTTTCTTTCAATCTCATCTCAGTCAGCAAATTAACCCATGATCACCCTATTTCCTTACACTTTCATTCTGATCACTGTGAAATTCAGGACCTTCTAAGCCAGAGGAAGATTGGTTTGGCAAGAGAGTGTAGAGGTCTCTACCAGCTGGTTCTTCCTCAAAGTTCTACCCCTTTACCTTCACCAACTTTTCATCAAGCTGCCTCAACCTTCAACTACCAGACACAAGACCTTCACTTATGGCATTGGAGATTAGGACATCCTAGTCATGATAGACTTTCTTTGCTTTCCAAAACCATCCCTAATGTAACTAAACAGAAACCATTACACTGTGATGTCTGCCATTTGTCCAAACAACACAAACTGCCTTTTCCAATTAGTACCAATGCAGCACCTGAGATGTTTCATTTACTGCATATGGATATTTGGGGACCTTTATCAGTTGTTTCCTATGATGGTTATCAGTACTTTCTTACAATAGTGGATGATTGCACTCGTTGTGTTTGGATTTATTTAATGAGGCACAAAAGTGAAGTAAGGGGCTTAATACAAGGCTTCTGCAGTTTGGTTAAAAATCAATTTGGCAAATCAGTTAAATCCATTCGCAGTGATCAAGGCAAAGAATTTCAGATGTGTGATTACTTCTCTCAAGAGGGCATAGAATATCAGGTTTCCTGTGTAGAAACCCCTGAACACAATGGAAGGGTAGAGAGAAAACACCAACACATTCTTAATATGGCCAGAGCCTTAAAATTTCAATCTGGTCTACCTCTAGAGTATTGGAGTGAGTGTGTTTTACATGCTGTATACTTAATCAATCGCACACCAACCCCAATTCTACAAAACAGATCACCAGTTGAAGTTCTCTTTCAGAAACCAGTTTCTTTGGCACATTTGAGAGTGTTTGGTAGTTTGTGCTATGCATCTACCCTTGCTCATGGGAGAACTAAATTTGCCCCCAGAGCCAGACAGTTTGTTTTCTTGGGGTTTCCAGCAGGGATCAAGGGTTATAAGGTTATGGATATCCATACCAAACAGGTTTTTGTGTCAAGGGATGTTATTTTCTATGAGAAAATACTTCCTTTCCACTGCCCTGATGGATCTGGTTCACCAGATTCTACTACTTCTGTCTCTCCATCTATACCAGTTGCACCATCACCTGCTCCTGGTTTACATGTACCCTCTCCTCAATTTCATCCATCCATGGATGAAAGGGGGGAAGCTGAGTCTGAAGCTCTTGCTGATGACCAGTCACCTGCCAGTATACCAACAAGTTCTCACAGCCAGCATGAGCACTATGACTATTTTGATTCTGATGAACAGAAGTTGGTACAACAAGCTGATGTTGACTGTGATACTTTGGTAGATCAAACAATGGAGAACAGACCTCGAAGGAAGGCCACACTTCCAAGTAAGTACAAGGACTATGAACTAGACCCAAACATTACTTTTGGTACCTATGGGAAATCAAATTCCTATAGTAGACATCCTTTGTGCCTGAATGTTGATGGTTTGAGTCATGATGATAGATTCTTTGCACTAAATATTATGAACCTAGTAGAGCCTAGGTCATACTATGAAGCAATCAAATCTGATGCTTGGAATAGGGCTGTAAACTCAGAGTTACATGCCCTAGAGGAGAACCAGACTTGGGATGTTGTCCCATTACCCCCAAATGTTAAAGAGATAGGGAACAAATGGGTATTTAAATACAAATTCAAACCTGATGGATCCTTGGAAAGAGAAAAAGCCAGGCTGGTAGCCAAGGGCTATACACAAGTCTATGGAATAGACTTTCTGGACACATACTCTCCAGTAGCTAAGATAAACACAGTAAAAACCTTCCTAGCAGTTGCAAGTCTGAGGAATTGGACTTTGGAACAGATGGATGTGTCAAATGCATTCTTACATGGGGAATTGGATGAGGTGGTTTACATGAAAATCCCATTAGGACTGAAAGTGAACTCAACAGGAAATCAAAGGATGACTTGCAGATTGAAAAAGTCACTGTATGGCCTGAAACAAGCTTCCAGGCAATGGTTTGCAAGGCTTACCAGTTTTCTACTGAAGTTGGGTTTCTCTCAGTCAATGTCTGATTACTCACTTTTTACCAAGTGGACGCATGGAAGGATAACAGTGATACTTGTGTATGTTGATGACATCTTAGTTGGAGGTGATGCCCAGAAGGACATAGATCAAGTGAAGACACCCTTGAGCATAGAGTTCAAATTGAAACTTCTAGGGCCATTGAAATATTTTCTTGGACTAGAAGTAACCAGGGATAAAAATGGTTTGAATGTGTGTCAAAGGAAATATTGTGTGGACTTATTAAAGGATACAGGTTATTTGGAAGCAAAGGGATGTAAGACTCTTATTGATACAAAAGTAAAGCTGAGTTCCAAGGGAACTTTGCTAAAGGATGGTGAAGTTTACAGAAGGCTGGTTGGTAGGCTTCATTATCTCACAATTACAAGACCAGATATTGTATTTGCAGTGCAACAACTCTGCCAATACCAAAGGAATCCTTGTGAAGAACATATGCAGGCTGCCTATAGAGTCTTAAGGTACCTGAAATCTTCACCAGATCAGGGCATTCATTTCAGCAACACAGCAGAAGAGAGAATAGTTGGTTTCAGTGATTCAGATTGGGCAAGCTACCCTAATACCAGACGTTCCATCACAGGATATTGCACATTCCTTGGCTCTTCACTTCTTACATGGAAGACCAAGAAACAAACGACAGTCTCAAGATCTTCATCTGAGGCTGAATATAGAGCCTTGGCACATCTGGTTTGTGAGATAGAGTGGTTAAAAAGACTGCTTGCTGAGCTGACAGTGCAGGTACCACTTCCTATCCTTGTATATTGTGACAACAGGTCAGCTATTCACATAGCAGAAAACCCTGTTTTCCATGAAAGAACCAAGCACATAGAGATAGACATCCATGTTACAAGAGATAGGATTAAAGCTGGTTTAATCAAGCTGCAACATGTTGGGACAGTGGAGCAGTTAGCAGACATCTTTACTAAAGGCTTGGATCGTTTCAGAATGAGAGAAATCATGAGCAAGTTGGGGATTACAGGTGCACCACCAACTTGAAAGGGGTGACAAAGAAGAACAGCAGAGCAAAGCAATCCTTACTGGATTCGGATTGAAGAGTGATTGAAGACGGCGTCGTCACGAAGAAGAAGAGAAGTGTTGTGGAAGACGGTGTCGTAGAGAAGAATGGATGCTGGAGACTTAAAAGGAACGACAGCGTTTTAGCTTTGTGTAGTTAGCCGTTAATGTTACTGTTAGTTTAAATCAATGAACCAATGATGTATGGACACGTGTTTCATTTCTGCTAATTACAAAAGTGGCTATATAAGCCACAAAGAGCTCAGCTTACAGCTGAGCTTCCCCTCCAATTCTTTCCATACCCTACGATTTTCACAACATACCACGCGAAACCGGTACTTGGAACAAACAGTCACCTGATCATCGCCTCCTAGATCTAGGTTATGAGAAACAAGGGGTTCACAAACTAACCTGGCAGCCAGTTGCGAATACCCAATCGGCCTTTCAGGCGTCAGAGGCAGGGCGATCCACTGCTTCGTAAACGGATTGCAGAGCAAGTACAATCTACGGAATTCTTCTTCAATTTCATATGGGAATATGTCACCAAACCCGCATAATAGCAAGTCGTTGCAGGAGTCCAGAATGCTGAAATCCTGTCGAGGCTCGGCAGGCACGGGGAGAAAGCTCAGGATGATCGATTGAGGGTCGTGCGAGGGGAGAAGCAGAGGCGGCTCTTCGTGGTGAGACACGAAACGACGATTGAAGGCGGGGCTGGAGATGAGGGAGTTCCACTGCTTGCAGACGGGTTTGCTCAGGCAGGCGGATCTGGGATCCGTGAGGCCGCGAATCAGGATTTCTATGAGGAGATCGTCACCGAGTTTGCTGATGGGAGGAGGAGGAGGAGGGTTTACGACATCTGCCCCGTTTTCTGGACAACGAATCCCAAGGCAAGGGGCAGTTCCGGATCGCCATGGGGGTAGAGATATGCCCGGATGGACGGAGGTTGATGCCGCCGGCTGAGAAAGTATGCGGTGAGCTTGGGAAGGTTGGAGAGCAGCCAAGTGATCGAAATCCCTAGACCTAGAGTTTTTATTGGTGGTAGATGAGTTTTGGAAAGAACAGAACGTATCCAAACAGGACGTAGATGGTTGTGTCGCTTTTGAGAGTCATCATCGATCTTATTTGGATTGGATCGAACACTCATCGGTCGGCTCTAATTTTAGGGTCAGAACCGAGGCTTGGTCTGCGATTAAGAGATTCAGGTTCAGGCGTACGGTTACGTATGGGGAAGTGAAATCACACCCCACAACGCCTTAAATTGGTACTACTTAAGTTGATAAATTTTATATTATTTGGGTGTATTTTAGTAATTATGTATTTTCTAAAATTCCAATGGACCATTACTATATTGCTATTTCATTAGGTATAATTTAACTGAACGTCTATTAACATATTAGTTTATGATTAGGTATTTTAGGTATTTTTTAGAGCCTTACTGGACCACTAAAGAATTTAAATCGTATTAATTGCACTTTAATTATACGCTCACTGACGTAAAAATTGAAAATAAAATTGATTAGTTAGTTGGACTCAAATTAACCTCGATTAGAAGCCAAACTCGCTAAAGAAATTCTCAACCCAGGCTCGACTCAGATAATTACTTGTCAATGAACTCAACCCAATCAATTGAAAATATGTGACACATAATCATATTATATTATTAATTGAATATTTGTAAGTGTATCCCACTACGTACCATTCACAAAATCATTACATATTAGATAGTCAAATTTTTTCTTGATATGAATCGAATTTTAAAAATCGTTATCAAACATTTATTGCTGTAATTGATAAAATTGATACTATTTTAAAAATTAGCAGAGTTTGAAAATAGCTTTCAACAATAACATTTGTTCTTTTTTCCTTTGCTAAATATAACAGAGTTTTCCTTTTTTTTCTTCTTTTCTTCTTTCCACCTTAAAAAATTAGGCAAAAAAAAAAAAAAAAAAACAGGTAACATAATAATATAAATCTCCAAATAGGAGCTGAAAGCCTGGAAAATTGTAACCAATCGTGGCATTCCTCCCTGGTTCTTCCCTTTCCTCCGACTCGGCTTCGAGTTGGATTCTCTCCCGTGCTGCTCCGCCGCGGTCTACGCCGCCGCACCTCCATTTTCACCCTCCGGTTGGTGATCGGGATATCTCCAGCTCTTCATTTACCGCCCGTACTTTCTGACGGAATCAAATCACGCCGAGGCCGCCCAACGCCATTGGGGAAGATCCGTACTACAATCTAGACAGGAGGTCAATAATGGTGAGTCTCAAATCAATCAATATTGCCTGCTCTCGTTATTATTATCATTGGTATGTGCATTCTTTCATTTTCACAAATGAATAGCAAATCGAATTAGGAATGTCAGCTTCTGAACTTTTCTCGGAATTTCGAATTTAGGGTTGCGGCATGTGAATTTGTTTGAAAATGCAAAATATTCGAATATTCATTGATGCGGAAATGTTGAAGTTCAACTTTGCTTGTTCTTGCTAACCTAACAATAGGGAACATGGATGGGGAAAGGAAATAAAAAATTGGGAAGAAGACATTTTGCTACGTTCTTCTTCTTCTTCTTCTTCTTAGATAAACACCACAACCCATGTGGAGTTATTGCTTCCAACTATTATGTTAAACAATTTTATCCCTAGGTTGCTTTATATAATGCTGAATTCGACCTTTTCCATTATTTGATCCTAATGCACTGGTGCATGCAATACTTTTGTATATACTATCAACAATTCTCCATAATATTAAATCTTAAACTCCACAATGAACACTGCCCAAAAGTCCAATCCCCAATGGTAGGCAGGTTTTCTTTATTTTTAATGCGGAGAAGCGAATAGAAAGCATTCAATATGCTGTTAACAATTCTCCTCCACGACACTGCAAGTTCATAGCCCACTTACCAGGCACTCTGCTTGCTTATTTCTGTTGTAACCACCATATGGAAGGGTCAAAGTTATAGCCCACTTAAAGCTGGAAACGGCCAATTCAGTGTTGGAACTTGTCCACTTGTCAGCTTGTGTCTGATTTGGACGACTTTGGTGACCCTATTCCTTGGCCTTTTTCCCTATATAACAGGGAGGTCTTCATTGGAGCAGAAGCAACAGGCAGAAGAAGATGGAAATGATTGGAAGCAAGCAGCTCAATAATGGAGAAATGAGGCTTTGAAAATCCTGGACAGACTTGACAGCGGTTCCAAATCCAGGTATATTTTGGTGCAAGTTGAACAACTTTTCTACAAATAGGAAGCATTTGAATAGTGAAAGCTCTTTCTTCTCATCTGATGTCCTATTCATTAGGTTGATCATGACTTCATGAGAGTACTAGTCAGTAATAACTAACAAGTAAGGATCTTTCTTCCCAATCAGTGGGAAGTGGAACATAGATTAGATCTAATTTGCAGGAGTTGAGGCCTCTTTCTTTTTTTCTTCACTTCCCTTCAGTTCCCCCTTTTTTGGTTTTATCTTGTGTAGAAATTAGAATGTTTCCAGGAAGAAACACTGGGAAGGTTTAAGCAACTTCATTGGTTGCATCTGGGACCTACATGTCTATAAACGTCATTAGAAGAGTCTTAATCAATAAAGTTTGCAGCATATAACAACATAAGGGAAAACTCTATTCAAAGAACAAAAAGCAGAACCAATCCCCACTCACTCAGCCTGCCTTTTTCAGCTTTCAGTTCACCTTATCAGTAAAGGAACAAACTTTGACCAAATTGAAAGATACTGATGACTATTAATGACAGTTTCAAGCAAAATTAGTCCTGACCCTTTTGTTGTGCTTTATTTCACATTGCCAGAATGATGCTTGCATTACGTGGCTGTTTTTTCAAACAAAAGATCAAGAAACAGACCCGGTATGACGCCAATGCTCGTCTGGCTTCAGAGACTCCTTGTAAGTCCAAATATCTTCTTACCAAAATGTTGCTACCATCTTCGGTAACTTTGGACTTACTATTGATAAGACTGATTTTCCAGATATAAGTTTCATGAACAGAAAATTTGCATGTTTTGATTTCCACTGACCTGTTCACATCACTTTTTGTTAAGGAAATCTATGAAACAAACAAATTGGGGAGGTCCATATTATGCTTTTGTTTTCCATTATGAATCCGTATGTAAGAAGTTTCTGGCAATTGATTGAACTGTTTTTCAAACAGTCACGATCAATGAAATAGAGGCTTTGTACCATCTGTTCAAGAAGCTAAGCAGCACCATAATTGATGACGACCTTATTCACAAGGTGCAATTTTCTATATTCCTCCTGGTTGAATGTGCTGCTTAGGTTTCTGCAATCGCATCCTGACCAGGGTCCGTCTATCTGTCAGGAGGAATTCTTATTAGCACTTTTCAGGAGTAGGAATACTAACAACCTTTTTGCTGAGAGGGTGAGCATTCTCTTCTCAAACAAATTTTCTGCACATCGTATCCAACCTACTCAATATGCTTGGTGGTTTACTGTGTGCAACACACTGCAGATTTTTAATCTGTTTGATATAAAGCACGATGGAGTGATAGAGTTTGGTGAATTTGTTCGCTCGTTGAGCATCTTCCATCCTCGAGCTTCGGTAGCTGACAAAATATCATGTACGGATCACTTTTGCTCTTTTCATCCTGCAAACTATACCTGACAATGCATCAGCAACCATCTTGTACCATTATATTCAACCTAGGTACCTAAAACAGTAACTAACATGTGGAAGCCATATTTTTCTCCCTCAGTTGCATTCAGGCTATACGATCTTAGAGAAACTGGCTACATAGAACGGGATGAGGTAACTCAAAAGCTTTCCCTGGAAACTATATGTACAATCAATCTCTGCCTTCTGTTGGTTGTGTTGACTTAACTCACTTGCTGTTGAAATGGGAGCAGTTGAAGGAGATGGTACTTGCTATCCTGAGTGAATCAGACTTAACACTTTCCGAAGACACCATCGAGTCCATGGTCGATAAGGTGGCCCAAATGTTCACAATCGGCTCAAATATGTTCGTGTTAGGTTACTTAGGAACTTATTTTTGGATCTCTACCTTTCTCCAGACACTTGCAGAAGCAGATTTGAACGGTGATGGAAAGATTGATGAACAGGAATGGGAGGAACTAGTAGCAAAGCATCCATCTCTCATAAAGAACATGACAATTCCATACCTAAGGCTTGCTCCTTGACCCTATACTCGAAAATGTGAAAATAAAGTTATGTTTAACACTCATTGGTGACCTCAATATTCCTTTTCAGGGACTTGACTGTTGCATTTCCAAGCTTTGTTCTGAACACTGAAGTTCCTGACTGAAGGCAAATTGTAACTGTCATTCTCCAGGAGAACTAATAAAAAAGAGACTTGCAAGTATGATATAGCATGTCTAAACTTTATAATGAAAGCATTCTACAATATTTTTTCCCTTCCTCTTAGCTTGTAAAAGGTGAAATCTGTGTACTCTAATACTTCCTTGCTTCCTCTTTTCAACAGAATGAAAAGAGTGTAGTTGAATACCCTATTGGGTTGTTTTTTATTTAATATCCATTATTATTTATGATGAATAGTTTTCTCTTTTATCTTCTTAGCTAGCATGTTATCAGTTACGAATATATTCACGTCATACAAGTGAAAATATCAAAAGTAAATTACAACTCATAAGACGAATTAAAAAAAAAAAAAACACAAGAATTCATATGTAATGCAGTATTACAAATACCGAACATATTGAGGGAGAAAAAAAACTAAACTCCCAAGTATCAGAACAGACATTTGCAATGTTTGGACATGTATACTCTACAACATCCATAAATTGTACCATCTGTTATTCCAATCTGCAGCTCTTACAATAGTGCGGTTTGGACTTTGGAGTTCAGCAAATTGCCACAAAAAAGCATATAAACCAAACCCCTCGATTTCACCATCCATCCAAAACCATGATGGGGAAAAAAGTTCTCTGATTCGTAATGTCCACCCACCCCACTCATCATCCCTCGATCAGCCGAACTCCCACATGCTGCTACTAGCTACAGGACAGACTTTTCCTTTTACAGGTTATATATACATAGCACTGCAAGGGTAATTCCATGGTTTCTGGCACCTAGCTGCCACTACAAGAACAACGACGAGGACGACGACAATGCCTCATGTAAATGGGAAAAGCTTCCTTCTGCAGATGAAGTCCTGCTGTTGCGCGAGCCAGAAGCTTATTCGCGAGAAGGAGAAAGCTCTCCTTGCTTCTCAGACTCATTGTGTGTCCCTCTTTTCAGTCTTAATTCCTCTTTAGCTGTCTCTTACTTTCATGATCTCAAAACATCTTAACCATGTAACGTTTTGGTCGCGTTGGGCGAGGCAGTCACTGAAGATGAAGTTGAAGCTTTTTTTGAGCTGTTCAGGAAGTTGAGCAGCTGTCTGGTGGATGATGGGGTTATAAGCAAAGTATATTACATGATTGAGTTTATGGTTTCATTCTGATGCAACAATGCCAAGGAACTGGCTGTTAACTTTTCAATGGTGTTTTTTTTTTGTTTGCAGGAAGAGTTCCAGCTGGGTTTGTTTGGGAACAGCAGGAAGCAGACCCTCCTTGCTAATAGGGTGATTTAAGCTTCTCCCATGGTTTCCTTTCTTCTAGTTTAAATCTTCATGATCCAGAAATGGAGGAATGATTTTGTTTATTTGTGTTTTGCAGCTCTTCCAATTGTTTGATTCCAAGAGAGATGGAGCAATAGACTTTGAAGAGTTCGTGAGAGCTTTGAGTGTCTTCCACCCCAAGGCAGCTCAAACAGAGAAAGCTGCTTGTAAGAAACCAACTTCCTTTTCCGCATTCTGCTGATTTCCTCATCATGTCTTTTTATCTTGATGGCTCAGCTGATACATGATGATTTGCCAGTTTCATTCCAGCTCTACGACATCTGGGAAACCGGCTTCATCCAACGCAAAGAAGTAAGTAAGTAAGAAGAAAGGAAGAATAAAGCTCAAAAGAGCTCTTTGCTTGTGTTCATGGCTAGTTCAGGGTTTTGATCATGTTAGAAATTTTGATGTCATAGGAAAAAAGGTCAAGGAGCTGTTTCTGGCACTCCTGGATGAGTCTGACTTGCTACTCACAGATGAAACTGTTGAAGCCATTGTTGATAAGGTGTTTGCTTGCTTCCCAAGACACTACATTTTCACATTGTCCTGCTTCCCTACAGATCTAACAGAAGAGTTTCTGCTGTGTTTTTTCCCTGCTCAACAGACATTCAACGAGGCGGACTCAAAAGGCGATGGAAAGATCGATGAAGAGGAATGGAGGCACTTCACAGCTCAGTACCCATCACTACTGCAGAGTGTGACTCTTCCACATTTATTGTAACTTCACCTCTCATAACCTTCCTTTCCTTCACACCTAAGTTTCAAAACCTTGATGCAATCCTGCTTCTTGTTAACAGGGATGTCGGAACAGTGTATCCGAGTTTTACAACAGTCTGATATCGATGATGACTCGAGTATAGTTTCACTAAATTCAAAAAGGTTTGATCTTTTATTCAGAGCTGAAATGTACACATTTCTTACAACTAATCAACAAGTAACATATAAGTGATACATGATCTATAGAACTGGAACACCATCCATTAATTTTCTGCTTGTTAATCCGGAATAGAATAAAAGAACAGACAAATGGACAATTCGAGTTTTACGTGATATCTCTAGAATGTCCGGATTAATCCATGGAAGTGTTATTCTAGTTTTCTCATTTATGTATCTTCCCAGCTGCATCTCACCACTGCTATTATTAATTAATTAATATATAAAGTCAAGGTTGTAGGTTACTATTCATTAGTGACTCTCACATTCCTCTAAATGTAAGTGGGGAAGTTCAAAGTCCTTCTTTTACCCAACTCTCCATTCTACTACCTTTGTGTTTAGTTATTGTTCGCTAGGTTTTCGTTTATGACTTTTTGCACAAATCATCGCCTTCGTGTTATCATCGTAATATATAAAAGCCAAGGTTGTAGGTTACTATTCATTAGTGACTCTCACACTCCTCCAAATACAAGTGGGGAAGTTAAAAGTCCTTCTTTTACTTCACTCTCTATTCTACAACCTTAGCGTGTTTTAGCTTTAGTGTTTTTCATTTCGCTTTTTTCTTTTATTTGAGAAAGACAATTGAACCCAAATCCATAGGTATCCAACCTAATTTGACCCGATCAATGCGAGTCAAACCTCCTCAAACCTGCAATCAGTCTAAAAATTTCATAAAGGAGAACCACGATTACCTCAAACCCAAAAAAAGCCAAAAGAGTACGAGTAAGTTTGGCCCAAGTTTTAGAAGTTTTATGTTTCAAAAGTTGAAGTCAATCCAAACACCTCTAAAGTTTCGCTTTTTAAAAAACTGAAATTTTCCGAATTAAAAGCAGAAACTCAGATTTGAAAATACAAAATTGCCTTACCATATATTATTCTCTTTCTAGAAAAATTAATTTTAATTCATTTATATAATTATAAAAAAAAATTGAAAAGTATTATTATTTAATATGAAATAAATATAACGTGATCCATTTTAAATACTTTTTTACTTTTAGAATTTGTATTTATATTTTATGTTAGAAATTTTTTTAGTCATTTTTCATTACCTCTTATATTAGAAAGTAATTTTGATAGTTTTAAGCTAAACACTCAACAGTTTTTTTTAAATACTTCTTGAAATGAAATAGAGAAGCTGCTTCATTCTGCAAAAGTTACAGTAGGATCAATTACTAGCCATACAAATTGAAGCGTCATGAAAGAAGTTTAAACATAAATAATCTATTCGACGACTCTTCTATATTATGCAAATTCATCGACCATATGCTATTGTAAATAACAAACATATGAAAAGAATGATTAAGAATGAAATAAGATCACTTTCAATTTTGGGTTAACATTAAAATATTTATTTTTATAATACGCGAAGCGATAACGAGCGGGTTTTGCTAGTCCGATATAAATGGAATCGGGTAAATGTCACATTTGGTCACTGAGATTACTAAATCGTGTCATGTTTAGTCACTAGAAAATTTTAATATCAATTTTGGTCATTCGAATTACTGAAATAGGTCACATTTAGTCACTCTCCCGTTAATGGAGTTGGACGGAAACTAACGGTGGAGTGACTAAACGTGACATGTTTCAGTCATTCGAGTGACTAAATGTGACATGTTTCAGTAATTCGAGTGACCGGAGTTGGACAGAGGTTAACGGGAGAGTAACTAAATGTGACATGTTTCAGTAATTCGAGTGACCAAAATTGATATTAATTTTTTCTAGTGATTAAGCATGACACAATCTAGTAATCTCCGACCAAATGTTGCATTTACCCAATTGGAACCATACATAAAATTGCTTATCACCTTATCCACGTACGAGGCCCGATACTCTATATATCAAATGAAAGAAGAAAAGAAGCCCAATATAGGTAAGACAAGGCCCACACACAGGTGTACTTGGAGGCCTCGATTCATAAGCCCAAAAAAAACAAGGAGCGCCAGCGCCAGACCCTCGGAGACCCTCCAACGGCTAGTATCCAACGTTCAAAATTAACAACTATTTAAATTTCTTCTTCCTACACTCCTCTTCCTCAATATCATCGTCTCCATTTGCTTCCTCCCCGTATTTCTACTCTGCTCTCTTTCTCTCCCTCACTCTACCTAGAGGCGGAGGAGGCAACATTCACAAAATCTGCTGCAAATCGGGCCATAAAGCCAATTTTGTCCCCCCAACTTCTGTAGATTTGAATGACGATGCAGGATACATGGACTGGGCCTCCCGGCTTCCGACCAACCAAATCTGCGCCTTCTTCGCCGGCCAAGCCACTGGGCCTATCAAGAACTCGCTCGGATTCATTTCACGCCCTTCATAAAGTCCCTGTAGGGGACACTCCGTACGTGCGAGCTAAAAACGTTCAGGTGAGAATCGAACTGGTTTTTCTCTTCGTATTGGGGTTAAATCGTATAGATAAGCCTCTGTTTCTGATCCGGGTTCTTTTTTTTGTGGGTTGAATGATGGTCAGTTGGTAGAGAAGGATCCGGAGAGAGCAATTCCCCTGTTCTGGGCCGCGATAAATGCAGGGGATAGGGTGGACAGTGCTCTGAAAGATATGGCGATCGTGATGAAGCAACAAAATCGGGCCGAAGAAGCCATTGAAGCTATCAAGTCGTTGAGAGTACGCTGCTCAGACCAAGCTCAGGAATCTCTCGACAATATTCTCTTGGATCTCTACAAGGTAATCAATATATATTTATATATACACGGACATTTCTTCCCTGTACTTTTACTGAATGGGTTTTGTAAATTTCGTCGAACACAGAGATGCGGGAGGCTGGATGATCAGATCGGTTTGTTAAGACACAAGCTTTGCCTAATCCAACAAGGATTGGCTTTCAATGGTAAGCGCACAAAAACCGCCAGGTCTCAGGGGAAGAAGTTTCAGGTCTCTGTAGAACAGGAAGCAACTAGATTACTGGTGCGTGTGTTATTTCTTCTCTTTTCTTTCCCCTCCACCGAACCAAATTAACTGCCAAACAGACCTGGATTGGAATCTGATAATTACAAGATTGGATTTTGATCGGTTTTTTTCAGGGGAACTTGGGATGGGCATTGATGCAACAAGACAAGTACAGAGAAGCAGAGGACGCATACAGAAGGGCACTTACAATCGCACCAGACAGCAACAAAATGTGCAACCTGGGGATATGCCTGATGAAGCAAGGCCGGATCACGGAGGCGAAGGACACTCTCCGGCGAGTGTCCGACGGTCCCCGGGGGATCGATTCTCATCTCAAGGCCTACGAGAGAGCTCAGCAGATGCTCAAGGACCTCGAATCCGAAAAGATGAGCAAGGCAGGGGGGGATGTAGCTGAATGGAGCAGATTGTTCGACGCCTTTCTGGGCTCCTCTTCCATTTGGCAGCCCCAGCCTTGCGGCAAATCATCGCCTGATGATTTCGGCGATGAAAATATCAACAGGGCCAATACCACAGTAACTAACAACAACAACAACAACAACAAATTGCCGCCGCAACAGAGGATGCTGAAGCAGCAGCTGGCATCGTGGAATGTGGATGCCCCGCCCTTCTACTCAGGGAAGCAGCATCAAGTTCATGAGACTCTGAAGCGGACAAGGTTGCCGGATAGTAAGGATTTTGAGGATGCTATCCTGGCGGCAGTTCTGGGTTCTGTTTCTTCTTCATCGTCGACTAAGGATGATGGGCAAGGGAAGCCGCCGCCGGTGCCGGTTGTTGTTGACTCTCAGAGGTTCAAGGTTGAGAAGAGGCTCAAGGTTTTCCAAGACATTACTCTGTCCCTCAGCCCACGAGCCTGACTTGACTGACTGACTACTGGGATTTGACTTCATGATGATGATGATGATGATGACATACTCTCCTGCTGCAACATTTGTAGTCTTTCTTTTCAAACTTACAATCTAATCTTGAAGGTAGTAGTAGTAGTAGAGTAAGGAAGAAGATATCAGATTAAGATTTAGTTGTGGGAGGGAGAAGATAAACTTGTTCTCCCTTAACCACTACCTTTCTAATTGCTGGCCATTTTCTTTTATGAGAATGTGGAATAAGAAAGTGAAATGACTCACTTTTATCTATTTAATAATTTGAGATAAGGGTCGTTTTTCTTGCTTTGGTTATTCACATAACAAAATAAGAAAGTAAGAATACGTACTTTGTTCACAAATACAATATGTATTTATGAGTAGGAAAAACTAGTATACAAAACAGAGAAGACTGGCAGAAAATGAACTGAACAACCGAACTTGGCCCCCAACTGGGATGGCAATTTTGACATGACCTGTTTTACCCGACCTGTTTGGCTTGTTTTGGGGCGGGTTCGATCTGCCCCGTAGGCGGGGCGGGGCGGGGCGGGCATGGGTACCTCTCGTTGACCCGACCTGCCCTGACCCACCCCATTCTCAACCCGTTCTTGCCTAACTACATGTAATCTTAGTAAAATTACTTAGAATTTTCCTCATATTACCTCATATTTTAGCTATAATAAAGTTACAAATAAGTGAAAACCTCAATTTCTCCAATACTTTAACTAAATTTTATCATATTATGGTTTATTTCTCGGTATTTTAATGAAAATAATGAATATTTTTAATTTTCTTCACATAAATTACATACCCATTGGGTCGACCTGCCCCGACCCGCGCCCCATAATAAATTACCCGACCTGCCACGTGGCGGGTATACGTATCGAGATACCCGGCCCGAACCTGTCCCATTGCCATTCCTAGCCCCAACCCTACGCTAGACACTACGATTTGGGCTCAGTCTAATGTGTAAAGGTTACATTGGGCCGAACGAAGGAGAGAATGGATCCAGTCTGCTATACAAGTGGGATTGTCTCGACTAACATTTTCATGGACCCAGCGCTTCTGTAGTTCTGTATGAACGTGTGATGTTCCCTTGTTCGCTTTAACAGCACAAACAAGGAAGGGGGGTTGGGTCACAGGCCGGGTTGGTTGATGTGGCTCGTCGAGTTTTAACTTTTTGGGTTTAAAATGGGTGATTAGAAGTTTATGTTAGTCAAGTTAGTAAAAAAAATTGATGTCGTTAGCGGAGACCGACGGAAGGTAACAACAGTCAGTGATCAAACTTCAAATATTAAACTAATTTGATCGTCCACACATAGAGTAACAAATTTTAAGTGGCAAACGTGAAATAATTTACTAATCTCGGTGACTGAACCTGCAATTTACCCTTTGAAATGATGAGCACTTATATCTTCTACGTCAATCAAATTTTATTACCGTTCTTTCAACAACAAATTAACCACAATAAACTCGATTCGAACTGTCGACATATCTTAAAAAAAAATCGATCTGATACCATCTTACTACGAACCCAATAATAATTTGAGTGTTGCGAAAAAGAAATATATGCGTTTAACCAAGTCCGTGATGATGAATCATACATTGGCCCCATGATGAATGAATGTGGTGGAGGAGGCACTCAGCCACATACCAAAAACTAAAGCCAATCTCGATACATTGAAACCCTCGAGCTAGCTTTGGGGGAACAAGAATTTTATAGTGAGCACTTTTTTAAGATTTGAGTGTCTTTCTTTCGGTGGCAACGGCACTTAGCCTGGCATCCTGCTCCAAGTTTTACAGAACCAGCTTTGTGTTTTGGAGAAAACAATCTCGATGCCAAAGGAAAATGGAAATATTTATCCAATATATACATACATGTATCCGTTATAGTAAACTCTGCATTACAAATTTTTAATCAAACAAATCACGTGCATGCATTTGTATATTTGGGATGAACCCACCGATTTGAACCGCAACCACAATCCATCGAGTACATATGAGTTCAAGTACACCATTTCCCAAATTCACCCTTTTCTCAGGACGATTGGATTGACATCACCAGAATCACAATCCGAGCGTTTCATGGTTGAAACAAATACGGTAATTGTCACACCACATTCTTAAATGTACTAAAAAGGCTAGCTTGGTCAATGTATGCATTATTTGTTGCTCACTTATACACAAAACTAACAAATTCAATGCCTTCGTTTTTTGTCCCCCTTCTTCTTCTGCGACTGCCGTATGGATATTAGCGATGAAGAGACGAACTCAATTTTCTTCTTCATAAAATATATGGTTAGAACTTGGAAGTATTTCTTAACATATCATCTTGATAGGGAAAGAGGGAATCTAACGGCTGGGATCCCATATCTATAGAATTTGCTGTTTATAAACACTCATAACACCAAATAAACAAAAATCTTTAAAGTACATTAGATATTATTGATCAATCAATTATATGTTAAATATGGTTAAATTAGGGCATATGGTCTGATGTTTACATGTGATAATAACGAGTGATTACTGATTAGGAGCCTAGAGTTTCCGTTACTCGATATCTCAGAGTGGAAATCATAGTTATTATATCCTAAAATTTGGACTTTTGTTCATTATGGGCTTAGGCTATGGCAAAATTCCAGAGCTTGTCCTCATATACAATTGGATTAGATGTTTGCCGCCTTTATAATGTACTATTTTTGTAAGCACTTATTATAACCTATTTTTGTAAGCACACAGAATATGTATTGTTTGCACTGTTTATAATATCAAAACTATATTATGTGGATATTATCAATTTTTTATCTCAAACAATATGTCAAAAAAATATTGATATTCATTTTGTTGAATTTTGATAAAATTATAAGCAAGCTTCGCTCACAATATATCAAATGGAAGTGGTACGCTGCTAGAGTGTAATGAACTTTTTCTTAGTATAGTGATTTAAGTACATCATATTTAATTGACTAATCCTACTTAGTAATCCCTTATTCCTATACATATCCATAAAAAGACATCTCAGAAGATTCTGAAGTGGTCGTCAACCAAGTCCGTCAAGGCGTCTCAGAAGATTCGATTGGTGGTCCGCTGCTTCGAGAGTGTCTGCAGATCCTTAACTCTTTGTCTGTCTGTATAGAGTTTAGGGCGGTACCTAGATCCGCCAACAGTGCTGCACATAGAGTGGCGCGTAAAGCACTGCTTTTGTCTCTTGTAGAGCTAGAATTTTTTGATTTCTTGGGATGGCTTCTTTAGAGTGTTTTAGGGGTCCTGGGTAAAATTGTAAGCTTAACTATTTTCTCTCATTGATATCACTCAGAAATAAAAAATACATATCCATAAAAAGGAAAAAAAAAGGAAATTATAATAAATACATTATTATTATTATACCTCTCAACTTCAGCTTGCTCATACCTGGCTTTGCCATAGAAAATGAAAGTAGGAGTATAGAAAATTTATTATTCAAAGTATTAAGAAAAAGAAGAAGAAGATAATCATAATTGTTTACTGTAATCTCTTTGTCGGGTTGTGGCCGGCCGGCGAACTAAACAACGAGCTTTTTATTCAATTATTATTACAATAGTCGAGGGAGCGGAGCGGACGCAGCGTCTTGGCAAAAAAAAAAAAAAACCCGACCCGACCGCTCCTGCCAACACGTTTGCTTCCGTACCACGTGGCACGTTCTCATTACATGCCCCCACCTCCAACGGGAAAATTTTAAAAAAAATAAAGCTACAAGGAAGATAATTTATTTGAAAGATATATAGAGAGTGACACAAAATTGTGACTACATTATCTTACAACAATATAATAGTTACGTTAGGTTATCTTGTGGAGTTGATGTTACATAAATTTGTGCAAATATTATACAGAGTTGAGGTGTAATGGATCAAGAATTGGAGCATGGATGAAAATTGAATCTTATACGCCGCATGTTTTTTTTCACTACTCGCAAGAATATGTGGTCGGGTTAATTTTTTTTAAAATGTCATGATGGATTAGATTAGACAAATGAAATTGAAATTATTATTGCTAAATAATATATGTAGGGGTTCGTCAAAACCCGAATTGTAGACTTTGATCCTACTATATTGTTTTAGTATTGTCAAACTAGTTGAACCATATAAAGCCTATGTTTGATCCGACTTTTAGAAGTGATTTTCGGCTTCAAAAGCTGAAGCAAGGCCAAACACCTTTAAAAGTTCGATTTTTGAAAAGTCGGAAAACACTTTTGTATAACATAAAAGCAGAAGTTTATGCGAAAAACTGTTTTGAAAATACAAGGTCATCATTACCATATTTAAATTTTATTTCACAAACTATAATTTTCTTACATTTATACATAGTAAAATTAAAATAAAGTATAAAACATATTATTTAATATAAAATAAGTCTAACAAAATCCATTTTGACTACATTTTATAGTCATTTTACACAGTCTCTCATATTAAAAAACACTTTTAATAAATTTCAACCAGACATTCAACTGCATTTTTTGAAAAATACTTCTCTAAAAGCTCAAGGTAGAAGCGGCTTCCCAGCATGGCCAAACAGAGCCAAAAGGTATTGTTGAACTAGAAATAAGTTGGTAAGCTTTGACATTCTACTATCCATTAATTACATAAATGTATACATTTTTTTTTATATTATTACTACGTTGACAACGTTGTATTTAAACGAACATAGTCGAACAAAGTATTTAGACGAACATAATCGAACAAAGTACCTTTCATTTAAGAAAATACGTCCAAATCTAAACTTAAACCGAACTAAGTCTAACAAACTACTAAGTACTCTTTCAATCAGTTTATGCTCCTAAAATTTCCTTACTCTATTCCAATTTGGCATTGATCTACTATTGCACACTCTATCCATATAACTACATAAAAACAAATGTATATGTCATGGTAATATAGTAATTTGGTAAAATGGTTAGCATAATTACTAATTACTCCAAATCAAACGGAATCCAGCCTATCCAATTTTGAGCAAATAAAAAAACCGAATATCCCAAGTTATATTAATCAAAATCATCTATGTTTTTTTTTTATTACCCATCAACCTTAGCTCTACGTGTAACTTTGTGACAGCGGGTCCTACTAAACTTGGGGGACACTTGCAGCTTTGTACCTACAGGAACACCAACGGACCTCACTTGGATTCGAAACTGAGATCTGCAACTCCCAAATTTTCATTGTTGCACAACTTTACCGTTAGACTATCTTATTTTTGGTTCATGTTATTCAATTTATTTAAAATATAAAGTGAATGTAAACAAAATAAAATACTAAAGAAAAGGGGAGCAGAATTTGGTCAAGCAGTGCCTGCTACCGAAAGACGAAACAAACGACCGTCCAAAATTCATCACAGAACTTAACGCGGGCAGACGGAATCCAATACTCCCGTCCAGTCAGCGACGTTTCGTTTCGATAGGTCGGTCAAACCTTTTCCTTTTGTAAGAAGAAACATTTTCTATATAAACCAACGGCCACTACTCCCCTCCGCTCCCCTCTTTCCTCTCTCGAATCTTCTCTCATCTAATTGCTACGGCGTCGTCCTGGTCGGAGAAAGATCAGTTAAGAGAGGAAGATAAAAAAATCCGTTAGAGAAAACTCCGGCGAGAAGGTCGGAATCCCCCGGTCGCCGCCGACGTTTTCGGATTTCACCCAATCCCCGGCAACAAATCGGGGGGCTTTTACCGATTCATCCTCCTCCGCTTTTTTAAGCTCTTCTTCTTTCCCATTTCGCCCTTGGTTCTTCCCCGTCGGTAAGAATCCACAGTCCGTTTTGCTCCCCAATTTTCCCCCGTCAATTCCAATTTTTCCCTGACAAGGCTGCCTTACTTATAGAAAAAAGGAAGAAAAAAAAAAAAAAACCCAACAAAAACCACTTCGTAATTCATCAAATCAAATTTCCTCTGTAAATGAGTCAAGGGTGACGGACCCAGAAGCTTGAAACCTTTCAATCGTGAAGTTTCAGCTTCTGGGTTTGGTCGTTTTCTTCAATCGCCGGAGAACCCAATTCCCGATTTCTTATTTTTCTCAGAAATTATAGAATGCTCCAGATCTTCCTTTAATTTTAACCCTTTTCTTTTTCTGTTCATCACGGTAAAGATTGTGAATAGTTAGCCAAATAATTTTTTGGGGGAGAAAAAAATTATGTCCGTCGTCGACGTGGCATTGAGCTCCGGCAGAGAAGGAGCGGCGGTGAGATTCCCCGGGTTCGGCGGCTACTTCTCGTCGGAGGACTCATCGATCCTGATCTACCTGAGCGTCGCCGGTTCGTTCATTCCGATGCGGGTCCTGGAATCCGACTCCATCGCCTCGGTCAAGCTCCGGATCCAAAACTCCAAGGGTTTCGTCGTGAAAAAGCAGAAACTGGTGTTCGGAGGCAGAGAGCTCTCCCGGAGCTCCGATCTGGTCAAAGACTACGGAATCACCGGCGGCAACGTCCTCCACTTGGTCCTCAAGCTCTCCGACCTCCTCCTCATCACCGTCCGCACCACGTGCGGCCGGGAATTCGAGTTCCGCGTCGATCGGTACCGAAACGTCGGATACCTAAAACACCGCATCTTCCAAGAGGGCAAGGGCTTCGTCGACGTCGACGAGCAGGAAATCTTCTACAACGGTCAAAAGCTCGACGACCAGCGCCTCATCGACGAGATCCGCGACAAAGACGCCGCCGCAGCAGCGATTCACCTCCTCGTACAGAAAACCGCAAAGGTCAGAGCACAGCCGTTGGACAGAGATTTCGAGATCTCCGTCGCCGCCGCAACAAACCCTAATCAAAGTCAGAATCAAAATCAAAATCAGAACCAGACCCAGAAGCAGAATCAGGGATCGTCGATTGAGGTGCTGAGTCGGGAGCAAGCAGGGAGGGATTTCTGGCTAGAGCCGGTGATTGTAAACCCTAGCGTGAGATTAGATTCGGCGATTTGGAACATGGTGAATTCGACCTTCGTCGGGCTGGAAATGGGCCACCCGCCGATCCGTTCGTCCGAAGGAACAGGGGGGACTTACTTCATGAGGAACCCATCTGGCCAAGGGTTTGTATCGGTGTTCAAGCCCAGCGATGAGGAACCCAACGCCGTGAACAACCCACAGGGCCTGCCGGTGTCGTCCAACGGGGAAGGGTTGAAGAGAGGGACGAAGGTAGGGGAAGGCGCGGTTAGAGAAGTTGCAGCTTACATATTGGATCATCCGGTGAATGGTCCGAGGGGTTTGAACAATGAGGTGATGGGGTTTGCAGGTGTGCCGCCCACCATTGTTGTTCAGTGTCTGCACAAAGGGTTTCATCATCCTGAAGGGTATGAGTATTCAGCCAAGAATGTGAAGATTGGGTCGTTGCAGATGTTTATGAAGAATGAAGGGAGTTGTGAGGATGTTGGTCCTGGTCGGTTCCCTGTGGAGGAAGTGCATAAGATTACTGTGTTGGATGTGAGAATGGCCAATGCTGATAGGCATGCTGGCAATATTTTGATCGGCAAAGGAGAGGGAGATAGTGGGGAGAACACTGTGTTGATTCCCATTGATCATGGCTATTGCTTGCCTGAGACTGTAAGCCCTTTTCTTCCATCCATTCAATCAAATTATAATTTACTTGCTCTGTTTGTTTGCATTCTATGATCTGTTAGTACATTTAGAGGAGTCATTTTTTTGCACTGGAGTTACTGAATGGCATTGCTTTTCTTGGTTTGTGTTGGTGAAAATGCAGTTTGAAGATTGCACATTCGATTGGCTATACTGGCCACAAGCAAAGCAACCCTACTCTCCAAAGGTAATCGACTACATTAACTCACTGGACGCTGAATTCGACATCGCCCTGCTGCAATTCCATGGCTGGAACATCCCACCCCAGTGCGCACGAACCCTCCGAATCTCGACCATGCTCCTGAAGAAAGGAGTGGAGAAAGGTCTGACCCCTTTCGACATCGGGAGCATCATGTGCCGGGAGACCGTGCACAAGGAATCGGTGATTGAGGAGATCGTTCGCGAAGCTGAGGATTGCTTGATACCTGGGATGAGCGAAGCTGCATTCCTGGAAACTGTGTCTGAGATCATGGACTCCAGGCTTAGCAAGTTTAACAAATAACAACACTATGGATGGTAATGGTGGTCTTTGATCGATCTGTCTATCTATCAATCTATCTCATCAGGTATATATGAATGAAAACTTTTGTTCCTTGTATGATTTGGAAGGAAGAGAAACTATATATGAGTTTCATTCCCCTTGCAGAAGTCCATTTCGAGTTTGGACAACATTGAAAGAAAGAAAAAGCGAAAAAAGAAGAAGTTTATGTATCAGTACCAGATATATATGTTAGATGTGGTGGTTAAAAATCAATCCATAAGAAGAAGCAATACAAAGAATTGTTGTCTCTTTGCAGTTTAGGCAGCCAATTTCATTGGAAGGGTAAAATGGTAGCTTTGAGATGAGGGGTCTTTAGGGAAAAAATGATTATTGCCCCTCCTGGTGAAGGGTAGGCTATATTAAGGGTGGAATGCCACTCAGATAAAGCTGTAATCTTTAAATACCAATGTTATGCAATGAATAAGAACAAATTGCAACAAAAAAAAAAGGGTAATATTAAGATTTAAGACGAATGTATCAATGAGATTTTGAAATAAAATCCCAAGGAAGGTGATGCTCACTAAATGTGCTTCTAGTATGTATGGATAATAATACCCACTAACGTAACTATCAAAAGATGATTACGGTAATGATATTGGATTCAACTCTCACAAGCTAATCATTATGAGAAAGCTAATATAAGCTTCCATGTAACTATGTACTTGTAAATTCAATGGTGGCCATCAACAAATTTGTAAGCACGAATAATCTGTTCTCATGGATCTGTCGGACATTCATGAAGTAGTCTTGGATGTATGTGTCAAGATCCCTCGTAATATGATAATATTTTGCTACAATGGTGGCCATCAACAGATTTGTAAGCATGAATAATCTGTACTCATGTATCTGTTCACACTCTATTGGAAAGCAAAAACAAATGGTTCCTCCGAGTTCTAACCCACAACGAGGCAACTACGGCTACAATGGTGAAACTCCGGCCCATATATTATTAAAAATCAGCTTTGGTCCGTGGTTTCAGAAATTGACATCCTGGCCTCAACTATGCAACAAATAGACTTAATTGGCCCGACACATGGTTTGACCGTCAATTTGGATGGTGAACACCTTTGATAGTCAACACGCCATGTCATTACCTCGTTAGCTTAAAAAACATTAAAAAAAATTCAAATTCAAGTTATTTTTCTAATTTCTATTATTTATTATTAAATTAACCAAAAAATAAAATATTTAATATATAAAATAAATGTTATTTTTTGGGTAATTTGAAATGATAAAATTTATAAATTACCAAAAAATTATCAAATTATTTAAAAAAAAAATTCGGTCAATTTGAAAATAATAAATAGTAAAAATTAGGAAAATAATTTGAATTTAATTTTTTTAATAATTTTTAGGCTGACGTGGCAATGATATGGCGTTGCCCATCCAAATTGATGGTCAAACCATGTGTCGGTCCAATTGAGTCTATATGCCGCATAGTTGAATCCATGATGTTAATTTCTGATACCTCGGGCCAAAGTTGATTACATGGTCAAAGTTCGGGCCAAAATAAGGTATTAACTCAATTTTTTTTCAAGGGGTCATTTTCCTTGGATTTTGAAGGTGACAAATCACAAATTCGGCCTAAAGGCTATTCTTCAATGATGATTTAGTCCATTAAGCTTTGATTTGGGCGGATTTCTTCCAGGTCCATTTGTGGCGAATTTGCCGAAATGCTATTTTCTTTTGATTTTGAAGGCTACAGATCACCAATTCACCCCGAGGCTATTCTCTGCCGATAATGAAGTCTATTGATCCTATACTCAACCAAAAATTAAGTCTATTAAGCACCGATATGGGCGAATTCATTTTCGGATGGTATTTTCGCAATTTTTGGGCAAAATTTTTTCGCGGGCCATTTTCCTTGGATTTTGAAGGCGACAGATCACGGATCGGCCTGAAGCTATTCTCTGAAGACGACTACGCCATTAAGCACCGATTTGGGCGGATTTCTTCCGGGTCCATTTTTGGCAGACTCCAAAGGGGTACCATCACCGATTTCGAGAGATTTTCCTGAAATGCCATTTTCTTTTGATTTTGAAGGCTACAGATCACGGATTCAGCCCCGAGGATATTCTCTACCGATAATGAAGTCTATTGATCCTAGTCTCCACCGAATATTAAGTCCTTTAAGCACCGATTTGGACGAATTCATTTTCGAATTGCACTTTCATAATTTTTGGGCAATTTTTTTTCTCGAGAGGAGCTTATTCTTCAATGATGATTTAATCAATTAACACTGATTTGGGCGGATTTCTTCCGGGTCCATTTTTGGCATACTCCAAAGGGGTACGATTACCGATTTTGGGAGATTTTGCCGAAATGCCGTTTTCATTCGATTTTGAAGGCTACAGATCATGGATTCAGCCCGAGGCTATTCTCTATCGATAATGAAGTCTATTGATCCTATTCTCCACCGAATATTAAGTCCATTAAGCACCGATTTGAGAGAATTCATTTTTGGTGGAATTTTCGTAATTTTATGGGCGTTTATTTTTGAGAGGCCATTTTCCTTTATATTTTGGAGGCTACAGATCATGAATTCGCCCTGAAGCTATTCTTCAAAGATGACTAAGTCCTTTAAGCACTAATTTGGACGGATTTCTTCCAGACCCATTTTTGGCAGATTCCAAAAGGGTACCATCATCGATTTTAGGTGATTTCCCCCAAATGCCATTTTCTTTCGATTTTGAAGGCTACAGATCATGGATTCACCGGAGGCTATTCTCTACGGATAATGAAGTCTATTGACCCTATTCTCCACCGAAGATTAAGTCCATTAAGCACTAATTTGGGCGAATTAATTTTTGGATGACATTTTCATAATTATTAGGGCATCTTTTGTTTCGAGAGACCTTTTTCGTTGGATTTTGAAGGTCATATATCACGTATTCGGTCTGAGGCTATTCTCCAAAGACGATTAAGTCCATTAAGCACCGATTTGGGCAAATGTTTTCCAGGTTCTTTTTTGGCAGACACCAAAGGGGTACCATCACCAATTTCGGAATATTTTCCTGAAATGCCATTTTCTTTTGATTTTAAAGACTACAGATCCTGGATTCAGATCGAAGCTAACAGATTATGAATATTGATCCTATTCTCCACCAAAGATTAAGTCCATTAAGGATCGATTTGGGCAAGTTCATTTTCGGATGACATTTTCATAAATTTTTGAGAATTTTTTTTTCGAGGTGCCATTTTCTTTGGATTTTGGAGGCGACAAATCACGTATTCGGGCTGAGGCTATTCTTCAAAGATGATTAAGTCCATTAAGCACCGATTTGGGCGGATTTCTTCTGGGTCCATTTTCACGAAATGCCATTTTCTTTTGATTTTGAAGCCTACAGATCACAGATTCAGCCTAAGGCTATTCTCTACCAATAATGAAATCTATTGATCCTATTCTCCACCAAAGATTAAGTCCTATAAGCACCGATTTGGGCAAATTCATAAAATTTTGGGTGCTTTTTTTTAGTGGCCATTTTCTTTTGATTTTAAAACCGACAAACACTGCTTCGGCCCGAGGCTATTCTTCAAAGATGATTAAATCCATTAAGCACCAATTTTGGGGGATTTCTTCCGGGCCCCTTTTTTGGCAGACTCCAAATGGGTACCATCATCGATTTTGGGCTATTCTTCTTCTGATTTTGAGGCTACAAATCACGGAGCCCGATGCTATTCTCTATCGATAATCTAGTTTATTGATCCTACTCTCCACCAAATATTAAGTCTTATAAGCACCAATTTTGGCAAATTTATTTTTGGATTGCATTTTCGAAATTTTTTGGGCGATTTTTTTAGAGACTATTTTTCTTGGATTTTGGAGGCTATTCTTCAAAGACTATTTAGTCCATTAAGGACTGATTTGGGCAGATTTCTTCCGGTCCATTTTTGGCGGACTCCAAAAAGTTACCATCACTGATATCAGGCAATTTTTTTGAAATCCCATTTTCTTTCGATTTTAAAGGCTACAGATAACACAATGCTATTCTCTACCGATAATGAAGTCTATTGATCTTATTATTCACCGAACATTAAGTCCATCAAGCATGGATTTGGGAGATTCATTTTCGGATGACATTTTCATAATTTTTTGTGCGTTTTGTGTTCGAGAGGCCATTTTCCTTGAATTTTGAAAGCTACAGGTCACGAGTTCGGTCTGAGGCTATTCTTCGAAGATTATTTAGTCCATTAAACACTGATTTGAGCGGATTTCTTCCGGGTCCATTTTTGCAGGCTACAAAGGGGTACCACCACCGATTTTGGGCGATATTCCGAAATACCATTTTCTTTCGATTTTGAAGCCTACAAATCACGGATTCAGCCCGACGCTATTCTCTTCCGATAATGAACTCTATTGATCATATTCTCCACCAAAGAATAAATCCATTAAGGACCAATTTGGGTGAATTTATTTTCAAAATGAAATTTTCCCTGGATTTTGAAGGCGACATATCCTGGATTTGGCCTAAGACTATTCTTCAAAGATGATTAAGTCCATAAAGGACCGATTTGGGCAGATTTCTTCCGGGTACATTTTTGGCAGACTCCAAAGGGGTACCATCACAGATTTTGAGCTATTTTTCCAAAATACTATTTTTTTCGATTTTGGAGGCTACAGATCACAGATTCAGTCCGAATCTATTCTCCACCGATAATAAAGTCTATTGTTCTTATTCTCACCAATGATTAAGTCCATTAGGCATAGAATTAGGCAAATTTATTTCGGGATGAAATTTTCGTAATTCTTTGAGTGATTTTTTTTTCAAAAGGCCATTTTCCAAGGATTTTGAAGGCTACAGATCATGGATTCTGCCGGAAGCTATTCTTCAACGACGAGTAAGTCCATTAAGCAAGGATTTAAGCGGATTTCTTCCCAGTCCATTTTTGGCAGATCCCAAAGGAGTACCATCACAGATTTCATGCGATTTTTTCTAAATGCTATTTTCTTTCGATTTTGGAGGCTATAGATCATAGATTCAGCCTGAGGCCATTCTCTACCGATAATGAAGTCTATTGATCCTATTTTCCACCAATGATCAAGACCATTAGGCATAGAATTGGGCCAATTTATTTTGAGATGGTATTTTAGTAATTCTTTGGGAGATTTTTTTCGAAAGACCATTTTCCATGGATTTTGAAGGCTACAGGCTGAATCCGTGATGGTAGCCCTTTGGAATCTGCCAAAAATTGACCCGGAATAAATCCGCCCAAATCGGTGCTTAGTGGACTTAAATCTGTGATGGTACCTATTCTCCACGGATGATAAGTCCATTAAGCACTGATTTGGGCCAATTTATTTTCATATGGCATTTTCGTAATTTTTTGGGCGACGAAAGGCCAATTTCTTTGGAAATTGAAGGCTACAGATCACGGATTCGGCCTGAGGCTATTCTTCAACGATGATTAAGTCCATTAAGCACCGATTTTGGCGAATTTATTCGGGGTCAATTTTTGGCAGATTCCAAAGGGGTACCATCATAGATTTCGGGCGATTTTTCTGAAATGCCATTATTCCCGATTCTGGAGGCTGCAGATCATGGAAATAGGACGAGGCTATTCTCCACCGATAATAAAGTCTATTGATCCTATTCTCAATGGATGATAAGTCCATTAAGCACCAATTTGGGTGGAATTATTCCGGGTCAATTTTTGGTAGATTCCAAAGGGGTACCATCACAGATTTCGGGCGATTTTTCCGAATGTCGTTTTCTTTCGATTCTGGAGGCTGCAGATCACGAAATCGGGTCGAGGCTATTCTCCACCGATAATGAAGTCTATTGATTCTATTCTCCACAGATGATAAGTCCATTAAGCACCGATTTGGGCCAATTTATTTTTAGATGACATTTTTGTAATTTTTTGGCGACGAAACGCCATTTTCTTTGGTTTTTGAAGGCTACAGATCACGGATTCAGCATGAGGCTATTCTTCAACTACGATTAAGTCCATTAAGCAGCGATTTGGGCAGATTTATTCCGGGTCAATTTTTGGCAGATTCCAAAGGGGTACCATCACAGATTTCAGGTGATTTTTCCGAAATGGCATTTTCTTTCAATTCTGGAAGTTGAAAATTACGGAATCAGGCCGGGGCTATTCTCCACCAATAATGAAGTCTATTGATCTGATTCTCCACGAATGATAAGTACATTAAGCACCGATTTGGGCCAATTTATTTTCAGATGACATTTTCGTAATTTTTTGGGCGACAAAAGGCCATTTTCTTTAGATTTTGAAGGCTACATATCACGGATCCGGACCGAGGCTACCCTTCAACTATGATAAAGTCCATTAAGCACCGATTTGGGCAGATTTATTCCGGGTCAAATTTTGGCAGATTCCAAAGGGGTACCATCACAGATTTCGGGCGATTTTTTCGAAATGCCTTTTGCTTTCGATTATGGAGGCTTCAGATCATTGAATCAGACCGAGGCTATTCTCCACCGATAATGAAGTCTATTGATCCTATTCTCCACGAATGATTAGGGATGGCAATGGGTCGGGTTGGGTCGGGTTTGTCCAAAGTCCAAACTCAAACCCAAACTCATGGGTTTATCCGTGAAAAAAACCCGGGGTAAAACCCACTGGGTTTGAAAAACTCAAACCCAACCCAACCCGCTGGGTATCCGCGGATTCATGGGTACCCATGGGTTTTTGTCGTAAAAAATTCACAATAACAAGTTCCTATCAAAATTAAAGTCAAATATCAATCTCTCAATACAAATTATCCATATATAAAACACCATTCTAGAAAATTCAAGCAAATCACTAATTAACTATACAATTGTTCAACACCAATCTAGAAAACTCAAGAAAATTGAAGCAAATCACAAATTATCCATAAATAACGTGATTAATTGAAAGCATCTTCCTTTCAATTAAGTTTTTCACTCTCCCCTCGATAACATCAACTACTAGAAAGAAAAAATTAGACATGTCTCCACAAACATTAATAAGATTAGTTGTTTAGAATATTAAATTTTCCGAGAAAATTAATTATGTGGGTGTGGGCGGGTACCCATGGGTCGGGTTTACCTAAACCCAAACCCAACCCAACCCGGTGAATAGTGAACGGGTTTAAACAAAAACCCGGCCCAAAACCCGTCAACACAGATTTTACCCGCGTTGACCGGGTTGGGTCGCGTGGGTACCCGTGGGTTCGGGTTTTGTTGCCATCCCTACGAATGATAAGTCCATTAAGTACCGATTTGGGCCAATTTATTTTCGGATGCCATTTTTGTAATTTTTTGGGCGACGAAACGCCATTTTCTTTGATTTTGAAGGCTACAGACCACGGATTCAGCCTGAGGCTACCCTTCAACGATGATAAAGTCCATTAAGCACCGATTTGGGCGGAATTATTCCGGGTCAAATTTTGGCAGATTCCAAAGGGGTACCATCACAGATTTCGGGTGATTTTTCCGAAATGCCATTTTCGTTCAATTCTGGCAGTTGCAAATCACGGAGTTAGGCCGAGGCTATTCTCCACCGATAATGAAGTCTATTGATCCTATTTTCCACGAATGATAAGTCCATTAAGCACCGATTTGGGCCAATTTATTTTCATATGGCATTTTCGTAATTATTTGGGTGACGAAAGGCCAATTTCTTTGGATTTTGAAGGCTACAAATCACGAATTGGGCCTGAGGCTATTCTTCAACAATGATTAAGTCCATTAAGCACCGAATTGTGCGAATTTATTTCGGGTAAATTTTTGGAAGATTCCAAAGGGGTACCATCACAGATTTCGGGCGAATTTTCCGAAATGCCATTTTCTTTCGATTATGGAGGCTTCTGATCATTGAATCTGGCAGAGGCTATTCTCCACCGATAATGAAGTCTATTGTTCCTATTCTCCACGGATGCTAAGTCTACTAAGCACCGATTTGGGCCAATTTATTTTCGGATGCATTTTTGTAATTTTTTAGGCGACGAAACGACGTATTCTTTGGATTTTGAAGGCTACAGATCACGGATTCGGTCTGAGGCTATTCTTCAACGATGATTAAGTTCATTAAGCACCGATTTGGGCGGATTTATTCTGAGTCAATTTTTGGTAGATTCCAAAGGGGTACCATCACAGATTTCGGGCGATTTTTCCAAAATGTTGTTTTCTTTCGATTCTGGAGGCTGCAGATCACGAAATCAAGTTGAGGCTATTCTCCACCGATATTGAATTCTATTGATCCTATTTTCCACGGATGATAAGTCCATTAAGCACCGATTTGGGCCAATTTTATTTTCGGATGGCATCTTTGTAATTTTTTGGGCGACGAAACGCTATTTTCTTTGGATTTTGAAGGCTACAAATCACGGATTCGGCTTGAGGCTATTCTTCAACGATGATTAAGTCCATTAAGCACCGATTTGGGCGGATTTATTCCGGGTCAAATTTTGGCAGATTCCAAAAGGTACCATCACAGATTTCGGGTGAATTTTCCGAAATGCCATTTTCTTTCGATTATGGAGGCTTCAGTTCATTGAATCAGGCCGAGGCTATTCTCTTCCGATAATGAAGTCTATTGATCCTATTCTCCACGGATGATAAGTCTATTAAGCACCGATTTCGGCCAATATATTTTTGGATGACATTTTTGTAATTTTTTGGGCAACAAAACGCCATTTTCTTTGGATTTTGAAGGCTACAGATCACGGATTCGATCTGAGGCTATTCTTCAACGATGATTAAGTTCTTTAAGCACCGATTTTGGGCGGAATTATTCCGGGTCAAATTTTGGCAGATTCCAAAGGGAACCATCACAGATATCGGGCGATTTTTCCGAAATGCCCTTTTCTTTCAATTCTGGAGGTTGCAAATCACGGAATTAGTCCGAGGCTATTCTCCAGCGATAATGAGTCTATTGATCCTATTCTCCATGAATGATAAGTCCATTAAGCACCGATTTCGGCCAATTTATTTTCATATGGCATTTTTGTAATTTTTAGGGCGACGAAAGGCCAATTTCTTTGCATTTTGAAGGATACAAATCACGAATTCGGCCTGAGGCTATTCTTAAACTATAATTAAGTCCATTAAGCACCGATTTGTGCGAATTTATTAAGGTTCAATTTTTGACAGATTCCTAAGGGGTAAGTACCATCACAGATTTGTGGCGAATTTTCCGAAATGCCATTTTCTTTCGATTATGGAGGCTTCAGATCATTGAATCAGGCCGAGGCTATTCTCCACCGATAATGAAGTCTATTGATCCTATTCTCCATGGATGATAAGTCCACTAAGCACCGATTTGGGCCAATTTATTTTCGGATGGCATTTTTGTAATTTTTTAGGCGACGAAACGCCGTTTTGTTTGGATTTTGAAGGCTACAGATCCCGGATTCGGTCTGAGGCTATTATTCAACTATGATTAAGTTCATTAAGCACCAATTTGGGCGAATTTATTATGAGTCAATTTTTGGTAGATTCCAAAGGGGTACCATCACAGATTTCGGACGATTTTTCCAAAATGCCGCTTTCTTTCGATTCTGGAGGCTGTAGGTCACGAAATCAAGTCGAGGCTATTCTCCACCGATAATGAAGTCTATTGATCCTATTCTCCATGGATGATACGTCCATTAAGCACCGATTTGGGCCAATTTATTTTCATATGTCATTTTTGTAATATTTTGGACGACGAGTGGCCAATTTCTTTGGATTTTGAAGGCTACAAAACACGAATTCGGCCTGAGGCTATTCTTCAACGATGATTAAGTCCATTAAGCACCGATTTGGGCAGATTTATTCCTGGTCAAATTTTGGCTGATTCCAAAGGGGTAGCATCACAGATTTAGGGCGATTTTTTTGAAATGCCATTTTCTTTCAATTCTGGAGGTTGCAAATCACGAAATTAGGCCGACGCTATTCTTCACCGATAATGAAGTCTATTGATCCTATTCTCCACGAATGATAAGTCCATTAAGCACCAATTAGGGCCAATTTATTTTCATATGGAATTTTTGTAATTTTTTGGGCGACGAATGGCCAATTTCTTTGGATTTTGAAGGCTACAAATCACGAATTCGGCCTGAGGCTATTCTTCAACAATGATTAAGTCAATTAAGCACCGATTTGTGCGAATTTATTTCGGGTTAATTCTTGGCAGATTCCAAAGGGGTACCATCACACATTTTAGGCGAATTTTCTGAAATGCCATTTTCTTCGATTATGGAGGCTTCAGATCATTGAATTAGGCCGAGGCTATTCTCCATTGATAATGAAGTCTATTGATCCTATTTTCCACAGATGATAAGTCCATTAAGCACCGATTTGGGCCAATTTTATTTTCGGATGGCATTTTTGTAATTTTGGGGCGACGAAACGCCATTTTCTTTGGATTTTAAAGGCTACCGATCACGGATTCGGCTTGAGGCTATTCTTCAACGATGATTAAGTCCATTATGCACCGATTGGGGAGGATTTATTCCGGGTCAAATTTTGGCAGATTCCAAAAGGGTACCATCATAGATTTCGTGCGATTTTTCCGAAATGTCATTTTCTTTCAATTCTGGAGGTTGCAAATCACGGAATTAGGCTGAGTCTATTCTCCACCGATAATGAAGTCTATTGATCCTATTCTCCACGAATGATAAGTCCATTAAGTACCGATTTCGGCCAATTTATTTTCATATGGCATTTTCGTAATTTTTTGGGCAACGAAAGGCCAATTTCTTTGGATTTTGAAGGCTACAAATCATGAATTCGGCCTGAGGCTATTCTTCATCAATGATTAAATCCATTAAACACCGATTTGTGCGAATTTATTCTGGATCAATTTTTGGCAGATTCCAAAGGCGTACCATCACAGATTTCGGGTGAATTTTCCGAAATGCCATTTTCTTTCGATTATGGAGGCTTCAGATCATTGAATCAGGCCGAGGCTATTTTCCACCGATAATGAAGTTTATTGATCCTATTCTCCACGGATGATAAGTCTATTAAGCACCGATTTGGGCGAATTTATTTCCAGATGACATTTTTGTAATTTTTTGGGCGACAAAACGCCATTTTCTTTGGATTTTGAAGGCTAAAGATCACGGATTCGGTCTGAGGCTATTCTTCAACGACGATTAAGTTCTTTAAGCACCGATTTGGGCGGATTTATTCTGAGTCAATTTTTGGTAGCTTCCAAAGGGGGTACCATCACAGATTTCGGGCGATTTTTCCAAAATGTTGATTTCTTTCGATTCTGGTGGCTGCAGATCCCGAAATCGGGTCGAGGCTATTCTCCACCGATAATGAAGTCTATTGATCCTATTCTCCACGGATGATAAGTCCATTAAGCATCGATTTGGGCTAATTTGTTTTCGGATGACATTTTCGTAATTTTTTGGGCGGCGAAAGGCCATTTTCTTAGGATTTTGAAGGCTATAGATCACGGATTCGGACTGAGGCTACCCTTCAACGATAATAAAGTCCATTAAGCACCGATTTGGGCGGATTTATTCCCGGTCAAATTTTGGCAGATTCCAAAGGGGTACCATCACAGATTTCAGGCGATTTTTCCGAAATGTCATTTTCTTTCAATTATGGAGGTTGCAAATCACTGAATTAGTCCGAGGCTATTCTCCAACGATAATGAAGTCTATTGATCCTATTCTCCTCGAATGATAAGTCCATTAAGCACCGATTTCGGCCAATTTATTTTCATATGTCATTTTCGAAATTTTTTGGGCGACGAAAGTCCAATTTCTTTGCATTTTGAACGATACAAATCACGAATTCGGCCTGAGGCTATTCTTCAACAATAATTAAGTCCATTAAGCACCGATTTGTGCAAATTTATTACGGGTCAATTTTTGGAAGATTCCAAAGGTGTTCCATCACAGATTTTGGGCGAATTTTCCGAAATGCCATTTTCTTTCGATTACGGTGGCTGCAGATCACGAAATCAAGTCGAGGCTATTCTCCACCGATAATGAAGTCTATTGATCCTATTCTCCACGGATGATAAGTCCATTAAGCACCGATTTGGGCCAATATATTTTCATATGGCATTTTTGTAATTTTTTGGGCGACGAGTGGCAATTTCATTGGATTTTGAAGGCTACAAATCACGAATTCGGCCTGAGGCTATTCTTCAACGATGATTAAGTCCATTAAGCATCGATTTGGGCAGATTTATTCCGGGTCAAATTTTGGCAGATTCCAAAGGGGTAGCATCACAGATGTCGGGCGATTTTTCCGAAATGCAATTTTCTTTCAATTCTGGAGGTTGCAAATCACGCAATTAGGCCGAGGCTATTCTTCACCGATAATGAAGTCAATTGATCTTATTCTCCACGAATGATAAGTCAATTAAGTACCAATTTTGGCCAATTTATTCTCATATGGCATTTTTATAATTTTTTGGGCTACGAATGGTCAATTTCTTTGGATTTTGAAAACTACAAATCACGAATTCGGCCTGAGGCTATTCTTCAACAATGATTAAGTCCATTAAGCACCAATTTGTGCGAATTTATTTCGGGCTAATTTTTGGCAGATTCGAAAGGGGTACCAACACAGATTTCGGGTGAATTTTCTGAAATGCCATTTTCTTTCGATTATAGAGGCTTCAGATCATTGAATTAGGCCGAAGCTATTCTCCACCGATAATGAAGTCTATTGATCCTATTCTCCACGGATAATAAGTCCACTTAGCACCGATTTGTGCCAATTTATTTTCGGATGGCATTTTTGTAATTTTTCATGCGATGAAACACCGTTTTCTTTGGAGTTTGAAGGCTACAGATCACAGATTCGGTCTGAGGTTTTTCTTCAACGACGATTAAGTTCTTTAAGCACCGATTTGGGCGGATTTATTCTTAGTCAATTTTTGGTAGATTCCAAAGGTGTACCATCACAGATTTCATGCGATTTTTCCAAAATGTCGTTTTCTTTCGATTCTGGAGGCTGAAGATCACGAAATCGGGTCGAGGCTATTCTCCACCGATAATGAAGTCTATTGATCCTATTCTCCACGGATGATAAGTCCATTAAGCACCGATTGGGCTAATTTGTTTTCGGATGGCATTTTCGTAATTTTTTTGACGGCGAAAGGCCATTTTCTTAGGATTTTGAAGGTTACAGATCACGGATTCGGACTGAGGCTACCCTTCAACGATGATAAAGTCCATTAAGCACCGATTTGGGCGGATTTATTCCGGGTCAAATTTTGGCAGATTCCAAAGGGGTACCATCACAGATTTTGGGCGATTTTTCCGAAATGCAATTTTCTTTCAATTCTGTAGGTTGCAAATCACGGAATTAGCCCGAGGCTATTCTACACCGATAATGAAGTCTATTGATCCTTTTCTCCATGAATGATAAGTCCATTAAGGACCGATTTGGGCCAATTTATTTTCATATGGCATTTTCTTAATTTTTTGGGAGACGAAAGACCAATTTCTTTGAATTTTGAAGGATACAAATCACGAATTCGGCCTAAGGCTATTCTTCAACAATAATTAAGTCCATTAAGCACCGATTTGTGCGAATTTATTACGGGTCAATTTTTGGCAGATTCCAAAGGGGTACCATCACAGATTTTCCGAAATGCCATTTTCTTTCGATTATGGAGGCTTCAGATCATTGAATCAGGCCGAGGCTATTTTCCATCGATAATGAATTCTATTGATTCTATTATCAACGAATGATAAGTCCATTAAGGACCGATTTGGGCCAATTTATTTTCATATGGCATTTTCGTAATTTTTTGGGCGACGAATGGGCAATTTCTTTGAATTTTGAAGGATACAAATCACGAATTCGGCCTGAGGCTATTCTTCAACAATAATTAAGTCCATTAAGCACCAATTTGGGCCAATTTATTTTCATCTGGCATTTTCGTAATTTTTTGGGCGACGAAAGGCCAATTTCTTTGAATTTTGAAGGATACAAATCACGAATTCGGCCTGAGGCTATTCTTCAACAATAATTAAGTCCATTAAGCACCGATTTGTGCGAATTTATTACGGGTCACTTGTTGGTAAATTCCAAAGGGGCACCATCACATAATTCGGTCGATTTTTAAAAAATGTCGTTTTCTTTCGATTCTGGAGGCTGCAGATCACGAAATAAAGTCGAGGCTATTCTCCACCGATAATGAAGTCTATTGATCCTATTCTCCACGGTTGATAAGTTCATTAAGCATCGATTTGGGCCAATTTGTTTTCGGATGGCATTTTCGTAATTTTTTGGGCGACGAAAGGCAATTTTCTTAGGATTTTGAATGC